TCGCTAGAATCCATGTATTATTGACAAAGTTTTGGGGGGTACCCACGAAGGACGTTGGAGTATACCCATTCCGCCAGCCTACCTGCAGCTACCCCTGTATTTCAGTATCTTCTAAACAACATCTGCAATATAGGGCTAAGCACTCTAAGACTTTTAAACAGTCTTATTAGTATAGATGCAGCTCTATTCTGAAGTTTTTAGAAGATTCCATTAAGTAGTTATTAAGATGCAGGGGTATGGTTTCTGTGTTTTTTGGTGGGATTTTAAGTGACTGGTTCGGTGATATGACCGGCTCGGTGATAGAGTACGTTAACGCGTTAATATTAGGTTGTTGTTGAGGCATTGGTATGTAGAGGTTACTTTGGTGGGGGCTTGGCAAAAGTGATCAGCTCGCCCGTTGATCAGCTCGCCCGTGGGGTACGTTACTGTAAGTTACAGTAACTTGCAGTAACTTGCTGTAATATGCAAGAAAAGTTGAAGTTTGGTGTGGTCTTGGCAAAATCCGGGCACTCGCCCGGGCCGGCCACTCGCCCGTGAGGTACGTTACGCAGTGTGATATATAGTTGTTGTGTGCTGTAATGTTGCAAAGTAGTTACAGTGTTGGTGTGGTCTTGGCAAAAGTGACTGGCTCGCTTGGGTGACCGGCTCGCTTGTGGAGTACGTTACCTCTGGCCTGTTGTTGCGTTTGTTGTGTTGGGGGGTGTCCGCGGCGTCCCGCCACGCAGGGTGTCCCGTTACGCAGGGATGGACGTTAGCAGTCGCACCCTCCGATTGACGTAACTGCTGACTGTTGTTGTGCCGTATGCAAACATTTGCTGCGCAGGAATTACTCGGTAACACGGGCAGCGTCCGAATGATCTTCAAGGATGAGATGTCTGATCGCGATGCAATGTCGGACTGGCAAGCAAGCTGGGCAGTGTAAGGCCATCTATAGTGGGCAGTAGGAGAGGAGGTCGAGCATGATCTCGAACATGACCCGCTATTCGAGGAACTGGGTCCACCCGTCGCGGCCTTGGCAAGGTGTATTGAGTGAAAGTGTGGTTGGTAATGTGACTTCGGGCCTCACAATGTCGCTCGCCGGACAAAGGCCTCGGCGAACAAGTCCAGGGTATTCTTTTGTTCCATTGTTCCTTTCCATTACCTGTTTTTTGGTCTTAGCTCCAACGCCAAGAAGAGCGATGCTGAAGCTGGACGTTTCAATATGTGAGTGTCTGAGCAAATAAGTGTTCGTCTTTATCGATTCACCAACGTGCACCCAGTGAGCTGTACATCTTCTTGATCCAGTCCAGTGCCAAAATAGCCGTCATGACCGTTCCTGATATTATTCTAGCCTGGAGAAGGATTTTCGGCGCAAAATTTGAGGAGACATGTTCACCGTGGTTGGTGTGCCAATCATCGAGGACGTTGCGTCGACGAAAGCCGACACTGTGATGACTGCCCCGAGCAGCACAATGTCGGAGGGCACTTCCGTTCCATTGACTCCTTCGCAAAGATGACGTGGTAACGAGATGGTACCAGCCTGGAGATGCCCTGCAGATCAGCATCGAGTACTATTCAGACCTGATAGCAGGTCCATCTGCTCAGGAATAGCTTTGCCCAACATGATGAGGCGTGCCTCCACAGGTAATCCTTGTAAGTATTGCCGATGCAGGGTGCACAGTGTTTGGCAGCATGTCACGTTGAATTCCTTGTCTTGCCGAATAAAGACATACCACTAGCCAAGGGTGTACCGACATCAAGGAACCTATGATCCGGGTATACCGGTGTGGAGGAACCCCGAGTAGCCAAGCGGACGTTCCAGTAGCGCTTCGATAGGACGATGTGGACACGGCATCGATGACGGTCAAAGGACTGGCGAAGAGGATTGGTGTCTGGTGCGCGTCTCAGGGTATCTCGTCTTATTGGGTGGGATATATCTCGCTATGTACGACGTGTGAATCGTTCGTGTGATGGTCGCAGCAAACTTTCGCGATTGCTGCCCAAGAAATGTAAACGCTGCAATTCCCAATGTAGCACCCTGCACGATCCGTAGATACGTACTTTCCGACCCATGGTCCATAACCCCAGCCCAGCCCCATGCGCTTTTGATGATCGATGCCGAGAGTCAAGACAAAAAGACCCACAACATCTGCGGTCTATATGCAGCTGTCCGGAAAATGTAGAAGATTGGTATCGCAGAATATACAAGAAGATAGAAGGTTATTAAAAGCCGTACGTCGGTCGCACCCGGTCGATGGAAGGTTCTTGTAATCGATGAGGGTCGGTTTACATGATGATCGAAGGAGCTGAGCAATGTTAGCGGCGCAATCGCAGACGTGCGGGCAGAAAAACTTACTGTCGACGTTCTGCTTGATGGACTTGTGAGGTAGGACGGATCCGCCGTTGACGTAGACCTCATCGCCAATGGAGACATCGTCACCAAGAACAGTGACGTTCTCAAGACGGGCCCATTTGCCGACGGTGCTGTTCCAGCCAACGATGGTCGACTTGACCCAAGCGTGGTCCTTGACGCGACTGTTCTTCAGCAGCACACAGCGCTGGAGACGGACACCATCGCCAATGACAACATTGGGGCCAATTGTGACGTTGGGACCAATGCGGCAGTTCTTGCCAATCTTTGCGGTCTCGTCGATCATGACGTTACCGCCGTACACGTAAGGCTCGTTGAGCGAGACAAGGAGCTTGGGGTTCTTGCGCTGCAGCGAAGACAGGTACAGACATGTTCCAGAGAGAAAGTCCTTGGGCTGTCCAACATCCATCCAGAAGCCCTCGAGGTCGAACGAGTGCAGACCGCCGTCCTTACAGATGGCGGGGAAGGTCTCCTGCTCAATGGAGGTGGGGCGGAGCTCGATGCGCTGAAGGACGCTGGGGTTGAGAATATAGATACCGGCGTTGATGCGGTTGCCAACGAATTCAACAGGCTTCTCGACGAAACGGTCGATTCTCGAGGGGTGGCTGGGCTTGTGGACAACGACACCGTACTTGGATGGCTCCTCGACCTTTGTGACAACTATTGTGCCCTCGTCGCCGTGCTGCTTGTGGAACTGGGCGAGCTGGGCGAAGGGGTATTCGCAGGTAACGTCGGCATTTAGGACGAAGAACGGCGAGTCGTCCTTACCGAGGATGGCCTCAGCGAGCTTGAGGGGACCGGCGGTGCCGAGAGGCTCCGTCTCGACCGAGAATGTGATCTTTATGTTGTACTGCTTCTCGTACTGCGACTGCGCGTCAATGGCGCGTCCTCGTCGAACGGCATGGTTTCGGGGTACTGACCTCCTTCAGGGCCTCCGCCATGATCTCTGGGCGGTAGTTGACGGCGAGGACAACATCGGTGACACCAGCAGCGGCGAGAGCCTCGATCTGGTGCTGGATCATGGGCTTGTTGGCGAACTCAACGAGCGGCTTGGGGTATGTGAGGGTCTGTGAGTGGGGTCAGTACTGCCATGGCGAGCATCGCGGGGCTCTCCTGTGGGAGATCGCATTGCGCAGTCTGGAAGACATACAAGAGGCCTCAGACGGGTACCAAACCCTCCGACGAGAATGATGGCTGCATTGGCTGTTAGAAGCTGCAAACGAGTACACCATCGAGGCTGCACTAACCCTTCATGTTGGCGGCGGTGGTGTATGAGGAGCTGGTTTAGCAGGTATGTGTGGAGGGGTTGAAGAGTGCAATTGGATCCTCAACAACAGAGACAGTGTGGAAGCGAAGGGCAATCGAGCGAAGGACAATCGAGCGAACTGCAACGAGCGCACTGGATATGAGTGACAGTAGATATGCAGACTGGGTCAAGGAGCGCAGTGCTGAGGACAGCTGGACCTTATGAATCTGGTCAGGAAGCACCCCTAGCTTCGCGTTCGCGGGTCCATGCCCAGACCAGAAGGGGTCCATTAATTCCCCTTTCCCTACCAACCAACGCCTCTCCCTTGGCCGCTGCCCTCGTTACCCTCGTGTCTTCATGCTGACTTCTCCGGTCCCCTTGTAGCTGTCCTTCCGCCCACTTCTTCCTTCACATTGACCATATTAACTTCGATAGCTCGGGCGACATCGGAGCAATGCCAGCAAGACTCGACCATGGGCTGCAGCCCTGGAAATGCATCACACCAGCGCGCCCCAGAATCTCGCAGGTACAAGTGACGCTTGTGATCACTCCCTCTGCGTCTCGCCACACCGCTTTGCGCAAGATCCCCTGAGATGACAACCACGTGCATCGTCGTGCCGAAATTAGAGGCGTTGAAGGTCAACTTGGCTGTGTCACGAAGCGGAGGGCACCTGCCACCCGAGACCCGCCGTTGAGGCTTGCCCTTACCCAGCGCCATGTGGCTGTGCCTTCCTCTTCCGTCGAAAGTGTAATGCACACCTCCAGAAAGCCATGCGATTTGCTCTCCACAGCCGCTATCAGAGCACGCATGATCGGTCTTGAAGAGCGAATAGAAATTTTGCGACGTCTCAGAACGCGATCCTACCACGGTTCTCCCAGCCTGGCCCTCACGAGCTCCTCACGATGTTTGAAGGAATGCATGATCTTGATTACGACGCGCGTCGTGTTTGCGCGACTACCGGCCAACTTCATCACTGCTCATGATGCGCCTACACAGCCTTATGAGTGCTAGGCGATGTATTTTGGGCGACGACAGCTCGTGTCGCTGCGACTACTAACATTCTTATAACCTGCAATGATTTTGCCTCGACACTCGATATGAACTTCGACTTTCCAGCACCGGCTTTGTTCCAATACGCTCACCGAGCCCTTGCTCGACACCGTCCTGCATCGGTTTGACTAGTCGCATACTTAACACGTCATGAAAGCTTTCATCTTTCCCAGTCCCCCTATCCCTCGTTTCAGTTCAACGGTTGAAGGACCTAAGACTCAAGACACGCTACAGCTGCTCGGTGGAGCCGCACTGCCTATACCGGCAACCTCATCGAACTGTGGGACACTGAACGCTAACGCGTTGTGAATAGCATGTGTCGTGCTTATTCCCGAACGATCGTCCAGACGAATAATTCACGATTCTGCAACTTTGCGCAGTCGTTCCAGCACGCGCCACACAAAGATGGGAAGTGTATCTGCTGTGCTGCTTATGTACGAAAACACCAACGTCTTCGCCGGAGGAGGAACCGCTCAAGTTCCGCGTAGATTTAGGGCGACCCGGAGCGTGAATGTTATCCTTCCCTTCACGGTAAGTATGGCCAAAGGCATGGAAGACTGACCGCAGTTACTCCAACTTGTAACCAATCGCCGCTCGATATCGTCATCACTGTTGACACCATGAGTCGAGGTTCTACAACTGTTGTTCGATGCGTGAAGCGCTGCATCACTATCCCAGACACCGTCAACGGTGCATGAGCACAACCGAAACCCCAACTCTCCCTCACTTTGTCTCTACTGTCAACTGTTCAATACTTCTATGGTTACACGAAACTTCCAAGGCCGTTCCTCGGCAGATCCTTCAAGGCCCCTTGAATTTGTACTCATTGGCGAATATCCAGTTACCCTTGTCGTAGCGCCACAGGTCGAGACCAATTGCTTGCCCTCCCCGGACATCCTGGAGCATTTCCTTTTCGACCGCCTGGAACGCATCGTCGACCTTCTTCTCCTCATTGACTTTGTTCATAACCGTCCAATGCGGCCTCCACCCTCCCTGATCCTGCTCACTGAGATGAGGCATCCACTGCGATCTCAGGTCTTCATGGACTTGCTTCATTCTGTTGTACCCTTTGCCGACATTGATACCGACTCCAAGGCGCATACGGAATGGCTTTCCAGTCGAGACGAAGAATGGCTTTGTATTGGCAGAAAGCTGCGACAAGCTACTGTCTATTATGGTGACTCGAGAGTCGGGAAGAGCATGGAACAAAGTCAAGTGTGCAGGGGTCCTGTTGAGCCTCTTCGGGAAGTATTGCTCGCGCATTGAGTTCATTGGCTTCGCCAACGAGTCCGTCAGCTTGAGGGTAAGGACATACACAAGCTCCTCTTCTGCTCCAGTATTGGGTTTGTGTTCTTCGCGGGTGACATGCTCTGTCTTCTGATACCCCTGGCCATGGCTTTGCGAGCTTGGTCTGTGTGGACTTCTTGGTCGCTGAGGCTGGCCGTTAGAAGTAGGCTTTGCTTGAGGTGCGTCATGGCGCTGTTGTGGGGGCTGTCGTGGAGGCCATTTTGAAACCCCTGCTGCTGCTACGTAGTTCATTATGCCTGTTGATTTGCTGACCGTGGTCAGCAGGAGTCGCGAACTGTGTGCGTATACACGGAGGGTCATTGGTTTTGCTAGTCTTCCAGCTGTTTTCGGTACGTTCTTCATTATTTTACAAGAGTCACAGATCGATACGTCATTAACCCATGTAGCGGGCACTAACGCAAGCCGCAATATGTGGGGATCAAAGCATCACCATGCTCGATGCATGCGGAACATCGATTTGTCTGAAATCGCATTATTGTGGTGTTCATGGCAGACTGCAGTACTACGAGGGGTCAAGCCGGCGTGCCCTTCGTCTATCTTAGCCCTGCGCTCCTGCGATCATCAGATCATCTTGGGTATCATCTCCAAACCTCCAAACCTCCAATCATTGAATCTAGCATCCAAATCTCTGTCTTAAACCGTGCCTCTCTTTGCTTCCTTTCAGATCAAGGTCTGCTGGTGGCTCGCCATCTTCCACTCTTGGCCCTCCAGCACCCACGCGCTTGAGCAAATCGCCTTGAAAGATTGATCTGCACGTTGTGCCTCGACACGGTAGTATATCATGGCGCTATCTATACCAAGCGGGATAACCTCGTCGTGGCTCAGCTTATAGTTGTACCACGGCTGGAACTCGGGGCTCTGCAGCATTTCGTGGACAGTTGGCGAAGAGACGGCTGTGAGAATGAGGTCGCCAGGGAAGATCATGACAGGATTGCTGGACAAGATGGGTAGTAGCTTGTGGCCGGAGCTGCAAAGGGCTGCCCAGGCCTTGTGTTCGAGGCTGCAGACGGCTGCGGTGAGTGAGGGGTTGGTGAGTGTTGGCGCTACCATCTTGATGCCGATGGAGATCCGCGTTTCAAGTGGGTTTGTATGGATTTGGAATCTGTGAAGAGGTATCCGGCGTAATTAGTTACAAAGCAGAGGTGATATTTGATTACAAGGCAGTACAAACCACGCGCGGGGTGACGCCGTTGTGACTTCACACCAGGTCTCACTGCAAACCAAACCGTCTCCCTTTGTTGGAAAGATCTGCAACAACCATGTGTACCATGTTCAGGTGATCTTCTGTCATCCAAGATCTTGTATACCTCTAGGGTCCAGCTGCAGCCACGCGGGGTCGCCGTTGTGGCACACAATTCCGCAGCTCGCACGAGCCTGAGGCACATCTGGCTTACGGGTGCGCCACGATTCGTTGCTGTTGTAAAAATTGCAGCAAAATCTTCGCCCAACATCCTGGGATTGGGTGATTCTCACCACGAAGCATGCCTGTTTGCAAGTCGGCAACGCCCGACTGGGAGTGTCTCGGACCGTGCAATCATCCACTACGTCAGCGGAGCGGCGCAATCTTATCGCACAATGCTCAACACACAGGCCTCGCGCTATCTGTTACGCGCATACAGTGCAACCAGCATTGTGTCGTAAAAGTGCGATGAGCTCAAACTGACGGGTCGTATGTGGACTGAGAACCTGAACCTCTCGGTACATGAGTACCGCATTGGAGGCAATGTTGCCTTGTTTGATCGATAAAGAAGCGTCACATGGGTCCAGACGCGCGATTACGGGGCGCGATAACGGAAGCGGGGAAGAAGGGCTGCGAACAGGCCACCGAGCACCAGGTGGCACAACAGCAGCGAGCTGTTTCACTGCAAAAGACAGCAGTGAGAGGGCATTCCAACTCGTTGTGAATTCCGCAGCTGACAAAGAGCAGACAGCAAAGTGAGTGAACGAGGCGCACGCTTTCGGTCGAACCTGCCCGAACGTTCCGTATCCCTGATCTCACTGGTGCAGGGGCCACCTTTGGTTAGCGTCACTGCCATCACTGTCACAGCCTCAGCTTGCCGCCTACTCCTGCCTCCCATATAAGACCCAGCCCGCCCCTCCGTGGCACATACTTTTGCATCGCACTCCACCACTCACCTACATCTACGCACACACTGCAGACCAGACACATATCACAACAGCACACCAAATACAACCACAAACATGCAGATCTTCGTCAAGACCCGTAAGTAGCGCATCGCCACCGTCAGCTGCGCCCTCAGTCACTAACAACCTCGCAGTCACCGGCAAGACGATCACTCTTGAGGTGGAGTCTTCTGACACTATTGACAATGTCAAGAGCAAGATCCAGGACAAGGAAGGCATCCCCCCAGACCAGCAGCGCTTGATCTTTGCCGGCAAGCAGCTTGAGGATGGTCGTACCCTGTCGGATTACAACATCCAAAAGGAGTCTACACTCCACCTTGTCCTCCGCCTTCGTGGTGGTATGCAGATCTTCGTCAAGACTCGTAAGTTGCCACAGCACGCATGGCGTGCCATGAGTTCACACTAACATCGCCACCAGTGACCGGCAAGACCATCACTCTCGAAGTCGAGTCCTCCGATACTATTGACAACGTCAAGTCGAAGATTCAAGATAAGGAAGGTATTCCCCCGGACCAGCAGCGCTTGATTTTTGCTGGCAAGCAGCTCGAGGATGGCCGCACCTTGTCCGACTACAACATTCAGAAGGAGTCCACACTGCATCTCGTCCTGCGCCTGCGCGGTGGTATGCAGATCTTTGTCAAGACCCTGACTGGCAAGACCATCACGCTTGAGGTTGAGTCGTCGGATACTATTGACAACGTCAAGTCCAAGATTCAGGATAAGGAGGGTATTCCTCCTGACCAGCAACGTCTCATCTTTGCTGGTAAGCAGTTGGAGGACGGCCGCACACTCTCGGACTACAACATCCAGAAGGAGTCTACTCTCCACTTGGTGCTCCGTCTTCGCGGTGGTATGCAGATCTTCGTCAAGACGCTCACTGGCAAGACCATCACGTTGGAGGTTGAGTCCAGCGACACGATCGATAACGTGAAGTCCAAGATCCAGGACAAGGAGGGCATTCCTCCTGACCAGCAGCGTCTCATCTTCGCGGGTAAGCAGTTGGAAGATGGTCGCACACTTTCCGACTACAACATTCAGAAGGAGTCGACGCTGCACTTGGTGCTTCGTCTCCGCGGTGGACAGTAGGGTATCACGATTTGATGCTGGTTTCTGGCAAGGCGTTCACAGGAAATGATTCCGGCTTACGAGCTGGGGCCTCGGTTCATTCATAGTTTACATGGTCGTACATCACGTGCAATGGCCATATCATCAATGCAAGAAGAATGCCTACGGGCAAGAGTTCACACTCAAACACATACTCCCTAACGTCTGTCACTGCATGCCGAAAAACCCTGTGTGCCGAAAATGACCAATCGGATCACAACGACTAGATAGAAGTCCATGATCCTTGGAATCCGATTGGTTATTTTCGGCACATAGGGTTTTTCGGCAAGCAGTGACGGACGTTACGTTTCACAATCGTGGTGTATCTGGTAATGGTACGGATTCATGCGCCCTCAGCAAACATCTAATCAGGTTTGTTCGCGCACTTCGAATCTTGGCTCAACCCGTGCTCCTCCCGAATTCCCAAAACCTCACAACACCACAGAGACGCCATCATGGTGCCTTGCGCAGGTACTCGAGCAGCCATGGCGGCAACCTCGGTACCCCACATGACGCAAGACCGCGGACTTAAAATGCATCTCCACTACAGCTCGGCTTTAACCACAACACGCTTCGAAAGCTGAGTAAACTCTCCTGTCCCGCTCCCATAAAGCTGCTGAAGCTTCTCTTGATCGCTCTTGCTACGACAGTCCTCTTCATCGAGTTTCAGCAACGAAGAAAGCGCACAGCGACTACAATGGCTGATCAGAAGATGCAATATGTAAAGTGGGTCGTCTCCGACAAAGCAGCTACAGCAACAAGCTCACTGACGTCTGTATAGCCTGGGTAAGTCCGGCCTGAAGGTCTCCAAGGTCATCTTGGGTGCCATGAGCTTTGGCAGCGACAAATGGCAACCTTGGATCCTGAACGAGGACGCTGCACTGCCCATCCTCGAGCACGCCTACAAGAACGGCATCAACACATGGGACACAGTACGTGGACGAACTCTGTGACACGGCCTGCCCTCAAAGGGTAGCTTGTGTGATTGGTAGGACTAACAATTGCCTATAGGCCGACATCTACTCCCACGGCATCTCTGAGAGGATCATCGCCAAAGCCATCAAGCAATACAACATCCCCCGCAACAAGCTCGTTCTCCTCTCGAAATGCTACTTCGGCGTCAACGAAGAGGACCCATCGCTCGGCATCGTTGCCGTCTCCACCAACGACAGCAAGATGGTCAACCAGGTCGGCCTCAGCCGGAAGCACATCTTCGATGCGGTCGAGAAGAGCGTCGAGCGCCTCGGCACATACATCGATGTCCTGCAAATCCATCGTCTCGACCGTGGCACACCAAGGGAGGAGATTATGAAGGCGCTGAACGATGTCGTTGAGAAGGGCTGGGTCAGGTACATCGGCGCAAGCTCCATGGCGGCGTGGGAGTTCCAGACGCTGCAGAACATTGCTGAAAGAAACGGGTGGCATAAATTCATCAGGTATGGCTTTTAGCCACTCTGAGCTACCTTTGAAATTTGCTAACCTTGTACCAGCATGCAGAACTACTACAACCTTATTTATCGTGAGGAGGAGAGGGAGATGGTGAGGCCTCCAGGGACTAGCCTTCAAATCAGCCCTACTAATACGACGTCTAGATTCCCTATTGTCAAGACACCGGCGTAGGCCTCATCCCCTGGTCCCCCATCGCCCGCGGCGCCCTCACCCGTCCTTGGTCTGACCGCTCCTCCAGCCGCGCACAAACCGATAAGTTCCTCGAGAACCTCGTCCACGCACGCGAAGACAAGATCGATCAGGAGATCATCAGCCGCGTTGAGGAAGTCGCGAAGAGGAACAATGTCAGCATGGCGTGCATCGCGACAGCGTGGGCGATTAAGAAGGGTGTTTGCCCTATCATTGGTCTGAGCAGCAAGGGGAGAGTTGAGGAGACGGTCAAGAACTCGAACTACAAGCTGAGCGATGAGGATGCGAAGTATCTTGAGGAAATGTATGCGCCGAAGGAGAGGCAGGGGTTCTAGATCTGGTACGACTGTGAATGTGAATGTGAAGGCGTTTGTGGACAATAGATTGCGGACACTTGCCTCGCAGTCCAAAGTTAGGGATGATCATTCCTTCCTGAAAGCATGCATTGTTCGCTATCTTGGATGGACATTTGATTGGATCAATGCTGCAGACTGACCATGAGCAGTACATTCGTCAGACTCGATTAGCAACTGCAGTCACCCAAGTCTACTTACAATCAGCTCTGCCGCTTCGAGTAGGAGAGTGAATCGGACGCACCAGATCACTGCCCTGTTTCTTGGTTTACGAAAGTCGCCTGTCTTCTCCACAAGTCCAGTGAAACACAAGCGCGTGACTTCCTCATTCTTTGCGTCACACGGCAGCAGCAGTCATCTCCATGATGCCAGCCTTACGAGCAGGTTCGCTTTGAATATAGCGTACAGAACGTCGAATTTAGACCCTGTCGAGACATTTTCTTTGTGGAAGATGAGATGATTCAAAATCATACTTACGGGCATATTGACAACTCCGTTGCCCACAGCACACGATAGCAGCAGTCATCTGACCTTGGGCAACCATGTTAGGGGATCATTTCACCTATTCGACGGAGCATTATCAAAGCAAACATCATTGACGTCGGAATCAGGCCATATTATTATCAACGGCAGTCGCTAGATATGCTGATGACTTACAAATCAGACGCAGATTAGCAGCAAAGATGTTACAGTTCCACGCCATTAGTATGCACTCGGTCTTGTTGAAGGTATGAAGGAGCATGCCTCATTAGACGGGATATGAATGAATTCACTCCTCCGTGACCAAGCGGCAGTCGCACATTTTTCATCAGCATATAATAGTGGCCTTTCCTTATGACAGAGTAGGAGAATCAGAGGGATTAACTCCCGACATTTAGCCTATCACTATGGAGGTATTGCCAAGTTTGTGTCCACACCATACTTTTACCATGACCGTGAGTACCTGCTCCAACTGTTCACCGCCTATGCACAGCTACACTCCCGCTCTTCTGAACGCTGCCGTCGTCGAACATGCACGTATCCTCGAAGGAGCCGTGGCCCCCATCGATGCACGCATCAGATCCCCCATCCGTTCACCGCTGTAGACCCTACACGCAATAATGCGCCTACATCCGCACTGTCCCGCATGCGCGTCAGTTCTATGTTCAGACCGCACACTCATCTCCGCTCATGCATCCACCCTCCAACCTTCCCCATCGAGACGCGTATGGAGCTCTATCAAGCTAGCCAAGCCTCAACACGTCGCACAGGGCCTCTTGCCACTGGAGCCGTTAGGAGCATGCAAGCGTGGCGCAATAACGGCCACCCTGGCTGCGGGGTGTGTTGTACAGCGTCGAAACCCTGAGATTTTACGTTGCCCTCTGCTCCATGTCGGCAAGTCCTGAGTTGGAGTCATGGCTCTTCTAGATTTGGCAGCACCAAGCTGGGTCTTGGGTCTCGAGGATTGAATATAGCTCAAGCCTCGAGGTCAGGGCAGTCAGGAACGACTCTGTGTGGCAGACCGCCCAACGCCCCGTCGTCATAGCCTGACATCTGCAAGCCTTCGATCATAACAAGGGCCGCTGTGTGTCAACGCAACGCCGTCCTGTCAGGCGTCTTTGCGAGCTCCCCCGACAACCACAGTATCGTGCGCCAGCACGTCCTTGGTCTCAAACTCAAAGCCCTCCAATGTGGGACCGGGTGTAGATCGCGGCCCTTCCCTCATGCACGGCCTCTGCACGGCCGACAATCCAGGGTTCTCGAGCACGGCCAGCCTCGACGCGGTGCGCAAAGTCACCGGAAAACCCTGAGCTTTACGACGGGCAGACTCGGGTCGGCTGTGTGCTCGCGCGTACTCGCATCGACTCGCGTCGTGTGTGGGGAATCGTGCTGCGTTGATGTTTCGAAGCGGAAAGGGTTGACTCGGGCGAGAAGAGCGGTGAAGCGCGGCTACATCTTCCCGGCTGCTCTTCGCCCATTTCATGCCATGGGTGACGGTTGCGTGGGGCAGCAGGTTATTTTAAAAAAATGCGGTTTGTTTGTCACTGATAATTTGAGGGGCACCTGCAGGCAGTGAATCATGAGGTGCGCCGTGAGATTGCGAACTGATGGTTAAACTGTGAATGTGGACCAAGTCCTGCCATATATCTTGACTAGACTAAGTAAGGCCATCTACAAGCCGCAACACCTCCGCATGGAATGCCGCGTGCAAATGTAGCCTCGGTGCCCAGTGTGGCTCGTTTGCCAGGCGCTTGAAGTGCCATGCTAGCCAAAGCCAGCGAAGTTGTGGTGGGGATCGTAGCCGCAGGTCGATGTAAGTCGTATTGCTCGCTCCCAATGCTGGAGCATTTGTTGATAGATACATATAAGTAATGAAGAACTGAGGACTCGATATTGTCTTTTGCGACAATATCAGACCAATGAGATTGGTCGTAATTGTAATGAAAGCCGACCCGCTCGCTATGCCATAGATAAAACAATCATGAAAAAGACAAGGAAAGAAGAGGACGACGAATCAAACAACCAACAAAGTTGGATGTGCAACAATCGACGTCCTCCAGTATCGTAATAAGATACTCAGGTGTACGGGCGTCGTCCCGACCTGTAAGAAAATCAAAGTTTGGTGGCCATCAAGATCGTGGTCCATCGTTTCAGCCGTAAACATGGCATCGTGAGAAATAATGTTTGTTGCTCGAGGGAGTGGTAATCAGTTGGTCGATAACATGGCGTCCGTAGCGCCGGGGAATCGCAAAATGCAAACAGGCCGTTCATCGTTTTGAAGTGGTCGTCAACCGTGCATTGCAAACATCAGACATAAGTCGTTGGTAGTAGGAATGTCGTCGGGGTAAGCTGCGGAGTCTCGAAGACGAGGTCTTGTGGGTAGGCGGTGTGAAGGTCAGAGGTGATCTTTCGAGATGAACGAAGACCTTAGTTGGCACGAATGACAAGCTTGGACAAGAACTTGTTCGAGAGGGAGTCGAAGTCCTCGCGATCGAACTTGCAATCTGACCTCGAGCGCAGGTACGAATCTGCATGTCACATTAGTATGATGCTAGACCATCTGAGTAGCGTACCGAACTTACCGTATTTGGTGACGTGAGCGCGCACATCAGTCATGGCATCGCACACCGCTGGATTGCTGGCCAACAGGTGGTGGTGCTTCCTGGTGTCCCATTCCTGGAAGGAGGGGAGCTTCTGTGAGATGGCGGAGAAGAGACCGACGATGACACCAACTGGTGTGCCTTCCATGTCGCCGCAGAACTTGTTGACGGCAGCCTGATCAGGAACCCGGTAGCTGCAGTCGAACTGGATCAGCTCCCAGACAGCAAGAAGAATAGCCGCCAACATAAAGATGGTAGGCCAGTTCTTGAGCTTGTCTCCGGAGTAGACAGACTGGTAGAGCGAAGAAAGCTCCTCAAGAACATCCTTCTGCAGCTCACGCCACATATCAGCGAGCGCACACTTGACCTGGAAGTTGATCATAACAGGTGCGATGGTGGTGCCGCAGAATTTTGATGATGTGTCCTCAACCTTACCAGGAGTCTCCTCGTCACCAAGGCCCTCGACCATAGTGACGTGAAGAGTCAGGTTGTAGGCGATGACAAGCTTGAGAGCCTTACGGATGACGGGCAGCTTCTCGCGAGTGTAGTAGCGGTAGGCCGTCTTCAACAGCTCGGTGACAAAGTACGTGCCCTCGAAGTACTCATCAACAAAGTTCTCGAAACCACCATCGATGTGACGGTCGAGGTAATCGCTAAGCATGGCCCGCGAGACACCTTCCATACCGGCGGAGAGCTTGGCAGTGTTGATTTCGAAGTGCGAGCCGCTAAGGGTTTCGTGCCAGTCAACGCCGAAGCACTTCTCATCACGAACGTAAACCTCACGGGCCATAATGGGCAGATAGTGACCATAGCCGTGGGTGACATAGATAGGACGTTCGTGGGGCGAGAAGCCCTTGATGTTGCCAATAGAGAAGCCAAGACTGACGTGACGTTCGTAGTCAGCCTTCCAGTCCTTCATGAAGAACGCAATGTCCTTGATGTCAATGCGCGTGCACGGTACCTGCCAAAGACGCGCGTGGGATGGCTGGCAGCCTGCGCACGGATCGCCCTTGTCACAGGTCTTCTTCAAGAACTTGCATCTCAAGCAAGCGCGGAGCTTGCGGATCTCGTGCGCTTGTTGGCGCTGATCTGGCCTCAAGGGACCGCGTCTTCGGCCGACGCGCTTCTCGCCGGTCGTGTCCTTCTTCGTTGTGTGTGCTGGGGTCTTCTTGACAATGGTTTTCGTGGGCTTTGCGCCAGCGTTGATGGGGCCAGCGGGCGACTTTCTCCGGCGGACAGCTTGAGGTGGTGAGCTGACGGCGGAGGAGGTTGGTGAGGCCGAACTGCTCGCCGACTGCTTGATGACGACAGGCTCGATACGTGTCATGGGCGGGCTGACGGACTGATTAGGCGAGATGTAGTTTTCGTAGCCGTGGTCCAGGGGCAGTCCATGGCCGTGATTGCAGTCATCAGAGTGCGTATGCGAGTGAACCAGTGACAGGTTATTCTCGGATCCGGGCGAGTGCATGGGGAAGTTAATCTCCTCAAAGCTACCAAGAGAGCCGGCAGAGCGGGGCACGTCGCTTTGGTTGGAGTTCGTCGAGTCCGAGGAAGTGCGGATATGAAGCGACTGCGCGGGGTTGAAGACGATGGCAGAGGAGTCGGAGAAGTCGTACGAATGGCGGTGGTTGTGTGCACCAACGTCGACCCAGCCGGCGTCACTGCTGGACAGTGAGCGCACCTCCATCCATTGCTCGCCTGGCGACCCGCTGCCAATGCTGACGTTGGAGTGGGTGAATTCTTGCGGATTGATATTGTTGAACTCTTGTGTGAAGTCACCCATGCTGAAGTGCGCATTCATAGGCGGCATGTCCATGGTCGTCGTCGTCATCATGTCAAAGGGCATCGACATTGTGGACATCATATGGGCAGGGTTGAGAGCGAAGTCAACCGGCGAGGTCTGGAGCTGCGCGCCGAAGGTCGAGTCGAAGCTGTTGGCCATGGCCATGGCGCCTGGGGTCATGTAGGGGTCCTGGACAAAGCCATCGGTGTTGATGTTCATCCAGGTCGCCAGCATAGGGTTCATGGGCTGCATGGCGGCCGGGAAGCCGAGGCCGGCAGCCTGGAGCGGCGCGATGGCGGTGGTCGAGGCTGGCATGGGATTGTACTGGGCAGATGTCGCGGCCACGGACTGCACGCGGCGGTGCTGGTGTTGCTGGTTCTGGTTATGCTGCTGGTGTGGGTGTTGTTGCGGCATTGCGCCGGGCGACGAGGCGGGCAGCGGCCAGGTCTGGTACGAGGTATACTGCTGGCGGTTGGGGTCGAAGGTTGCGTCGAAGCTGCCGTCCACGCCGTAGAGGGTGCCGTCAAAGTCTATGTGCTGGTGATTCTCCATGATGGCCACGGAATGGGTTTGGTAATCGAGTGTTCGAGTGCTCAGCCGCTCTGAGCTGATGGTGAGCGGTGTAAGCGCAGAACGTAAGCAGGCCTGGAGGGGACCAGAGGGTAACAGTCGAGTTGCACGGACCTCCACCAGCCAAAAGTCGGTGAGTGAGTGCCCCACACGCCAATAAGCGTCTCGATCTGCCTTTGGTCGACGGTAGCGCTGCTGGCGCTGCAGTAGTCCGCCCGCGCAATTCGCATCTCACCACTGCGGAAAACCCTGATGCTGATGGGTGTCCCCGACGTGGGTGCCTGGCCCTGCAGATGTCGGATGCTGTGCTCGAGGTGAGGTGATCCAGGTGAGAGGCAGCCTTCGGGTGGGGATCCTCTGCTAGCGAGGAAAATCATTCACTACCCACGATGGACATGGTAGATTCGTACTCAGTAAGAGACGGGGCTGGGTTCGCCCGCTTTAACACCGTGATGGTCACCATGGGCGTCGCCTTCGACCAGGGCGGGCAGCCTCTCGCCTGTCGTCCAGCCTGCTCAGCGCGCACCTGCACGCCTGCTGACGCCTCACCTGCCGCAGCTAGTGAGCGTCGAGGCGACCCCTCCTCGATAAGCACCCGCTATCAGTTAGACTCGGGACCCAGTACGTAGGATCGGCGTGTGGAGGGACCGCGAAGGATGCTGCCGCAACAAGCAAACATCCAGATGTCGAGCCCCAAACGGTGCATCTTGTTGTGCTTGTGTCCGAATGTGTCGGACATCCTAAGAGCCGCAGCGGTCGCAGTGCCTCAGCATGAAGCCTAGCATGAATCGCTGCTGGTGGTCGCCGCCGCAATCAACCGATACAACAGTTCAAGCCTCGAAGCTTGACGGACCAGGGGCAGCCCCGCGGTCTTCGCCTCACTGGCATGTCCCGGCAATACGATCATGCCTTAACGGCACTTTGCTGTCGAAGTGCCAAACTCACCGACACCTGCAAGAATGCCTAGAAGAACCATTCGTCGTCATCGTACATTCTGAAGGTGTCGAGACTCGAGAGCATGAGCGCCTTGTCTCCACGTAAAGCGCCCTCCGCCTTATGCTCGGCGCTTCCTCGTGCTCGACGCAGCGTCTGCCAGAATCGATTCGCCAATCGCATTCTCAACGGTTGCTTCGGGTCCGTGTGCATGTCATCAGCGCGTTCTGCGTAACACTGCTCCCGCATCGTGCTACCGGGACGAGCGTCTTGCGTGCAGACTCAGGTTAGAGGCTCGCAAACCCGGGGGAGTCCAGCCTGTCATGGAGAGATTGCTTTTCCGTGACCTGAGGCCGACTATGACAGAAAGTGGAGACCTGAACCGCTCTGACGAGCGTGTGGCTGTGGTGCTACACACGGGGTGACAAGTTGAGAGGTGCACCATTTCAAGTTCCCTCGTGGCCATATCTGTCATTTCCTTCGTTGGGCAACATTGGACCTCCTCTTCCCTTGCCTTGGTCAGCTCGGTAATGTCTTGCATCCCGTCCCGAATCATTGGTATTTACGGACGAGCTGAGCCCGAAACCGCTCTCACTACGGCGTGATCCAATTATTGTGGAGGGCGATACGAACTATGCCACTATTATGGTCGCACTGAGCTTGCCGATGTACCTCACCGTCGTACCTGAACGGCGTTCGGAAGTTAGCGAGAAACAGTCGTCCGTTTCGTCTCAAGAGCTGGAATGCTGCCGAGGCGGTCAGCATGGCTTCAGTCTTTAACAGGGGGTCAGCGACTCACCAGACCATCTGTGGAACAAAGAGAGGATGTCGGGGTCAGAACGGGCTGGAAGTGAGCAAGTGAGATTGTCGGAGCCGCGTTGTCGGAGGTAGGTGTACGGCGATGCAGCTTTGAGCGAAAGGCTTGCTGAATAGCTGCGTTTGAGGCCGAGCTGGCTGTCCTTATGGGCCACCTCGCCTGCGGTGTTGTTGCAGGTGCTGACGACGTGCAGAAGTGAGCACATGAAGCCAAGTGATGACTGCAGGAGATTATCGATCTCTTTGTGCGGAAAGAAGGAAAGGGACGCTCTCGGCGCGTTGCGGGTCTCAGGGTCTGGGTCGCGCGCACTTCACTTTGCAGGGCAGGAGAGGTTTCCTCGAACAAAACCGTGACGTATGTAGAATGCAAGACTGCAATGAGCAATCAATTGCTGCAGGCCCATTGTACGCTTTCCAGCGCACTCCAACAACCAAGCAACGCCGTGACGCCCGTAAACAAGACGACGCCCCCAAACTGACCACAGTATTCCCATGCCTTTGAGTTCTTCGCCCATCCATTGTTAGTCACCAGCACAACACTCAACGGTCCACTGATGACGTTTCCAATAGCTCTCCCTCCAACTAAAAGGTCAAATATGAACCCCATGTCTAGTGCAAGGCTCTGCGCCCTGAGCTCCTGCAAGACACCAGCCCATGTCGAACTAAAGCCTCCTGTAAAGAAGCCATACGTGATACTGAGGATAGCTAACAGTGATGTCTGGCTGGAGAAGCTCTAGAACAAGAACACAGCTAGCGCAGAACCCAGCGGCGAAACTAAGACCGTAAAGGTGAGGTACAAGCAATCGCCGAGTTCGCCTATAAATGTGCCGCCCGGCATCGAAGTTAAGTCAATCAGTACAAGTAAGGTGATGGCCATCATTGTGGAGACATGAAACTGCTGGACATCGGAGGTAGACAGGTAGGTATGAGAGAGGAAGTATCCAAGTGACCGGATGGTATTGCCGATCTGCTGCATCCAGAACGCAGGGAGGTGGATGAAGTTGAGACTGATGCGGCGGACCGTGGCTGACTGTTAAAGTGGGATGCGCGGCTTGAGGAAGTCGGGAAGTGGTGCGAAGAGGAGGACCTAGTCAGATCAGCGGTTGATTGTAGGCACCTTCAACGGACTTCTTACCGCCAACACTGTCCACGCTTGGAGAGTTACTGCAAGTCCGAACTTCTGAAGAGACGTTTCCATGGCGAAAGGCACCGCTACGCCGGCAGCAGATTTATCTACCCCACATCACACTGCAGGCCAGCCCTTTCCTTTTGACGAACCAATCATCAAGATATAGAGTAGTAGGAGTAAACAATAGTATACAGCCCAGGGCGCACATGACGTCTTGAGCTGCGATCAATTGCCACACAGATGTTGCAAAGGGGGTCATCGAAAAGCCAACTGCAGTCGGGACCAGACCAAGTGGTCCAAACCAGCGGCGCAGATGAGGCCATCGAGTCAAAATCGTGAAAGCGAATGGTAAGATCAGGTGCACGATGCCCTGTATCAGTCAGTCACAACGACGTTGCTCGAGTCGCCTTTCAGTTTCACCAAGTGACTTCCATAGTACTTTTGACAAACAACAAATGCAATATGATAGCCTGAAGATACGTGAGGATAGTTTCAGATGGACTCAGAGCTGGGCGTCGTACCTTCGTACCCCAGACTGGGACAGGAATCTGGATCAACGAGCAGCCAGATAATACCAGCAATGATTCTTTGCCTCTGCCCGTGGGTGGCAGTGAAACCTGTTCGATCTCTTCAACTATGTCCTGCTCTTGTATCGCGTGACGCTCCGAGTCTGTGCCGTTTGATTGGTGGTCCCTGTCGAACTCGACCTCTTGTTGTACATGTGCCATATCGACACGCTGCCGCTGTGCAATTGCGTTCGCTGCCATCAAGGTTATATATCACCCAGATATGTATCCATCAAGCAGAATGCCGTCGCAATGAGGAGATGTTGCAGGGCAAAGGCATGGTCGCCAAAACGTTGAGGCTGATTGGCTCGAGGTAAGCGTTGTGGCTACAGCTGAAACCATGGCTGCGGAGTAGGTGCGTGCTCCACGGCCGTGGATGTTGTGATCATCTTTGAAGAGCATGTATGCCATTGATCGAATATATGATGAGGTTCTTGTGTTCTGTCACTTCTTTCCGATCTAAAGGTTGACATGTGTGGGGGGCCACACGTTGCGGGAGCGTCCCCGGCACTGAAATACTAACTCCACAAACACGGATTGTGATGCTGCATGGCCGAGCACTCAGATTCAACTTTGAGGGGCATAACAGGAGGTCTCAAGCTGCAGGTACCCGCATGACGTTCGTGGTCGATCTCGGAATGCGCGGTTATAGCCGTGCACCGGATTCCGGGCTTCGGCTCCCCGAACGAAGAGGATGGATTCTACAACGCAGTTTATAAGAAGGCAGGGTGCTAGGGGATAGATGCAGCCTCAAAGAGAAGCCCAATTGAGACCTCTCACTGTCGTCTGCAGCACACTTCAACATAGTCCAGCACTTCCACGCTTTTGTCCGCCTTTATTCTCGTCCACGACTAACCGCTCAACATGGCAAATACCGGAGCTCTTCCTAAAGTCAAGAGACATGTCACAGGCCACAACGGCAAAGGCCATGCCATCTTCAGCAATGCTTTCGATGAGGAAAGCAAGATGAAAGCCAACGATGACGGCATCGCGTTCGCCCTCAGCTACGCCACGAAAGGCTTCCCAGTCGACATGACAGATGACCAGGATCTCGAAGTATACGAGAAGTATCTCAAGAGCCCCCCGGGCCTTGTTGTATCAGGCGGCACCGTACTCCGACACGTCGATATCCCTCCCAATACTGAGTGCACGATGCACCGGACTGTGAGTCTGGATTACGGATGTGTGCTCGAGGGCGAGGTACAGCTCTTGCTCGACAGCGGCGAGGAGCGTATCATGAAGCGAGGCGACGTTGCGATTCAGCGTGGGACGATGCATCAGTGGATCAACCAGAGCAAAACGGAGTGGACGAGGATGCTGTTCGTATTGCAGGAGAGCAAGCCGTTGGAGATCGCGGGCGAGAGGTTCGGTGAGCATCTCGATGGCATGGCTGGCGTGCGGTCGTCGGACTAGAGTAGCTGCAGTCGATACTGTGTGGTTGATTTGTGGAGTGCACGTAGCCTGCGATCTTCCACAATTCTAATCCTGACCCCGCCGCGGCGCTACCGCCCGATCCAGCTGCAAGCACATGCTCCACTCCACCTCACATATTTACTTCACATATTCACTCTTGTTTTGCGCAAACGCGCGGGGTAGTCGCAAACGTTATTCTCTCGAGCTTTGAATGTGCGCTACCATCCTGGAATATGATACGATAGAGCCCCTTGCAGAAACTGCAACAATACTAAGAACGAAGCCAACACTCATAATTCGCATCGACAACCAACACTAGCCGGCTGATCTCACGTGCCCTACCAGCTTCGAGAAGACTTAAGAAGATGGCAGTGCCACTGCGAAGCTCGACGCAGGTGTCATCTGAGCGCTTCGAAGAGACCATCTCCGGCGAAAATCGGATAGAAGAGCTGTCAGGTTCAGAGCTTGGATCAGAAGACGAGTACGAAGACATGGGCACAGCAACTCCCGAGGAGCAGGCGAATATTGCATATTTGGACAGCGTCCGGATACCGATAAAGGAGGATCTGGCAACAAGCACATCAATAACCCAAGACGAGACGCTCAAAGTCGTCCTGCCGTTCTTGGAGGGGAACCCCAACGACTTCCCACTGAACTCACACGGTATTTCACAACTGCAACGAAAGAGGCATGTCGTGTACCTGGAAGACGCGCTGGACGATTACCCGTCAGGATATGCTATGATGGACGCTTCACGACCTTGGATCATCTACTGGGCTCTGCAGGGTTTGACTGCATTGGGCGAGGACGTGTCTGAACACCAGCGAAGAGTAGCACACACTTTTTCGCTAGCTCAGCATCCCGAAGGTGGCTTTGGTGGTGGTTACGGTCAATACGCACATATGGCATGCTCATATGCCGCCACGCTTTCGATGGCAACAGCAGGCGGCGAGGCAACATACGAATCGATCAATCGCAAGACGATGTGGCAGTTCTTGGGCCGCATGAAGCAAGCAGACGGAGGTTTCACCATGTGTCAAGGCGGAGAGGAAGACATAAGAGGTGCATTCTGCGCGATGGTTGTTTTGTCGCTGCTCAACTTGCCTCTTGAGCTGCCCAAAGATGCACCAGCTCGTGGACAGGGCCTCACAACATTCACAGACAACCTTGGCGAATGGGTGTCAAAGTGTCAGTCTTGGGATGGTGGTATCTCTGCCGCACCTGGCAACGAAGCTCATGGCGCCTACGCATTCTGCGGTCTCGGTTGTCTCTCCGTCCTAGGCCCTCCAAAGGAAACTTTGAATAAGTACCTGAACATCCCGCTCTTGGTCCACTGGATGTCATCTCGTCAATGCTCACCCGAGGGCGGCTACAATGGACGCACTAACAAGCTCGTTGACGGATGCTACTCACACTGGATTGGAGGCTGCTGGTCGCTCGTCGAAGCAGCAACGACGACCGGCATCTGGAACCGCGCGGCACTTGGACGCTATGTTCTTGCTGCTGCGCAAGATAAGAAGGGTGGCCTGCGAGATAAACCCGGGAAGCGCTCCGACGCTTACCACACTTGCTACAACCTGGCTGGTCTTAGCGCTGCACAGCACCACTATGTGTATGATGAGGGTGTCAACAAGGGTCTTGGAGAAGTCGGACTCGGTGCACCATTCCGCTGGAAGGTTGGAGGGATATATCATGAGGATGCTATTTGGGATTCGAGCGACGTTGTGGGGAAGATTCACCCTGTCTTCGTCATCCCATTCAGAGCTGTGTTCGAGTGCAGGAAATACTTCGAGGACAAAGAAAACTTTTAGACATCTGTACATACGACTTTTCAGTAAGATCCTATATTTGCATAAACGATGCATCCTTCAATTTGAATGACAAGACGTTGGCTACCTTAGAAACCCCGAAACGCTTACGCATCCATGTAAATTACAAGCGGTGGCCCTCCCACCTTGGGCTTGATGAAGGTCTTGATAGCAGCATGTGCCTCACACTCATTGTCGTAGTAGTCCATATCGGCCTTCGAATTGAACACCGTCCTGGCTACAAGCGTATAGTCTTGGCTCCTGGGATCATCATACGGTTGGTGCGCGGCTGCTTGCTGGATGTACGGTTTGCCGTCCTGTCCAGGCTGTTAGCCATGCTGATCCTTAACGTGCACAACTTCCCGCTTCGTGTCCCCGTATCTCCGGCCCTGCAACATGAGGCTGTAACCGCCCACGTTCTTGCAGCACAGGCAGGACCTGCAAGATGCAGCCTCAATACTGCGTACCCCACAATCGTTGAATCCAACATCGAGCCGCCTGCGGCCTCTGGGATTATGAGTCGAAGATGGACCGAGCGCGTGGCTGGACACTAGCTGTGGAGACGGGAGGTGATGGGATGTCGGACGTGCAGATGGCAAGAACGTACCTTGAGGGCATCCTGAGTCAGGGAGGAGTATTTCTGGATCGCCTCTTTGATCACTGAGTTGTCTGAGAGCTTGAAGAGCGTCATTCGTACGATTTTTGACATGTTGAGGGATGTTATGGGGCTAAGTGGCCGTGAATTGGTATGTCGGTGCTCAAGATGTTGTTGCAACTTGTACTTTTGTTGCGGAGCTTCCGGAGCTTGTGAGGAGAGCCATCGCAGCGGATCAGGTCTTCGGTTCCCCTTCCGTTAATAATGTTCAGAAAATCTCCGTCAAGAGGCAACCGACAATGTTCTTGTCACTACATCGACGTGTGTACGCAAGGGCGAATCTTCCATATAGCCCTGCAGCCCACATTGAATCTGATGTTTCACGCTCGTGCACAGCAACTTGAGTCCTGACGCAAGGTCAATCTCAAAGACCTACCCAGAGAAGCGGTGACAAGGTTCAATATCGTGCGTGCGCCTGGCTTTGACGAAGCTGCACACTTCTCTATAACGTATGTGCGTTTCGGGCCAGGATAAGGTCATGCTACCAGGACCTCAGCACGCCTGCAGTACATCGCTGCGATGCCGGAGCATGTTCCGGATGTTCTGATAGTGTCTGGCTGTTCAACCTTGCACAGTAAGAGGTTGAGTCAATGCCGTGCCGCCTCTGAGATTCGACTCTGAAGCAGATGGACCCTGAGAGACATTGTTCGAAGGGACATGGTAGGAAGCGGGATGTTGCGTGAAGCTGTACAACCTTGGAGAAAGCGAGTGTTGGTTACCTAGCTCGAGCGCATGCATGGAACCCCGCCGATTCGAAAACAGTTGTTGCAGACTGTTTACAATTCACAGTTGGAATTGACGCTTTCGATGGCATAACGTCCATACCGTGATGCTCAGGCAGCCGTGGCAACAGCGGCAATTGATCGCTCTTGCCATCGTCAAGTCTGAGCGCGCAAAGAGGGGCAGTCGCGGTGCATTGACACGGCTTCCTCACCGCCATTCTCAGTGCAGATTGCGCTCGTAGCCGTGCGTCGTCCATCCCCAGATTTTCCCGCCATGTTGCGCAGAAATTCAGCAGCTGCCCGCGACGAGGCTGCCAACGCCCTTTGACGACTCGCTAATCGAGTGTCATATCTGCCAACAGCTCATCGTTCAGGCTGCTCTTACTATGGACATCTCATGCGCTTCATGCTAAATGGACCCGCTTGAATCCACATCTCTAGCCTTCCTCGACCGAGGCTTGGACCGGCCCCATAACGAGGCCGCTTCTGCGTGGACCTTGCTTGGTCCTTCATGTACCGTTGCTGTACGTTGCTGTACGCTGCTGGCCTATCGCGGTTTCGTCTTCGTTTTGCGCACCATCGCACTACCGTCCGGACACAGCCTTTTGCACAGCGATCGAAGACAGTATGCAGCCGCCCGCTTCGTGATGCCTCGGATCATGCACGTCGTGAGCTTCGGCCTTTGACGTCCTCCAAACATCGGCGATGTACAGATCTGGCTCGGTTGTTGAGCGACTAAGATCCTTTCTGGGCGTCTTGCACAATTCAGGCACACGTCAGGCGGATTGTCACACACAAAATCCGTCCTTGCAAACGTTTACTGATAATTGGGGATGGCAACAGGCGCTCGAGCTATCACAAGGCCGTCTCCGCAGTGAACGGACTCATGGCGCAACCGCCGTTGCTACCTCTCCGTCTTCGGCTGCGGTTGCATATCGCTCGACCTTCAAAGTCAAGCGTCGTTGACAACTCACCATGCGCCATGCCATGCAGGTGCGTGAACGCCCGGGCGCAACGACATATTTCTGGTAGTACAATCCCAGTTGCCATCCAACCCCTCGATTCCAGCAATGAATCGATCCCATTTGCCTTTCGTCGTTTTGCCGAGGAGCGCCTGCTCTTCTCGGTATAACGCTCTGCCAACTTCAGCCGTGATGCTCACGATAGCGTGTCAAATCCCTCTCCACTCATTCTGCCTCTAGGCGCGACTTCCGCTGCCATGCTTGGGTAGCCCTGCCAAAGTGCTTGAGATCCACAATTCTCTGCGCGTCTGCGCCTGGTCTCTGATCCCGTTCATCAACTTGCCCCTTCGTATCCCCATGGGTGTTCACCAATTGCTGCCACGGGGGCCGAACCTGCTCGGAGCTCACTGGATCTTTGCCATGCGCAGCATGCATTGCTCATGCAACACAACATCATACTACCAAGCTTACCTGCTGAGGGGAATACAAACCGACCGTCGCTGTACGTCGTTGTCTATGCTCCTGCATCACGGTCTTTGGTATGCCGATCTACAAGGTGTGCCTTGACGAACCATCAACCGCGCTAATGCTGCAGCATAGTGGCGACGGCGAATAATATCCCAGTTGGCGGATACCGGTGAAGCTTGTGCCTTTATGGTATGAACCCTTTCACTAGAAATCTGGAACCCTAGTTTTTGTTGGCGAGAATGCGGCCAACGCATCGATAATATGGGCCTCTTTGTACAGAGCCGCAAGGCCCGCACATCATACGCCCCCAGACGTCCAATTGAGAGCGCTCCCACTGGCCGGAGAACTCTGCGTGTTCCAAGAAGCTCCCTGCACTTCGGCTGCCGCAATAAATTACACGCCATCCCACACTAGATGGGTACCTCCCATATACCCTCTACACGCCATACCCTCTTACTTCTTTCTATCTACCACGCAACACTTCTCCCAACCTTCAGTACAGTTGTCACTCTCTCGCCTGGGAAAGTGTCAACGCAGTGTTGTACAACGGCAGCCACGACTACCTCTTTCAGCCGAACACGAACGAGCGCTTGCCTATTTCTGTCGAACCCGATTTTGTGTTTCCCTTCTTGAGCTTCGAGCCTACATCGAGCGCCAGCGTTGCTTTCCCGACATATCTACTACCACTTAAAGCTTAACACCATGTTTTACATCATGTATCTGACAGGTACGTTCCATACTTTCTTACCATTCAATACTTGGCGGGGTATGGGGAAGTGACAGCTGTCGATAGCCAAAATAGTTATGTCATGCATGGGCCGCGCCGAACTGCAGCATTGGTCCTGCAATTGCACCTGCGAATGCTCTTGGACGTTTGGGCTGCTTACTCCCAGAACCGAACAGGTCCCTTGGTTTTGTACTGTTCTGCTACTGCTATCTAACATCATGTCGTATTGCCGAGGAGAGACTAACGGAAGTTTTAGGCCTTTGCCAAAGGAGACACTGGCCCGACCCTCTCTTCCAGACATACAGATCCGGCTACGGTTACGGGTGTACAGTTCGTGTCAACAACCGAGAATACTCGACAGACGTCGACTATGAGAGTGACGAGCTGGCCAAGAACGCTGCTGCTACCCGAGCGTACATGATCTGCCGCAACTTTTCTGTCAACGACGGGATGTTCCCCGGCCACCGACCAGGCCAAGGTGGTGTCGTTCAGGGTATGCCCGTTGCCATTGGTGCTGGTCGACGCAACACTGCAGTGTCCAACGACTATGAGACAGCAAGCAGCTCCAGTGGCGATACCAGCCCGAGGAACAGCGACTATGACCTTGATGCTCCTGGACGTCGCTCGAGCAAGTCGAGCACAAGCTCGACAAGTGCCTGCTACTGCGGTAGGGGTGCTGTAAGAGTGTATGAGAGGTGCACCGGCTGCTTGAGGGATGCCGGATACCAATGCTAAGCATTTGGGCTTCGAAAAAAAGTCGCGATTCTGCAAGGTTGGTGATGCCACAAGCAAGGCACATTGGAAGCTCCACATTTCGGACCGAAGAGCGATGCCCAGCGATCACGTGTCAACACACGGAAACGTTTCGGGCTACATCAAAATCGGCCACTACGGCCATGACTCGACAGCTAGTAGCGACATTTCCTATCTTCTCGTCATGTTTCGGGATCTATCATGACCATCACGACTCTTGCTGGCATTCTGTTTCACCGGCGGCTGCATAGCGACGGCATTGCGCATTCAAGCGTTTAGCGACCTCATCATCATTACCATAGGCCGGCTTTCCCCTTCGCGAGGTCACCCTCCTTCTGGATTGGCCACTCTGTTTCTGTTTCTGGGCCGGCTGTCTCCATTTTCAGATTGCGAAGAGTCTCCGTGTTTACTTCGCTAATTACATTGACGAGGATGACGATTAAGATCACGATTCACAAAAGAGTAAAAAGATCACGATTACACGCCTCACGGCCTTACGAATACCATAACGATAACGACTCTCATAGGACTTCAATCTGACAAATTACTCCGTCTTGCACAACTGACGTTACACATGTACGCACTGAAGCTCTCAAGGTGACTTGCAATTAGATCTATTTGTGCATACCGCAGTCCCATTCAATCTCCCCGTCTTCGCGATCCTTTTGCTTCTTGCACTTCGTACCCTTTAGTGTCGTTCTGGAGCATCGGATCTTGGGATTCTTGCGCCCTTTCTTGCCCTTGTTTGACCCGGTTGGCTCATAAGTTGCTCGACGCTTCTTACCGCGCCCTTTCTTCTCCGGCTCTGAAAGAGGTGGTGGCGAAGTAAGAGCTGGTGGGCCAGCAGCTGGTTGGCTAGTCCCCGAGGTCGGAGATACAGCGGCCGAAGTTGCGACAGTTGGAGATGCTGGAGGTGCAGTAAGTGCGGGTGTGTTTATTTGAGGATCGATGGGAGTGTACTCCACGATCGTCGTGATCCTGCTCATGGTGTTCGCAGGCTCCGGAGGCGGAATTCCTCTAGTCTCAGTATCGGGAACGGTATAAGTGGGCGAACCAAGCTTGAAGATTCGTTGTTCAGGTCCACCAGTCACACCGATATGTGGATTATGGACCAAAGGCACAAATTGCAACCGAAGCCGGTCCCATCTATAGCGCTCTTGAAGTTCGCTCCTTGTGAACGATTGACGCACGCGTTCGTTGTCTCGGGCCCTTATGCTTTCTTCTCGTGATAGTGTGTCACCACTCTCTTCGTCTTCAACTAGCTGATAATATCGCATTTCGTCCGGATCTAGATAGGCGAAATTGGACAAGGTCCGTTCGAAGTTTTTGGAGCTCTACACTCTGTTCGGGAAACGCCCAAGAAACTCTTGGAATTCGAAGCCATTGAGGCGATCCTGAGATTCGATTGCGTCTCCCATGTCTTCAATAGTTGGCTCGTTGTTCTTTACAATAAAGTTTCCAGTCACTATGTCTGGTCGCCAGTGGGTGTTGAGAATGCTGCGAATAGTTATGTTGGTTTCGCGAGATTGCCAAAACTGGCCAGCTAGCTCCATTTTTACTGATGAGTCTCAATGAAGCCCCCCTGATATCGTCTTTGTTCGGTACTGGCTTGGGCATATATCTGCTCTCGATTGGATCATTGACTCCGGAACTCATCTGCTTAGCGCCCTGCAGTAAGAGCCCTACGAAATGCTCGATGCGGTAGACCAATACATGGCAGTTTCGTGCATTTGGAAAGTTGTGGCAGATGTCAACGAAGGTCGCATCGTTCTTTTTGAAATCTTCCCTGCTGAAGAAGGCTTCTAACGCGGCCCAGGTTGGTTGTCTCTCTTTATACTGTCTAGCTCTTTTTGACACCCTTCTGGTGAGCTCGTACCAAATCGGGTAGAGCTTGAATATCTCAAGGACTAGCCATTCCTCAGTCTTGTGAAGTCCACGCGCTTCGGCCTGACCAATGAGCTGCTGGCGTGTTTTGTTCAGATACTGCTTCCACAAGTGGTCAGGCATGTTCATCACATGTTGGCAAGCTGTGATCCATAGGGGTGGAAGGTTTTCGTCGGTATAATCACCCATCTTGTCTTTGACGAATAGGGTGCGCAGATTAAGAGGATCAGGATAGCTTTCCGCGGGCTCCAGGTCCTTCCCCTTCTTGCCATTCTCATCTTTTGTGCTCCGCCAGACTACCGATATATCGAACACAGAAGCATCGGTTAGCGAATGATTCCGGCTCTTCTCAGTATCGTGCATCAATTTGAAGTAGTGGTTTGTCATCCTCATGGTATCTACCGCTGCAGCGTACAAAACCGGATCCATCCGGTAGTCGGGAAGCTCAATCAATTCATCGAAGGTAGGCGGTATGTCTCTAAGGGTGTATGGATCCCATGTCCACTCTGTATGGTTCTCAGATGGTCAAGGTACGTTGATCTGAACACTAGGCGGCAATGTATCAGGGAATTCCAGTCCATCCTCAAAATCTCTTTCTGAGCTACTGTTCGTGGAAGACATTGTAACAAGGGACAAGGTACTAGGATGAACCAGACGATGCAAAATTCAATCAATATTCTCGTGCCTATAGTTTGTCCCGTTTCACTGAGAGGCCGGAAAGAAGCCTATATGTACGCGACAAGCACACAAGAAAATATTGTGGAGCTAGTCGAGCATTGACAAAAGCACAGGAGGTTATTCAAGAAAGATGAAAGGGCATATCTATCGATGCTTTGTCTATTAACCTTCGATCACACGCCAACACTGACCGTGCCTTTGTCTCGCTATCGCTCAACACCAGTAGGAAGACGCAAAAGACTTTGTCCAAACCGCCAAACCTGTTGTTGGCCTAGCTCGAGACCGGGTTTGTAGATTATGTAAGGCGGCGCTCCAGGATATCTCCAGCTCTGAACAAGTCATCATTTGACAATAGCAAGCTTTTGTCAATGAACAGCATCTAGCGCTGCGTCAAGACAGGCCTGACATTTACACCTCATTGACGACCTCGACCCTGCTGTGAACAATTGGCTCATTGGTATCCACTTTTTGAGAACCTTCAGTTCATGTATGCCGAGCCCTCTTTCTTCCATCGCTATCTTGATTACAGAGCACTGTTCGAGTATGTCGATGGACTGGTGATCATTCAGTTCAGCAATGCGTGCAGCGCGTGCGTCATCATCGAGTATATCGAGTTCGGCCCAGTGCTTCCCGTGCGACCTGTTGTTTGTCAGTATCATTCCTTCACCACTATAAAGCATGCAGATCGAGCACATACTCCCGTAGTGGATGCAGTCACTTATTCAGGGTCTCACCTAAGCCAACATCCATCAAACTTGCCATCGCGCCCAACTTGGATGCGCGACAGCATACTTGACAACACTTGCGGCATTGTAATTGTCGGCGTATATGGTGTTCGCAATGTTGCGATGCACGAAGATGTCGCCGCGCTTGCTGTAGCATACATTGGTTTCGGGAACGCGGCTGTCTGCACAGCCTATCCAAAGGGTCTGTGGTGTCTGCCCTTGCGATAGAACTGTGAAAGTATCCGGTTTCTTAGTTGTTTGCTCGTTGGCGTATTACGCGTTTCCTGACACGAGGCGCTCCAAAGGATCTGCAGCAAGGTCAGTCATGCGAGGGCAGAATACCGTGCGATCATGCAACAGAGCAGTAGAACTGGAATGCGCGCATGACAAACGTCGTTAATTTTTCAAGTGGGCAGTGCGCTCTCCCGCTTGGTCACAGCAACTGTCTCTCATTTGCCACTCACCAATGGAAGTCATTATACTGATGATAGTACTAAAAGTTTCATGAATGCTGTAGAAAAGGGGTGCACTAGGTATGAGGTAATCGTTGATGGAAGGGACAGGGCTTTGTACAATTGACAGGTAGCACCCACGGGCACGCTGCGGTACTTAGCAATACAATGTTGCACGCTGCGACGTTCGAATGATGTACACCCAGCTGCGTATCAAGAGGCTGTGAAAAGGTCTTCGCGCGAACCCAGTGATACTTGTTTCTGGTGGCCTCGCATGATGTTGAGCTCATTTGCGTCGGTTGACCTTACCGAATTTTGGTCGAAGATGTTTAGCCGACTCCCATACCTGCGAAAACTAGAGCAGCGACGTTCATGATAACGATGACACCCCAGATCACAACGGCAAATGCTGTCGTGATCCAGTGATTTCGCATCTGCACGACTCCTTCTCCAATACCATCGCCTTCGGCGCGAAACCCGTCAGCGTCAGCGTCTGGCCGCACAGCGACTTTCATATACTGTGCACGGCAGGTGAACCAGATCAGTGGTGCGCTGACGAACGGCAGAATGACACTTAGTGCGAACTGGCTGCCGTTCAAGGCCTTGCTCAATCCATCTTGTCCAACAGCGCCAGCGATGATGATGGACGGCGTGATACTGATCGAGCGTGTCATGAGACGACGAAGCCAGGGTTTCATCGTCCAGTTCAATTGCCCTTCTGAGACCATCTGACCGGCAATCGTGCAGACGATGCCAGCTGATGTTCCGGATAGAAGTAGCGCCAGCGCGAATAGAGTGCCTGCGATGGGCGCAATGGAACTAGACAGCAGACCATGGATGGAGAAGAGATCGGCGCCCGCCGCCTCAGTCTGGCCGTACAGTGAGGCACCGGACACGATTAGAATAGCCGAGTTGACGAACAGAGCAAACGTGAAGAGCGATATAGCAAGCTCCGCGATGCTGTAGTTCATGCAGTGTTTGATGGCAGCAAGAGAGGGCTTGTACTTCAACTCATCCGAAAGGGAATCAACTTCTTCGTCGCGAGCGGGAATTAGATGGTGTTTTTCATCGTACTCGCGCAAGCGTGGTTGAACAATGCCGCTGCCGAGGTAGAGACTGTGAGGCATAACTGTGGCGCCCAGGATACCACAGGCTTGGTACAATCTGGACATTGTCAGCGAATGCAATATCAGGAGACATGAGCTACACACGCTTGCGACTTGACTAAGGTCGAAGATGGCACATAGCCATAGAAAATCTCTCCCACTGAAGCGTGGATCTTACTGAGCTCGAAGCAGAAACACACCACAACACCCAAGACAAGTAACGCCACAAAAATTTCGAAGCCACGGAGGGCACGCATAGAGCCTGATGGAGAGTAGAAGAGAAGGATGATCAGAACGTCTACGATGGAAATAGCGCATCCGGCGACCAGAGGGACCTTGAGCAAGATATTCAACGCGATTGCAGTACCAATGACCTGGATTGTTAGTCGGGTCGTAGATAGGAAGTGACGGGCTTACCTCAGCGATATCAGTTGCGATGATAGCTGACTCGGCGAAGAAGTAAAGAGTATAGTTCAGCCATGGGGGGAGATGAGCCTTGCAGTTTTCAGCAAGATTCATACCGGTCACAGAACCCAACTTGATGCAGAGGGTCTGCAGGAAAATTGCGAAGATGTTTGACATAAGTACAACGAAGAGCAACTTGTACTGGAAAGAAGCGCCGGCCGCGACATCTGTAGCGTAGTTCCCTGACTAGTATTAGTCTCAACGCGGTCTTCAACAGGTCTGCAGCTATTGAAGCCTCTGGCAACAAACCCGGATCAATGTAGGCAACAGAAATCATCAAACCTGGGCCTATGAACCTCAAGTACTTGCGAACGACTGCAACAGCCCCACCAAAGATGCCTCCGCGACGCTTTGATTGATTAATCACCTGATCCACACTGAAGATGGCGGATGGTCTGAGGGATGCTTGCGCAGTACTGGGGCTGCTCTTCCTTGCCGCGTCGCTTCTCCTGCGCAGCCCATCAGATGCTTTGGACTTCAATCCTCCATCTTCCTCAATCGCTTGTCGCTGGTCTATCCCCAGGTCATCATCCGCGTTGTGGCAATCTAACCGGTGGTCATCTCGGGATCTGGTGTTCACAACGAATCCTAGGTCTGCTCTTGTTGTGGCATCTGCATTGAGCGCATTTGGACTCTGGTTGTGTCCGTCCAGGATATCCGGATCCGTGCGCGAAGGACAGTTCATCGCGGAAGGCGGTCACACGACACCGTTCGATGGATTCCAGCACCACAGTAGCGATTGAGTGACTGAGGTATTGTGTGCGAGGTGTAAAGGCTTCTAGACGTCAGGATATGTCAATCGAATTGCGGTGGGGTAACCCGTAATAGCGTTGTTGGATGACGAGGCTACGGGAGCGTGCCATCCGAGTACGGATTGGCTGGACTTTTCATTTTTTGTAGTGCGACTTCTCCCGATGCGGCTGCACCAGCAACATTGTGTTCGGGGCGCCGGACAGCCGCCGTTGAGATATGTCTCAATGTGCGCTATACCGCCGCTCAGCCGATACGATATGGGAGTACTGTGATGGTGGTGAGATCTGTCATGACACTGCCAGTACTGTATGGGTCAAAGCCAAGCTTCAGCAAGCAACAACCGAGATAAGCTTGTACCGCGTCCGCAGCCTTAGACCTGCTTCCCCCGATCACATCATTCTCATCCAAGCGTCATTAGCCATGTAACGCAATACCGAAAAATTCTCGATATTGAGATTCAAAAATCGACATTATAGGCTTTCTTCAATACTGCATTCAGTCGTGCATTGCCACCGAGTTCACAGATTGTATCGTGGCACGGAACTCTTTGTTCGATGCGGCCAGCTTCGACATCGACATTCTTGGCCTTGAGGTCAGGGCCACGAGTTTCGCCGACGTCCATTGCCTCTTCGTTGGGCGATAGCAAGGGCGAGTGCTGTCTGCAGCTCAACGATGCTAATGCCGAGGCGTAGCTTGTGGATGCCCATGATATTGCTGCGTCGTGCATTACGGCCCTCTTCCGTATGTAATCGCGTTGCTGAGCTCGTACTAGCAATGCACGGTGAGATTGGCTGGGTACATACGCTCTCATGGTGCACTGAACCAGCAGACGATGTTCAGATACCGCTTGCTAGATTGCAAAGCGCCCATCGTCCGTCTGGGCCGTCGAGATGAGATCCTCGCGAGCAGCGTTGCCAGCTGGACATAGTACTGGAATCTACTGTTGCGGTGTATGGCAGTTGGCAATAGTAAGCAGCGGTGATCATAGTGACCCGCAGCCGTGACAGGAAGCAGCTGTAGATTGAGGCATAGTACAGCAGTATCATTGAGGGACGCGCCTTCATCCACAATGATGAAGTACAGCCGAGGATGCAGGTGCTCAGCGGTATGCTTGAACTAAAGCTATATGTCAAGCTCTATTGACCTTGAAAACATCAGACTCCTTGAGTAATGGGCTGGGTGAAGAGAGGAGTTCATAATCAACGGCCAGGACGCAAAAGAGGAACAAACGAGCGATCACCACAGCCAATCGGGTTTTTCCTGCGAATACCTATCAATTTCTAGTTCAGTCAACTATATTCATTTATTCCCTGCCACCCTTGTCACACCACCCATCATCATCCAATATCTTTGAAGCTTGCGAACCTGTAGACGTCATCTGCCATCCCCAACAGCGTCAACAGGTGGCCATGACGCAGTAATTCTCCCGCTAGGGAACCTTAGATTGGAGCCATCTGCATTGTATCCAGCATTCTCGCGGTAGAACACATCGTCCGTGCCATCTTGGCCTGCACGAGGCGCTGCTCCGAAGTATCGAGCCTTATTGCGGCGGCGGGACGCAGCGGAGGACATGATGTGAAAGAGGCTTGTAGAAGTTGAGATCGACGCGTTGAGGTGGGCGTGGTGGAAGCTGCAGGGCGAGATGATAGCGAAGGAGATTAATACGGCGACAAGTTGTACGGCTCTTTGTGCTGCTTCTGTTTCGCGCGGTGTGTCAGTCGGCCTGGTGCACGCGAGCTGTCGGGGGCAGGTGGAGAAAGTGGCCACGTCGTGATGGGAGTACAGATCAGCATCCAGTTTCGCAAGCAGTCTTTGGATCTGGGATCCAACACTACATATTCTGTGAGCGACTCGTGCTCATCCTCTGCGTATACACCACCCGCCTGTGATCTGTGCCCATGACGACCATATTCGAAGCCGTTGTGCACCAGAGCCAGATAAAATGTCATCCTCGATTCATCTACCCCATCTATCGCCATCCTCCCTATAGTAACGCACATGAGTATAGATCGATAAGTGTGCTTTCATTCCGTCATCAGTCGTCAAGCCCCGAGGCACAAAACCATTCTTTCTCTTCCTCCTCCTGTCCTCCACAAGCCGTCGACCCTGCCTACACTCGAATAAAGGAATGCCACTCTAGAAGCCAATGAGTATAAAGATATTGATGTGGTGCAGCCCAGTGCGACCAGCCTTTACCATGCCATGCCAGCCTCGATGAGAACGGTGCATCCATTTGAAATGCCAGATCGTGGATATAATATTGAAGAAGAGGTACGCTGGCGCCGTTCGCCAGTGGTGCAGTTTATGGCCTGCATTAAAAAAAAGGGAGAACCGCAAATACGCCCAAAACGCCGTGCCCATGCCGCATCGTGGATAAATCATCGCTGGCAGAAGAGCTCGATCTCTCCCAGTTGTCCGCCACCGGGATTCAGATCTCGCTGCTGCTCTTGCCAGTTCTCGAACGCTTCCTGAACGTCGTCGTCGCACTGGATACTGACGTATGTGCCCTCGCTGTCGAGGTACTTCAGCTTGACCTGACCGGAAGCAAGCGACACTGGTGTTGATCGCTGGAGCTTGGCATCAATGCGGTCCTTGAGCGACTGGAAGCTGATATTGGTACTGACGACCAACACCATGGAGCTTCCGGCTGAAGGGCAATGAACCTTGACTTTCAGCTGACTTGGGATGTTAGAATGCTCTGCCGCAAGTGGTGGCGACATGTTCCGTGAGTCCATCGAAGCCGGTGTCATCGTTCGCTCGAATGAGGATGTAGGTGTCATCGTACGGGACATGGGCGCAAAACCTGGATCGCGGCGAGCTGCCCCACCTGGGTAATCGCCCAGTGTAGAGAGCTCGGCAGCTGTTCTTTGCTGAATAAGACGATCTCTCTGGATCGCGGGTGATTGAGTGCCTGCTCTTGGTGGCAGGCCACTCGGTGAATTGCTTTGGCTGCGGTTTACAATCGCAGCGTTGTAAGCGTAGTGTGTTGGGAAAGGTGGTACATCCGGTACGGGTCCGCTCGGTCCTTTACGTGGCACGTTACCATTATGAATGTCGGGGCTACTAGCTGCCCGCAGACGTTGACCGTGAGATGACATACTGGCATTGGCTGGCAAAGACGGCCGTTGAGCGCGCGCGGCGGTATACTGACCGGACGGTTCACGACCATGACCACGGGATGGCGCCGGCGCTGTGTATCTGTTGTTCTCCTCCATAGAATAACCATTTGGTGGTGTTTGTCGAGGGAATGGGAATGTGCCTGCAGATGATGAACTGGTTCGCGCGTTGGAGTAAGAAGACATGGGAGTTTCTACGACAGGTGAGAAGTGAGACTCTATCGCACCTGAGTTCTGAAGCTGCTGTGTGCGCAATGTCAGTGGCGGCTGAGAGGCACCATTGTAACCCATAGGAAATCGTGGAGGTGCGACCCTTGGATCCATGCCGTCCATCGGTGGGCCACTCTCGCCAGTCGTTGATCGTGATCGTGGAGAACCGTTCACACTGTTCTGCTTTACTCCGTAGCTGTCTCGTGGGAAGCCGGTAGGAGGCTCGTCGTCCTCGTCCTCGTCGTCCTGCTCCGTATACGGGTTCTCCACGTTGAGACCAGCCATGTAGGTGAAGTTGGTGTCTGAAGGTTTGGAGGCTGATGTGCTCGCGCTGGAGCGTGCCTGCTCCTTCCATACGCGTCTTTGCGCGTCGACTTGCGCAGCCCACTTCTTCATGGTTTCCTCCGAGGTGAATCGAATGATGAAGTTCTCGATTCCTGGATCGCCCTTCCAAAAGATCTGGCATGTGTAGGAACCTGGTTTTTGTAACGAGATAGTCTCTGTGACGTTCTGCATGAATATGCGGCCCTTCAGCTGCAGCTTTGGCTTCCCGTCTTTTGTGACTAGTGACCTTGTGGACATCTTGTTCTTTGGTTTGTTGACGTTGATCTCCTTGCAGCAGAGGAGGATCATTTCGAAAAGGTAGATTTTGTACTAGAAGCGTTGTCAGAGGGTGTTCGTGGGGGAAGTTGAGTGGCACTTGCGTCGCGCTCTTCGTTCTTGGAGCTCATACTGTCACCTTTGAGCACAGTGAATTGGCCGTAGAGGAGGAGATCGCCAAAGCCTTCGATGCGGTGGCCCTTCCAGTCTTCTACCAGGGTCTTCAGCTCTTCGACAGCTTCAACACGCTCTTCGCGGGCAATGGCGTCGTTTGTGCCAGCGAGTACAGAGGACGCGGCTTCAATACCGCGGACCAGGTCGTCCTTTCTTTGCTCGTCGAGGTCGCCGTTCTTTTGCAGTTGCTGCGGAGATTAGTGGATGGTAGGCGCGATGTCTGATGAATTGACTCACCGAAAGCAGCAATGGGTATTTCGTCAAGCGCTGGAAAGGTTTGAGGAGGAAAGAGGTGAGGAGCGTGGGCGATTCGACCATCTGGCGCATCTCGGGGGTTCCACCAGTCTCCTTCAGCTTGTCGAACTCGCGCATGGCGATCTGTTCGCACTTCTTCTGGTTCGCAATGTATGGCTCGTAGACCTTGAAGGCATCCTTGTACAGCACGAAGAGGTTGCCCCAGTTCTGCTCGGAGGCGGGCAGCGCATTGGTCTGCTCGACGCGGATGAGGAATCGGCGCTGGAAATCGAGGAGGGCGTTCAGGTTGAGGAAGATGTCATGGATCTGGTCGCCGCTGATGACACCCTTCTCCTCGACGAGCTTCTTGAACTCCTGCAGAAGCTCGAGGTGCTGGACGTAGGTGCGCTCGGTCTTGACCAGCTCGTCGATGATGTACTCGCGCTGCGAGCGCTTGATGGTCGAGCAGACCAGGGCATCATCGAGGCTGGCGGCGGCGGGGTTGATCTTGCCCATCTGGACAAGCGAATCAAGGACGCGGTTGACAACGTTGGTGACCTAGCAAATCAGTAGGTGTACTTGGGCAGGGTGAGCGGGCAGGGTGAGCGGGCAAAACCAGAGGGCAGGGTCAGAGGGCAGGGTCAGAGGGCGCGGGCGTACCTTTACGAAGCCAGTCGTGTCGTCGCCGTACAGGTCCGTCAGGATGAAGCAGCTCTCCTGCGCGATGCCCAGCTCGTTGACGCAGGCCTGGATGAACTTGTACGTAGCCATCTTCTCGTGCTTCTTCTGGCTCTTCTCGTCGGCTTTTGCGCTCGGGATGCCCAGCAGGGTGGGCGGCCCCAGGGCGTTGTACAGGTCCATCAACGGGTAGCCCCTCCGGAAAGTGCGCCACAGCAGCGTCACGGGGTCGACGGGGCCATCGTCGTCGTCGGCGCGCTCCTCCTCCTCGACCAGCCAGCGCTCGAAGCCGGGAATGACGCGCAGGCGCAGGGCCAGCGTCATGCATCGCTGGAACAGCGACGTGTCCTTGTCGGCGCGCTTGTTGAGGACGTTGTCGCTGGCCTCGACGGGCCCGCCGTTGACGGGAGTCGCCAGCGTGGGGAAGGCGGGCGGCGTCTGGCCGAACAGCGTCGAGGCGGCCGTGGCATTGGTGGCCTGCGTGTCGCGGGCGCTGTTGTGCGAGAAGCTGCTGTACTGGCTCTGGAAGCTCTGGTGGGACATGAGGGCGGACGGCCCGGGGGTTGACGTCGAAGTCATGCGCGAATGCAGCGAAGAGGCGGAGGCGGTGGGCAGTTGGGAGGTGTGGGCGCGCTGGAGGCCGCCGGCGTGGAACGCGATGCCCGCTTGCATCAGGCAGGAGAAGCGCAGGGCTGGCGTGGACAGCGTGAGCACTGGGCACCGGGCACCGTAGGCAGATCAGTGCGCAGGCGGACGCAGACAAGAGCAGGTAGTCTAGCTGGCAGGGCAGTCAGTCTGGCAGCCCGCTACTCTAATTTCATCTCCCTGCGACGCTGCGACGCTGCCAGGACCCTAGGGCAGCGGACGATCACAGGCCCAGCAGCGCTAGCAAGCGGCGGACAGGCAGAGCAGGGTCCAGCACAGAGCGACTGCGACTGTCACAAGCAGGTACAGTACGGTACAACACAAGGGGCGCAGCAGCGTGCTTTGCTTTGTCTGTGGTTGACGGCGCGCGACAAGGGCGTGGGCGTCTGGCTGGCAGCAGACTACCTATGCGTGACAGACTGACAGTGACAGAGCTCGCCGCGTACTCGGCGCAGGCTCACCACTACCAGACTCCAGTGTGGGCTGCATGCATGCACGTAGGGGGTGCTGTGAAACATCGGCCTGCACGTGATGTAACAGGATGCCGCTGAGCGTCCAGCACCTAGCAGTAGGTATCTACTGGTATTCGGTGCTGCATCCAGCACCCAGCATACTTCACTGCATCTATTCGGCGCTGCATCCAGCACCCAGCATGCTTCACTGCATCTATTCAACGCTGTAAAGGCGACCAGTCCTCTGTGTGTCGTTGCGTTATCTGCAGACACATGCCAGCAGCCACCGGGCGCGCCCAAGATCTCAGGGTGCTGCCCGTCCACGGTTCACAGAAACCCGGCGACCAAACTGCGCGTCCAACGAGAGCTGACTCGGGTCGATACACCCCATGCCGCGCCCCCATGACATTCCATCCCCGGCACGGTTGGGCATCACCCTTCACCGTCTCGCCGCCTGTTCGCTCCAGCGATTTCTGCTGCCGGCGAAGGCCCCTACTCTGGTGATGATCTGCAGCCCATGCATCGGAGCATTTGCTCTCTCCACAACTTGCCCGCATAGGTACTACTTCAGCATACCGTACTGATTTTTGGTGCTCAGGCAGCGTAGCTTTGATCTTATGCAGACGGCACAGGAGACAGCCGGGCGATTCACATCTGGCAGGACAGTGCTCGGCATGCGGCTCACCTGTCAAGCTCATGTTGAATATTGAGAATTCGTCCAACTGTTCTGATCAATGTCACCTCGGCAGGTGGTCGACGAGGCTGTACGCGCCGAGTGCTCAGCACGCTCGCAGGCGTTGCATGCATTGGTGACCGGTGAGCGCCCGTACGAGCAGGTGACGGCCTCCTCGTTGGCGTGTGACTGAGGGCGCTTGGATGAGCAAGAATAGATGCAGCGTGCGACTGCTTCTCTGAACGAGTGGTACATAGGTACCTGCTAGCTCTACGCTGTTCTACTAGCTCGGTGAGGCTTCAGACAGCACAGTCACCAACCGAGCGCACCTTCTCTAGAGTAGCTAACGGGCCAGCTGTGCGATACACATGGCTGATGTTGAAGATAACATGACCGCGGAGCGATGCAAGTACCCGTCACTAGCCTTGTTTGCGTCGTTCAGCTGGGAATAGCCGCGAACTGTGCGAGTATGGGATTCTTGGAACTGGTGGTGCATCGTGGACCCTGCTGCCGGTCCGGACAAAGAGAGCTGGTTTTGGAGAGGCCTGGAGTGGCTGCCCTAGCGGCTCGAATGTGGCTGACCAGTAAAAGCGCCAGCCGCGCGGGCTTTGCCGTGGGTATTGAACAAACACATCCACGCATCACACGTCTCGGCACCAGAAATCCGTCGTGAGCCCGTCGAGGCAATACACGACCAACTGACTGTCTGCGCACAGTCGCAAACAACCTCAAACGGCCTGGAGTTGCTACGGACCTGGCTAGCACATGCAGTGACTGTCTAGGCGTGCAGCATCAGGCAGCGCACAAGGCGATCACCGCTCGCCAGCGCAACCCCATTAACACCGACATTCGCTCCCAGACATCGACTTCGCCCCTTCCTCCAACTGAGCGCCACTTCCGCCGAGACACACCGACGCCACAAACAATCGAGCACCGCAATGGCAGGCCCGCTCGGAGGTCCGCCCACTAATTTGTCCAGATCGCCGTACATGCACCCTTTCCGCCCCGCGTCCATCATGAACGCCAACAGATTCGACGAGGGCTACTCGGAGGATACGCGCAGCCAGCATGAGACGGACATGGTCATGGGCGCCGGTGACAGCGGCATAAAGCCAGAGGCGCAGCAGTTCAGCCTGCCCGACTGGATCCTGGGGCTCGACGAACAGCAGCGCAGCGGTATGTCGACGCTGTGCACACGACTCAAGACCCACCCGCACTGCTAACGAAGCCCAAAGAGATCGCATATGCCATTCTACGGTCGTTGCGGACTGCGTCCATAGCAGGGATTGTCGAGAAACTGAACCCGTTACTGCATCTCGACCCCGTAATGTACCTCCCGCCTGAGATCACCTTTCAGATTCTCTCCTACCTCGAACCTGAAACACTGCTACGAGCGTCGACCCTATCGCGAGCATGGAGGATACGAGTCCTGGACAGCCCGTTGTGGAAGCTGCTGTTCCGTCTCGAGGGCTGGAACTCCAACTTTCCGCAGGTGCGCGAGTACGAGGAAGCCGAACGGCAGCGACGCGCCGGCTTCAGGGAGAAGGAGCGCAAGACACGTCCCAGGGCTGCAGAAGACATGGACCTAGACAAACCATCGTCCAAGAGGCGCGTGCGCGGCGAACGCCAGCTATTCGGCGACGGCACGGCTGCAGAGAGTGGCGCTGCACCAGACCAGACCGCCTGGGGCGAACAGCATGGAACGGTCGAGGCTGACGAAGGTGCTTTGAGCCGGGCAGAGGATGAGATGGAAGGTGTGGTCGCAACGCCCTTGCAGACTTCACAAGAGCGCCGAAATTCGCCCACGCAAAACAGAGAACCCTCAACAACGGACAGCACCGTGCCTCAAATTCACCCATCACTACTACTACCAGGCTCAGAAGCGAAGCTCAACTGGCAATATCTATACAAACAGAAGAAGCGGTTAGAGGATAACTGGGACGCTGGCCGTTACTCCAATTTTCAACTACCTCATCCCAATCACCCCGAAGAAGCTCACACTGAGTGCGTGTATACGATACAGTACTCAGGGAAGTATCTTGTCAGCGGGAGTAGGGACAGGACTATCAGGATCTGGAACCTCGACACACAACGTCTAATCCACAAACCACTTTCAGGGCACATGGCTTCCGTACTGTGTTTGCAATTCGATGAACGGCCCGAGCACGACTTGGTCGTTTCTGGAGGGAGTGACTGCAGAGTCATTCTTTGGCAGTTCTCGACCGGACGCAAGATCAAGGAGATTGAGAAGGCACACTCAGAGTCTGTTCTGAACCTGCGCTTCGATGACCGGTACCTGGTCACTTGCTCGAAAGACAAGTCCATCAAGGTCTGGAATCGAAGAGAAATGCTGCCTACTGACGACACATATCCCTCCTCAACCACGAAGAGCGGGGCGCGATTCCCGGAGTACATCATCAACATGCAGCAGCACGTGGAAAATCAGCACCTGCACTTCACGCCTCTGAGGCCTTATAACCTTGTTATGACATTGGAAGGGCATGGCGCAGCTGTCAACGCCATTCAGATCCTAGATGGACAGATCGTTTCAGCTTCTGGTGACAGGAGTGTCAAAGTATGGGATGTGCGAACCGGTGCATGCATTCGAACATTTCAAGGTCACAGCAAGGGCATTGCCTGCGTTCAATTTGATGGACGCAGAATTGTCAGCGGCAGCTCCGACGAAACAGTCCGCATATTTGATCGGGCTACAGGAGCCGAGGTAGCTTGTCTAAACGGGCACAGCAATCTTGTACGCACTGTGCAGGCTCAGTTCGGAGACCTGCCTGGCAACGAGGAAGAGCTTGAAGCCGAAGCGCGAGCAGTAGACCGGAATTTCTTCGAAGCACAGAACAGGGGCCAGGTCGAACATAGACTATCTAGGGCCCAGCGGCGCGCTCGTAACGCTGGATCCCGGGACCCGAAATCTATCTTTGCATATGGTGCGAAGCTTCCACCGGGTGGTGGCGGCAGCAAGTGGGCCCGCATCGTATCTGGGTCCTACGATGAGACAGTCATTATCTGGAAGAAAGGGGCTGACGGTGCTTGGGAAAAGTCAAAGATCCTATATCAGAACGACGCTGTCAGAGCCGCCGGCGGCCGACCCAGAGCGCGGGTTGCTCAGACACTTGCCCAAGGTGCTCAGGGCACTCAGAACGCTGCTCAACAACAGGCAGGCCAGGCAGCCGCGCAGCAGAATAACTTCCAGGCACTGGCTCAGCAAGCTCAAGCTCAGGCACAAGCAGCGCAAAATCTTGCCCAGCAGGCTCAAGCTCTTCACGCAGCCTCACAAGCAATGCAGGGCAACGGTGCTGGCAACGCCGCCAATGGCGGTAATTCACGGCCGCCCACCACCGCTGCCCCTGGCTTCGCTGCCGCCCCCGCTGGACCTGCTAACCAAACCGGCCCTGCACCAGCATCAGCAGGAGTTGCACAACAGCCCGCACCTGCGAACGCTGCAGCTCACCATCACCATCACGGTCCTCACCACCACCACCATCCCCATCCACTTGGTGTACCGCTAGCCAACCAGGGCACCAATTCACGCGTTTTCAAACTACAATTTGACGCACGGAGAATCATCTGTTGTAGTCAAGACCCGACGATTGTAGGATGGGACTTTGCGAATGGTGATAAGGACATTATTCTCGCTGCACAGTTCTTTGGCGACTCCTACTAGGACAGGAGCATACAAGAGATCCTGGTACGAATCACCTGCAAAAGCGTTCGGTAGAGAAATCAAGGCTTGCAACACACTGTCAGCATTGCAGCAGATGCGGAGACTATCAAGACCACAATCAGCACTAGCTCAGAACGGCAGACGCTTTGAGCCCATCGAAATTCGACCGGGGCAGAGGCGGACGGAGAGCAACGTTCCGGGTCCCGAAAATCGATGGAAGGTCTGGTGGCATGTGGGGCCGAGCAAGCGTGCGTTGCGCAACGTTGCGCAATGCGATATGATCGAAGTTTCCTCCCTGTACAGCGGATGAGCTCGGCGCTATTGTTATATGGTGGCGTAGATTATTGATGGGATTTGGTCTCTTTCTTGACGTATGTAGTTCTCATCTGCACGTCGCTTGCACAGCGAGACGTATTGTTATCTCAATGCTATGACATCTAAAGACCATACGCTCTCCTCACGTTCGACGATTGCCGGATTCTTTCTTATAGAGCTCACTCAGCTTGGAGCCGTGGATGCGCCCTTCCAAGGCCGTGTTCCCTTTCCCTGTCGATGGACCCCGTCGATGCAGTCTCAGTCAGCTGTATCAGCCAGCTCGTGTACTGTGGTGTGTACTGTATCCTTCGCTGCGGCCGACAGTGTCCATCTGGATCTGAATCGTCTCTTGTCTGCCAAAAGCGACCGACTATGAAGCCGTCAATTCGCCACATACAGTCGTCCGGGTGATCAGGCGACCGTTTCGCAAATTGGGTCTGGGTTGTGGGGATACTGCGTCGTTGGAAGAACTACAACCAGGGGTTCCCGTATTGAACACTCCGGACTACGAATCATCGAAGTTATGGCACATGTCATCTTGGAAGTCTTTGGTGTGACGCTCATGACATGCACTCGAGGCTTACCCGTGCTAAGCAGCAGTGCTTCGAGATTGCCCAACATGCGTCCAGAACGTAGAACGCGAACAGCAACACGTCTTAGCATGGAGCTGAGTTTGAGCAGGTTGAGAACTCCCAATAACGTGGCCTGGGTCCATTGGACGTCACTGCAGCATCCTGCATGGCCTAGGTAAGACCGAGATACTCATCAACGTAGAAGTATGACAGCAAGGGCATGTCTGTCCGCACGGGTAGGTAAGCTGACAGTCAAGAGATCGTTGCCAGCTCATGGTGCCTCTGCCACAAACACTGCTGAAGTCGTCATGCTGACCATGACTCTGATCGAGAGCGAAATGTGATCTTCATGCGCGTGCAATCACTGAAGATCACCAAAAAGTAATCAGTCATCGCGCTCCCTGACCACTGATTCAACTCTGACGATGAGAAAACACCGAGAAACTTACAACAACACACCGTTGTACATGGCTAAACCCGTACTACCCATCTTGCAGTCTAAGATGCACGGGCCCTCCCCACGCAACGCCCCTCTGTGAAAGCAGGAACCGCAACAATGCAACATCACCACCACTTCATCGAAAATCTTACTCAGCTCCAGCATGTGAGCCTTGGAAGACGTCGCGGCGAGCATCCAAGCCACGTTCACCTTCTCACCGGCTCACAGTTCCTATCATATACCCGCAGGCAGCTCCACGGAAACGGGGACAGCAATCCGCTGCTGGTTCGTCCGGAGGATGCGCCAAGCTAACCTCGCAGATATGATGTTGCTGAACAGCAGCGTCTCACAGATCGCCCGTCAGCGACGATAGGAGGTTCCCGGCGGAACCCGGTGCAGCTTGCGCGTTACGTTCTCCGGTTGTTTTCGCTGGGAGCCCGGATGTTCTTGTATGCTGAGGGTCAGCGTGCCGTAGGGCTGAAAGCACCGAGATACGGTTGGCGGATCGATTGCGCTTCCGTCTGCCGACAACCATCACGACTCGCACGCCACGCGAGGAACGCTCGGGCGCGGCTTCGCGGAGAGGAAAGAGCAGCCGGCGTTTAGCGGCTCAAATTTAGCGAGCTGGCTATCTGCGCTTTTCGTCCGCGAGAAAGTGGTGCCCGGCTTGCGGGTCTGGATCCTAGTCGGTATCTCTTGATGTTTGTTGTGATTAAGCATCTGACGTTTTCGCCAGAGAAAAAATCATGATAGTAACCGCGATGCCGATGGAGAAGGCCCGAGGTGAGATACGTCATTGGGAGACTTTCCAGTCTGAGCCTCTGAGGCATGTGATGGCTCACACTGATGCAGGTAACTCGAGGCAGGTGGGGGAAAAGCGACGCGGTTCAATTGCGCGTTCAGGTGCTTGTTCGATGCTTCGATGCATTCAAGAACCGCTGCGCTGGGAAGACAGCATGCGCTGCGGCACCGCAGCAGAGCCGCGGCGGAGCTTCTGGAAAAACGGAGGACGAATCTCCCCCGTTCGCGTAGCTCGCGCCACCCTATTGGCCATAAGCCTGGAGGCTCGCACTCGGTTCCGTATGCAGCGTATTCGGCAGCCACTCCAGAACGCAAGCGAGGAGTCAATGCCCGGGCGTGATCGCATCCGCCTCCGGTCGCAATAGGCCAAGCCGTTGCCCTGTGGATCTGAACCCCTACCTTCGCCGCTAGGCGGATCTCATTACCTGCGCGTGTGCTACCTTTTATCAGGCAGCTCCTCCCGCCTGTTGGTTTGTTTCTCAATTCCAGGTTCCTGGCTCAAGCACTTAGTAACATCTCGACAATCCCTCTCTGGGTATCACATCGTTCGAATCTAGCATCTCTGCATAACACCTTCATACTACTGGCCGACCAAGGGATTCTCGCGGCGTCCGCCCAATCACAATGTCTCTCGTAGGCAACTTCACCTCTAACTACGACCACCAGGCCGCAGTTGGAGGGGCACCCACCCCAGAGATGCAGGGTCACCAACCGTCACAATCACACTTCCACGAGGAGGATCACCGCATTGACACATCGTCCGACTCGTCAACCATTGCTGCTCCTCACTCGCCTCCCAGGAGCAACCACCACACCAGCAACTCTGTCGAGAAGGAGGAATCTTACGACCAAAATGCCGAAGACCAGGAAACAGCCCGCAGAGAAGCAGAGGTCCTGCAGCTTGCGAGACGTTTGACTTCTCGGAGCGTGCAGTCTGCTTCACACCACCAAAATCCATTCGAGGCAGCTCCTGGCTCATCATTGGATCCCAGTGGCGAGAATTTCAACGCTCGTGCCTGGACAAAGGCCATGATGAACCTCCAGCTCTCAGACGAGAAAGCTGCGCCGCCTAGGCAAACTGGTATCTCTTTTAGGAATCTCAATGTCCATGGTTTCGGTACCGACACAGACTACCAGAAGAGCGTTGGTAATGTTCTGCTTGAGGGACCTGCGCTGTTCAAAAAATTAAAGGGTGATAAGGGTCGTAAGATCAACATTCTGAAGGGTCTCGACGGTGTTGTTGAAGCCGGTGAAATGTTGGTTGTTCTTGGACCTCCCGGTTCAGGATGTTCGACTTTCCTCAAGACTATTACTGGAGACACTCATGGCTTCTTTATTGACGAGAACTCCAAGCTGAACTATCAGGGTATGTTTGCGCCAATCTGCATCATGACGAAGCAGTTGCTAAATTGAACTAGGTGTCAGCCCCGAGCTCATGCAGAAGAACTACCGCGGTGAGGCTATCTACACCGCCGAGGTCGATGTCCACTTTCCCGCCATGACCGTCGGCGAGACACTATATTTCGCCGCCCTCGCTCGTCGTCCCCGTCACATTCCCGGTGGTGTCTCCGCAGACGAGTACGCTAAGCACCAGCGCGATGTCATCATGGCCATGTACGGTATCTCGCACACGATCAACACCCGTGTTGGTAACGATTTCATCCGCGGTGTTTCCGGCGGAGAGCGCAAGCGTGTCACTATCGCTGAAGCCTCCCTCAGCCGAGCTCCTCTGCAGGCCTGGGACAACAGTACCCGTGGGTTGGATTCTGCCAACGCCATTGAGTTCTGTAAGACCCTTCGTCTTGAGACCGAGATCAATGGCACCACAGCATGCGTTGCGATCTATCAGTAAGTCTTCAAACCAGGAGCGCTATAAATTGATGAGCTAACACATTATAGAGCACCCCAGGCTGCATACGACTTCTTCGACAAGGTTCTTGTACTGTACGAGGGCCGCCAGATCTTCTACGGCAGGACTACTGAGGCGAAGGCCTATTTCGTCCAGATGGGGTTCGTTTGCCCCGAACGTCAAACTGACGCCGATTTCCTCACCTCCATGACTTCAGCCTTGGAGCGCATTGTTGCAGAGGGCTTCGAGGGTCGTGTTCCTCGCACTCCTGACGAATTCCACCAGCGATGGTTGGACTCCCCCGAGCGTGCCACTCTTATGGTTGAGATCGACGCCTACGAGCACAAGTACCCTATGGGTGGCGAGTACGCTCAGAAGTTTGCCCAGTCTCGCAAGCTTCAGCAGGCTAAGGGCCAACGTGCCAAATCCCCCTACACTCTTTCCTACACCCAGCAGGTCAAGCTTTGCTTGTGGCGTGGCTTTGTCCGCCTAAAGGCCGATCCAAGCATCACTCTCTCTCAGCTCATTGGCAACTCCATCATGGCTTTGATTATTTCTTCAGTCTTCTACAACCTTAAGATGACTACCAGCTCTTTCTACCAGCGATCCGCCCTCCTCTTCTTTGCCATCCTCATGAACGCCTTTGGTTCCGCCCTCGAGATGCTGACTCTCTACGCGCAACGTCCCATCGTCGAAAAGCACTCTCGATACGCCCTCTATCACCCATCTGCCGAAGCCTTCGCCAGTATGTTGACAGACATGCCGTACAAGATCACTAACGCCATCACGTTCAACTTGGTTCTGTACTTCATGACCAATTTGCGTCGCGAGCCCGGCAATTTCTTCTTCTTTGTCTTGATCTCGTTCACCCTCACGCTGGTCATGTCCATGCTCTTCCGGTCGATCGCCTCACTCTCCAAGTCCCTTGTCCAGGCTCTGGCTCCTGCTGCTATTCTCATTCTGGGTCTTGTCATCTACACAGGTTTCGCCATCCCTCCCAACTACATGCTGGGCTGGTCCAAATGGATCCGCTACGTCAATCCTGTCAGTTACGGGTTCGAGGCTCTCATGATCAACGAGTTTGTCGGTCAGCAATACCAGTGCAATGCCTTTGTTCCTTCCGGTCCTGCCGGCTCCGTCTACGGTGATTTGGCGGCCGATTCCCTCAGTCACGCCTGCTCAGCTGTTGGTTCAGTTCCTGGAAATCCTTTCGTCGACGGTGCTACATATATCAACTCTGCGTACGAGTATCAGCACTCACACAAGTGGCGCAACTTTGGCATTCTCTGGGTCTTTATGTTCGGTCTCATGGCGGTCTACCTTACCGCCACAGAGTTCATTACCTCTGCTAAGTCTAAGGGCGAAGTCCTTGTGTTCCGTCGCGGTCACACGGTCCCCAAGTCCATGTCTACTGACGATCTCGAGAACGCCCCTACTGGTCGCCCCGCCGGCTACGCCGACAGCAATGACAACATCGCCATCATCGAGCGCCAGACAGCTATCTTCCAGTGGAAGGACGTCTGCTACGACATCAAGATCAAGGGTGAGCCTCGCCGCATTCTGGACCACGTCGATGGCTGGGTCAAGCCTGGTACCTTGACTGCACTCATGGGCGTTTCAGGTGCTGGTAAGACTACTCTTCTCGATGTCTTGGCTACCCGTACCACCATGGGTGTTATCTCTGGTGAGATGCTGGTCGACGGTACCCCTCGTGACGCATCTTTCCAGCGCAAGACTGGTTACGCTCAGCAACAGGACTTGCACTTGGCTACCTCAACCGTCCGTGAAGCTCTCACCTTTTCCGCCCTCCTCCGTCAACCTGCCCACGTTCCTCGTCAAGAGAAGATCGACTACGTCAGTGAAGTTATCAAGCTCCTTGACATGGATGAGTACGCCGATGCCGTCGTCGGTGTCCCTGGTGAAGGCCTTAACGTTGAACAGCGCAAGCGTCTTACTATTGGTGTTGAGCTGGCTGCCAAGCCTGCCCTGCTTCTCTTCTTGGACGAGCCTACCTCAGGTCTCGACTCTCAAACCTCGTGGGCTATCCTCGATCTCTTGGACAAGCTGAAGAAGAACGGTCAAGCTATTCTTTGCACCATTCATCAGCCTTCAGCTATGTTGTTCCAGCGTTTTGATCGTCTTCTCTTCCTCGCCAAGGGCGGCCGCACTGTTTACTACGGCGACGTTGGCAACAACTCCAAGATCCTTGTCGACTACTTCGTCCGTAATGGTGGCCACGAGTGTCCTCCTGCAGCTAACCCTGCCGAATGGATGCTTGAGGTCATTGGCGCTGCTCCTGGATCCCACACTGACGTCGACTGGCATCAGGTCTGGCGCAACTCGCCTGAGTGTGCTGAGGTCCATCGCCACCTCGAGGAGCTTAAGGTCGAACGCTCTCAGGTCAACCGTCTTGAACGCACCCAGTCGGCTCAAAAGCGAGAGGACAAGGCCGCCTACCGCGAGTTTGCCGCTCCCTTCGCCCAGCAGTTCCGTGAGACCACCCTCCGTGTTTTCCAGCAGTACTGGCGCAGCCCTGCCTACATCTACTCAAAAATACTTCTATGCACTACTTCGGCTCTATTCATCGGGTTCTCGCTCTACAACATGCCCAACACTCAGCAGGGTCTCCAAAACCAGATGTTCGGTATTTTCATGTTGTTAACCATCTTCGGTCAGCTTGTACAACAGATCATGCCGCACTTTGTTACCCAGCGTGCTCTATACGAGGTCCGCGAGCGTCCCAGCAAGACTTACTCCTGGAAGGCATTCATGCTGTCCAACATTATCGTCGAGCTTCCCTGGAATTCGCTCATGGCTGTGCTTATTTTCTTCTGCTGGTACTACCCCATTGGTCTGTATCGCAATGCTCAGCCCACCGATGAGGTCCATTACCGTGGATTCCAGCTCTTCCTGTTCACCTGGATGTTCTTGCTGTTCACTTCGACCTTCACGCACATGATCATTGCCGGATTTGATTCCGCTGAGACTGGTGGCAACCTTGCCAACTTGATGTTCTCGCTCTGCTTGGTCTTCTGTGGTGTCCTCGCTACCCCTTCCTCTTTCCCTCGCTTCTGGATCTTCATGTACCGCGTGTCACCGTTCACATACTTGGTGTCCGGATTACTGGCAACAGGTCTAGCGAGAAGCACGGTGCACTGCGCTGCGAACGAGCTGATCAACTTCGAGCCGCTGAGCGGAACTTGCGGCGAATACATGAGCGTCTACATCAACGGTACCAACGGCACTCCCGGGTTTGGCGGTTACCTCGTTAACGAGACTGCTACCTCGAAATGTCAGTACTGCACCATCGACAGCACCGACACCTTCCTTTCTTCGCTGTCCTCCAACTACGATGACGTCTGGCGCAACTTCGGAATCCTTTGGGTCTACGTCATCTTCAACATTTTCGCTGCCCTTGCTCTCTACTGGCTCGTCCGCATGCCCAAGAACAAGAAGGAGAGTGCCACTGCTCAACCACTCGCCGCCAGCCGCCAAGCCAGCCACGTTGACAACGAGAAAGACATCAACAACGCTATCCCCACTAGCGCCGAGCGCAACCCATCGACCTCAGTACCTGGTGTTCCCACAGAGAAGGTCTAGATTGGACCCTGCTCTTTTTGCACTTCACTCACATGATTACGGCGTTGTACCATGGCAATTAGAGCGCCCTGCTATACATCATGCATTTGCACATTTTGTTCGAGCTAGATAGTTTTTTCCGCTCAAGCGCTGAGCGCATTCGCTCACTACAAAAGCGAGTTGTATATTGTTTAATAGTCATAGAGTTAGCTGTAAACCAAATCAAGACCTAGATTTCTCGTCATCCAAATACTGTCAGCTCCCTCCGCACCTTTGGTGACTGCTTCTGCGCTCAGCCAATCACAGTTCTGAGTGCCTTTTCTGCGTATTGCACTAGTTGATCTGCACGCGGCTCGAGTCCTTCGCGCTCTCCGCACGTAAGTTCTCTGGACCAGGCCGATCGTCAGCGGTGGAGGCGGGAGGCGGCGGTGGGCGTCAAGCCCGAATTAGCCTAGCCAGCCGCTTCCAGATCACGTACTAAGTCCATAGCGCGGCATCACTGGCGTAGACATCGCGAAATGAGGCTCGACCGGAGGAGGAATGCCCCCGTTCTAGACGAACTAGGCACCGGCCTATTGTGATCTTCTTCGGACTAGGGTGATGGGCAACTAGGGTTTCAAAGCTCCTCTTTACTCCGTCCACGAGTACCGAACTACAGTGCCATCCCATCCGTCGTCCTTTCGACATGCCGAAGGCCGACACAATGGCGGAACACCATAGGCGACCCCCATTCGACCAGTCTTACAAAAACGCCTCCGGCTTCCCCAACCCCGACCGCACGTTCGACATCCGTAAAATCCGGCAGGGCATGCAAGTCGCGAGAACAAACGCGTCGAGCATCGCCAGAAAGCATCCACAGTACACCCACACCGACCTCCTCATCCCCGGCATCCCGGGATCCAGCAATTCCCCAATCACTCTTGCGCTGTGGCAGCTTCCTTATTCATCGTCTCCCGAGCAGAAGAAGTGGCCGAATGGAAGATCGGTGATATACCACATTCACGGCGGTGGTCAAATAGCCGGTGACCGCTTCCTCGGGCTGGAGTCTGTCGTGTCTCACTTTGAGCCGCAAGAGAATATTGTATTCGCCAGTCCAGAGTATCGGCTTGCGCCGGAACACCGTGCTCCCGCGGCGGCGTACGATGTGTACGCCGGCCTGGTGTATCTGGTCGAGAACGCAAAGGAGTTGAACATCAATCCTAGCAAGATTGTCCTGTATGGAATCAGTGGTGGTGCGGCGCTGGCTGCGAGTGCGGCGCTGTTGAGTCGGAAAATTGGTGGGCCGAGGTATTGTGCCTTGGTGCTAGATATACCTATGTTAGACGATCGGGGATCAGTCTCGAGAGAGCAATTTGACGATGGTACAGTATGGCAGGGCTGGATGGATGTGAAGGCTTGGGATGCCGTTCTAGGTGATGGTGATAGGAATGATGGTGATGGGATTAGAGTTGCTGGCAGGGCGGAGGATCTCAGTGGGCTCCCCGATGTATTCATTGACATTGGGGCGTGTGAGAGTATGAGAGATTCTGCAGTGGCGTTTGCGAGCAGAGTCTGGAAGGATGGCGGAAGAGCAGAGCTACATGTTTGGCCGGGTGTGTATCACGGAGGCGCTATGTTTGAGCCTGATGTACCAGTAAGCAAAGAGATGACCAGAACGCAGAGAGGGTTCTTGCAGAGGGTGTTGGGCTTGGGTGAAGATGACAGGAATAACGATGGGAAAGCGAAAGCAAAGGCTATGCTTTGATAGGTTTTAGAAGTGCACACCAGTCTTAATTCCGAATTCAAGGTGCGTGAAGGTATGCGGTTCAACTGTGAGATTGAGATGCTGAAGCACGTTCACCTAGGTACGAACGTCGAAGCAACCGCAGCATATAACTCGAAGCTAAACAATTGACCGATAGGCACGAGGGACGCTTCTGTATTCGATCGGTTGCACTTTGTGCTGTGGTCTCTATAAAAGCTACCACAGACACCTTGAGGGATGTTGCAGTAATGGCTCGTTTGACGTATATAGCCAGAGATTGTACTTGGTTTGATTCAAGTGAAGAAGACTCAAGAACGTGGCGAGCAGTCATTTGCGTGTTCGAAGACCAGATGCTTGCGCGCGGAGTACTACTAGGGCAAGCGAAGCAACAGCTTGGGGAGTGCTGGCTCTATCTGAAGAGGAGTCAGTTGTTGAAATGGATACCCTCACATGATTAGTACAGTCACAGAGGTAATATTAATAGTACAGTACCCATTACATGATCAGGGAGCAAGGAGGCGTGATTCTCATATTCTAGGGGGTTATGGAAGGAATATCTGGTAGTAGGCACGCCAGATCTGAAACAACCAAAGGTCCAGCCGGGACATCAGCCAGCGCCAAACATACGACCATATAATTAGTCTAATCTCAATGATTGACGGATACTTCGGTTCTCACCTACATCACTTTGGCAGACCGAAGATGGCAACAAGTTGTTCAAGACGTTTTCGCACTGGCTCAAATGCCTCAAACAAAACAAAACACAGACTTTATGGGGTGATACTCTTATCGATGAGGGAGAGAGTGTAGACAAATCCAAGGATTGGATTATACAGACTTGGCACAACGGTGCCACTTGAAAAATGCCCAACAGGGGTCACCAGGTTATTGTTTCCGAACCCGATGCGTTCTACATCGGAAACGCAGACTCCGACAAAATCTCCATTCCTGTGTTTCCAGATGATCCTAATGTCATAGAATTCGAAGTTATCTGGTTTACTTCAGAGGGCGATGATAAAATGACCCCCACCAAAATTGGGTCATGGGTCCAATCAAAGCTGCGTCACAATTCGAAGAGATCGGAGCAAGCATGAAGCTTGATGCCAGGACTACACTAGTCTACGGTGTAGCCTAATTGTCGTCCACGCATTGTTTCAAGTCATCTGTTGGGCTGTGCGCAGGTGAAAGCTATGCTCTGAAGTATGATGAATCTTATGTTCGCTTACGATCCACTGCCGCGTCCGCGGCCTCTGCCTCTGCCTCTACCACCTCTACCACCTCTACCACCTCTACCACCTCTCCCACCTCTATTGTTCAGCCTTGGACTCTGATGCACGCCTCTTATCCATCTGTCTTTCTCATCTCGCAGGTCCTTCCATCTCTCATCAAGGCCTCTATATTTCGCATCCTCTCCCACCAAGCGTCTCTGCGTGACCTCGGTCGTGATATCGTCCTGGACTAGCAGATGCATGCCCACTCCTGCTTCGCCGCCTTGCTCATACATGCCTAGATTGAGTGCGTCGCCACGAGGGTCGTTTGCTGATGTCACGTCCACCTTGCTACCATCTGCGGTGACAGTTCGTGAAAGCAAGGTATCAGGGTACGGATCAGCGATACCGTGGAACGTGAGATTCTGGATCGTACCCTCAAGGCCAGCGTACAAGTTCAGACTTGTCACCGATGGGATTGAGAGACTGTACACCGGTGAGTCTTCACGGCTGCGCCAGTAGTCTTCGCGGTAGGCGCCACGCTTTGGTGGATTACGAGGGTTCAAATAGAGGTTCCAGCCGCCGCAGATCGCATTCGCAGCGTCCTTTGTATCGTTGACGATAGCGTTGGCGGCATAGTCGTGACCCCGAGGCTTAACGCTTTTCTCTTTTGGAAAGGAGATGCTGTGGTAGGCGTGTGACCCGGCAAGACGCATGTCGAAGACTTTGAGCATGCTGTGCATCGAAACGCCTACGACGATGCGCTCGAGGCCTTGTGTGGCGAGAGAGTAGATTGAGGAGTCGTTTGTAGGATCCCAGTAGAGGCTCTCGACGTCTCGGGATGAGCGTAGATCGTGCAGTCGTACGATACCGTCGTACCCGCCTGACAAAAAAACGTTGCCGGCTTCTGATCCGCCTTGGGTGCGGCTTGATACAGGAATTGTTGGGTAGATAGAGGTTTGCGATGTTCGCGATGTGCCTAGCGTGAGAGACCGGTAGGGTTCAGACAGAAAGCCGTCCGATGTGATTTTGTACACTTGAATCGGCGCGCTGGATGGACCAGTACCGATGGCAACTTTGTCTTCTGACAGGAACTTGCAAGACCAAATTCGACCAGTGCGAGCCCCGTGAATGCTCGGTGTCACCTCTGATACGGCTTCCACGGCGTGCTCTGATACGTCGCAATCCAGTGGGAAGAGGGAAAGTAAAGCATCCCCAAGAGTGGCAGCCAGTAGTGGTGTACTGGAGGAGGAAACAGTCAGAGCGCCAACAGATCGATCGAGAGTGTCGAAGTTTTGCTCGATTGTCTGAGATTGCTGTGGATCGACATCAAGTCTTGCAAGCTGCCCAGAAGCTGTGCCGAAAACCATTGACTCGAAACCTTGCTCTTTCTGATGTGGCTGAAGGAGCCGTAGACTCGTAATGTCATCTCTTCCTTCATCACTGTCAGGTACCTTGTATGTATACCACCAGTTTGCATGCCCGAACGAGTCGATGGTCCGAGTGGTGTGCTGTTTCCTGCCTGAGTCTTTCTTCGACTCCGTCTCTTTCACTCTCATGACGATCTGGGTGCCAGCCGACCACGTCAAAACCTCTCTTCTCTGTTCCCACGAACCCAACGTCTCTTCATAGCTGTCGATGCTGGGCTGGTACCCCATAGTCTGCCCTCGAGGCCCTCTCCATGGTGCAGACTCCCATGTGTTTAAACTTATGGTCTCGACGCTGGGCTCTAAATATCTGGCGACGAAACCTTTTCTATTCCAATTGCGGTAGAGAGTCGCCAAGCCATGTACGGAGTTACGCGCATCTGTGTCTAGTCCATTGATGTGAAAGCGCCCTCTGAGCAGAGCTTTCCATCCATCCAAGGTCGTAAATTGTGACAATCGGCGACTTGTCAAGGCAAGGTGCAGCAGATCTCGAGGCCGGTCAAAGTGACTGGCGATGATCGAGATGATCTCATTAGGCAGCGTACTGAGTGTTGCCATGTCTGTTAATGATTGTTTGGGTCGTATAGTCGCATGCGTGTTGTCTTTACATGCGGCCGTCTCAATCTTGATGATATGCTCAACTGGTAGCCGGAGTCATCAGGCGCCCCGGAGGATGTACAGGCGTACCATTCTTTTGGGTTCACGGAAGAGTGACTATTCAACGATGACGATATAACAGGTCCGTGTGGCGAGTCGCTAGCGCGTGCATCAGCCACAACTCCTTTTTACTGCAGGTGTGATCTGCCCAGGGTCTGCGACAATATGCAAAGTCGCAACAGCTGCAGGAGCGATCGCAATAGTCTGCTGAGGGCGAATTTGCAAATGCAGATTCAAATGTCTCTAGAAATCTTGTTCCTAGGATCCGGAACAGCCAGCCGCGGTCAACAATGTGAAACACGAATTAAGGTTCGCGCTAGTACACGTGAGCCTGCGGGCTGCCGCCGGCAAACCCCTCAGGGCTGAGCGGGTTTCCTGAATCCTGAGCTGTTCACCGCTCGAGTCATTTCCCGACCACCAACCAATTCGAGAACCGCCTTTTCAGGATAATGTTCCCCTTCAGAACGCCTTGCAGCTTCATCATTCGTCTCAAATACGATGGTCGCACATCACTTGCGCCAGCGGACTTGCTTATTCTCGGCCAACCACCTTTCTCGGTGCTTAATTGCTCGAGCTATTGATCCACACCTGTTGTGGCGATGATAACTCCGGACTATCGCCAGACAAGCGCCGCCAACCTAAAACAAGTCTACCCGGCGCTGAGGCCTGCAGGTTGCGAGAGTTGTCACCGGGCTTTCTCCACCCCACTCTGACCTCAAGCAAGTTATCACGAGTTGACACAACTCACACACATTGCGACACCCAGTTGCGCAATGGCGGTTATACCGCCGAGCGAGAAAAGAGTGTACGAGCTCATCAGTACAGTAGGGACGAACATAGACAGATTGCGACAAGGGATCAACGCGCTGAGGCAGCTACATGACCGCTGGACAGGTTGCAATAAAACAGCTATCAACCTCATAGCACAGCTCACATCGCTCCGGGCAACTCTGGACAACGTGCACGATTGGCTCAACTATGCGATCAACGATCTACATTCACAGCTTCTCTTAGACCTGGATCTCTTGATGGCATCATGCGCATTGCTCGTGCGACATGTAGACCAGTTGATCGCAAGCCTTCGACAGCCGGACCCGGACGCAGTGGATTGCGCAGTCAAGCTGAAGTACGCCGTTGGCGGTCGGTCGATGGAGCGGCTCAGGGATGTTGCTGAGCGTCAATCAGAATCCGTGCGCATACTGCTAGCAGCATGCAAATGGTAAGTTGTTTCGTGCACTACGAAGCGGACCATCTGACCATCTCAGTCATACCACTGCGCAGCGCAAGATCCTGTTGCACAAAAGTCGACAGATTAGGAAGGAGGATGACCTTTCCATGAAAGTACTAGCGCGATCATCCAGATGGAATGGTGGATGTATGACCGTCCTCACAGGTGTCTCCAGAGGAATCCAAGGCCTCAGACTATCCTACTACCGGAAGTTCAAACGGAAAGACAGTCTCGATGAGCCAACCGAAAAGGACTACGATAATGCCGCAGCTACCATTCGGTCCGAAGCCATCGATCGTGCGTTGCAAGAAGACAGCATGATGCTTCGACGAGAGACAAAGCTGATGCTGATGGGCCAGGACCATAGCGGCAAGGATCTCGTCATGCATCAGATCAAAGTCCTGTATGCCGAAGGTTACTACTCACCAGAAGACCGCATGAAGTTCCGAGATGCTGTGCGCTCGACGCTGCGGCTACTCATCCATTCCATTATCGATTTGCTGAAAGACACTGGTATCAATTTACCTACGGCACTAAGTCATGATTTCGCGATTCTGCTGGACGAGGTGGATACAGTCGACATGCACCGCATTACAATCGAGGCCGCGGCAGCCGTACGCAACCTGTGGGTGAGCGACGAGTTTTCCTCGATGTACCTTAAGAACTTCGAAATCGACTTTCCACAGTACGCACCCTACTTCGCCCAGGAGGTTCAAAGGATAGCTTTGGGAGACTACGTACCCACCGAAGCAGATATCATTCGTCTCAATCAGTCAATAGGCGGCATCAAGGAGCTGCGCTTCAACTGGGACGAACTGGATGTACATATGTTCAACATCAATGGCTACATCCCCGACCAATTTCGCAAGCGCTGGTTTCACCAATTCGACAGCGCAACATCGCTTGTCTACACAGTCGATGTGTCCCTATACGACCGTCCCTTCTACGGCCAAACGACAAAATCACAGCTCCTGGAAGACTTCGCCAGCTTCGAATCCTGGGCCACATCACAAAACTTCGCCGATTCTGCCATCATCCTTCTACTCAACAACTTCACCCGCTTCCGCGACAAACTGCGCTACTCTCCCCTCAAAACGCTCTTCCCGGACTACGTACCCAACCCGACTGACCCGGACGGCTCAGCACGTCAGTACATTCTTAAGAAGTTCAAGGACGTCAACCGTAACCGGCTATCTATTTACTCGTTCTGGGTCGATCTCGATATGAGCGACAATCAGCACTTATATGCTGCGCTGAAGAAGACACTGCAACACATTCAGCAGCGCAAGGCGAGGCATGAGGTGCGGCAGGAGACTGAGAGGAGCACTAGTTCTGGGACTGGGCTTACGAGGAAGATGACAAATAGTCGATTGAACCTTAGGTCGCGGAATGGGTCGAAGCTGGAGGGTTTGTTGTCGAAAAAGTCGATGGACATCGAGTTGTTATGATTTTCTTGGGCTAGGGAGATGGTAGAGGTACCCCAATGTTTCGTTGCATTTAAACATCGTTCGGTGGCGTTTGGAATGCATGATACCGCATTCAGTAGCGCTTCAGCGCATGTTTGCGGCTGGGCTGGGGGTGAGATATACGTGACAGAGCCGATGATACATACACACGGCCGTGGTGATTCAGTAGTAGGAGCGTATACTTCTGGGAGCTATTGAGTCTACTACTTTTTTCGCACACCATACAGGAGTTTCATGAGGGGCCGTATGTATAGTATCTCCACCCATGTGGATCTATAGCAATACCAGCTGGGACGTCCTCGCTTGTATTGTGTTGCCATAAAGTCGCATATGAGACCGTACTAGGTATGTTCGTCTGTTGATGCACTGAGCCAGAATAAAAGCATTCAAAAGATGGCCAAATGGACGCTCGTGACGAGTACATTGATTGATGCGCGGGGTCTGTTGTGACGTACCCCGTGCTGGCAACTGATGGTATTGTGCTCCAAACCGGATAGCTTGTGGCAGTGGGTGTACCCATATTGTAGGATAGTGATTGCAGACACGTTACAGGGCGTAATGGCTGCTCGATAGATGGTATGAAAGGCGTCTCGCTCCACGTCTGGTTGGCAGTCGCTGTATGATCGAGGTGCGGTGATTCTAAATTGCCTAACACAGTGGCAATGTGAGGAGAGGAACTTGCTATAGAGCGCTCATATCCAACCGATTCGGAGCATGAGCGGTCTTCATAAGGACTTTTCGACCTTGTACGCGTCTGTAGTTCGCTTGGATCATCATCTTCGAGGAGTTGTTGGAGCTGTTGGAGCTTGCGTTTGCGCTTCTCTCCTATTGCAAGACTACGTCAGTACTACTCGTGATTGGTCTGGGTTTCGTCTCGCGGTGGACATACGGTAATTACGTGACGCTATCCTGTTCTGCTGCTTGCGCACCTCGCTGTTGACTTTCCGTGGCTGCATTAGTGTTGGTTCAGCTCCTGTTGACTGCGCTCTTGGCACTATAGGTGTTCCTGGGTGAAGTCTACTAGAGACGTTCATTTTATGTAGGAAGGCTGCGCAGTGATTCGTCTAGGCGGGTGAAAGAAGCACAACCCCTTTCGTGATCTGTACATGGCAGCAGCCTGCGGGCCTTCAAGGTTGTATACTAAGGCGACAGACTCCAGCCTCAAGCCGAAAACCCTAGCGCTAGCCGCAAAGAGTATGCAGACTCGTGAAAGTGCCGCTGATTAATGACGACAAGAATAGCAATTTGACTTGACAAGAATGGCGGAAGTAAGCGAACTACGCAACGTTCCTTCCACCTAACAGCTGCAGCTCAATTGTGATGCAGCAGTACGCACGACGCACGAGGTGCCATGGTCAGTATTTGCTTAGATGTTGCAGTACTTTGCGACGTCTGGAGACATTTGGAAGCGTTTGGCCCAAACCGAACATGGACCCATAGCAAACAAGTCTGAGATGTATAAGAAATTTACCATTATTTCAAGACCTTTCTCAGTTGCTGAATGTGTGTTGTGCATCGTTGGTTTCCTAAAGTCCGAGCGTGATCCGTTGTCAATTGGGACGAGGAGCATGGAGGTGAGCTAAGCAGTGAGCGGCGGCCCTCGCAGCAAGGCTCTCTCACCTCCCGCCAACGGGCACGCCGCTCACAGCGTGGCAACTGCAAGAATTGATGCATGGCGGAACACGAGGTACGGGATGTCAAGCGGCTTGCCGGTGTGGCGTTGTGTCAGGTGGATTCCCGCCGCATGTAACGCTTCGGCGGGGCTACCGGTAGCGTCATGATGACTGAGTCACGCTACGAGGAGGATCTCACTCCGCTCTTTCGTCACCGAGTTTCGACTGCTTACAGTCATCTCATCCATTCCAAATGCTCGTCCGCAGCAACCATGGTGTGAATCAGCAGAGCTGTGTCCGTGACGTTACAACGGCATGACAGCAACGCGCCGTGCGAAGATGGACCGCCGCTTCGTACGAGCTATGTTGAATCGCGATGGCGCTGATCTGATGTGTGTTGCAACACCGCGGCATCTGAGATGTAGCATTTCTCACACACATTTCAAATCAAGCAAGCAATTGTTCAGCACGATTTAGAGTGCGGCGCGGGCTGTTCGATCGCCCAGCAGAGCTTATAGCGCGATAACATCATCTCGAGGGACGTTTAGTCAACAGTCAAGCGAACCTGCTGATCTACTATTGGAAATCGGATATCTTGACAGTCTGGCGTAAGCATTGAACAGCAGAGATCAAAGAAAGACTCCGCCGCAGGAGCATGCGGGCGTGAACGGACTCGCCAAAGTGCGAACCCCTGACCATCTCCCTTCTGGTTTCCGACTAAAGGCCAGAATACCCGTGGGCCGCTGCAGGTACGCCTTCAATTCTTTCTGCAGGGACGCTTGCCAACAACTTCCCCTCTCGCCAAGCAATCTTGTCAATTGAAACGCCAGCTTGAAGCGAATGCATAGGTACACGTACACACTCAGTCGCGTGCGTCTCTTCTCAAAAAAGTGGAGGTCCAAAGTAGAGACTGAACCAGCAGGGGAGACATTGCAACCGGTGGAGGTTGTCGGCTTGTAGGCGTTGCACAGTCTGGTTTGTACCCATCACAAGGGTATTCGGCAAATCTCCCTTCTAGATTGCTACCTTCTTAAAGAAGCTCGAACGCCCACCCCGATTGAGCAAAGGTAAGCCGCTGTCGTGGATCTCCATCAGATGTGGCTTGCGCGAGAAGGAGGACTACACTATTTACGTAGCGCGCAATATACGCGCCTCTATATTTGGGGTAGCACAAACGCAGCTCTCGCTAGAGGAATAGCTTTGCAAAGGGCCTGGCACTGATCGGAATGGTATTCATGTCCAGTCTGAGGACCCAGCCTGGAGCTCATATAAAGCAATTAATAAATATTGCATGCGCCGCAATATACGATGAGCAGCGTGGGATGTCGAACTCATAGCGAACAAAGCTGCGGGAAATATTGTTCATTATATAAAGGCTGGAGACGTTGTGCACAAGGACATTAGCAAGCACGGTACTCTCTGGGTCTTGCTTCATCACTTCTTTGACCGTCGCAATGGCTTGTCGATTCGGATCTCCCGATCTTGTTACGTCGCTGTCTGGCGTGGCTGCTTTACCCACCTTCGCTTTCGACGTGGCGAACAGCAACTATCTGGGCATTGTTGGAAGCTTCACGTCCAGTGAGAATCAACGAGTTCGCGTGAGGTCGATGAGAGCTCACAATGTGTAGACAATGGTGCAGCCTGCTCCTTCCCCACGCGCTATGTTACACAACAGCGGACCTCTACGTACGCCATCACGCCCGTCATTGTCACTGTAGGGCGTACGACGACTTGTTCGATCCTAGCACCCTCTTCGATAACACCCAGCGCGAGTGGCTCCACCACGTACTCTGGGTTCGAGTGTCCCAGCATCACGGACAACCAGTTTGCGCCTGGCACGTACACATTGAGGTTCGATCAACCGAACGTAGCCGACTCTCCGACTATCTCATCTCGCACATTTATCGTTGCTTTGCCCACTTTTAGTACTGATCGTATGACTACGACGGTGTTTTCAACCGCCACTGCTCCGATTACGACCACCCCCATCATAACGTGAGTGACCTCGCAAATACTATAGGCAACAGTTTTGACAATTTTTAGCTCTGCCAGCACCTCTACTGTGACCATCACTGGTCCATTACGTGCTGACCAGACCGTCACGCAGATAGTCGCCAGCCCTGCGACCGCTACCATAACTTTGACAAATATCATCAGATTTTGCGCTGCCACAGCCGAAACATCGAGCACCTCGAGTGCTTCCTCTCGTTATTCTTCCCCCGTTAGCTCTCCCACTGACACCATACCTGTGTCCAACAACGGCGAGTGTGGCTCGGCATCTGGTCAGACTTGTTTCGGTTCTACCTTCGGCTCCTGCTGCTCTTTATATGGGTACTGCGGAAGCAGTGAGGTCTACTGTCTGAATACAGAGGGTTGTCAATCTGGCTTTGGCGAGTGCACTACATCTTCTTCCGTATCGAGCAGCTCGCCTCCTACACCTACGTCCACGGAAAAGGTCTCACTTGACGGCACTTGTGGTGGCGATAATGACTATGTATGCCCTGAAAGCGGTCTAGGGGACTGTTGCTCTCGTAAGCACTGAGTTTTGCTCGCTCACGTAGCTTTGCCGCTAACGCAAATTTAGCATATGGGTGGTGTGGCTCAAGTGAATCTCACTGTGGCGCGGGCTGCCAGAACGCATTTGGTATCTGCTCGAATCCTACGCCTATTGGCACCGCTCCATTGCCCACATCTACCCTGAGAGTATCTCTCGATGGAGCTTGTGGCGGTACCACAGGTCAAACATGCTCGGGCAGTACCTTCGGCACTTGCTGCTCTGAATACGGATACTGCGGCAGCACCGACATCTACTGCACAGGTGCATGTCAGCCCACGTTTGGCACCTGTAACAATACCCCGGCGAAGCGGTCAGCGCCCAAAGGCAATCTTCGTGCGGCATCTTATGCAGCGGTAAAGCGCTCGGCAGGCCAGATGCAGGAGAAACGTGCGATTGGCGGTGCTGGTCCGGACTACACGTACCCGCCTATTCTGCGAACAACAGTTACTTCGACTTTCACACAGGGTATCATAATTGTTCCCACGGGTGGAGAAGGCGCAACCACTATCGTCACTATCGTGGCAACCACGACAGTCTTGCCGCCGCCTGCAAGTACTGCGACCGTCATCGTTACGTCCTTGGTTCCCATACAGACAGAGACAGTTCGCTCGACCCAGACTGTTTGTGCCACTTCGACATAAATTTTATAAGACCGTGTCTGATCGAAGTGTCCAGTTAAAGCAATCTTCGCAAGTAACGCTTGGCTGAACTACAAGGCGCGGCTAGAGCTGCCGATTAGCTCACATAATGAAGGCATGGTTGTACGTAACCGCAAGACTTCTGCTGCACATACCTCGTCTCTCTCCGAGTTGCCCTCTCACTTCCCAAGGCGTCTGCCAACTGCTTCATAATCTAAGCCGCGCCAACAGGGAGCGTAGCGGCGACAATGAAGTGCTGGCGTGTTTCACGAGTGAGCTGACCTCTGGGTATGGGCGGCGAGCGAGCCGTAAATTGCATATTATGGCCAATAATCTTGATCTAGACCAGAAGAATGACTGTACTCATTCTTCTGTGGCGCTTTCGGTTGTGCGTTTGGATATCTTCTTTGAGATAAGGGAGTTTGAATTGTACCTCTCCCAAAGTCAAGCGCAAAGCCTTGCAAGTGTCAGCAAGGGATTAACATCCCTGTCTCTAGACATGCCCTTAACCATGGGATCGTCCTTCCCCCCGAAATCTTTCATGCTTGTTTCGGATACGAAGATTCGCTCTTCTCGGACCCAGTCCTCATGAGGACCGAAAATGAATTCTGAAAGCCTTGCGAAAGTGTGCTCAGCTTCGAGTACACCCTGGCCCTGTGCATTCTTAGTGGGCTTATATTCGAAATTCCACAAGCGGACCTGTGGGGGTCAGCTTACCCTCTTAATGGGCCACTCGATCACATCCATGAGGTATTCTGCTTTCGTGTCAGCATTGGGCGTCTGTTCTTAAGCCTAGATATCGGCCGGAATGTTTCAAGAAGTCAATGGTGTCACATCCCTGTCCTTTTTCTGCCAGATCCTACCACCCAAATTGGCGAAAGCGTGTAGACGTTTGTATGCACTCTTCTCACCGCAGTTCCCGTAGCAAAACATCCAAGTACTCTCCTTATGTACCCTGTCCTCTAGTGAACCCCAGAAACCAAAGCATAGCTACGTCTCCTCCGTAATAGAAAATCTAAACCACACCCCTACCATACCATGCCATACCATACCATACCATGCGCTCTTCATCCCCATCATGCGCACGTGACATGAATGTGTAGCTCGACAAGGTTGCGTCCAATACGCCGGACCACGCGTGGCACAGTGGGCAGGTGCGGCCGAGGAAGGGCCTTCCAACGGGTCTGCATCTGTGGTGTACATCTGCACATGCGAGGAGTGGGTTGCTCGTGCGTCCAGGCGCTCATCTAACAGAGACATGGTACGATATCCAATAACTATCTCTTTCGCACGGTATTCACACGCACAGTTTCTCACACTCTATTCAAACATCAAAACTTATCAACACGACAACATGCTCAATGCCGCTCAGGCATCTGATGCTGCCTCTTCGCATACCCGGCCTCATCGAGCTCAATCTGCAGCCTGCCCTCCTCCCTCACCACATCCCTGACAACCTCACTCACATTGCCCTCCAGCACGACCTTGCAGCCCCTGGGCAGCCACCTGAGGATATGAAACGCATTCGCATACACACTCGTCGCGTGCGACATCCTCCCGTCGTCCGGCAGACTTGCCTGCAGAATGATCTTGAACGTCTTGAGGCCCCAACAGTACCGCAGCCCCAGGCGCACGAGGTCTGCGAACCCGTCGAGGATGTCGTGGTGCGACGGTATGGTGAGGATGACGTGCTTGATGAGGCTGCGCGAGCGCTGGTGGAGCGTGGAGAGCGTGTGGATTCCGCTGGAGAGGGAGAGGGTGAAGGTGTTGTTGCTATACAGCACGCTCCGTGCTTCTTTGTAGATCTGCTGATTTAGACGCAGGATAGTGGGTACAACGGGATCGGGCGGGTATGGCATTTCGAGCGGGGAAAGCGTTTCAAGCGGGGGACTGGGGGCGCGCGGTCGCCGAGCTGGGACCTGGGCGGCGCATGTGGGTGCTGGCATGAGCGGGCAGGTGTCGTCGGGCGGTGGGTCTTCGTCCTGGGAGACGCGCGCAGCGTGCAGGAAGAGGGACGAGGTGCGGTGCAGGGCCATATGGTAGATGTGGATACGCAGTTCGGCAGGGAGCTGCATGAAGGCGAAGATGTCCCGGCGTGCGAGGGGCGTGTCGTCACGTGGCAGCGAGGTTTGCGACTCGGTCAGGGAATTCGGCTCCGTTGTCGTGGGGCCGTTGCGAGTGGTGGTCGAGGGTCCTGCATATGTTGGGCCATTTCGCCCTGCGCTGGTTTCCCTCTTCTCCCTCAGTCTCTTGGATGCGCGCGCTGGCCCTACGTGGTCTTGCTGCTCAGCTGTGCTACGACGTGTGCGCTTGCCCAACGCCTTCCCTGCGGTCGGTCGAGCCATATTCAAAATGGAGATAACTATGTCGGTCCGTTATGCATACAATGTACCGACGGACGGACCTGTGCGGCGTCGGCGCGTTGCGAACTTGGTCGAGGACAACAATATCGATGACGTCCAGGTCGCGTCCAGGGGCTCTCAAGGCGTGCCAGACGTGTCAGATGTGAATGCGTTCCAAAATTCTATCGTATAAACAATGCGACCGTGAAGCCTGCGTGACTCGTTGAGGTTGCGAACGGGACCAGGCAGGGTTTGCGGGGTTGATGGAGGTTCGCAGCGGGGAGGCTCCACTTTTGCGTGCGGGTGCGGTTGCGGTCCAGGCCCACATCACGTGCGTGCCAAGCCTTGACGGTGCGCTGCAAACCTTGGGAGCACTCCGGAAGGATTGTCAAAGCTCTATACTGTCAGCAGTGGCAGTGACAAGTATGATGATGAGCCAGTGTTTTGCACAAGATTGCAAGTTTTAGTCTAATTTGCTACCGCCCAAGACCACGAGCCTATCAAAGCACCACCTATGCCGATGATGCAGGAGTCAGACCATTGCAACGGGAATCACATAGCCTCTGCGAAACCGCCCGTCCTATCATGAACCATGAGAAGCTTTTAGCTATCCCCACCGCCTTGCGGCAGCCCCAAACGAAACGAAATCAGATATAGGGCGACGCTCCAATTCAAATATCAAACAAGAAAACCCAGTCCACATGAGCCATCCTCCGCGCAGCCTTTACAGGTCTATTAAGTTGTTGCCTCCCTGAGACCTCGGCTGCTGCTGCTGTGGGGCGCCAAATGGATTCGCGCTCTGGCCGCCGTAAGGATTGCCGCCAAAGTTTCCTGCCGGTCCTGTCTGCGCTGGCATCATGCGATTCTGCTGAGGCATCCCAGTGAACTGAGAGTTGAGGAAGGGGTTGTTGCCGGTTGCGTTTGCGTTGATGCGGTTCAAGCCTGCACCGGCCGAATTGACGAAGGTGCCGGGTGCTGTGTGCTGGGCCGGTAGACGAAGGTTGCCAACATTTCCAAATGTATCTTGACCTTCTCCTGTTGCGAGAAGGGTGTTGAGCCTCGCGGTGTGAGGATCCATCTCTTTCTGGGGTTGCTGCTGTTGCTGCGGCTGGGGCGTCGAGAATGAAACCGGAGGGTTGAACGATGTATTGTTGAACTGCGTCTGAGTCTTCTGCTCCTGCAGAGTGTTGAGCGAGGGGACGCGCGCTGCTTGTGTCGCAGTCTGGGGTCGGTTGAAGCCCTGAGCGAACGGGTTATTAGAACCAGTGGGCTGGGGCATCAAAGCCTCCTGCTGGTTGTTGCTTGCCCACGGGTTGTGGGTACCGGGCTGTAGGGTGTTCTGCTCTTGAAGAGGCTGCTGTTGCTGTTGCTGTTGCTGCTGCTGCTGGCCCATTCCACCGCCAAACTGGCTGTAGGGGTTGCTCATGTTGAACGAAGTCTGCTGAGGCTGCATATACTGCGCCTGTTGCTGCTGCTGGCCAAACTGATCGAAGCCAGGCTGCTGGGGCTGCTGCTGGAATCCCTGACCGTAGCCGCCATAGCCATTCTGGAAGCCTGTCTGCTGCGGCTGCATGCCAGTAGGCTGAGAGTAGGCGTTGTTGAGAAAACCGGTGTTCTGGGGCTGTTGCTGTTGCTGTTGCTGGTCCATCAGGTTGCCAAACCAATCGACCTGGCCCTGCTGCTGATATCCCTGGTTGTTGCCAGTCGGCTGGTATGCATTCGCCTGGGGCTGCGCGGGCGCGTCGCCGAAAAGCAGGTCGGCATTAGTCTGCTCCAGCTCCCGCCTGCGCAATTCCTCCTCTTCCTTGCTGAGCTTGATCGCCTTGGCGAGGTCGTCATCGTCGTCAGGGGCGGCGGTCCGTTGCCTGCGCTTCTTCTCCTCCTCAGCCTCGTTCTTACTGGCCTCAAGAGCGAGCTTGAATTCAAGGTCCTCGTCGTCGCGGCGCGGCCGCGCGTTTCCGCCCTCTCGTCGCGGCCTGTGAGACCCCTCGCCGTGTCCTGCAGCGTGGTTTCCAGGGTATTCTTCAATGCCGGTGACGCGCGACTTCCACGATTTCCGATCGGCTCGCTCGGCGCGCAATCGTTCTTCGTCCATGATCAGCGAGGTGAGCTCCTTCGCGGCCATTCGCACTGGTCGTTGTTAGCTCGGCCCATGCCCGATCGAGCACCACATACCATTCTGGCCAACGTCGCGGCCATCCTCGTCGGTGTACTGGAACTCTCGCAGCGTCTTGATGATGTAGATGTTCTTGCGCGCCCATGTTACGACCAGCTCGGAGCCCTCATGCAGACAGTAGTCGAGGACCTTGAGGGACTTCAGGACGTGACGCCAGTTCTTTCCCTTATCGTTCAGTCGCTTGTCCAGCATGTCCATGACCTGGTAGAAATCTGTCGAGCTGGGGGCACTGTTAGCGCAGCTTCCGCAGCCAGCCAGGTGGCCCTACTTGTTGAAGGTAATCTGGGCGATTTCGGCCATGTCTGAGCCCACCGGACCCCACGGGTCGTTGCTGGTGGCATTGCGGACCTTGACTTCGACGGCCGAGTAGCCCTTCGTGACTGTGGCAGCTGTCAGACCCTGCTGCAGGCGCAATACGGATGTCGCAGCTCACCGTTCTTCACGCTTCTTACGACCTTACTCATCTTGGCTGTGATGTGGAGGCTTCAGCGTGCGAGGCCCGGAGTGTGTGCGACGGAAGGATTGATGCTCGTGGGTGACGGCTACACGAGTCTGGTAGAAACGTTGATCGGTCCGTTGAGTGTGGAAGCTCTAGCGTTGGGTATGATGCAAGACCACGGCTCTGACTTGGCAGACGAGCCAATGAAGGTGCCGGGGCGAGTGGGCGGCGCGGCTGTGGCTGTGCGAGTGAAAGTAGGCGACGATGAGTGACACAGGCGCTGTTGCAGAGGCAGCGGGGTGGCAAGCTGGCTCGAGGCAAGGATGCAGGTGCAAGGACAGATGCGGGTGCTTCGTCATGCGTGAGGCTGGGGAAGCTCGGCGCGCAGGAGAAGCCGACCTAAGCGGCCCAATGCAGCCTCATCTCAGGGCTCCAAGTAGGATTGAGGTCATTCCAGAGCGTATCTTGCACAACCGTCAATAGTTAATGCAAGTAGCTTTACCAGAAAGTTACATGGGGTCGTACTTGAGTTCCATGTTCAACAGGGTCGCTATCTGCAGCCGTCACAAGGGCCTCAGAACACATCGAAAGCCACACCTCGTAAAATCGTTGCGGAAGAGAAGAGTGTGAACAACAAGGCTGAGTTGATCGCTTCAAGATCGTGCAAGCTGCCAATGGACACAGTAGATAATGTCGGGCGAGATATTATTTTGCTACTACTTGCGCAGAGAGTTTAGTCTATGGGCGGATTTACATCCTTCATTAAGTACCTGTCTAAGTGAAAGTGTGCCTGTGTGCATGGGAAAGAACCAAGATAGGAGCCAAAGACGCCCTTGCCAGTCTAGTGAGGCACGCCTGACTCCGCCACCCACCACGGGACCACCCGTTGAGAGCAATTTGACCATGCTCCTTCACCCAGATCCGACCGAGATGGAAAGAAACTGCAACAATTGACGGCTAAGTTGAGAGTACAAAAGAGACCCTTACGCTGCAAACAGCTCGGCAAATCACTCTCAGCCCATGAAAACCGCCATGCAGAAGGACTGATCAAACGAGATACACGCCGCTGACAGAAAGGAAATTTTTTGAGAACACAGGGGTATAGGTCCTGCCAAAACACCAATTAATGGAATCGAGACTCAGAGGGCTATTGGTACAAGAGAAGAGCAAACAAACTATTGCACAGCAGGTGCCCACATCTCATTGCCCATCCTCTGCTGGTTGGGGTTGTAGTGGTCCGGCTCGGTGCTGTTGGGGCGGCGGATGTTGTGGTTCTGATAGTACATGCTGTTCTGTGTGTTGCCGTATTGCGGCTCAGGGTATACGTAGCCGTTGTCGGCAGCTCCTGGCGAAGGGAGAGCCTGCTGAGAAGGTGATTGCCAGCCCATATTGGCCATATGAGGGCTTCCGTTGGCGCTATTGGTGCCGGACTGGTTGTGGTTGGCAGACGCAGGGGGCTCAAGAATGGACGGTGGACCATATGCGCTGGGGTGCGAGGTGATTGTTGGGCGCGAGTTGCTCACGCTGGAGGTGTACGATTGCGAGGTCAACGCTGGGGAAGCACGAGGGCTCTGCTGGGGCATCTCGCTGCGCATGTGAGGAGGGACACTGACACCACCCATGTATGCGTAGTCAGAGACCTGGCGGTGCATCGCGGGGACAACACCAGCAGGCATGCCGTTAGCGGGAGAGAGAGAAAGGGTGCGGTCGTTGGGAGAGGGCGTGTTCAAAGGAGACGCGGTTTCCGAATAATCACCGCCATCTGAGCGGCCAGTCCTGCTGGGAGCGGCCGCACGAGACGCAAGGGCAGCAGCTGTCGCAGCAGCGGCTTCCTCCACAGTACCAGTGTGATGGTTCTGGTGACGAGTCAAGGTAGTGCGACGCGTGAAAGTCTTTTGGCAGTCGGCGTAGGGGCACTTGTACGGACGCTTGCCGGAGTGGATGCGGCGATGGCGGGCCAAGGAGCTGGAATCGCTGAAAGGCTAGACGTTGTTAATACCTGAAGGTAGTGACTGAGTTGAACTGAACGCACCTTTCCACATCGCTCGCACATGTGAGGCTTCTCACCGGTGTGAACGCGTTGGTGCACTGTCAGAGCGGAGCGCTGGATGAACTGCTTGCCGCAGTTGGGGTAGTCGCACACGTGAGGACGGATGCCGCTGTGAATACGTTCTGTGGGAGTCAGTGCGTGCGTTGATCGAGGCCAAGGCTCCAAAACTTACCATGACGTGCAAGGTCACTGCGTCGCGCGAAGCCTTTACCACATGTCGAACACGCGAAGGCCTTCGGCGGCCCATTTTCGCCAGCAGCGCGGCCACCATTGTGCTGAGCCGGCTCCTGCATCTGCTGCTGCGGTTGCGCGTACGCGTGCTCTGGCGGTTGGGGGATGTAGTTGTTGTTGTTCAGCATAGGCATGGGCGCCTGCATCTGTGACGGCGAGGGATAGCGCATGCCATTCATGTGCTGTGCGGCCATCTGGGGGTATGCAGGCAACTGCTGCTGTGGTTGCTGTGACGAGTACCGCGACGAGTCGGACGGATGGGGCGACACACCACGCTCAGAGCCGTTCTCTGATTTGATGTGGCCGCCGTTCATGTACGGCGCCGGAGCAAAGTGCTGCTGCTGCATGTCGTGCTGCATTGCTCGTTGCATGCCGAAATAGTCTCCTGTACCTGTATGGGCTGTTAATCGCGCATTCAGAATCGTGTCCAGCTCCATCGTCTGACCAGCACAATAAAGTTTCGCGTTGTGGAGGGTCCGCGAAGGGGCTCAACGAGCAAAGGACGGGATAGGGCGCACCAGTGAAGGAGAGTCGGGCTGGTCGTAAGCCTCAGAGTCGCAGAGGGCGCTGTGCAATGACGATAGGATTTAATGAGCCTCAAAGAGTGCCGTATTAAGTGTGGCCCGTTCTTTGGGATCTGGAAGAGCTGGGGCGGACCGCGTGCGGGTCAATGCAGAGGTGGCACTAGATGGCGATGTCAGTCCGGATGTTGAAAGGGAGCGGCGACGGTCGTGGCAGGAGCGAAAATAGTGAAGGAAGTCGCGCCCAACAGGCACGCTGGGCCACGTCCGCCAGACTCGAATAGGGGAGCGAGCGGTGAAGGGCTTGTAGGAGCGCCGCGCAGGCTGCACGGGCTACAAACGGGCTGGACAAGGGAAGTGAACGTACCGGTGAATAGTATTGAGAACGGGAAAGAACAGAGCAGTGTGTTGCGATGAATGTGAGGCGTGGTGTTGTGAAAGTACTTCTTTCCTCGTCGCGCGCGGAGAGATCACAGTAGGCTAGTACGGACTGGGCTGCGCTAGCGTGGAAGGCGCCCTGGCACGACTGAGCGATGTGCAGGCCGCAGGCGACAGGCGTGGCAGTCAAAGCGCGAAGAGGCCTCTGCGCAATATCACGACCGGTGCAGATACGGCTGCTGAACGTTTCTGAAACGGCAGACTTCACCCACGGATGTCTCCGCCACAATTTGTCGTAGACGGACGACACTTCGCACGACAGGCGGGGGTGAGGAGCCAACCGCTGAATATTTTCTCAGCTGTCCGTAGCCGCTCAATCCGAGCGACGATGCAGCGCAGTCCAAATCTCGTATTGGGCAAGGTGCTTCACCTATTGCGCTGCTTCGTGGTCCCGAATGAGCCGGCCTAAGCCAATTCTCCTCCTTCAAAGATTATGCGCGACGTTGACCTGTTCGAGATGCAGGTGCGACCCAGCAGACCTTTGTGGCTGAACGGCTGCTTTGAGTGCGTCTTCGATAATCTACCAAGCGGACAGCGGCGTTCGGAAACAGGAAAAGTAAGGCGTGGTATCTGATTCTTTCGTCAGCTGTGGTTCGGCCACCTGCAGCTGTGCCACGTCTGTTTGCTGATGATCTGCTTCAGGAATGCAGGTGACGGTAACGACGGAGCTTACCTTCAAGGTCGGCTTCTTACTGCCAATGAGCCGGTTTAGTGGTATAGGGCGAAGACAATGGTGCAGATTCGCGAAGAATTCGATCTCGTGCTACTCTATCTTTCAGTGCAATTTCAGCGGTATTGCGAGCATCTCTCTCATATCAAGGCGCAGGCGACACTCATATACAGCACAGAGCAGACTGATCCGCTCCCAGAAGCCTCATCATGATGGCGTTTCAGGAGCAGCCCTATCCCGGTGCTCATCTCGCGGTTGACAGACCACAGCTTCACCGTCACGTTTCTGTAGTTCTCCGCTGCTACCTGACGGGGCCGCTATGGCATCGTGCGGCCTGCCTTGAGCCGTCAGTGGCGCCCGCGTGTGCAGAATTGGGATCCACAACCCGGGCGGCAGATGTCACGAGATGCCGCATAATTCTGAGAAACCCATCCAGGACATTGCCTGAGCAGATGTGGAAGGCGTGAGCGCAAAACTCACAGTGGCTGCGCAGGACATTCAGGATGCATCTCGCGATGCGCAGCGCAGCGTGCTGCAGCCGGCGCATCCTTGAGCATGGATGAGCTTGGGCGCCATTAGACTTCTGGAAGGTTGCCTGAAGGAGCAACGCGTTACATCCAGCAGCGCTGCCGCCATGGGTCACCCCGTCTTCCATGGCGACCACTTTCAAGCCGCCCTCCGGCCCGGGCAGCTGCGACAATGCGAGCGACAATTCAGAGCCTCCTGTGAGCCCGGCATGATTGCTTTGCAGCCTTGACACCATTGGCCAATTCTAAGTTCTGTTTACGAGGCGCAGCCATTCTGCGATACATTCTGCGGTGAGCAACCCCTGATCTGCCCTCCACTGAGTCGCGGACATGAACTGCTGGTGAGTGCAGCCAGACATCGACCACTGGGTGGCAGCACCAATTGCTTGCTTCCAGACAGCCAAACCTATCGCGATAGACTGTCAATCTCGACCATTACCACAATGCATGCTTTGATAGCACCTGGCTACTGGCAGCGACCGTTTCTTACTCAACAGCCAGCGATGTTGTGGGCCCACTGATGGATCCTTACACGTCACCTTGCACAAAAGCATCGGGGGTTCATTGACACACATCGGTGCATTCACACTGAAGGCTGCTGTGGCTTGCTCGTCATAGATAATTGGCCGTCGATTGTGGACCCATGTCAAGTGCTCTCTCTAAACAATCTATTGACTGCTCTTAGGCCAAATCGATCGACGATGCAATCACTCGATGCAGACGTCAAGCGGCAGTTGTTCAATTCAAGGACTGTATGATGCCGAGGACCACTCGATCGTGACTTTGAGCAGTGAGCACGCACTCTTGTGTCCTCTCGGCACCAGACGCGTGCTTCCGCCAGATCACCTAGACAGTCTGTGCGGTCCCATGGATTCGGTGCAATGCACGCGCTGCCGGGCCCAGGGCCCCCACTTCAAGGCTCGCGCTGCACGTTTCGGTGATCGACTCAGACACCCGCGCAGCCAGCCGCCTATGGATTGCACAAACCCATCGTGCATTTCTTTTTCCATAACCCTGGCGGATGCCGCTGTAGCGGTAAAGGCGTCGCACTTCGAAACGGTTTGTCTGCTGTCGAGCATGATTACTGACACTTCCGTCACCGCTACAAGACAATCGCCGTTTAGATTGCTGCCATCACTGCAACATGCACGGCTGTTTCACCACTTTCTGCTCGCCGCACCTGCTCCCGACTGTCGCGTCCAGGGAATTACGGCGTCGTTTTCTTATCACCCAGAAGCGCGCTTTGCCTCAGATTTCAATGCACGCTGAGTCATGAGTGGCCAGCGGCTGACGGCCCCAGCTCACACTGTTAACCAACCCAGCCAACGTTGTGATGCAGGGGAGTGCCTGATTTCCCTACCGTAAGGCTTACAATTCACCCGAGCGCCGTTCCACGTAATTTCTAGAAGGAGCTCAGGCCGACATTGCGACCATGCGCCTCAAAATTCCCCTGTCCTTTCCAGAAGATTACCCCTTTAACTAACCATTCATAACTCGTGGAAATGAGCGTCGGCAGCATGCTTTCGTCGGGGTGGTGAGCGAGCGTATACCGCCGACCTAAAGTGGGCTTTCATGCTACTTTTCAAAGCCTTCTTAGTCATGAAACTGCATTAAGGAATTTGGGACCGAACTGCGGGAGCGCGTGCGACTCCCCGTTGACAGCCAGATGAACGAACACACCGACACACAGAACGTTTCCTGGTCACACACTCGCCCCGAGACCAGGAATTTCACCGGGCAATTACGGCAGTTGATATGCTAGGTGGAATCACGGTGTAAAAGTCGGACAGAAAGTGTGTCTAAAGATGTCTCGGAAGTGCGGTTGCGCATCCGCTACACACCTCCTTCTCGTGTGACAAACGAGGTCATCCTAGCAGGCCGTTGATGTTCCAGCCCCTGCTGATTACATGTCATTTCGGTTGGGCGATCTTGCAAGGACAGCTCACAACCTTAGCCTGGATCCCGGTGACAGTCTTCGCAGGGTCATGACGGCCACTGCCTACAACTGAGAACATTAACGTGTGCGTAGACCCTGAGCTGCAAACACCTACCGGTGGTCTGTACGAGGGAGGCACAGCTGATCCTTGGAAATATGGCTATGATCATAACAAGCTCGAACCACGGAGGGCGTGCTCCGTCGATCGGATACACAGTAGTGAAAAGTATATTGATCCTATCACTGCGATCAGAAACGTGTATTTGAGACATGACTTCATCTAGAAAGTCAAATGTTGTAATTCAGATGCCCTTCTACGAACTCCAAACATAGATTAAACATCCGGCTGTGCACGCATCAGGAAATATCGTGATGTACAACATGAAGCCCAACACCACATCAGGAAATACCGACCGCCTGTCCACTTCAGAGGTCTACACCCGCGGGGATACCGCCAGTGCCAAAAAGCTCCATGTGAATCCTCTCAGCCGGCACGCCATATATCTTCAGCTTAGCCTCCACATCCAGCATGAACTGCGCCGGCCCGCAGGTGAAGTACAGCGTCTTCTCGTTATTTGTGAACAGCACCTTCTTGTCGACATTACCCAGATTAACACGTCCCTTGATATCGTAATCCAGGCCCTGTACCTCTCCCTCCTTTGGACTTGACGAAAAGTACACAGTGTGCAAATTTCTCTTCTTCGCCGCGAGCTCATCAATCTCCTTCTTAAACGCCCTCGTCTTGCTATCCCGCGCACCGTGGATCCAAGTCACCGGTCTCGAAGTGGAGTGCTCAAGGGTGGTGTTGAGAATGCTGTTCAAGCAAGTCAATCCCACGCCAGCTGAGATCAAGACAATAGGCGCGTCCCTGTCTTCCTTCTCCTCATCGAAGTAGAAGTCGCCCCACGGATGCGAGACCTGGACAATATCGCCGACGTTCTTCTTCTCATGCATGATATTGGACAGGTACCCTGGATGAGTGAAGTGTCTCGGCTCGCCAACCTCGATCCCAAGTTCGCGCTTGACGCTGATACGGAGGTAGTCCTTGCCCGGCACATCACTCAGACTGTACTGGCGCGCCTGCCACACGCCGCCATCAAGCTCATTCACAAAGATATTGACGGATATGAACTGTCCCGGCTTGAAGACAGGGAGTTTGAGATTTGCGTCCACGGGCTGCAGGTAGAACGACGTAATCTCCTTGGCCTCCCTCTCCTTGCGCACAATCTTGAAGTCTTTCCAGGACGTCCAGCCGTCGGCCTCTTTGTACATATCGTCTTCTTTGGAGATCATGATGTTGGCGAGTTGCCAGTAGGCTGCTTCCCAGGCGCCGAGGATGTCTTGGGTAGCGGCATCGCCAAGAACGGTTCTCATGGTCTTCAGCAGGTGCTCGCCGACAATGTAGTAGTGTTCCGGGGGAATGTAGAGCGAGGCATGCTTGTGACAGATCAGTTCGACTACTGGTGAAAGCTTGCCGAGGTCGTCGATGTTGGAAGCGTATGCCTGGAGGGAACCGGTGAGAGCACGAGGCTGGTGTCCGGTTGCTTGGTGTGTGGTGTTGAAGACGTTTCTGAGCTCAGGGTGGGCCTCGAGCATGTCTGCGTAGAACTTGGTGGTGATGGTTTCGCCATGTTGAGCCAGTACTGGGACGGTGGCTTTAATTATTTGGACTTGTCCAGGTGTGAGTGATGTCATTGTAAGTAGCTTTGACTTCTTAAACCCTTTCCCTTGGCAAGCTGGATTTTTTTATGTGACTCGTAGTAGTGATATAGGGTTTGTTGATGGCAGACGTGTTATGATCGGAAGCCTGGCAGGTTCCTTGACTGACAGTGCATTGCTCTTATAATAGAGCTCAATGATGTGGTGATGTTGGCATAAGGATACGCATGTAACTTCCTTCACGAATGAAGTATACTTCACCCATCGTCACCCCATGTTCCTACAACGCCCGCAGAGAATACATCTCCGCGGCACTATACGTATTATTTCCTAGTTCCCTCATCACCGAATCTCAAAACCCTGTCCAAAATCTGATGACAGATCATACACCCGAGCGTGCCTGGTGTTACGCGGGTACGAATTACGTACGTTGTATGTGCAGCGCGGCTCTCCATGCCGCCACACCCGCAATTCCCGCTGTGCAGAACCGTTTCTAACGTTCCATTGCGGTAGTTGCATCTAGTGAGACGAAAGAGTGAAAGTCTCCAGATGCGTTGATGGGTCGAGCGCTCCAAGAGAGTGCTCCCGGGCTGCTTTTTGGTGGATGCGCGACGGCTTTCGTAGATGGTTCGCGACATATGCCTGCTCAATGTCTTCCCTCAAACACTCTGCCATTCCGTGTGCTGAGCTGGCACACTGCTTCCCCTCGCTTCTCAATGCCTTTTTCGCTCTCAGCATGACTAAATATTGCCCCATCACTCGTCGTGGCAGCCGAAATGTCCCGGCGTGACGCTGTGGGCCATCAGCCAAATGGAACTTCGAGTCATTGGGCGGCCATCGGAGTTGGACCATGATGATTCAAATGTCGGATGATTTGCAAAATTAGAAGCGTTGAGGTTGCTGCTTTTCCGCGGCTCATGGTGGGGCTGTACTGCACGTGACTGAATTGCACCCTCTTTCTCAACCTCATGCCCTGAAGAGTCGCTGAGAGAGTACGATACCTGATACGAATGGCCAATCATCTCCCATTATGGAACTAGACATCCTTGTAATTGATTGACTGTGCGACTCTCGAACTTCTCGCAAGAACTACGTGTTGTGACCGCTGATCACTGACCACCAAAAGTACGGTCAAGGTCTGAGCATTTCATCGACGTTTAAGCCTGGTGTCAAATAAGTTGGAGTATACTGGCAATAGGACAGGCTCTAAGTAGTAGGGTAACACTATCGCAGCGCGAGCAGCATCAGCGAAAGAAAGCATTAGCGAATGGTAGACCGATTGTAACTGCGTGAGCAGTGTCGGTCGGAGACTGTGATCGACAATTGTATTTCTATCTATTGCCGTGTTGTATGTTGTCGTGTTATTGCACACAAGCTCTCAGCTCTCAGGTAAGTGCACTTGCCCACCGGGCAGTGCCTGGTACAATAGGACATCATGTGACCTGAGCCACGTGGTTACACCGATAGACAACCTCAGCCCGCCATGTTATAAGGCACACTACATCATCATCGATGATGAGTAATGTGGCTCCGCTTGCAGTGATTAACTTCTATACTCAGGTCTCAGGCTTGTCTACGGTCGCAGCATTCGATTTTGATCATGCGATAGCTCCGGGTACTGTTGTCGTTGGAAGCTTTGATGATAGTCAAAGTCTTTCGTACAAATATTCGTGCTTCAATCATGACGTCCGTTCAGAGCTACAGTCTGCGCGCTCTTCTAAGCTCCATCGGGTGTAAGTGCGATCGCGTACTTCCACGGTCCGCCTCCGGAATGCTCCGTCCTTACGCTTGAGGCATAACAAATCATGAAGACTGCCATGTCACAGAAGCTCAAGCAGGTTTGAGAGCCCACCTTCACGACCAGCCCGAGCAGGCTCAACTACGACTGCCAGCGAGCCCCAGCTCAAAACCCGAAGGGCGAGTCACGGTCTCAAACTGGCAGATAAAGGATCCCGCATAAGGCCATTTGAGGTGCGACTCAGTCACTCCGCATCAACTCTGTGAGCGGCAAGACTTCCCCTCTTGGCTTCTCTTCCCTACAACAACAAGACCGTTAAATTCGTCATGCGCTCGTCCAGTACTCAACCTGTCCGTCGTTCCTTCTTAGTGCTTTTTGGGCTCCTCCTCCATCAATATCATCACAGCAGCCTTCGCAATTCGGCTCTCTAGTTTGAACTCCATGCTCTCCTCCAGAGTCGGAGCAAATCGCTTGTTCTGAACTAATACTTCTTCGATCTTGGCATCATCCTTGATAGGCTTTTCCGTCTCGCATTTAAGCGCCGGAAAAGTGCAGAGCTTTACCTTCTTGCCTGCTGCCTGTGCATCAGTTATCGGCTCATTCATTTGATCGAAGGCATGCATGTAGCGTGGGTCCAATGTGGTGCCCGGCCGGACATAATGGATGCGGTTTTGCTTTGGACTCAGCAGGAGGCGTTGTTTGAATTGGACGACTTCTTTTGCAAACTTCCCTGGCCTTTTACTAGTTGGTATCTTCGACGTCTTGCATCACTTCTTTTTGAAAATCTCGATGTTAGATGATAGGCCTTTCACGACCGTAGGCGATGCTTTCAGCGGAATATGCGAGATATCCAGCACTCAGTGGGCTGATCTTCGGTAAGGTATTGTTGGTGCCGATGGTTGACACGATATATTCGTGGATCGCCGTCCAGATCTGGTCGACCTCTGGTTGGGGTAGCTCCATGGGAAAGACGGGACCTGTACTTGGATCTACGAACTCGACAAGCTTTTCAATTATGTCGCGGTACTTTGCCTTAAGCACGCGCTAACATTCAAGGTCGGTCATCAAGTTCTCAAGTACAGAGCCCTTGGGATCTTTGAAAGCACTGATGAGCTGGCGAAAATGCTGAACAGTCTCCTGTAGGAGACCTGGCTGATGGGTGACCAAGCTTTGCAGGATCGACAGACATGCGTTTATCTTGTCATCCACAGCCTCAATCCTCAATTCGACCGTCTTCTGTCTTTTTGAAGAAGGCTCGTGTAAGCTGCTGGATCCATCAGACATGGCGTCAGCACTCCTCTTGTCGATGTCTTGCTTGAGAGGCTTTGAGCCAGGCTACTCAGGATGCGTTTTGACAGCAATCAGCTAGGCTAGCCGCTGACTATAAGTCTGAGTCTGAGTCCGAAGTGGAAGTGGAAGAACATACTCGGAAGCTAGCTCGCGTCTCTGCCACCGATCGTGTGAAGCCTCTTCAGAACAGAAAAGAGTCCGACTGGTACATCGCCATAGCCTTCGGAACGACCTTCGCAACCGTCGCTTTCTACAGGCGCGGGACGCCGAAAGAGCGAATCCATACCATAGAAAACTTCCCTGGAGAGAAACAGCATCATCAGACTCACCGGCAAATTCCAACGGAGATCTGGTACCCTAAGATGAATGCGCGCCCTTTCGGACAGGTCAAATCACGCGACATTCGCATGCGCTTTGGAAACGAGGTTCACCGTATGGCAGAAGACGATGAGGGGGTCGATGTTCGCAAGATCTATGATAGTGCTGACCGGGTGATCATGATGAAGCTACTGTTAGACAAGACCGAGTACGCCCAAGGTCCGAAAGAACGGTTACAGGAGACACTGGAGTCAATAAAGGCAAAGGGCCACATCAACGAAGATGAAGATGTGTTCTTCCACTTCTTCCGCGAGATCTTCCGCGCATCGAAGATACGGCTCGGCTCTGCCTTCGGTGAGCACAGCTCAGGTATGTTACAGCTCCGCTCTAAGTCACTGTACTAACAGCTGCGCCCAGTTGAGGTGACTCTATGTGTCCCTGTTTGTTACAGTCCTTCTGCGGTCGCTGTTTTGAGCTCCCAGATGGTACGTGCGATGTACGATGTGCGTTTTGGCACCGATGGCCAATCCCCCTACAATATCTTCGTCGTCCACGAGGCTGAGGCGCAAGCTGTCCAAGCACTCGCGGAGTCTCTCAACGAGCTTGACGTGAGCATGCACCTCCACCACTGATCTCTGCATGCTAAGCCCTATATAGCGCGGAGAGGCCTTCGTTCTTGCAGACTGTGGAAGGGAAACCCTCGAAATCGGCATATACAGCATTGCACTGACCGAACCCCTGCGACTTAGTTCGGAGGTCAACGAAGCGATGGGTACGTTTAAGGATAGCTTCAATCTAGCAAATGACTGACAGGTCTCAGGAGCCATGATCGGTGCCGGAGATCTCAACGACAAGTTTCGAAGCTTGGTCAAGAGCATCCTTCGTAAAGAGCTGTACTTGGAGAACGGCGACGTTTCAACTGACTCCATCATCTCTGCCGAGGTCATGTTCAAGTTCGAGAACCACACCAAGCCATCGTTCCAGTACAATGCTACCAAAGAAACATATCCCCTTCGCATACGTGGCCTCAGGGAGAGTCGTAGCGACGAGAGGATCCAGGACCTTTTTTTGGTTCTCACATAGTGGGTTCGCAGTGAGTTTTGACAGGTAGAACTAACCATAGGCAAAGTCAAGATATCTGGAATATCTTCAGGCCGACTGTTAAGATTGGCAACATGATCGAGGACACAGCTGTCAACGCTAAGGACACCGGCTACACGGTCAGCAAGATCGTTGTTGTTGGTGGTTTCGGTGATTCGCCCTGTCTTCAAGCCTATCTGCTCGAGCAGAAGGGCCGAGTCGAAAGGCGACTGGGATCCCCGCTCAAGCTGCGCTTCTCTCAGCGCAACATGAGCGCTACTGGAGTTGCTACGGGTGCAATTCTGCGTACTATCAATAAGGCCAATGGGCCATCGCGCATTCCCTGCCAGAGCATAGGCATTCTCCGTCACATCCCGTGTGATCAGACTGAGGAGTACTCCGCAGAAGTGCTGAGTCAGAAGAAGACGCGGGATACTTATGACGTGACTGATTATATCCTGTTGCGGTATCAAGGGGCGAATGTATATAACGAGTGTATTGTGTTGTTCTGTGTTGTTGTTCTGCTTGTATCTTTGCTCTCCAAGGCTCGCTGCGGGGTCTGTTTTTATGACGTGTTTGTGATGCAGCTGAGGTAAGAGGTGCTCAACAACATGCACCAGACCACCGCCAACAACACGTGATCTATGCACAAAGGACTTCTAGAAACAAGCTTGACCATCCGAACAATGCCGGAAAGACGATCAGGGTCGCCCTGACAATTCGCTTGCTCGACACAAAGAGTGCACGCCGGGCCAGCTATAGATGGCGGGTCAAATTGAGCGACTCCACGGTTTCTCCTCTAACTCTTGTCGCATCGAATTCACAATATGGCATGCACCAACGACGAGCTGAGCCTCTCGAACTGGCAAGCCAAGGCTGTCACAGGTTTAACAACCTGCCCAGCTGCACAACCATAATCGGAAGGTCGACTTCAACGGTATCACGATGCTCAAAGAAGATTTCGCCAACAGGAGAAAGCGCAGACTCGTCTCGGCCGTGTGGTCGCAGAAAAGAACAGGATCTACATAGGCAGATTGCCCTACACAGCTATAAGAGCAGATGTTGAGAAGTTGTTCCTCGACGAAGGATACAATGTGTGAGCCTAGATTAATCCAATCTCTCGTGCATGGTCGCTAACAGCTCCAGTGTCAACATCGATATCTCCGTGGACAAGTTCACGCTGCATAACCCATCCTATTGCCTTGTCGATCTTGCTCCAAATGAAGAGGCCCGCAAGACTATAGAGATACTGTCTGGGATTGACTTCCAACGTCGCTCACTGAAGGTGAAACCATGCGTACACAAACGCTCACGACCTGAATATTCCCAATTCCAGATGTTCAACAACCGTTGGCGCAGCAGCCCTCCTCAACCTTTGGAGGCATCCAATATCGAGTCATCCAAACTCGCGGCGATCAACAATGTTCTGGCCCCCACAAGAGAGAAGAGGCGTGTGCACGTAGGTAATCTGCCCAAGCCATTGGACTACGACACCTCGAATTTGGAGATTCGCGACCTCTTTCGCGGCTTCTATGTGGAATCTGTGTCAACATTTCTGGGCCCTGGTAGAGACATGGTTTTGAAAGCTGGTGGTATATATTTGTCGACCTTCGCAGTTCTGAAGAAGCCTCAAAGGCTGTGAATACTCTTCCCGGCACGCACATGTGGGGCAGAGATATTAAAGTGAACATGGCAAGTGGAGCGCCCAAGAAAGCTTTAAAACAGCCCTTAGATACACAAGAAGATCAAGAATAGGTAAATGCCACATGAAATTACAAGCACTCGATACACAGAGCAAGAACCTTCCCGAATCCCTGTGATTAAGCGGACATTCAACGGCACTACGGTGAAGTGAAGAGGAGGACCAGCTGCGGCATATGACCCTTAGATCTTGCAACTGAGCCGTACAACCTCGTTCTACTCAGCTGCGTCACTCAACGCTCATTCATGACTACCGCAATGACAAACAATGGTCGTGGCATAGCTAGCTTCATCGCCGACCTTGACCTGAACGCCGAAGTCGCCCACGATGTCCAAGACCTCACTGCTAATCATCACAGCACCACAGAGAGTACGACTGATAAAGAATCTGGAACAGTCAAGCCGGATGTCGAGCCAGATTCGTATGTTTTGCTCTTCATCGACGCCTGCAGTCATGCAGTAAGTAAATCCGAGTGGATCTTCATTCGCTGGAGAAGCTGACGGATTCACAGTTCACAGAAAGCTTCGTGCAGAGGCCCACGCTATCGATAGGTCTCCGCCAGATCAAGGAGCTCTTGCACATATCCGTCACTCAATACTGTTGCGTCAGACATAGCCGCTGTATAGTCGATGGAAACTGCGCTGAGTTGCTTGCTAGCTAGGAGGCGACCATATATACATGCCCTGAGACGTGCTAGTCCAAGGTAGTCAACAGAGGTGACGATCAAGGCCTGTCGGACCGACTTGCACCGCAACAAATACATCTCCACATTAAGCTCGGCCACATAAGCTGGGTAAGGTGCTTTCCGGCCACCCGTACTTTCCGGCCACCCAACCACTTCGCGTCACCATTAATCAACGTCTTTTTTTCCCACCACCACGTGCTCAAAATGGATGCCGTGAGACTGCTGTACAATTTGCTATCGCTGATCTTATTTCTGGTGTTGAAAAAAGCCAGCGCGCAGCGTGTAAGAAGTGGGGCGTTCCCCGATCGTCGCTCCAAGAGCGCCTCAATGGCAGCTAGCGAGGACTCTGTATTCCATATATCCTTATACTGTATACCCAGCTCGATTCTGGTACGCTCAAATAGCTCAAGAAAGGCACAAATCGTCTCATATTAAGCTCCTGTAGTCCTTGCCGTCTCAATCGTTCAGCCAACTATAGAGGTAACCTGCGGGTTGCGGGCGATAAAATGGGGTACCTATAGTTGACCAAGCAGAGTGTGGTCTCTATTCATCTGTCGCAGCAGATATCATGCCTATTTACCAGCCAATTCAGGGGTGCAAATGTATGTACATTTTGCCTCTATTTTGGCTGCAACATCATCTAAAGTATTTGGGAGGCCATTTCTCGTACCCGTGGATGGGATAGGGGCTAAGCACGTTTATCCTCTTCAATAATCCACTCAACTAAGAAGCGCTCTTGCTCTGTAGTCAATTGCTGCTGATTTGAGTGTGCTGACGTGTGAGGTTGACAGCCCTGTAGGCGGCTTTGAAGCGCGGATCGAGGAACTCCGTACGCACAGGCAGCCTGCCGCTGGCTCTTAAAAACACCAGAATTGAGATCACAAAGCGCGGATTGTATAGCAAGCTCACGAGTATCCATTTTAAGAAAGTGGTTGTGATAATATAGAGCGTCAATTGAAGATGACGCGTGGTGGGTGGGGTGGCCGAAAACTATGTGGCCGAGAAGTATACAGTATGGCCGAGCTTACAGCTAAATACCACCGTACTATACCGAATCGTCGCTCACGCATATGCAGCACTTGATAAAATCCCTCCCGGGAATCTCGAGGGCTTCTTCGCTGGTTTTGCCTCGGCCGACACTCGCTTTGACTTTACACTTCTGTTGAGTGAGACCTTTGTTGAGGAGAGGATCAACGGTACGTTTGTTCGATGCCACTGCTATGGACGCCTAACTGAACCTCTTTCCAGACGTCTTTGAGAAGGCTATGAGCGACAAGAAATGTGAATACATTCTATTCGCTGCTTGAGGGCGAGCGTCGTATCTCAGCCTATTGCAGCCGTTGCCCACCAAGGTTACCGCAGTGGAAGGAGCCAATATGGGAGCTGGAGTGCACTTGCTTCTAAAGTCTACTCCCTTAACAGCATTCCCGAACATGTTCGTGCCGGCATGAAAGACTGATTCTCCGAGGGCAATGCTACCTCATATGCAGTCTGAGAGCAAACCAGGAACAGATCTGCTGACCATCATCACCAAAAAGGTATGTGGATCGTGATATTGTACATTACATGCTTATCGAAGCTAGAAACGATGCCTCAATGGAGAGTGTGGACAGAAGCACGTCCGATGTGAGCCCAGATCTATCGTCAATGCTTGTTGCGGTGGAGTGAACAGTGCGCATATGCAGGAAGAATTGAAGGATTGAACTGAGGTTGTATTGTGTGCAGCTACGAACAGTAGCTATACACGAGTGGCTGTAAACAGTGCTAGTGCAGGATGGGTAGTCGCATCTCACCGAAGGTGAGGCGCGGTTGCCTATGAGGCAAGAGAGACTCAAACCGTGACAATGCTACTGTCAGTAGTATCGAGAACCTCAAGGGCCAAATACACCGCCTCCCCACTTTTGGTAGGCCGGGAGAAGTTTCCTTGAACACGGACGGTCAGTGAGTTGGTGTTGCTCTTGCGTATCCAGAGGACTCCAGCTATCTTCAATTCGCCAACCGCTTTCCACGAAACGGTGGTCAACCCTGCAACTGGCATCATCTTAGATACGGCTGCTTCAACGAAGGGGATTTTTAATATGATCATTCCGCGCTCAACGCCAAGGAGTACAAGTTCATGCGGTTCAAGGTAAAGCTGATCCCATGCGCTAACAGGACACAATGCCGCCGGTCGACCTGCCCCTTTGGCCATATTTGTCAAAGTAAGAAGTGCATTGAAAAGTACGTCAAGAAATGCTCCCTCAAGGCTTTTCATCAGGTAGATCCTAATGTTGCACGATGGGTTATGGGATCGGAGACGTAGAAGCAAATCATCAACGGGCAGACATGCATTGGCTAGCTTCGGACGCGCTATCGGGGGTCATGAAGAACTTCAGGCGACGTGATAGCCGGTCTTATTTTGTACATAAGGATAAAGCTAGATCTTATGTAGGCACGTTGAGGTGCATTTCCGTCAGCACGCACGCAGTTGGTGCTTGGTAGCGGAATGAAGATATTGTGCAACATTGCAGTGTCTTCCGCAGTCGAAAGTCTCAGACGCCCTATAGTCATCTCAATAGAGATTTGTGCAGTCAAATCCATGAAAACTAGTCACAGCTGAGAAAGCGTTCGATCTTCTGGTGACAGTGGGAGACGGCTACAGTGACGCAAGATGAAGGGAAGCGGACGGAAGCAGTGGCGCCGCTCTCCACAAACAAATAAAACCTTTCCATCAACTCAAATTCTTCGCACGATCAACCTTAGCTGTCTGTGCCTGTCTCGCCAGGAGGATGGCCAACTTCGATGCGTTCGCAGGCTTGCCATCCCTGTTTCGTCAGCTCAATGCAACCGCCAAGGAGAAGATTAACGCGCAAACTGCTGCTGAACTACCAGCCCGAAAAGTTCGGATTACTATAGGAGAAGATGACCATATCAAAAGGCCACGCAGAGATCAGTACGTGCTCGTGTTGGTTGACACTCACACCAACCCAGTAAGCCAAGTCTTTTATATAGTCCAATTCACACTCTAACTCGGCCCAGATTGTGGAAGACAGCAAATTTAGAGAGACGCTTTATGATACAGTCAAGAACTACTTCAACAAGGCCGAAATCCACTTCGGACGCTCCTGCCGCATTCACGTCCGCGCATTCGCCCACCCTGTAGCTGATACAGAAGACAGAAACACTGCCTTGTTCACATGGGCCTCTGAGTTCTCAGCAGCTGATCCGTTCTTTAACGCGATCGTTGTACCAAACGGCGAGATTGTGGAACTCAAGATCACCGGTAGGTACGGTGAGGTTCTCATGCTGATCTTCTTGCTGACACACTTCTCTTATCAGCATTGGAAGCTGCTGTCAAAGACCGTAGCTGCAAGCATGTATTTGTTGCAGCATGGCAACGGCCCGGCCACATATATATGCATTCTCAAGGAAGCAAATAACAAGACAACAATTGTCAAAGGATTCAGCTTGAGACCGGGCTATGATGTGCTCGGTTTACCTGCGCCATTCACCGCATTCCCGCAGGTCTTCAGAGAACTGACCGGGCGTACGAGCAAATCGCGAAAGGTACACGTGGGCGTCGTCGAAAAGAATGTGGAATCTGTTGACCGAGATGACCCTGCTGACCCAGAGGTGTGCATGCTTCACACCATAGCTGTTGGCCATACTGACACACACGGTGACGTAGCACCTGAATTCCCTCAACAACGAAACATCTAAAAACTCCAAGTCTGCACCACCGAGCGGGGACATCCGTGACCAAGGCCGCATAGACTGCGTCTTACGCAATCCGAAGTACGCTGTACCTGGACATATCCCACTCAACGATAACAACGAACGCGTCAATTTGCACGCTCTGAGTCCATCAGGAGAATATTGCAGAGAGGTCAAAAGCTTCTGTTTCTCGGGAGGCATATGGCCCTGCCGTGTGTACCATCTTCTAGGAAAATGCTATCGCGGCGAGGCATGTGCATTCGATCACTCAGCATTGGGCGAGAGCGTTCTCAAAGTCTTGCGATATAAGGCCAGGCGAATTGCTGGTAGGCGTGGGTCGAAATGCCGGAGATCAGACTGTCTGTACGGTCACATCTGCCAAAGTAGAAGGCGTTTGGAAGCCAGTGATTCGGGATGTTCTCTGGGAATGTTCCATCAGGTCGACCCTACGGTTGTCAAGTGGGTTCAAGCCGGAGTTCAACCAGTGTACGTGGGCGGAGAAATCAAGGAGCTGTGATACGTGGCAAAGCATGTGGGTGTGGTATAGCCTAGAGCCTTGGGAATAACAAACATCAATGTACTCCGCCTTTCCTGACACCATCTTAGCTCGTACTATGAAATAGCTCGAACTTACCTTCGAAATGCTGCATTTCCAGGTCGCATCCCAAAGGAGTCAGTGTCGATCACCAAGACCCAGGTTTACTCCACTCCTTCCCCATACGGTCACAACGCACCCTCATCTCAACCCCTATCTCTCGTAACCCGTAACAACGACTCATTCCATCTCTATGCCATAGCGCGCAAGTCACTCGAGCAAATCTGGTGCCAGCGGCAGAATTCCGCCCGCGACCCACCGCCAAACCTTCCCTACCCAAAGCCACGCGAGCAGAAAGCCAACACATCAACCAAAAGCAGTCACCCATCGTACCATGAATGCATAAACGTGCGGCTCGAGCCGCTGCGAGACCACGGTCGCGGGTCCTGTGGTTGCGCAAGTTCTGCACAGTAATTGGCAGCTAGCTATAGGTGGCCTACGTCTGCCACGGGGTCTTGGTTGCGACTACAAGCTTGCGGGCAAGTGGATGCAGGAGGTTGGCCGGATGCGCGGACATAGGTACGAGGCCAAACAGGGAAAGTTTCGTGGCCAGAAGTGTACTTACAGACTACAATTCTGTAGGCGCGCTGTTGTGCTTGAGCATTAGGCCGCATGTAGGCAATGGCTGGCTGTCGCGCGTTGATTTTGATGGATGGGCGGTAGTTTGGACTCCCGGAACGCTTGTCTGGACGCATGCCGAGGTGCTGTGTGCAGACGATTCATGATGTGCATCCTAAGGGATTGATGAGTCGACAATCGTGGCCTGTCTGTGTGCAGCTCGAGCTGCCAGTCCCCATTGTGCGAATGCTAAGAGTGGAGACAGCAGGGCTTCAAGCAAGGCTGCAAGGAAGAGTACTAATCACTGTGTTTCCTTGAAATTGGCGATCAAACTGTCCAGGGTGTATGGAGATCCGTTTCACCCAATCCTGCAATCCTGCCGGTCCTGCTCGTTGTAGCTGAGACACGACCACGGACAGGCTTCACCGATCAAGTCTGGTCTAGCTCTCTCCGAGCCCATCTGCCGCTATCAGCATGATCTCGATAGTCATCGACAAAGGTCGGCCGTGTGTGAAGCGTAAGAATATGGGTATTGTAAGGTATAGTAACCAGATAGTGGAGATTGACCTCCGTCCACCTCATGCAAATTGCGTCATCTCTCAACTCATTATGTGCCACCCTGTGGTACTGGTACACTCCAAAAATACATGCACCTTGTCAAAGATGCGTACTAGATCTTATGTCCACCTCTTTCTTCCAACAATGCGTCTGACCTAAGAAAGACGTCGAACACGCTTCGTTGCGCATCTAAACGCGGAGCAGAGCACCAACAACGCCAACTTGCATGCCACATGGTCGTGGGAATGCACGTATATGCAAGATAAGAAAGTGGAACGTCAAGCGGACGTCAAGCCAGAAGCGCAGAATGGTATGCCAAAGTCGCCAAACGCCTCGCAGGAAAATCGACTCGAAACAAAACGTCGCAAAGGAATTCGTCGAGCCGTGGGTGAAGTTCAGATGTGGAGGCCTCAGTCTATCAGGTGTTACTGATGATGACTCGCGCACCTTCTTTGCCGAGCACGCCCCTCTCTTTCGCCTTCGGGCTCCTGTCCCGGCCTTTCTTTCGACTGAGGAAGCCCAGCATGCCTGATGGTTTTTCGGTCTGCGTGTTCTGTACAAGCGCAGAGCTCTGGTTAGCCATTTCGGACCATGATCCAGTACCGTCGAGAACCACCTGTACGCCTCCACCCATGCTTGTGCTGCGCTGCGATCCACGCGGACGACTGTTCATGGGCCGTGAGAACGACGGTGGCGTAGGCTCGGTAGGCTCAGCGGGGAAGTAATCTGCACGCTCTCCACGCTGCGACGCTTGCGAGCATGTCGTCGATTTGTTGCCTCGATTCAAGTTGGCAGTAGCTAGTGGAGGGCTACCGTTCGGCGAGTGTGTTGTGGATCGTGGGTTGGTCATTGTTGTTGAACGTGTAGGGTGGAGATCGCCCTCTTGAGATCGCTGCGTGGCCAATGGGCGGCCCCACGGATCTTGTTGAACGGCAACTGGGACCGGTGTATGATCGCTGTTGCTCTGATTGCTGGCCCTTGATCCACCTGTAGAGTCATTAGGATCTGCGACCACCACAGCTACAGGCCGCTGATCTGCGACCACAGTGTAGTTGAAAGGCTCAAACAGTGTCTCGATCATCTTGTGCAGTTCCTCCGCCCGTATCTCAGCCTCTGTTGCGTCATCCTTCAGTGCTTCTCTGGGCTTCTGCCTGCGAGCACGTGCCTCGAGCGGTGCTTCTTCCAAAAGCAACTCCTCGAGATCGTATGTGGCGTCGAAATTCGTCTTGTCGCTCGATGGGATGAAAACGGGAGTGATCTCCTTAGCCTCCAGTGCAATGAAATCGATGGGACGGAAGAATGGGTTATCGCTAAACGATTCGAACCCGATGGCACCAATTCTCCTCTTGCGGTCTTTCTCCAATAGTGAGCTGATGGCGTGGAGACAGGGCATCGATACGGGAGGGCTGGTCACGGGATAGGTGGGTTCGCCCTTGGAAATCTTCGCGGCGAGAGAGTCATGGCTGCTGGCTTCGAAAGGTCGCTGTTCTTGTCAGCTTGTCCTTGTGGAAGTCACAGAAAAGGCTGCTCACCTTGTTGTAAATGCACTCGTAAAAGAGTACACCGAGTGACCACCAATCGACCTCACACGAGTATCCCCTGCCCTCATATACTTCAGGCGCGAGGTATGCGAGTGTTCCAGACTTGCTGGTGAGCGGTTTGTAAGGGGTGAAATCTGAAGCAACGTTCTGGCGGTCGTTAGCGGTGCGTCCAGAAATCACCTCAGACCAGAACTTACAAAATCTGCCAGATGAACGTGCCCGTCTGAGTCCAGCAGCACGTTATCAGGCTTGATGTCCCTGTGCACTATGCCCTGCTGGTGGATGTAGCGCACGGCGCATCCAAGCTCAGCCATCCAGAAACGCACTGCCTCCTCGGTGAACGTCTTTCTCGAAATGTGGAATCGCAGGTCGCCGCCGTTCATGAGATCGACTACTATGTATCTGGCACCCGTCAGTCCCGCAAAGATGCATGCTGATCTTATCTTTGACATACAGATACTCAATGTCCTGGAAGCTGTAACGCAGGTTACAGAGAAAAGGATGGTTGAGATGCTCGAGCATCCGCCGCTCTCGAATGATATTTCGCACGCTCTCTGACCGTACGACTGTGACACAGCGTCAGCACTCAGGCCCCTAGCGGCCATGGGGGAGTGCAAGCAAACCTTCATCTTTTCTTATGTACTTGAGCGCAAATGTGAGGCCGGTGTCCTTACGCTCGACGATGCGCACTTTGCCAAAGGCTCCTTTGCCGACGACGCGCAGCAGCCGGAAGTGGTTGAGGTTCACTGCATTGTGGTCAGACTCGCTCCTTCCGTTCTTCACCGCAGGCGTGGCAGGTGCGGATCAAATGCAGCAGGGGCCATGACGCCGGGCTGCAGCACCGCACAAGGCGGCCACAGAGAGTACGCACCTTGGTCGGTGAACACCACGGGCTTGCCGTTACTCTGACCCATGGCGGGCTACGATTAGGAGCGGTGCAGGCGTCTTAATCATGCATCCAGACAGGCGGTGGAGGGCAGGGCGCTGCGGGCGGGGACAAAGGTAGATTCGCTTTGGAGTGGGCAGGTCGGGCGACAGACGGGGCCAAGGCAGGGTCCGCGGGGCCTCAGGCTTATAAGGTCCTCACGGGTTCTCAACACCACAGAAAGACGTCGACGGAGGAGCACGACACACGTAGGGCTGAGGCAGCGGGCAGGAATGACAGCGAGCCTTGAAAGGAGGCACGCAGTTTTGAAGCAGCGCGTCTTGTCGGCGTGTCCCAGGGCAGGCTAGCTTCGGCGTGCTTTGGTTCTTTGGCCAGTACGCCAGCACCTCAATGCAGTTCCACACCCTTAGTGCAGGTGGCGCGCCGCAGGGAATGCCGGCCACGTTTTGCGCTGCCTGCGCTGCGAAGACTGAATGGCAGGCGGCGCTAGGGCCCGTCAGGAGTCAGCAACCCTGTCGCTGGTGTTTCTGCGATATCTCAGGCAGATGGGTCGAAGCGCATGCTGATCTGAGCTGCTCCGTGTCGCTGGCAAACGCGGCAACTACATCTCCAGTGACCGCTGAGGGACTGCTTGTTCTCCGACAGCCAAATCCTAAGTTCGAATTTGGCTGCCTATACGTGTTCAGCCTGGGGATCATCAGGGCGACGACATGGTGCTGCATCATCACCAGGGCCTCAGACACCTCATTAAAGTGCACGTCTGCTCGACGCAGTGCTGGAACCACACGGATCGTCTCCACGGGCTGACATGCACTAGGAGCATTTCCTTCTGGAAGAAAGCTTCTATGGCAGCATCTCGCACACCGAAAAGCGCGTCCCGGCACAGTCAGCCGCGACGCTGCACACCAAAAACCCGCACCAACGCCGCGCCCATGCTGCAGCACGCCGATTGCTCGAGCGCCATTGTCTAGCAATACCCCCGCCGTCACGAGACATCGGCAAAATCCTACAGATCAGACGTCGTCTCGCTCCCGTCTGATCTGCGCCAGGCCTGCCACTTTCAAAACACAGGAATGAAAAGGGACCGCCGTGCAAACATGGCTCTCTTTGACGTGCCGGCATCCAATCTCCTCCACTTCGCCAAATCTGACGTCTGGGCAGCCGGTCCATCTTGCCCAGTTCACTCCCTCAGTCTCTGTCTTTCTGCAACTATGCGACCGCCTCCACGTGGGCCGGCGCAGAATGTCACTTATCCGCACGCCTCTCCGCTGGCGTTGATTCGACCTTCTTTGCTTTTGCGTTTCGACCCACTTCCTTCTCTGCATCTTCGGCCCGATCAGAACGCAGAAGCAGACGAGGATGTGGAGGGCTTGCAGCTTCGCTGTCCCCGAGGAGCTACAGATGCACTGTTGGTTTCTGTACCACCGAACGACAAGCACCACGACCAAGCGCGGCCTCAGGCTTGGCATGGTGCTGTGCACCAAAAGTTAAGAGAACAGAAAAAGTGCAGGCTAACCGAGCGAGCTCATCAAAGACAACGTCTAGACTTTCCGCGCACACGAGATCAGTTTTCACATGGCGAACCGCTGAACTTGGCAAACGCACAATTTCGTCACGCCGTAGGACATGAAACAGATCAGCCAGAACTGTTCAGGCTGTTTACCACCCCGGACGCCAGATCAACGGATCGCTGGACTGTCACATATACGTGGTTACTCAGGGGTAAATATCTGTGACATTGCCTTGCTTCGGCGCTACGTTCGACCGCTCCTCTAGGTATGTCAGTCGTACAGCACAAGTCTCTTAGGATCTCTCATGATTCAGTTCCGCTTCGTCGGAGCATTGTCTTCCGCAGTGCATCGCGGAAGGCAATTGACATGCCGTTGTATGCTACGGTATCTATTGTCGCAAGTGGAGCTCACGCACAGAGATCTCAACTCGGCTGGACAAACCTAGTTCGTTATAGTTCTTGGTCTGCATCACGTAAAGTGATTGCACAGAAGGCACAGGGTAGGCAGGTTAGGGCGGCCTCCGGAAGCTTGTGTTGTGGAGTAAGCGCAAAAGGTGAAGGTCGATTGGATTTTGTAGACCTGGGATATTTTCTCGCGGGAAGGTCTGCAAGGGGTATTTTCGGAAACGCCTCACTGGGCTAAGCACATGTTCTAGAAGACTTCCAATTCCATATGCATGCGCAACAACACATCCACGCGAAGCTACCTACTGCATCTCGGGAAGTGGTGCATCTCCCATTACCACCTCATTGCGTCGAGCTGCACTGCATCCTCACGTCACCTTGAGCCGATCGAGCATCGCCAAACTCTACGGGCACTCGGGTACGGGCATTACTCGAGGTCATTCAAATGAAGGCATCGGTCAGGGCTCAAGTAGGGCAGCCCTTACATAGAGGATTCGGGGAGCTGTACCATCGGTTGCGGCACAGTACGCCTACCACGCAACACCACGAATATGGTCTCAAGAAACGTCGAAGTACCGCTGCATTGACCCGGGCCCTTCCTATCGGGGCTCAAAGCTGTGGAGAGATTACTGTGCCTCTCCCAAGCATGCAGTGTTGCGGCTCTGACCGCTGTGTCTAGTCGTCTGGATTCAACGCCTCAATAAATCTTGCATCTCGAGGACGTGCGTCTCTACACACGACCTGTGCTCTGCAGTTGCTACGATGTGCGCTTCGTATTGAAACACCATTGTCCCTCATCGGTCGCTGCCATATCTCCGACCTCCAGACTGACATGCAGCAAGTTAGTCACCGCTGCAGGCCTCGCACCGAAGTTCAAGATTGCACCCGTCTCAACTTGCTATAAGGTTCCACGTCACCCGAAATGAGTACTGCCGAGGCGCATGCACCGTCGCGAAGTCGAACTTCCAGGCGCGTCCTGCATCTCGAAGCCATCATTTGCCAAATGCGGGAAGGGTTTGTTTCTCGAGAACCGCATCGTGCACTCCGGCTGGCTCGTCCTCGGTCAGCCGAAGCTACCCAGAGTTCAGTGCCTCGTAGCGAACATGGCGCTCGCCCATATGTGCCCGTGACGGATGTTGCGGTCCTCAACAAACGCCAATTGCTTCCGGATCGATGTGAGGGAGACTTTGCAGCCATCATAGTTCCTTCCGCGAATGTTGTCGTTGCTATTTGTGGCACGACGACGATCGGCTCGTGGGAGAAGGAGCTGACGGCCTAGGCCAAAACAAACTTCCGCCCGCCTTGCACGGCATCGACAACCCTACAAGGTCGAGGTCGCTTACATGCACAGCGAGCGCCAACATATGTCAGATGCTTGCATCCCGGAACCCAGGAGGATGTCTTCGAGAAGCATGGCCTGCGCTTTGCGCCAGCAGTAAGGTCGCACGTTGGTCGCTGCACTACGAATTTGGCACTTCCGGTAGCGATATGCTGTGCCTCCATTCTGCTACACGATGCCCGGCGCAAAGGCCATCAAGGTGCATTCGATGTCGTTTCAGGCAGGCAAACACCGACGTTGACATTCTCGCCGAGGCACCGAGGGCGTCATCGAGATTGCCTGCAATCAAGCGAGTATGAACATGAACAGCTCAACTGCAGCATCAGACTGCATACCTAGTCGAACAGTCCTTTAAGATGGCGGCCTCATTTCACTACCACGTGTCTCGGACCCAAAGGCATGTGTCTCCACCACGCCCTGCATCGAGCAGCCTCATAACCTGGCCCCCAAGATTCCAGCCTCCACATAGTTCAATGCTGCACCACCACACTTTCATATCATCATCTCCGCTCAGGTAACACGACACTTTTCGCGATGCAGTCCGCCCCGGCTACGTATGGTGTTTCAACAACCGGCGTGGTGACCACACCCGGGAGCACGAGAACGTGGGCAGGCGGCATACCGATGACGACCTGGGTAGCCGGGCTTGTCCGCACCACGTGGCGCTGCAGACAGAATATGCACGCAATATGCGGCTCTAGTATCCAATGCCCTGGGCGAGAAGGATTACGGTATGCAGATGGTTTGTACTAGACGGCTGTGCCACCTTCCTAGAACATCGGATGCTGATTCGTAGGGTGTGGATCGATGAGGTTTTATGTCGATGCATGTCGAGGGTCGTCGAGAAGACAATATTCGGGAAGCAGAGGCCGGACCTCTCGCAGCGATGCTGCGCTGTTTCACAGCCAGAAGAACGCTGCTAATGAGCATGACTGCCTGCTTTGGTGCGATATGCCACACACTTCTCACAAGAATCTCACCGGTCACTACACTGATCGGGCGACCCTCGTTCGATCGTGTCGCCCTCGTCGCTTCGGGTACTGTTCATACTGTCCAAGTCTTTAGAGAAGGGGCATGTTGCCCGTAACAGGTACAGAGAATTTAGAAAGGTCGACCGCCTACGCACCAAGAGAAAGGTAAAGCTGCCTCCGGCCAGCCATGCAGACTCTATGCTGTTCCTAGTGACAGTCAGCGTGAAAGACTCGTGTAGTCTGTTTTGTGCAGGTAGCCTCACGGCCCAAGATGGCCCTCACAAGATCGTGCTCGAGCTGTGATGGGCTCAACTAGACAAGTCGCATGGCAAGCGTCCCCATTGCCTACTTACACCGATTGGTGACTAGCACGACATAGCCTGAGTGGAAAATCTTCTCTGTTACAATTCTAAGTCGGCTCCGTTGTAGCTGGAGGGCTTCCATACTCCAACAGCACTCTACACTCATCCCCGTCTTCACCCCCAGCCATCCCCCAGCATCCCCAAAGCGACGCACCTCATAGCTTCCCCTTGCCCGGCAACACCCTCATAATGCTCTGCTGGCTCATACACGCCACGGCCCTCCCCTGTTCATCCCAGATCCAGCACTCGCTAAACGTCCGCCCCTCGCCCCCCACACTCGTGCTGATCTCCCGCAACAGCCACTCGCCCACATCCACGGGCCCGAAAACCCGCAGCGCGAAGTCAAGACTCGAACACGCCGCGCTGTCATCGAGATACAAATGGCTGAAGCTCAGCGGGCAAAACGACAGCGCGCCGTCGGCGTAGAAGGCCAGCGCCGCCAGGTGCTCCGCGGACGTGTCGAGGGGTGTGGCGCTACGGAACCAGTCTGCGGTTGTGCGCGCAGACAGCGGCAGCGCGTCCTGTGAGTGCGGCAGCGCCTTGGCGAGGCCAGAGAGGTTCTGCGCGAAGACGCCCTCCGGACACGGCCGGGATGTGAACAGCCCCGCCGCGACGGCGAAGGCAGCTGCGAACGCGGCGTGCTGCGCGGCGCTGATCTTGCCCGCCTGCAGCAGCTGCGCTGCCGCGTCGAGCGTCGACGGCAGCCCCACGTGGTGTGCGTACTGCCGCGACGGGGGGCGCGAGTACACCAGCACGCTCCCTTGCTCCGGGGCCTGGAAGTCCGCCGTCGCGGAGAGACACACGCGCGGCGTCCCGTCGTCCTGGATCTGGCTGACTTGCACCTGGCGCGTGGCAAACGTGCGCGTCTGCCGGATTGTGCGCGCAACGGCACGCAGCGGCCGGTCCGTCGACGCGGGGCCGAGATAGTTGCCCAGAAACGAGTAGAGATGGTAGCCCTTGGGCACGGAGAGACAGGCGGCCTTGCATGCCACGGCGAGCGCGTAGCCGCCGTACGCGATGGGAAGCGCGTTGCCCATGCGCTGCGGCGGGTGGAGTGTTGTCCATGAGTTCTCGCCCAGCTGTTGGAAGGCGAGTTGTTCTGTGAAGGACTTGGGCGCGGGGTCTGCCATTGCTGGATCGGCGCTGGGTCCAAGTGTGGTTTGTTCCGGGCGGGGATGCGGGTGTGAGAAGGAGAGGTGTTTGAGGTGGTGTGCAGTGGAATGGTACTGGTAGTCGACGACTACTCGGCGTGGCGCTAGCGGGTTGCCTCGGCTGTGAAGGGAGGCACAAGTGCAGCCACGGCAGGCTTCGTCGGAGACTGCGTCGGATGTTGGCTGGTGAGTGGAAGGCTTTGATGGGGGTGTGTTGGTCAACAGAGAATGCTCGAGTCCCGCATTGGCACGGTGCGCAAGACGAGCGCACGACGAGCGCTCGACGCTGGTATTCAGATAGATGCAGAACCCAACTACCAAATGCGCTTCGCAACCATGGCGTAGCGACTCACATGCCCGAAGCTTGTGCCTCTCTCGCGCTCCACCTCGTCCTTCCTGCGCGCCTTCTCGTCCCGCTCTCTCAGCGCCCGCAACCCCTCCGCATCATCGTGGTGAATGTACCGCCTCTTCTCCTCGTCGACATCCACCACGCCCCAGCCGCCTATGCGCTTCCCGCCCGTCTCGACGCTCGCCAGCTCCCGCTCTTTCATGCCGTGGCACCGCCGGCGCGCCACGCTCAGCAGGAACATGCCCAGCAGCAGCTTGAGGGCGAGCAAGAGGAGGTAGATGATGAGGAAGACGAGCAGCATGGTGCTGGCAGCGATCGAGTCGTCGAGGGTCCAGGCGGAAAAGGGGGCCCATGGGGATGTGGAGCCGGCGCCGAACGTGGAGCGGCCGAGTGCGCGGCGGAAGACGTGGTCGATGTGCGCGAGTGCTGCGGTTGTGGTAGGCGAGCTCGTGCGCTCGGACGTCAGGCTCGTGGAGAAGGAAGGCATGGGCGGCGGCATGTAGGTGGCGACGAACATGTGGTAGGTCTGGATAGCGGCGCGGATGAAGAGGCAGGAGAGCGGAATGACTGGTAGACCCAGGCGACGCGTCAGATTTGGGTCTTGGAAGGCGTTGGAGTAGTAGTCTTTCGCTAGGACGTCGAAGAACTTTCCATAGACCTGGGGTTTGGTCTGGTTGAATTTGGTAATGTATGCGTGCTTGAGCCAGTCGACTGCCATCTCGGAGCCGAGGACGAGCAGGAAGGGGTTCAGGACTTGCGCAATGTATTTGGGGAAAATGGTGAAGCTCATGGGGATGATGCTTGAGGCGGCGAAGGAGGCGGTGGTGGTGTTGGTCGCACCGCCGGTGAACATGGCAGTCCAGGAAGTAGCGCTGTTCTGGATACTGAGGCCGCCGACCTCGACCATGTTGCGCATGGCAATGATAAGTAGCATGAGCCAGAGCTGGAAGCGCTCGACGACGTCGGCACAGGTGATTTGGAAGAGCGACTCTTTCTCAAACTTCTTGAACACGGTGCCCTTGATCTCAACGAACTGGTTGGACATGAGCAGGGTCAAAAGCGCATTCGAGTACGAGTTGACGGCGACGTTGAGCGTGATGACCTGGTAGAAGAGCGCTGTAGCATGCACGACGGTGTACACGAGCGCGAGCAAGAACATCCAGAACGGACGGATGACCTTGCTGCGGCCGTCAGGGCTGCGATCAAGCGTCTCGCGGGAGAAGAGGCACTCTAGAATGTCCTGCCCGAGGGCTGACAGTAGGCGGTCGCAGACTTCGAGAAGGTTGTAGATGACGTAGAGCTTGATGGCAGACTGGCCGCGGATACCGTGGTACATGCGGCTCGCATCGAAGCGCATCAGAACGAAGCAGCTGGCGACCACTAGCAGACCTTTGAGGATATCTGCCTTGTGGTTTGGCAGGAGCAGAGATGGTGTGGACTTGGTCCGGCGATGTCGGAAGCGTGAGTTCCGACTCCTCTTAGGCTTCGGTTCCTTCAGCTCCGGAAACTTGAATGTGGTCACCGTCTCGCCGTTCTGCCGTGCAGCAGCTGGGTGAACAGTCTGCGAGACATTCGCTGAGGGCTTCCGTGACAGCGATGGTGGGTGTTCGTCCGCTGGCGTTGCAGCGGGCGTTGGTGTGTCGAGAGGATTTCTACGCCTCTGCCACACTCGCGGCAGACCGCTGTAGACGTATGCAGAGAGATGACGGAACTCCTTGACGATGACAGAGCCCCACCACTTGATCAGCACCCCGGCAGCAAGCAGGAAGCGCAGGGGCAGGATGGTCATGACATGCATCCAGGCGTCCAGACAGGCAAGAGCGCCAAAGGCTAGCACGCCCTCGACCTGGAAGGGTATCTGCAGAAAGTTGAGCAGGCGCTCGTACTTGATGGCGGACGACTCATAAGGGAAGTCATCGGTCGACGGGCGGTAGATGTACAGCGGAGACGGCCGACTGGCGGACAGCTCCAGGGACAAGAAGGTCGGCATGGACATGGGCGGCAGGGGCAATGCTGGAGCGGATTCCAGCAGCGGCGAGGGCGCCAGCTTCTCCGTCCGGCGCTCCCCTCCGCCGTCTCTCTCGTGGGTCTGTGCCGTCTGGGTGCGTGATCGGGTTCTCGAGTCCGTCCTGCGGATGACGGGCGTGGTGACTGACCGCGAGTTCAGGCCCGGCCGGCCATGCCTCAGCTCTGCGGCCGGCGTCTTCAGCACGACAATCTCCTTCTCCTTCTCCTGCCGCGGCTGGGGACTGCGCGAGCTCCGCGGCTGCTTCCCGCCGCTCGCCGACCGCTCGTCCTTGCGCTGGATGGGCCTCTCCAGGACGACGCCAAGCACGCGGTGGTCATCGCCGGGCTCGCTCTCGAGGGCGTCTTCGAGGATGGGCGTCGCAGCGCGGATCGGGATGTTGGCCGGCTCGCTCGTCAGCTCCAACATCTGGCTCGGGGTGAGCTTGAGGACCCGGACATGCTCCGACACGCTGCTCGTCCTGCGCACGTCGCCGGGGCGCTTGATGGGCCGTATCTTCTCGCTTGTGTCCGACAGGACGGCGTCCTCGTGCATGCTAGTGCGCCTGCTACTCGGAGCGCCGTCCAGCGCGGGGCTGCGAAGATTGGTGACATCTTGCAGCGGCGTCTCGGTCTTGGTGTAGGTGTTGCGCGGGCCGTCCGCTGATGCCACATGGCCAGGTTCGGGCGTCGACGCGGGCGTGGGCAGCTGCTCCGCTGTGCGCGCGTCACCGTGTGTGTGTGATTCCAGCCCATTCATAGCGCACAGGACTCAGACGGGCAGCCAAGTGCATCTTGCAGCGTGCGTGTCGAGAGCCTGACGTCGGTCGATGCGCATCGGCTATTATCGAGGCGAGCTGCTCTCTATCGATAACAATTCTCCGGCCACCGAGTGCAGAATCGACGACAGGCCATGTCTTTGTGTGTGAAATATCCTCTCATCTACTTTCACCGCTCTGTCAGGTTCTGCCCTTCAGATGCGTCCGGATGATATGGCCCACGTTGACGACATGGGAGCGAGCAGTTGGGACGAGGTCAGTGTGCAGAGCCCACCGTCCTCGATGAGCTTGGTTCATTCTGGACTCATGCCTGGCATCAAAAGGAACTGCTCTTTTTCAGATGATGAGCCGCCGCTCCTACCTAGTCATTGTGACTAGGAGCTCGTTTAGGCTTCTTCACTGGACGATGGTCAGGCGTTCTAGACAGAAGAATCACCTCTCCATTCACAAACAGACACCAGCACACGGTACAACCGCGAGACCACCATGACACCCGTAGGCCAATTCCACCGCACCATGTGAAGTGCGAGGTGACATGCCCACATCGACATGCTTCAATGCGGCCAAGGACAAAACACCGCACAGCGCCAAATCCCTTCAAGTCAAGACCACGCTTCAGCAAGGCGCTCAGCATGCCGCCCCAGCAGCTCACACTCGTCCGCCACGCCCAAGGCTTCCACAACCTCAATATCGAAGGCCACCGCTTCCACGACCCCCGCCTGACGCTCGAAGGGCACCAGCAGTGCCGCGACCTAGCCTGGAAGCTCGACGACGTGTACTCGATCGACTGCATCGTGGCCTCGCCGCTGCGGCGAACCCTGCACACCGCGCTCCTCGTGTTCGAGGCGCTGCTGCGCTTCAAGCCCGCGCTGCGCATCCTCGCCCTCCCCGAGCTGCAGGAGACGTCTGACCTGCCGTGCGACACCGGCAGCGCGGTTGCAGACCTGGAGCACGAGTTTGCAAACCGGCCCGTGGATTTCTCCCTCGTGCCGACTACTTGGACAGACAAGGTGACGGGCATCTTCTCGCCTCGCAGCGACTGTATCGCTGCGCGGTGTCGCAAGGCGAGACACTTCCTCGCCGGTCTAGACGCGGTGCACGTCGCGGTAGTCGCGCATGGCGCCGTGCTGCACTACCTGACAGACGACTGGTACGGCGCTACGAGTGGAATCGGTATGCGACTACACACCTGCCCGCAAGACGAGGCTGACAACTGCAGGAACCGGCTGGTACAATTGCGAGGCGCGCATCTACCACTTCGACACATGTACTGATGCGGGCATCGTCGAAGCATCGATTGTCGAGACAGACAAGAGTAGATTAGAACGGACACGCACTGTGCACCGCTTTTCGAAAGAGCAGCAGGAGGAGATGAAGAGCGAGGCTGAGGCGAGCTGGTCGCGGGATGGGTATATTGTGCTCTCCGAGGGGACTGGACATCACGAGACGGATAGCGAAGAGTCCAAGTGTGGTAAGATAGAGGGCTCCAAGTCGAAATGGAGGGTGAGACCAAATGGGCAAAAGTGTTGCATCCTGTAAGATTAGCGACGGTCTGGATGAACAGTGGCCTACACATGAGATAAACATGGTCCCCACGCAAACGCTTCACCCCAACACTCACGCCTTCGTCGCTCGCCGTGCATGCGTCCCCCAATCCCAGAACCCTCAGTACTCATCCCCAACACCGCTCCAACGTCAACTTTCCCGCCCCGAGAGCGCGGATGCGGTGTGCTTAACCTCCGCTCCGTATCGTTGTGTGGCTGCTGCTTGCTCGATCCGAGGGTGCCTTCCTAGTGCTCGGGGGCGGATCCTGTAGCCACCCGTTGCCACCTGGTTTCCTGCACCGCGGAGCGTCTCGGACGGTCGGTTCGAAGCGTGGTGAGGGCGAAACGCGTATCCCTCACGACAGCGTGCAGCGTGCAGCACACAGCGTACAGCGTACAGCGTACAGCAATGCATTTCTGAGCGAGCAAGCGCTCAACTGCGTGCACGCAGGGCAGCCAGCCCAGCAAAACAATGCCACGGACATCGGGCAACAGCACTGCGAAGGAAGGGTGTCGTGTGAGCGTATCCTAGCTACTCGTTTAGGGCTGACTGTGTCAAGATGCTGCTTGTCCGCGGTTGGTGCGCGGTCCAATGACAGGCCGCGCAGCACAGGCGCCATTGTGTACGCCAAACTTCCTCGCAACATTCAACGTCTCCATAACAGCGTCATAGTGCGCGTCGGAACCGCCGGCTTCTAGTCGATGTGAAAGTTCGACAGCGATCAACGTCATAGCTGCCCCGGCAGCAGTTGCTCTCTTGCGCAGCGCGCTTCAGCAGCGTGGTCGAGGAGTGCTGGTGAGTATCTGGCGGTCATTAAATCTACACAGTGGAACCCCGAAGTGGCTATCCCCACCTCACAATGCAATCTCCCGGCGCAGATCCTGGCTGGGTTTAGAGCGCAAAGTCCCTAATTTCAGCTCCACGAACTGCAGGTTCCGTCAGATTGCGGTGCCACAGCCACAGGGCAATCGAGTAAGCTCAGCGCGTGCCTTGCGGTACGGCTGCCGATGCAACGCAATCTGCTCCTTGCATTTCGGACGAGACGCCTCAGCTGTGCCATCTCTCACCGTAGACAGCATACGACCTTCTCTGGCGTCAGCACCTGGTCAATACCAGCAAGCCTGTTCCCGCGAGTTGGGTGGGAGTACGTTGCTCGCAGCACACGACACGGCCAAACAAGGCAATGTGCGATGAAAAAGCAGCTGCTGAAAACAAGTGGCGCCCGTAGGATGACGATCAGGGACCCCAGCCACGCCAGGTTCGTCTTCCTAGTCTCGATGAGGTCAGATCTCTCCTAGCTCACCCGGTGTTGGCAACGAAACACTGCAGCATTGATCATTCCGTCGCTCCCGTTCTTGGTTGTGCCCACTCATATAACATTGTGTATCCGCTGTCGTTCTTGGTATTTCTATATTTCCTTTCTTGAGTTACACTATTCTTCTCATTCATAGACTGAAGTCTGAGATGAAGTACACATCCTTTCTTGCGGCCTCGGCCTTTACAACATTAGCGAGCTGTATGTGTTGCAATGACGTCGGTCCTCCCCTGCTAACTGGCCCCAGCTTCTGCTATTGAGGCTCGTCACGCAATTGAAGCTCGCAGAGTTGCACCTGTCGACTATGCTCTCGACAAGCGTGCCTCACCGCAGGCGCCCAACGGTTACGCGCCTGCTGTAGTCGACTGCCCGTCGACGCGCCCTAGCATCCGCTCGGCAGACAAGCTTTCCGAGTCAGAGACATCATGGCTGCAGAAGAGGAGGCCCAACACAGTGGATCCCATGAAGGACTTTTTGTCGCGTGCCAGCATTCCCAACTTTGATGCAAGTGCATACATCGAAAAGCACCGCAGCAACACGACCGCGCTTCCAAACATTGCCATTTCATTCTCTGGAGGAGGATATCGTGCTCTCCTGAACGGAGCTGGAGCTCTCGCTGCATTCGACAACCGCACACGGAACGCGACAAGCAGCGGTCACTTGGGTGGGTTGCTGCAATCTACGACATATGTCTCAGCGCTGTCCGGTGGTGGTTGGATGCTGGGCAGCATCTACGCCAACAACTTCACGAGCGTGCAGAGCATTCAGGACAAGGGCGAGGGAAGCGCGATTTGGCAGTTCCAAAATTCGCTCTTCAAGGGTCCACCCACTGGTGGCATTCAGCTCCTGTCCACAGCGGACTACTTCCACAACCTGGTCAGCACGGTCAGCGACAAGGTCGACTCACCCGCGGGCGGGTTCAACTCGTCCATCACCGACTACTACGGCCGCGGCCTTTCTTTCCAGTTAATCAACGCCAGCGATGGTGCTCCTGCGTACACCTTCTCTTCTATCCAGGATGACCAGCTTTTCGCCAACGGTGAGGCACCCATGCCTATCCTGATCGCGGATGAGCGTTCTCCCGGCGACCTCATCGTCTCTCTTAACGCGACCGTTTTCGAGTTCAACCCGTTCGAGATGGGCTCGTTCGACCCAACCACGTACGGCTTCGCGCCCTTGAAGTACATTGGATCCAACTTCTCCAACGGGGCTCTTGCACAGAGCGAAGGCTGTGTTGCTGGCTTCGACAACCTGGGCTTCGTCATGGGCACCAGCTCGTCGTTGTTCAACCAGATCTTCCTGAGCCTGGGGAGCTTCAGTCTCCCTGATTTCCTCACCTCCGTCATCACGGACGTCTTGACCAAAATCGGCAAGGACCAGAACGACATTGCCGACTACACACCCAACCCGTTCTACGGCTTCCACAACGACACCAACCCCAGCTTCGACCACGAGCGCCTTACCTTGGTGGATGGCGGTGAGGATCTCCAGAACATTCCTCTGAACCCCGTCATCCAGCCTATGCGCGCCGTCGACGTCATCTTCGCGGTCGATTCGTCGGCAGACACGATCGCGCCATCTGCGCCCAACTACCCGAACGGAACCGCGCTCATCGCGACATACGAGCGCTCCGAAACGCCAATCATGAACAGGACGTCGTTCCCGTACATTCCCGGGCACGACACGTTTGTTGCGCTCGGGCTCAACAACAAGCCCACGTTCTTCGGCTGCAACAGCAGCAACGTGACGGCGGGCGGCAACATCCCGCCTCTGATTGTGTACCTGCCCAACTCGCCGTACAGCTTCGAGTCCAACACGTCGACGTTCGGCAAGCTCGACTACACGCTCGCGGAGCGCAACGCCATGATCCAGAACGGCTACGACGTCGTCACCCAGGCCAACTCGAGCCGCGCGGGTTCCGAGTCGTGGCCGACGTGCGTCGCCTGCGCCGTCCTGTCGCGCAGCTTCGAGCGCAACGGCGACGCGGTGCCTGACGCGTGTCAGCAGTGTTTCTCCACGTACTGCTGGAACGGCACGCTGGCGAGTTCTTCCGAGCCGTACTTTCCTCGGATGCTGGCCGAGGCTTCTGTCAAGGATAACGGTGTGGGCAGGTTTTCGCCCAACGCTGTCGGCGTTGCGCTGGCAGCGGCCGTTGCGGGGTGGCTCGTGGTTTGAGTGGTGGGGCGGGGCGGGGCGGCCTTTTTGTGTTTGCATCTAGGGGGGCATTGCTGGCGCTTGTTTGTGATACCATTTGCTTTGTTTTGCATGTACATGGCATTCGTGTCGTGACCTTGGACGACCGTCTAGACTGCAAATAAGTGTGACACTATTTGCTTTGTTTTGCATGTACATGGTATTCATGTCATGACCTTGGATCACTGTCTAGACTGTGAGTAAGTGTAACACCATCTGCTCTGTCTTGCACGTACATGGTATTCATGTCATGACCTTGGATCACTGTCTAGACTGTGAGTAAGTGTGACACCATCTGCTCTGTCTTGCATGTTGGTGTTCAAGTGAACGACTGACGACTGTGTGATTACTCCAAAAGCGCAGCCCCCGGAGCTCACCGTCCAATCACACGCGACGTACGTGTGTAGACGACGACCCCTGCATGCGGCTCTTCGACATTGCGCCGATCATCTCAGCCCCCCGCCGAAAAGTTTCCCAACGTCAACCCCGCCGACTGCCCCTCCAGACAAACAAACAACGCAGCGCAAATGGCGGTCCCGGCTCTTGCGGGCGCGCCCGTGCTGTCGACGCCCGACACACACTCGTTCCAAGACCCGACACCTCCCGTCGACACAGACAGCCCGCGCCTGACGGACGCGCAGCTCGCAGCCACGTACGAGATACCGCGCACCGTCGCCGAGATCTGTGAGGGGCGGTGGAAGAGGATTGCGCTGCAGTTTCCGGATCACTTGCTTGTTGATGCGCCGCGGGTGTATGGGCTGCTGAGCCGGGGGCTGGCGGCGGAGGGGCAGCGGAGTGGGAGGGCGGGGGTCGAGGAGCTGAGCGCGCGGCTGGAGACCAACATGGGCTTGGAAGAGAGGCGGGGCGAAGAGACGCAGGGTGAAGAGACGCAGGGCGAAGAGACGCAGGGTGAAGAGAGGCAGGGTGAAGAGAGGCAGGACCAAGAGAGACGGGGCGAAGAGAGACGGGGCGAAGAGAGACGGGACCAAGAGAGACGTGACCAAGAGACGCGGGACGGCGAGCACAGGCTGTTCATCCTCGGCGACACGTCCTACGGCGCGTGTTGTGTCGACGAGGTCGCCGCCGAGCACGTCGACGCCGACTGTGTCGTGCACTACGGGCGCTCATGTCTCTCCCCGCCGTCGCGACTGCCCGTCATCTACGTCTTCACTGCACGCCCGCTCCAGCTCGACCACACGGCTTCGGCCTTCGAGGCAACGTACCCCGACAAGGCGCAAAAGGTCATTCTGATGGCCGACCTGCCCTACGCGCACCACATTCCCGCGCTGCACACGCGCCTCGAGGCGGCCGGCTACACGTCCCTCTTCTCCACCGCCGTCGTCCACGACCCCGCCTCCCCGCTGCCAAACCGCACAACGCCCCCGGCCACCGCACACGGCAACACGGCCCTGCTCGACTGGGCCCTGTTCCACATCGCCCCGCCCCCCGACTCGCTGCTGCTCATCCTCGCCTCCCGCGTCGCCTCGACACACATCTGCCCCGCAACGCCGGGCCCCACACGCCCGGCCGCCGAGGTGGCCAACACCCGCATGACCCTGCGGCGGCGGTACGCGCTGTGCACCTCGCTGTCGACGACGCCCGTCTTCGGCATCCTGATCAACACGCTCAGCGTGCGCAACTACATGGGCATCCTGGCGCACGTGCAAAAGGCCATCGCCGCCGCGGGGAAGAAGAGCTACACGTTTGTGGTCGGCAAGGTCAACGCCGCCAAGGTCGCCAACTTCAGCGAGGTTGGGGGCTGGGTCGTGATCGGGTGCTGGGAGAGCAGTCTCATCGAGTCCAAGGATTTCTGGCGCCCGCTCATCACGCCGTTTGAGCTGGGCATTGCGCTGCAGGACGACGCGCAGCGCGTGTGGACGGGCGAGTGGAGCGGCGATTTCGCCCGTATCCTGGCGGACGCCGAGGCGGGGGCCCAAAGGAACGGGGAGGGAGAGAAGGAAGAAACCAGCACCGCGACGCCGACCAGCACCGACGAAGCGGACTTTGACTCGGAAGAAGACTCGGCACCCCCCGAATTCGACCTCAGAACCGGCCGCTACGTCTCGCACTCGCGCCCCATGGCCCCATCCCGCTCCAAGCCCATCCGCCAGTCTTCCACCACCACAGCAGCAGCAGCAGCAGCAGCAGCAGCAGCAACAACAGCAGCAACAACAACAACAGCAGCAACAACAACAGCAGCCGCAGCAGCAACAACAACAGCAGCAGCAGCGCCCTCCACTGCGCTCGCAAAACGCGCAACCGGCGCCTTGGCGGCTGTCAACGGCGTCGTCTCGCCCGGCGCCGAGTTCTTGACGACTCAGAGGACCTGGGTTGGCTTGGGGAGCGATTACAACGACCCTGAGACGGGGCGCGAGACGGAGCGCGCGGCGACGATGGAGCAGGGGCGCAGTGGCATTGCGAGGGGGTATCGTGTTGGCGACGATCAGACGACGAGTTAGTGACGGTCAGACGACGAGTTGGTGACAATCAGACGACGAGTTGGCGACGATCAAACGACGAGTTGGTGACGATCAAACGACGAGTTGGTGACGATCAAACAACGAGTTGGTGACAATCAGACGACGAGTTGGTGACAATCAGACGACGAGTTGGTGACAATCAGACGACGAGTTAGATGCTTTGGCTTGTGCTGTGTGAAGACCAGCGCAACAGCGACGATTCCGAGTGTCGTTCCCGAGCCTTGGCTCGAGTGAGGGCGTACCTCACAGGGGATGCTCGTACATCACAACATGACCGACCATCTCTGGGATTTCTAGGATCTAGGGCTTGCGTACGGCCCCTTTTGCCTGGGTGCACCGCGAGAGCCATGACACCAAAATAGCATTCTAGGTGTCATTATCCGGGAGCTATAGCTCGGGTGAGTATGTACCTCGCAAACGCATCGGGGCTCGTGCGTGTCGATTGCAGTTCAAAAGAAGAGAGGACGTGACTTGGCGTCTGGTTGTGTAAATCTCCGAATGCTTGCGGCATGAATCGCACGCGCACGGTGTGGGGCACTTTACGAGATGATCGGCCTTGTATGGTATGTAGTACTATAGTGACATGTTGCGATCTGTTGCTAGAAGTACCTAGTGATCTGTTGCTAGAAGTACCTAGTGATCTGTTGCTAGATGTACCTAGTGATCTGTTGCTAGATGCACCTAGTGTGTTGCTAGATTGTGACCCACTACCACCCATGGCATGAAATCTCCCATTGTCTTTCTGGGTCACCCCAGGTACAGAGTACGCATGCAGTCCAACAGCCCAGACCTATCCCCAGCACAGAGTGTCACGACAAGACGAGCATCGCATCCCGGCTGGTCCGCAATCACACTGTAAACATGCTTGACCGCCGCCAAGCGCACTGCTCATGCTCCTTCCACATGCACCAAGTCCCTCCGGTCCCTCTGCACATCCCGGTCAGGAAGTCGCTAAGGCGGCTGTATATTTTCCGCCGCCGAGCGACATCTGCCGCCGGGGGCCCAGAAGTCGTACTCCACTCACTCACCATCTGTGGTTGTCAGACTGGTGAGAATCGCTAGATAAGTCACTGCAAACGAGGCTGTGGAGTGCGGGATTCCGCTACTGGTATCCGTATCCGAAGTGAACAGGTGAGCAGGTGTGTGTGCTCTGCTGCACGTCGAGGAAAAGCAGGCGGTCTCGCACACCATTGGATCGGCGCACCGCTCGTCCAGCGCCGGGAGCCAAGCGGGAGATGGCTGTGTGCTCTGGGCGCCGCGCATCATGCGCACCATGCGCACCATATCGCCGCTGACTGACTGTCTGCGTGCCGCCGCGAAGTGAGCGAAGACGCGCCGCCGTGAGCGAAGACGCGCCGCCGTGCTGGCCCTGCTGTCTCCAACGTCGTGGCCTCGCTGTTCTCATCGAATTAGTTAGCTAGCCAGCGGGCCGTCATCAGGAACACGACGCTGTCGCTATGTGTAATTATCGATGATCGACGTCGCATCCACAGCATCCGGAGTCGCGCGTGCTACCCACCCACCTACCCACCTAGTCAGCTAGTCAGCTAGCCTCCAGCGCGCACATGTGCCGCGAAAAGCAAACATCGTTGCATGTTCGCACGAACAGAGGCTTGGAGATGCTACCCTTCGCTGCGCAACCCAGCACCGTGCATGCAGACCTGCTGGTCGGATGCGCAGGCGGCGAATCAAGACCGGCGAAATCTCTTCCGTGCAGTAGAGCAGGGCGTGGGCCGCGGTTGGATTGGTGGAGAGCGGGATGCCCTGCACCTGCAAGACGTCACCTAGCCTGCATCGCTGGACTCGTGGAGTTGCGACGCTAACCGCGCTGACAGGCGTTGCGGGCGTGGTGGGTAAGGATGAGCGAGCGATGCTGGTGTGTAGGACGAGCGAGTGATGCAGACATGAAGGACACGGCGGTGATTCAGTTTGCTGTATTCTTTTCATTTCGGTAGTATGCTGTAGCCTCTACATTGCTACAACGCCGAGACTATGTTCTATGATTTTGCGCAACCAATGCAACCAACCCGTGAAAACACCACCCAGATCTCTTGTGTATGTACGGATGCGCGTGAGTCAAAGTGCCAGCGACGTAATGAAACATACTTGACCAAGTCAAGTATGGAAAAGAGAGTTCGGACCAGGTCTATAGAGTATACACAGGCGACTGGGGGTTCGAAAAAGCCACAAAGGCTGGGAAGAAAGTAATAATAGAGATCGGCTCGAGAGGTATCACTGCACACCAGTACCGTCATCAATCATGGCGTCATCAAAGGGACTGAGTCTGTGACGAAGCCCGGTGCCCTTTCAGGCGTCTAAGACTTGGCCTGGACCTACTACAGCCAGTTCTGTGTGTAGGTAGTGTCAAAAGAATTCATGCCGTCAAAAGCCATTAGGTTTTGCTCCATGGGCCAAGGGTTACTGGGAACGACGTCATCGAAGTTGCCAGGGATAGCTATCGCGGCAGTGTCGGCGAAGTCGGCCATACTGGTCGTGGGCATGGTCGTTGGAGCTATGCTCTGGCTCTTGGAGAAGTCGGACTCGAAAGGTTGGCTTATTGACATAGTCGTGACGGGTATTGACATGGGAGCGATAAGATTCTCAGTTGGCATGGCGGTGCTGAAGCGGTAGACAGGCTGATCTTCCCAGAAAAGGGACTCGCTGGCAGCTGACTGGGGGGCCTTGTTAAAGTCCATGTCGGCGAATGGGTTCGGCTCTCCAATCTCCGAGTGAACAGAAGAGGCAACGGTGAGGCCGGGGCCGCTTTGTTTCGACTCCCCACTGTGCGAGATTGGCTGCGCCAAGCTGTCGTCAAGCTTGCTGGGATCCAGAGGAAGGTCCCCAGCAGACCAGATGGGATCGAAGCCAGCAGAAGGAATAGACCATTGATTATCCAGATTAGGGAGACACTCTTGCGATGGAGAGGTTGAGAGGCCACCAAAGTCGAAGTTGTAATTGACAGGAGTCCCGGTGGTCGTGGTCCATGGCCACTGCTGGGTTGAAAAGTTGTCGCTCGCGTTGCTCTCAGGAGAATTGCTGCTGTCGTGGGCACCGAATGCGCCGTTCTGGTTGTTGAAGAACGAGTCTTGGAAATTGAGAGTGTCAAGACTGCCTGCCATAGTCGTCATAGGTAGGTCGTTCGGACGCTGGCCGTTTCCGAGGAAGGCGTAGAAATCGGGGTTGGAGAGCGACAGCGTGTCCATGGAGCGCGAGGCTAGAGCGGGCGCCTCTGGCTTGACGTTGTAGTTGTTGTCGCTCCTAGCCAAGGCAACAAAGGAAGAATGACCGTGCAGCGTGTGCGGGCGTGGGATCTTGTACGGCATGCCAGACACGTGGGCGGTGTTGTTGCTACGGTGACAGGGCTTGTGATGCCCGTTCGCGAAGACGGTCAAGTGACTCTCAGATTGCGCCGTCGTGAGCTTCGGTTTCGCGCGAGCCTCGTGGAGTGTCTGACGGCCAGTGTCCATCTTCAGGTCAAGAGGTTCTTCCTTGATGGTGCCACATACGCACTTGCCGCCAGAGTGGCACTGACAGCCGCTGACATGAGCTAGACTATCGTCAGAGTTGACACGGCTCAGCGCCACAGGCACAATCTCACCCGTCGCGTCGCCCTTGTCTTTGTGCTTGTCCTTGTCTTTCTTATCGCCACAGTCGCACTTGGCGTGATGAGACTTGGACTTGCGTGCGCCGCGACAATGCTCGCATTGCTTGACTGGGCGACCCTTGGGGTTGATGTGGTGGAGTTCTCGATCTGCGAAACATAGTTTAGCCCATGTCTCTTCATGCAGTAGCCTATGCTACCGAGTGCCGAGGCGTGGCATACCATTGTGGGTGCAGCCGCTCACTCGGTGACCTTTGATGCAGGACGAGCAAGCCCATTTTTCTCCGTCGATGACAGGCATCCCGGGATGATTGACGGCCGGTTGCGGTCGTAGGTGCTGGCGATAGCAGCTGCGCAGTGAGGGTCCTTAGGCCGCAGCACCAGCGGAAAGAAAGCAAAGACCAACGGCGTCGCGGGGACACTGCTGGTCGGGGATAAAGATACAGTGCGGAAGAAGAGGATCGAAAGCAGGCAAATCAATAGCAGAGGGGTATCGTGATCAAGGGAGGGAAGCACGCCGGGCTGGGCTGAGTTGACGAGGACCGTGAACGCCGGAAGAGGACCGAGGACGACAGAGTGGAGAGTGGAGAGAGGAGCGGGTGATGTTCAAGGGGGAACCGAGCGCAAGAGGCGCTGGCCGAAAGCGTGGAGCGTGGTTCCTGAGGAGACCGCCAAAACACCAGTCTGTGGAGTCGCTGTGCCGGAGTAGTGAGAGACGAGGAGAGCGGCGAGGGCAGCCTCTCAAGAAGAGGGCATGCGGACCAAGAGCCAGGCCAATTACAGGCGGCCTGTGTGTGGGCCGACTAGCGCTGCATCGATACCGTGTCCGTGCTGAAATATGCACCTCGATCCTGGCTCAGCGGCGGCGCGCAGCGAACCTGCGGTCTCCCACACGAGGCGCGGGCTCACCGCATCCGTTGGCTCGTTGGGGCGCTCTCGACGTGCTCCCCTCACCCGCTGCTGGCTGGCTGCTGGCTGGCTGCTCGCTGCCGAGCTTCGACCCACGCTGCGTCTGCCCTGGCAGGCTGGTGGGATTCAACAGCCCTTGACCTTGCCATGACCTCGTCCCTCGACTTGTCAAGCATCAGCCTGCGGAAGGCCTCCGTCTTGCGCCAGCCAGCGAAGAGTGAGTGCCCATAATGTCGCCGCATCGGCTGCAGTCATGTGTGTACTACACCATGTCGTCCATGGTGTGTTTCATGACCTTCAGAAATTGCTTTGTCGATTCATGGAGTCCCCTTCTGCCGCGACCGTCGTGGCGCACAGAGCACAACTACCGTTGCCAAGTGAAGATCGGTCTGTGCAGCTATGGTACCTACTGGCAAGCTGTCGACTTGCGGGCCTGTGCTCTCAGGTACGATGCTTCGACCCTATTATCATTATTCTTCGTCTCGCCGAAGCGCACTGTGTACGAGGCGCTAGCTACCTGTAAAGGCATCGTTTTCGGCCACGGCATCCATTGTGGAGTGGATTGCCTCCACGCTAGGTACTTCCCGCTGGTCCCTGGAACGCTGGGCAAACTGTTGGTGCTCGCTCATGCGTCGAAACGCTCTATCCGCTTCTCCACGAGCATCTGTGTTTGATGCTCCCCTTAATACAGTTCGTATGTTTTAGTGAGCCTTGGGCTTGCTGACCACAGACCCTGCTTTCGTTCGATGCTGCAGGTGGCCATTGCTAGCTCATGACTGTGCCGCAGCGTTGGCCCTTGGGTGCACAGTTGCACGTGATACCGGCTCGGTTGCAGGTTGAACAGGCCTATAGTTTGGCAGATGTCAGCATGTATCTGGCAGCTATAGGTGCAACGGGGGAACGGCCTCGGAATGACCTTGCCTGTGGAGGTGGCAAGGAAACTGGATGCTGGAGATGTGGAATCAAGTTCTCGGCTCAGCATGCTCATTAGACACGGATGAGGTTTGAATGCGCATGCAAAGCTGTCAATACATTGCACGTTTATCACGGCAAGGCGCATCTAGTAGAGGTAGGTGCTCGTTCTGCTATGCGCAGTTGATGGAATGGACGACTCTGTACCAAACTGTGTACCAACATACAGGACAGCCACATTGTACTTGGCAAGACAAGCAGTTCAACTCATCTGCCACCGAAAGCGTCCGTCGTATTGGAAATTGGCGTCCAACATCCGTGAAGCAATATGTAGTCAAGTTGTCTTCGCTACAATTCGAGCATGGGGCCATGTCATAGGCCACAATTGAAGCTCATTCTTATCTAGCCAGCGCCTAAGAGCTTCAGCGCCTTGTTCTCTCTTGGAACTGTAGGCAACAACATGTTCAAGCACTTGCACGAGCGATGCGCCAATGAGGTCTGACCTTGATATCAAGATTTTAGTGTTCGCGCCCTCATATCTTGACAACCGTCGAATCGTTCTTCCGATCCTTAGACGCTAACCGCTTGCCATCCTGAAGTAAAGTGAAGTCATATCGATCAGAACCACCATGATTTCACTTTACTTCAGAATGGCATGCGGTCGAGGGTCGTCCCCTTCGTGCTGTTCAAAAGGCGCTAGTGCCAAGCAGCGCAAAACTCCCGGTCACGCTTCTTCAACTCGACGATAACGCGAACGTCGCGTAATCCCTCCAACGCCCTCAAGCACCCAGTCGTCGCGCGCCACAACGGTCGAAGCATCCGAAAACTGCAGCACGCGAAAGATGGCTTCGAACTATGGTGACCCAGATACCCGGATGGGTGGAGGGCCAGGCCCATACGGCAATCATAATGGCACACCACCCGCGCAACAACAGCACCAGGACCTTACCGATCCCGACCTTCAGCTGCAGGAAAAGCTTCAGCAGTTCAGCAACCAAGTCATGCATTCAGGCCCTCAGCAACACCAATACCAGCAGCCAGCTCCAATGGCCCCCTTGCAGGGCGCGCATCCGCATTTCCAACCGCAGCAACGACCGACGCATTCGCCGCAACAGATGGCGCACGTTGCAATGAGCTTGGGAGAACATACCGAACAATTTGACCCCAACGACCCCAACCGAAAACGCTCAAAGGTGTCTCGAGCTTGCGACGAATGCCGGCGCAAGAAGGTACGCAGGATAAGGCGAGCTCTGCAGCATGCAGTATACTCACCGACTGTAGATCCGCTGCGATGCGACTAGCGAAAATGGACCGGAAGCTTGCTCGAGCTGCAAGAGGACTGGAGCCAGGTGCCAGTTCAGTCGACAACCCATGAAGCGTGGTCCTAGCAAAGGGTACGCTTGCTTCTTCTCAAGCTTTACAATGCACCAAACTGACAGGTACCAGCTACATCAAGGAGTTGGCAGACCGTCTTAACTCTCTCGAGAGCCAAATTCAGCAACCGCAAGGCCAGCAGTTCGACCTCCAGAATCTCACAGAGCAGAACTTTGCCGATATTCAGAGCCCGCCCCAATTCCATCGGAAACGCACACATAGCATGTCAGAGGGATTCCAAGATGCTTTCGGCCGGTCAAGCTGGTCCGGTCAGGACCGCGGTAACAACCACCCGCTCGAGCACGCCATGCTCTCTCTGCTAACGAGTCAAGAAACACCGCTGAATGGCGATCGTCGTACCTCGTTCGGTGACATGACCCTGGCTGGTAATCTCATCACAGGTTCTCACGAAGGGACGTTGAAAGCGTGAGTGGATCGATAGTGAGAACCTCGGACGCCCAGCTGATGGTCTATCAGGTACTACAATCTGATCCACCCTACACTACCAGTATTGCCGCATGACTCAAACTCTTTGAATCGCCTTTCGAATTGTCCGCCAAAACTACGCGAGGCCTTCTTCCTCTCGCTCGACGTGTGTGTCCGATCGTTTGCGCCCAGGGCATTACCACAGAATGACACAAGCGTGACCCAACTTTTACATCAGACTTTCGCTTCAGTCGATGTCGCGAAACTCGTACTCGGCGATTCGGACCCGTCACGGCAATTTTACAACAATTTAGTTTACTGCCAGTCTCTATTACTGCTTGCACTGGCATCAGACAAGCCTGGTCCTGGAACCGTGGGAAGCATCTCACAGTTGCTCGGCCAGATTGCAGGGTGCATCACTGAAGCCGGGTTCAACGACACTCGTGTTCTGACCTCACTGAAAGAACATGATCAAGACGCCTTTCAGGGTGCACGCCGTGTCTTCTGGTCTGCGCTCATCTTAGACCGGTTCCATGCTTCAAGCCGGTCAAAAGACATAATGTTGCCCCTGCACTCGGGCTCATTAACCCGTGATGATTATGCGGCACTGGGCGATCTTGGCTACCACCTTGCCCGTAAGCCTCCTTCAGGTCAGATCAACTTTGACTCTGCTAACATGATACAGGCGGTGCCAAGATTGTAGGACAGGTGGCTGCTGTGAACCGTGCAGGCAGTGTACCGAGCATAGAGCCTTCTTCGCCATTCGCGTCTCTTCCTCTGGCTGCTGCTTCACCAGAGGCCATCTACCTGAATGGTCAACTGACAGGCTATCAAGAGTCGATTGACATCACCGATCTGACGGATAATTCGCCTCCTCATCTCGCATATCACTACATGCGCGTCTTTGTAGGACGCCTTTCATCTCGGAACATACTCTCGACTGAACTGCTCGGCCTTACCAAGGAACTGCTGAGGAATCTGTCCAATGGAACCATCACGCCTATCCACCATATATGCGCCAGCCTAGTCGCAACCTCATTGGTCGAGCTCTCCGATATAATTGAGACTCAAGTCGAAGCGCACGCTGCGATGAAGGAGATGAGCGACGCCCTCAACAACGGACAGATCATCCATCGCAGTTTGGACCACGCTGGTTGGGATGCGGCAATACGTGAAATCCTGCATCAGAAGCAGGCACCTAGCCCAATAGCCAACGCAGTCCAGGAACAGACACCTTCTGCACCCGAGCCCAACATGGCCGGTCTTCAGCACCTTGCCGCCGCCGCCGTTGGTGAGCGTGAAGGAACTGAACCCCGCCCAGTCAGCAGCGGAGGCAACGGCGCGCAGAGTCAGAACCACGAATCTTCATTGGCCAACACCGAGCACGATCTGTCGGCGGCAATGGCAGCCGCAAGTGATGCTGCGATGGCACAAGCTACAGCGGCTGCTGCACAGCAACAACTGACAGCGTCATCGCCGAGCGCTAAGAACGGGAATAATTTTGAATCGAGTGCGTTGAAGCAAGATGACTTCATGGCGTCGCTTTCCTGATCATTTTATTCCCGTTTTAACGTTCTGACATAATCTAGGCGATGACATCGACATGAAGACCCTCGCTGCGCTCAATAGCCTCGATGATCGAGTACACCTCGGAGGGCCGTTTGATTGATACGCACCATCGCAGGAGTCACCGCATTCTGCTTGGATCTATTCACGATGTACAATGCGACTGTTTGCTTGACTTATACCCCTGTTTAATCGCTGTGATTGGCAAAGAAGCATGGATAGTTGCATACGCTTCATCGGCAGACGCTGATCAAAATTCCAAAAAAATATTGTCTTTGGCATTTTCCCAGTAGTCGTCAGCGTGAGCCACCCTCGCCATGCATACTAAGCGCTGTCCATCAATACACTAGCCACCGGATCAATTTCCAGCACAAGCGCTCCCCCTGCCCCCTTCGAATCACCAATACCCTACTGGCCACACACCTCTACAAGCCAACGCCCGCATGTACAACCAGCCACACTTCCGCCCCGGCTCTCATACCGCGGAAGATAAACACAACAAGTTACCCAATCGTAGTCTCGAGAAGCCGCGTTGACTCACAGATCTAATGCAAATCTCCGCCGAAGACCTCCGTTTCCAAATCTCGTATCCGGTCTTTTGCTCGACATGTGAGCCCGCAGCAAGTGGCTAGCCTGTCGCCGGTCGGTCCGCGGCGGATGCTGCATTACCGTGTCGCCGTGTCGCCGTCTGGCCGGCTTGTGCAGACCCTAGCGCGTCGCCGCTGCTGGTCATAGTCATCGCCGCTTCCACCGTGCTTTCACCGGACCACTGGGCTAAGCTTTTGGTGGCGGCGAATAAGCTTTTCCAAGCTTTTCCAGCTTTTTGGTGGGGTTCGGGTGCGCCTCGGTGGGCCTGAGCGCCGGTAAAGCCACCACAATGGAGAGGCGGTGTGCTATGCTGTGCTGTGCAGTGTTGTGCATCATCGATCGATGTGTGCGATGACAACGGCCCGCTGCGAGGGTCGTTCTGAACATGCATTCGATTTGTCTATTATAATGTTGTCTAAGATATGGCGATAGTCTTGTAATGATAAGTATGCTCGCATGCGCCAGGTTTGTAGATCGCAGGAATCTTGCTAGAGGTCGGGTAAGGATGCTGTAAATCACGAAGCTTTTTGACCACCACATGTCGCAAGATGGCACACGAACTCCCACACATAACCTTCTTCAAAGACGCTGCGTTCACAGCTTACCATGTGCCGAGACCAAGGCGGGCCCAGTTGGTCTCCATGTCTTCCACTAGTGTCAGGAAGTTGTTGTCGTCAAGACTCTTGAAGATGAAGTTGTTCAGAGCAGCCCTTCGTCCGTCGTCGCTCTGCATCGCATAAGCCTTCAGAGCCTTCTCGGCGTCGCGTGAGAAATCCGGAACAGCTGTGCGGTCGGGTCGGTCCCGACTGCTTAAAGTAGGAGGGCTGGCGAAGATACCCGATGATACAGATCCTGGTCGGTGCTGAGCATCGTCACTGATAGCGCTGAGGGGTCGCGTGGCAAGAGGACTCGTGGCGGCAGGGGTAGGGTATGCTTGCGGAGAAGATGAGGCTGGTGTGAAGCTTTGCTGCTCTTCTAAGATAGTTGAACCCTGCGCTGGCTTTGAACGACCTCTTGAGGATGGTAGAGGCGTGAGGGGCCGTTGCTGAGCAGACGTTATTCTTGCATTGTCAGTCACAATGGTTGGCTGACGCAATGGAGGCAGCTCGCTGTCCAAGCTGATGGTGCGAGCAGAGCCAGGCCTCAAATCACTGACCCGGGTTGGCAGTGGCGGTGGCCCCATGATGGCTGTCGATGGACGGCTGTGAGGACGGTTTCTGTCACTCCCAGATGAGGTGGGTGGCGATTCGCGCCTGAACGGAAGCTCTCGACGAGGAGGGAGCTCCGCAGTGTCTGGCCGCTCATAGAGAAGAGCGGTATCGGGTCGCGTGCCTGAGACTTCATGTTGCTCGATGGTCGCAACTGGCTGGTCGCGTGGCGGAAAGCTGGTAACATGATCTGGCGAAACAACTGAAGCTGAGTCTGGTCGAGGAAAGTGTACCGGAGGTGTAAGAGGGTTTGGAAAGGGGATACTCGAGCTCGCAAAAGCAGAGTTTGGACGTGTGTGAGTGGCCTCCTGTATCTGGGACTCTACCACAGTGGGCGCGGACAGCGCAGTGTAGGGTCGGCTCGAGATCTCCGAGAGTCTTGAGGGAGGGCAAGAAGGACCGGTACGCTGGTGTTCTGATCGCGCCGGCGGGACAGTAGGCTGGTTGCTGACCCTTGTTTGGTCTGAGCCTGCAGTTGAGCCACGATCTTTCGACTGAGGAGGCATCATATACAGGCCAAGGTGATGCAAGTGAGTGTAGACACGATCATAATCCTCATTTGACCGAAAGCGGATCTGAAGTCGACGAATCTACAGCAACAATAAGTCAAGTGTACAAGAAACCGTGGAGTTTGCTCACCTTCTGGTTGGGCAACTGCCACCGAATTGCGAGCAACGGGCAACGAATAATGGCGGATATCGGTAGCTGATCAGCCTTCATCTCGATGCCACGCAGCTGCATACTCTTGATGAGATTTTGTGCATCATTGATCAGATGCTCGAGATCTATCTGCTCCTACACAATCGTATTAGTTGTAATCGAAGCTCTGTTGATGGGTGAGACGTCGAGGTATGGAGTGAGGGCTGGCTGGCTGCAGCTTACTCGAACCTGCGTGCCCTGCACCACCTTCAGTAACTGGAGTGCCGAGCCACCCTGTTGGTATGAGTCGATAACGAATGTGAGGTTGTTGAATTCGTGCTTCCATTGAAAAGTCTGTTCGTCAGGGTAAGCATCTTGCGCAGTAGAGAGCTTCGCCAGCGGGAGCGAGATCATGGTCGTCATTGAGCAAGCTGCGGGTTAGTGGAAGATCAAAGGCTGTGAGTTTGCACAGTAACGACGGCGAGTCTTTTGCAGTTCAAAGACCGAATACACCAGCTGAGGTGTTTTGTCGATGTGAGGGTCAGTCGAGATGGGAGGAAGGAGCGATGGCTATCGTCACGTGACAATACTAGCGTCCGTTCGGCGCGACAGTGGAACTGGAGCCCTGGCATTCTGATGTTCATCCAGCATCGCGAACCGAACGCGCCGCGCCATTCACCGTCACCACCGCGCCTGCACCAGGCACACCGCTCAGCCTGTGCATGCACTGTGACCGACACTGTTGAAGCCTGGAGTTTATGCGCGCACTGAATCATGGCGCCCAGTAAACCGAGAGAGCCCTCGATTGAGCGCACCGAGGAGTACGACAGGTTTATTGAGGAGCTGCAAGTGTATCACGACAAGAGAGGGTGCGTCTTCTGGATTCGTGTTATCGCATTGTGCGCATACTGATGTCATGCACAGAACGTTCCTCGATCGTGAGCCCAAGGTCGCCAATCAGCACGTTGATTTATTGCGCCTGTTCAAGCGCGTGAACGATGAAGGCGGCTACGACAAGGTCTCAGACACCAAGAACAACAAGCTCGCGTGGAGGAGATTAGCAGCAGATTTCCTGCAGGATAGCTCTACTAGCCAGCTCACTACACAGGCATTCCTCATCAAGACCGCATATTACAAGAACCTAGCGTGCGCATTCCACCACAGCTAGGTGCCGCAATTGCTGACCTGTGTCTCAGAGCGTACGAGATATCGACGATACATAAGCGCGAGCCGCCGCCGAAAGAAATCCTGGAGGACATCACAGCTAAGGGGGGGGATCTCTTGAACAGGACTGTCGAGAGCTTCTACCGAGGCAGTCGCGAGGCCGAGCGGCTGAAAACTGGAGATTCGGACGACGAGGACGAGGACGGCGACGTCAAGAAGACACCAAACGCAGACAGGATGGACGTTGATGACCCAGGAAGCACCGGGCGGGCCACGAGGTCACTACGCCACGCGCCGCCGCAGCGCGTTCTCTTCCAGCCAGAAAGCAATACGAGACAGACACGCCAGGCGACAGGTCATCTGAACTCGCCTGGGCTCAATGGCTACGGCACGAGTGCGGCTGCTGCGGCCATTGCCAACTACGAACCGCGAACGAACATTCCTCTTGCGCTGAAGCAGGTCGTAACCCCGTCCAATAACCTGGACGCATACGTTGCTTCGCGCAAGAAGTACATCGCGAATAGGAAGAATAGACCGGTCCCACTGAAAGGTATGATGTTGCCTGGAACTGGCTTCCCAGGACCGAACATCTACATCCGCGCCCTGCATGCGTTACGATCGAAGGAACCAGAAGAGGAGGCATACGCACTACACCACCTCGTAAAGATCTCACATGAGCGGGGCGACAAGTATCGCTTCGACCAATTTCCTGGGCTCGCCGAGGCACTCATCGCGAAAGTCACTGATGTCGGGTCGCTCTTCTTCGATGTCAAATGGGACGTTTCGTACGTTGAAGAGGACTTCGACCAGCCGGACGTGCTGAACGGTTTGACGGGCACCAAGGACTTGCTTAAGAAGATCCGCGCGCTTCAGACCCTGGATATTAAGGATGACCTGCTTCCAGAGGTCAACGCCAAAGCCCTCAACATGATCAATGAAGCGGCGCTTATCATTCGAAATATGGTTATGCTTAAAGAGAACGCTCTCTTCGCGTCCATGATCCCAGCGATTCGGGACCTGATCGTCATTGTACTCAACCTGCCGAGACATTCCACGGTTGTCGAGTTACAGCACTACGCCCTCGAAATTGCTGAGCAACTGACCAAGTACTGGGTTCTGGACTCGCAAGACCCCGTTTACCAGTCTCTGCTCGCCCAGATCGACACTGACGACCGAGGTCGGATTATCACATCGCTGAGAGCTCTTGGTCGGATATCGATGAACCTGGAAGCTACAAACAAACTGTCAGACGTGCCTGTAAAGACACTACAATCGATCTGCGACTGGTTACTTGTTGAGGACGAGGACCTAAGGATAGCATGCTTGGACTTCCTGTACCTCTTCACAGGCTTCCCGGACAACGTCGAGCTCCTCGCGCACGTAGTGAACATCGAAGGTGTTGTGGGCCAACTTGTTAGGCTATTACAATTTGGCGCCGTTGCCTACGAAGAGAGACGCAGCACACTCAAACCAACGAAGTCTTCCACACCAAACGATGCCGCACCAAAGCTATCTTCCGCGATCATCGATCATTTGGTGACGCTTGAGGAGCCAGAACGAAGCTCGCAGTGGCTCAAGACGTGTTTCGAAGAAGAGCCGGCAGGCGAGATCACCCAGATCCAGCTCTGGTCTGCATACAACGCGGCGTTTCAAGAAGTTATGGTTGCCAACCCATCTGCTTTCAAAGCACTCATGCCAGCCAAAGACTTCATCACAAATGTTTCTACTACCTTTGGTGGCGCATCTGCGCAAGTGTTGACAGTTGGCGGCCAACCAAAGTACACGATCAGGGGGATACGACCACGATCTGTACCAGTGGACCCTAGCACGAAGAGACAATATATGCGCTGCTGCTGGAGAGCGCTAACTTCTGTGAACGGCTCGCAATCGCTTGCCAACAATGATTGCGGCGAGTTCGCCTCAGGCGCTCGAGCGATGTGGGAACACATTGTCGGCGTCCATCTCAAAGTTCCTCGCGACCAAGAGACAGGTCAATGGCTACTGGAGCCTAAGCCAGACATCAACATGGAGAATGGCGATGCAGTCGCAACTTCAAAGCCGCAAACCTACAACTGCCACTGGGCGAACTGCAACCATTTCCCTGTTGACACAGACTCCGCCTTCCTGGCCGGCCAACACGTCAAAACCCACCTCCCCGACACTTCGATCAAACAAGCCATACATGCCCGCCACAACCGTGCCGGCGACGAGTCACGACCCTCGACCTCGTCCGCGCAGCCCTCCAACACAGGGCATGGCAGCACCCTCGGCAGCGCCAACCGCTACACCCCCAACACGCCATCCCTCCACCCAAATTTCCGCTACTTCAACACCGCCACCGACGAAGCCAACGACGCCGCCGGCCTCCCGCTCTCTTCTGTCCTCGTCCTCCGCAACCTCGCGCGGCAACTCAACAAAATCCCTCCTCCCAGCGCCGTCCTCGAGGTCTCGGACTCGCCAACCCACAAACGCACGCTCAGCGCCACGGAGCCCGGGTCTCCGTCCACACACCGCATAACTGGGGGCAAGAAACCGCGTCTCAGCGACACCGCGCGTGACCGCGCGCTTGAAGATGGAGAGCGCGAGGAATCCGAGGCCAATAATGCGGGCTGGGTGCCGCGCGTATTTGCTCCTGTTAGGGATCAACTAGCTTTCGTTGCGAGCCATAATCTCACGTTGAAGAACTATATGGGAGGTTTGTTCAAGGCGATTGCTGATGGTGGGGCTTAGGGGGTTCCGCTCTTGCATGGCAGGGAGGATGATGAGCCAATTGACATGGACTTGGTCGGCAGAGAGATGCTCAGGCGTGAGCTGGCGCTCCTCAGTCGAGCTAATGCGGAGACTGTCAGTGCTGTGAACTTTTCGGCTACGCTGGAGCAGAAGGTTCAGAAAATGGCTGAGATGAGGAAGCCGGACCAGTACCATGACTCTCCACAAGATCGTGCTGAACCCGAACTATCGGCGGCCCTAGCCGCAGCGATTTATGGTGCAGAACAGCAACAGCCTGTGAAGGAGGAGAAGAATTGAAAGCACGGCTTTCAAGGAAATATCACTCGAAGGTGAGCTGCCGATGTAGGTGGCACGATGCATGGATGGTCTGTGTTCTGGATATTATGTTATACGTACACCTTCATAGATAAGGGTAGCCGAACGATTCTTCTTCCATGTTCTACAACCGCCAAGAGGAATCAATGTCATCAGAGTATTTCGTTAGGTATACACAGAACGTCAAGGGCCCTCGGCGTCTCTTGACAGCCTCGCTGGGTCAGGAATATTTCCCTCTCCATTAACATGGTGACATCTACGCCTTGACTGCCTCGTCCTGCAGCATCTGGCCACGCGCATTCGCAGGCTCAAGACCTGCCTTCGCAGGCCCGATTAGCTGCACACCGTCCTTGCTGAACCTACTGCGGTGCACATGGCAACCCCAGCTCTTCTCGACCGAGTTCCAGCACACAACACCCTTCATATGAGAGCAGAGTGCGCTGAACTTGTGCACCTGACCGCCGTCATCTTTGTAGACAGCCAGAGGCTTCTTGCCAGTGGGGTTGAGAACGCCTCCATCGCCCGGTGCGAGGTTCTCGATGTTACTGATGTCAGTTTGCAAGAAGCGCTTGTACTGTGCGTTGATCTGGAGGTCGTGGCTGACCAAACTGGGGAGCGACTTTGCGATTGAAGACAGTCGGCTGAGATTGTAGAGTGAAGCCCACAGGTTTATTTCTCCGGTGATCTCGTCTGCGATGAGCCTGCCAGCAAGGACGCCGTGAGTGAGACCGTTTCCACTGTCGCCAGTGATGATGTAGGTATGCTTCATGCCCTGGTTCTTGCCGATGAATGCCATGAAGTCAACAGGCTCGGAGATCTGTCCGCTCCACTTGTAATCTACTGTGGTGGCCTGAGGGAAGCGTGACCTTGTCCAGTCCTTGAGTTCCTTAAAGGGTGCTATTATATCGCCCTGGCCAACCTTGTGGTCACCGCCGCCAACGATCATATAGTCGTCCTTGTTATCGCATTCTGTAAGACGGACGTACTTGTAGATCTCTGCGGAGCCGTAGAAGAGGCAGTCCTCTACTGAACCTTTAGGAATGCGGATTGCGATGCATTATGTGCGGTAGTGCTCTTCCTCAGCAATGACAGACAGCTTTTGAAGAGGGAAACATGTAGCCTCGACGGCATCGGCGCACTTGATCGTGTGGCCGTCAAGTGTGCTGACGAATACTTCCTTGTGTCCCATACTAAGTATCTCAACACCCTTCTCCTTGGCATCCATACAGCGTGTGTTGGTGTAGCAGGCAAAGTTTGGCTGCTGCTTCAGGAAGTTGAGAACACCGACAAAGTACTTTGTGGGGTGGAAGGTAGCCTGACCAGCGTAGATGACAGCATCGCTCTGATCAGGCTGCCACTGCCAACCTTTGAGCGTGAAGCCTTCTTTGTATTCTGTCGCAATGCCCAGCTCCTTCGCCTTAAGCCCATCCATGATGACAGACTTAATGTCGTCAGAGTGGTTCCTGTCGTTCTTAGGTTACTGCGAGAAACCATGACCGGGGAGATGGCGGTACTCGCATTCGATGCCGAGCTGCTTCGAGATCTCGCCAATGCGATTCAAAGCCCAGGTATGAGACTCAGCGGCAGCCTTCGCACCCTTATCGCCATGCTTGTTAGCAATCTCCGTGCACCCGTCATCTAGGTCGTTGGCCCGTTGGCCAAATGACCACTCGTGCAGCCAGTCTCACCGGAGAGAATCTCACGACCTTCGATCAGGACCACGTTCAAGCCTTGAGTCACGAGCTCGTATGCAACGGAGACACCTGAAATACCGGATCCAACGATGCAGACATCTGTATCGAGATCTCCGTCAAGCTTTGGAAACTTGGGGGTGCTGTCGTAAGGAACCTGGTGGATCCAAACGGGGTTTGTCTCGCCACTGGTCTTCATAAAATGCTTGGGGTCGGTCGTGTTTGCCATGGTAACCAATGCGCGGTGCCGCGTATGTGAACAAGACTCTGTCAGGAAATGGCGAGAAGCTGCAAGGCCAGAGAAACGAGAAGCTTGGATTGAGGTAGTTCTAACCGTTTAGCGGAGATTAACAGTTGTTAGGAGCTGAGGAGCGAAGGGCGACATCTTTGTAAATAGCGGTCAAACAGGCACATGGAGGCATACATGCGACTTTTGAAGCAGTTGCTACTGAAACGGCATATAATCATGACGGCTGCACATAATAGTACACCGCTCATTGGTCACAATCGCATTGCTGTTGTTGGCGAAGGAAGGTCTGAGTGGTGTTGTGTATGCTTGATGAGACTAATGACGACAGAGTGAGCAGCGCAGCCACGAAGCTCCTCGGACAAAGACAAACAACAGAACGACACTAGGCACAGAAGTAAGTGAATACAAAGAGGAGTTCAACAGAGACAGTAAACCTCTAGATGATAAGACTAACGAGATCTGAATACACAGCGTGGTGTTTAGAGTTGAAGGGCGAAACCGGCCGTGTCAATCAGTCGCGAAATGCACGCGCCAAAGACAACGTGTGCGACGGCAACGCCAGAATGAGATCCTGTCCCCCCAGTGGATCGACCATAAACAGACCAAAGCCGTAGGTCAACTCATCGCTAGTGCAGACCGCCTTGGTGTACATTGTTTCACGCCCTCAAATGCTGCTGCCGTCAGTGCCAGGCTCATGGGTAGTCTCGTCGAATCACATACCAAACATACAAGAATGAAAAGCAGACAACGCTCATTTCTTAGCGAGAATACCCTCAGCCACATCTCTCAGCACAAACTTTTTGATCTTCCCACTGCCCGTCAAGGGTACCTCGCCGTCGCAGTCCTTGCCGAGCCAGAAGATGTGAACAGGCGCCTTGTGTCTGCCTAGCACTTGCCTTACCCACTCCTGAACCTCCTTAAGCGTAGGCTTATCTGTACCTTCTTCATGCAGAAGAAAGGCCGTCGGTACCTCCACGTAACGTGGGTGTGATACACCGACGACGATGGCACGGGCAACAGATGAATGCTGGACCAGACGCTCTTCGATCTCGAGCGGGTAGATGTTCTCACCACCTACATTCAGATTAGTCGACGTTGAGTGGAGTCCACTGCGCATGACCTACCTCGGATGATGATGTCCTTGAAACGGCCTGTGATGGTACAGTACCCATCAACATCCAGAACTGCTTCATCGCCGGTATGAAGCCACATCTCGCCGTGTTCGTCTCTGACCAGCAGCTCTGCTGTCTTCTCTGGGTTCTCCCAGTAACCTCTGCAGAGCTGATATCCTGATATACAAAGCTCACCTCTGTAGCCAATGGGAAGGACCCTATCCTGGTGATCCACGATCTTTACCCGAGCATGAGGCAAAACAGTGCCGACACTAGTAAGTCGTGCGTGTAAAGAGTCTGTCGTGTGCGCGTTGAAGACAGTGGGCGAAGCTTCAGTCAGACCATAGCTCGATGTGAAGTCCGTCATGCCAAGCTCGTTGACCATGCGCTCCATCAGCCAACGAGGTACGGGACTTCCGGCTACGATGCCAGTACGGAGTTTTGAAGACCATCCTACCGGCTTGGGCACATCGATTATAGATTCCATCATAGCTGGCACGCCATGAAGGGCAGTGCACTGCTCGTCAAAGATAGCCTTTGAACATGCAACCGGGTCGAAAGACTCCTCGGGGAACACGATCTTGCCGCCGTGTGTCAGAGTTGCGAGCAAGCCGAGCGTGAGCCCGAAGCAGTGGAATAGTGGTGGTGGACAGCAAAGAATATCCTTCTCTGTAAAGTCCATACGATCTCCGATGAAGCGAGAGTTGTTGACAAGATTGCTGCATTCGTCAGTCGTTACTTATGAAAGCTAAAATCGATTGAGCCTTACTGGTGTGTCAACATAGCAGCTTTAGGATTGCCTGTACTACCACTTGTAAACTGAAGATTGGCGACGTCGTGCGGACTGACTATTCCGTCGTAGATCTCCAAGATGTGCTCTGGTATACTCTCTCCCTCCTGAAGTAACTCGTCATACCTGATGAAGCTATCGTCATCGCCGCGTATGAGACAGACAGTCTTCAGGTTTGGCAGCACTTTGTGTAGTTCTTCGTCTTTCAATCGTTCGAGTAGTGGCTGGTTATTGAAGCGTGAAATTGTCGGTGTGGTGAACAGTACGCTACATCCTGCATCGGGTCAGTGCTGGGTCATGTTGTACGGTAGACAAGGGCTTGACTGACTTGTGTGCTTGAGTGCGTATTCCATCTCCGTTGGTGTGTATGTGTTGTTGAGTGTGACGCATATCGCACCAAGCCGTGCGCATGCGAAGAAGACAGCGATATACTTCTCACAGTTTCCACTCATGATTCCTATTCTATCTCTTGGGCGAACACCATACTTGAGCAACGCTCTCGCAAGCATGCTCGACTCGTCCCATAACTTCTTATATGTCCAACGCGCTCCAGTCCATGGTATTATGATAGCCTCGTTATCTGCATAGCGTCCGGCCTGTTGGGATAGAAGTTGCGAAATTGTCAATTGCAGGAGAGGAGGATCGAGCGGCCCAGATACTATTGAAAGGTTTGGATAAGGTGGGAGAATGTACGGGTCGATCTGGAGGAGGGTCTGGTTCAATCGTTGGAGGGCGTCATTGCGGGACTGATCGTGTATTTGCGCCATTGTTGCTACTCCGGTCTTGCTTCACCAAAAACTGCAGTGAATCAAGGCCTCTCTACAGCAACTGGTTGCGCGAGTATCAACGGCGCTTTCAGAGAGTCTGTGATGACTGGGATGGAGCGCCCACCGAGGTACCGGAAAGCAATGAGGCAGAGTGACAGCGGAGCACCAGTATACAGTAGCGTTCAGAAGCTATCAAAGAGCTGATGTTGGAAGCTCGGGGTACCGATCTTCGCCATCGTCAGTGGGGACAGGATCAAAAGCTGTTCGCTGATGCCTCGGATCTAAATCCTATGCCAGGAAAGCTCTCTTCTGTGTCATTGTAGCGTATCCGCACACGTAGGCCGCGTTATTTTCGTGCCTTTGCACCGGCTTGAGACGTGACATCCTGGGACTCGATCAGCACACCATATTTGCCATTGCTTCTTTTGGTGACAGCGCCGGTTATCAGATGCCGTAGCGCAAAGCCTCGAACTGCAGGCGTGATCTTCAAGAAATTTTCCTCGCCGAAGAGGGATCGTCACGTCGAGTGGTGAGCGACGGGGGGCGGCCGATGACCGCATTGCGCGGGATTGGCCGGCTGTACTAGCCATGGGGCGGACATTAATCTCATCTGATAAGATATCAGGGGAGACCTCGCGGCATTGGTGAGCTGTCTTGTGGGGCAAGGAAAATTTTATCAGATTGTGGAGGACAGAGGAGAAATGGCTTGGCAGTTTACAGGGGAAGGATGCCAGGGATGCAAAACAAAGTCGCGCAGCTTTACCTTCCCAGTACCAGATAAGTTCCAAAACCACGCTACTGGCAGGCCGTCTGCTCGGCGCAGCTACCGGTTGCATCAGAGTTCATCTGATAACTTTAAGTGGAGAAGGCTTCATCAGCTGCTGGTCATAGCGGATCGCATCTGATAATTTGGAATCTCTTACCGAGTTCAAATTTGCCGAAACGTGCCAGAATTGACATCATGTCTGACGACGCTTGCACACGAGCTGCAAGGCCGTTGACGTGTTGCATCCACGTCGACCTAAACACAACCCATCGGCCACCCTGCGTCTCCCACCGCAATACGAACGCCTCGTACGTTCGGTCGGCGTCGTGAGCACCGCTGAAGGGCTTGGCCTTATGACATTGGTTATCTGATCCGCGCCCTGCCCTGCATACAGCCGGCACGGCTCAGGCACCATCGCTTCACGTAGCGATTGGCTAATACTATACAGCGCCGATGCATACTATGACGTGCGCACTTCATAGTTAGTGCGATGCTGTCACGCTGTTGACCCATCGTTAAGTTCGCGAGAGCTAGAAGAAAACTGTATATTCCGGTCAAATCGTTGGCAATTGTTGACACGAGCATGTCGACTCGACGCTACGGATATAGCAGTAAACAAGGTAAGTATTAAGTGAGAGATGAAATGGAAGGGTTTCATTGTGATTATGTGAATATAGCTGTTCTAGAGCATCAAGCGGACACCCCTGACGTGCGCAGCCCACCTACCACAGTAAACTTTGAATGTATTATGTCTCTGACGCTAAAGTGCTACAAAGTCGAGTAAGAAAGAGAACATGTACGTTACAACTTGGCCAACGCATCCAAGCTTGGTCGAACCCTCTTCTCACCATCCCAGACGAATGGACTCAGTGTAAAAAACTTCTCCCTGTTGACCATCATGAGTGCACTTCGCTTATGTGGCAGATCCATGAGCTTCTCAACATGGAAGCCGTGAGCGAAGTCGTACGCCAGTACGGTGCTGCTAGTGGCTGCTGGCTCACCGACGAGGTTCCAGGTACGTGGCTCATCTAGGAACATGTAGTGCATGAGCCCAGACCACCACGCAGAGACTCGGTAAGGGCCTCTGAAGCGGATGTCACCCACGAGAGAGTGCCTGCCACGGTCATAAAGTTCCGACCGGTAGTGGGCACCCATGTGATCTTCCTGTTGGGCGCGTTAGTCTATGTATGTAATTGACCGGCGGATAAGATCGACGTACCATCGCCCAATAAACCTCAAAGTAGGCGAAGAGCACATCGTCGAAAGCCGCAAACATGGTCAGCACGTGGGGGTCTTCATGCAGTTTCCGTAGATACTCGCGGTGCTGATCCAACGTTCCCGTCTCGTTCCAACCAGCAGCGACACGTGGGTCATTCTGCCACTTGTTGAACAGAGCAAGATGCGCGGGGTTGGTGTAGTCAAGGGCAATCATCGAAAAGTGCTCTTTGAGGTGGGGAACCCATCGGCTGTAGATGACCGAACCGGGCTCGGGCTTCGGTTCTCGTACAGGATGCATGGTGTGTCGCGGTAGGGCCGGGAATTGGGTAGATGGTGCAGTCTGATGAGGAAAGGCAGGATACAGCTGGTCTCTTGGCTTTCCTGAGGCGTCTAGTCGTGGTGCCCAGACAGGACGAGGGCCGAACGGAGATGCAGCGCCCTGCCAGAAGGCGCCTCGCAGGAGAACATGACCATCTTGCGGTGAAGATGCATCAGAGGGCTTTGGATGAGGGTGAAACAAGCCGGTAACATAGAGCTCCTGGGCTAGTGCTCGAGAATCTCTACCAGCAAAGAGTACCCTAAGATTCTCGACTAGAGGGTGCAGCGAGACCAATGCATAGGCGATGAGCCACAGCTGTGGCACACTAGGACGTTCCCCAGTCCAAGAGATGGTTAGGTAGGGTGATCTACGTACTCGTGCCCAGGAACTGTTGTCACCCTTTTCAGGTGCTGCGTCCTGAGGCAAGAACGCAATATCGCTGAATGAAATAGAAGAGTTGTCCAGCTGGCTGGGTGGAGGAAGGCCGTCGCTGCTGCTGTCAGCCCTAGAGAGGGTGATCTGATTGCTGACGGCCTGGCCCTGCTGGGCCACGTTCTTGATAGTGTAGGCTGTCAGGTACGGGTGGGGAAGTTTCAGCATCAACGGCTCTGCGGTTGCATTTCCTGCCTGGTCTTGTTGCGCCATTATGCTCGATTGACCACGAAGGAAATTGAAGAGGGTTCGAATGCCGCACAGCAACTGAGGATGCCACAGTGTGAAGTGTGAAAAGGCAGTGAGGATAACAGTCGAGAGCCGAGGTCTGGAAAAAGAATCAAACCGTACCTTGTTCACTGCTATTACGCAGTGTTAGTCGTGTATCTTACCAACTTCGCGAGTTGCCGGGAAGCTGGCAAGCCCTGCCGGATGGAAAGCTCGGAGTGGGTACATATAAACGCACCATGCGGGCTCTAAATTAGTGGACCACCTTCGCGTTGCAGCCCCACGCACTTCCAAAGTAGGAATCTGCGGCGACCCTGGTCATCCTGACAATGGCGCTAAAATTTTGGTGACATCTTGTCAGTCAGGCAGCTGGTCGGTAGACCTTGAATGCTGGACCGGTGTGGAATCACATGCACTATTCAGGTCTCGAGCTGTTGTGATCGCACCATAGCTTTTTCGAGAGAACCGCTAGTTGAAATACTTTTTACCTGCATCGATACCAGGCGTGTAGCGATTTTCAAGAGCACCGTCTCGCAACAACCTACTCAGACGTCATCATGTCATCCACCCAGCAGACGTCCAGACAGCTGGAAAATACCTCCAACTCATCTTCTTCACCTCTCTACGATCTTGTCTGTGTTGGTTTCAGCGCAGCCCAGCTAGCAACTGCCATTGCAAACCGAGAAGCACGTTCCGAGTCCAGGATTTTATTCCTTGAGCGCAAAAATTCTTTCTCATGGCATTCGGGAGCGCACCTGTCCAGGTCCCGCATGGAAACACCTTTCCTCTACGACCTCGCATCCCTCCGTAACCCCAGGTCATCGTTCAGCTACACCTGCTATCTTCTCGCTCGGAACCGTCTGGTTGAATTCGCAAACTCCGACCGGCTAAACCCTCTACGGGACGAGTTCGAAGACTATTTGAAGTGGTGCGCAGAACAGTTCAAGGACCAGGTCCGATATGGCAGCGAGGTTGTCGGCGTAGCTCCAGAGGCTGAAGACAACACTGTAAGAAGCTGGAAGATTGCTGTTAAGGATGCAAATGGCAAGACATACGTTATCCGAGCGAGAAATGTTGCTGCTCCTACACCAGGAAAGCATGTTAGCGCGAAGACAGAGTCCTTGACCACCGTCGACTTCCTCGCAGGACAGCGAATCATGCCCATGGCCGACTACCTGTCACGCAGGGATGAGCTCCGTCAGCATTTCGAGCCGCGACTGAACGTCGCCGTTGTCGGTTCGGGTCAACAAACGGTCGAAATCCTGGACGACTTGCTGTCATGCCCTCGACTTGGCAACATCACAGTTGTAACAGAGAATGACGACCTTGCGCCGCTGAAGGTTTTGCAAGAACAAGAGCCATCGCAGCCACGACTGTGCTCGATCTGGTCCAAGCCGGCTTGCGACTTGAAGCCGGTGACAGGGTCATCTGAGCTGATCCAGGCCATTTACATGCGCGCGTACGAAAAGCAGGTGGCTAGCAAGGGCGAACACGTTCTTCATGTCGTCATTGGCAAGGATGCAGGAGAACCATGCTCCAAAGCCAACATCATCATCAGAGACAACTCTGCGGCGCCATTCTCAAGCAGTGGGCTCTTGCAGAGCCTGAATACGCTCGTACTCGGCTGCCATCAGCTTGGCGAGAGCTTCGAGGAGGTCCAGTTCAAGCGCGGCGCTGTCGCGGACGCTCGCATGTGGTTGATGTCGGCGAACTCAGAAGGCGGACGATCATTGGCAAAGGACATCTCGCTGCGGGCCGGAGAGGTAGTGGGCGCCCTGTCGTCACCAGCTGCAGGCAGGCGGGATGGGCTGGTGGTGCAGGCTAGGATCTAGACAGCTGTTCTGATTGGGAAGGTGCAAAGCGGGGCGTTTGTTACATAATTCAGCAAATTTTTCCTGATCCTTGATCTGATTATTCTTGTCTAATCAATCTCCGGCATCGCTCCGAGCGGACGTGTCGCCCTCTCCACCACTCAGCGCCACCCACGGCGGGCCCAACATCCACTGTGCATGCATTCGCGTGAGACTATACCCGTTGACGTTATGCTCAGGATCCGCCCACTATGTCGATCTCGGCCATCGCGTCTTGGATGGGGGCCACAGCACAGCTCCCTTGTACTCCTGCAAACGCGTCTGGAAAAGTTCACCACTTCGCGACATCGAGTGAGCCTTCAACTCCAGAGTTCAATCTGGTTTCGTGGGCACGATGACGATCAAGAAGCCATCCCTTGCGCCGTACTTGGCATTCTTTCAACTCCTCTTCTACGCAAACCCGACCTGGCTTGACAAGCTACTCGTTCTTACCGGAGCCATCTTTGCTATTGCAGCTGGTGTTCCTTTCCCGCTTATTGGTATCGTTTTTGGTCAACTCGTTGACGATATTAACGATGCAACTTGCAGCAACCGAGATGGCGCGGGAGCCAACCAGGACATGTCTTCGATCAACTCAAAGGTCCTCTTGCTTGTATACATCGCTATTGCAAGCTTTGCTTGTATCTACATCCATCTCGTATGCTGGAACATAGCATCGCAACGGCTAGCACAGCGCATTCGGGATCGTTACCTCAGAAACCTTCTGCGACAGGATCTTGCCTTCTTCGACAACCTCCAGTCAGGAGAAGTTTCGTCCCGCCTTAATGGCGACATCTCGGCCATTGAAGGTGGGACAGGCGAGAAGGTCGGCGTTGCCTTGACGTGCATATCATTTTGTGTAACAGCATACATCGTTGGATTCATCAAGAATGCCGAGCTGGCGGGAATGCTCGTTTCTTTGGTCCCTGCTTTCCTTCTGATGGCAGTGGTCGGCGGTCACTACGTTGGCAAGTACACAGTCAGCCTTGGAGGATACTTCGGATCAGCCAGTGCACTCGCCTCGGAGGCGTTGAGCAATGTTGGCCTCGTTCACGCCCTCGGTGCTAATGAGAGGCTCGAGAAAAAATTCCGTGATCACCTGGGCAATGCCCGCCACGCCGGTATCCGCAAGGCTTTCGCTGCAGCTGTAATGGCTGGGTTGCTCTACTTCATCGCTTTTTCGGCCAGTGCACTAGGATACTGGCAGGGTAGTAAGCGGATTGCCGACAGCATTGATGGCAGGGGTGACGATACGATTGGCGAAATATACACTGTCACTTTTATCCTTCTCGACGGTATGTATCTGTGTCGGACTACAAGAGAATTCACTGACCATGCCCAGGTGCTATTGTTCTCAGCCAGATCGCTCCCATGCTTCCGCTCTTTGGCGGTGCAATTAGCGCTTTCGCTCGCTTGCGCAAGGATATCGAGACGCAGCCAACCATTGACAACACCACGACCTCTGCTGAGAAGCCTACGGCCGTAGACGGCAAGTTAACCTTCCGTAACGTCGAATTTACATATCCTTCCCGCCCGGATCACCCCGTTTTGAACGGCGTCTCGATCGACTGCGAGGCTGGCAAGCTTACTGCCATCGTTGGACTGTCCGGAAGTGGAAAATCGACGATAGCCAGTCTGATTAGCAGATTCTACGACCCAAACGCCGGTGATGTCTTCCTTGATGGTCGCAGCATCAAGGATATCAACGTCAAGTCTTTGAGAGGGTTCATTAGTCTTGTCCCTCAGGAGCCCTCCCTTCTGGACCGCTCAATTTTGGAGAACATTGCGCTGGGCCTTGTCAACTCTCCTGCTCATTCTCATTTCGAGACGACACTCCTCAGCAACACGTTGGCCGATCTCACAAAGGACGTACGCAACGGAGAAGATCTTACCAAGGCTGCCGAAAAGGCAGGACCCGAAGTCGTTGAGATCCTCCGACTTGTACAGCACGCGGCAGATTTGGCTGATGTTGCTGTCTTTATCGATCGTTTGGAATTCGGCTTTGCAACACTCGTTGGTTCAAGCGGAAGCCTTGTTAGTGGTGGCCAGAAGCAAAGAGTCGCTCTTGCTCGTGCTCTGGTCCGCGACCCCAGGATCCTGATTCTTGATGAAGCTACTGCTGCACTTGATTCAGCCAGTGAGCAGCGTATCCAGACTGCCATCGATCGCGCATCCCAGGGTCGGACTGTCGTCTCGATCGCTCATCGTCTCTCGACCATTCGAAATGCCTCCAAGATTATCGTAATGAAGAAAGGCGACATCATCGAACAAGGCACACATGATGAGCTCTTGGCATTGGACGGCTCATACGCGGACATGATACGCTTGCAGACCGTCAAGGTAGCCGACGATGGCGCCTCGAGCTCAAGAACAAGCCTAGATGATGACGAGATCGACCTAGTCAAGAATGAACATTCGACATCAACTATTGCTGACACTGATGCACTTCCTGCAAAGCCAGCAGAGAAGCAAGAGTCAAAGAAGGGGGTAAATGGCGAGATTGTTGCAAGATCGATCTCGAAAACGATGGGACCAATGGTCCGCCCATACCTGTTGCTTCTACTGCTAGCCTTCTTGGGTGCTTTGATTGTCGGTGGACAATACTCCGCCACCGGTCTGCTGTTTGGTAATATCATGGGCGTGATGTCGCCATGCAATCCCTCAGACTATGTCAGGTCACAGGGAGCGTTGCTTGCCGGCATGTGGTTTATGGTTGCGTGTGTAGCCTTCCTGGCCAATTTCACCAGCTGGGCAACATTCGGACTTATCTCGGAGCGTCTGATCTACAAGGTACGCGTGCTTTCCATGCGCTCGCTTCTGCAGCAACCACTACAGTGGCACGAGTCCGAAGGCAGAAGCCCAAGCCAGCTCCTGGAGTACATCACAAAGGACGGAAACTCACTGGCCGGTTTCAGTGGCTCCATCGTTGGGACACTATTCTCAGTCATCGTTAACTTCATCGCCGCTATCGTCCTCTCTCACATCGTCGCGTGGAGAATTGCTGTCGTATGCTTAGTCATCGTACCATTGCTGCTCGGAGCTGGATACATGCAACTTCGCGCCATCGGCAAGTTTGCTGTGAAGCACGCGGGCGCTTTCTCGTCTTCGATCGGAGTCACGATTGAAGCTGTTGCGAACATCAAGACGGTTCATGCTCTGTCGATCGAAGAAGAAATCATCCAAACCTATCGGAGGTCCCTGGTTGCTCCACGCAAAGAGATGGTGAAGCAAAGCTTCAAAACCAACATTTGGCTGGCAATTGCCAATTCTTGTGGAAGTTTCATCTATGCTTTCGCGTACTGGTGGGGGTCCAAGAACATTGTCGAGGGACGTTATGATCAGACTGCCTTCTTTATTATCCTGATTTCCATGCTCCTTTCAGCACAGCTGTGGGGTCAGCTTTTCACTCTTGCTCCGGAGCTTTCCAAAGCCAAGGGTGCCATCGCACGCATATGCGGTGTGGTGGATCTTGGTAATGATCCTTCAGGTACCGCATCCAGTAGCTCGTCCCTCGAAGTCGATTCTATCGACAAGGAGAAGCGCGACATTGAAGCGCTGGCTGACTCGCCCACCCCTGCCGTCCCAGGTGGAGGTGCTCGCGTGGTCTTCCAAGATGTTCAGTTCTCCTACCCTGCGAGGCCCGGCGTACCGGTACTGACTTCATTATCGCTGTCCATCCAGCCTGGCCAGTTCTGTGCTCTTGTCGGACCTTCTGGCGCAGGTAAGAGTACTGTGCTTGCACTACTTGAGCGATTCTACTCGCCCTCCGCAGGCAGCATCTTCATCAATGGTGTTGACATCTCACGCACCCACGGTGTGTCTTTCCGCGACGACATTGCATATGTACCCCAAAACAACATTCTTTTCCAAGGCAGCATTAAGTTTAACATTGCGTTGGGCGCTAGACCTGGACACGAGCCATCGGACGCAGAGATTCAAGAAGCCTGTGAGCTGGCCAATATTCACCAAACTATCATCGAGCTGCCACAAGGTTACGACACTGAGTGCGGTGCGAACGGCTCTCAACTATCTGGTGGACAGCGCCAGAGACTGTCTATCGCTCGTGCGCTTGTGCGTAAACCCAAGTTACTGTTGCTTGACGAAAGTACCAGTGCTCTTGACGCAGAGAGTGAGAAGGCTCTGGAACTTGGTCTTGAACGTGCCGTCAAGGGCCACGGCGTCACTGTCATTGCCATTGCTCATCGACTACGAACAATTGCCAGAGCTGATATCATTTTCATGGTGGAGGGGGGTAAAGTGGTAGATCAAGGTCGACACGAGGATCTTGTGCAAAGAAGTGAGAGTTACCGCGTTAATGCTCTCCACCAGATGTTGGGTTAGCGATTTGATCTCGTACCATTATTTTCAATAGTCTTTAATAATATGCTACAGAGCATTTGTGTTACTATTCTTTCAGGCAAGCTGAACAGCATTCGGTAGCAATTTTTCATCGCCTCCGGGAATCCACACCAGCAGTGGAATTTCATGATCTTCCTGGTCACTGTCCGTCTGCCCTGGGTGCAGGTCGCACGACTTGTGGACAGGACGCTCCTTAAGCCATCGGAAGCCAGATTTCTCATACAGCCTGATGGCCGCCTGTGAGCTCTCAACATAGATCGGAAGGTTTGCTTGCAACGCGATCTTCTTACCATATTCCACCAACAACTCGCCGACACCCTTTCGCTGGGCATCTGGGCGGACCGCGATCACGTGGCAGTACAGGTACCGCTCCTTGCTCCAAAGCTTTTCTCGCGCGCCCCAAAGCGGGCCGATCAAGGCCTCGGCACGCTCCCTCTCCTTCCCTTGCAGCCATCCTATCTCGCCCTTTGTCCAGTCACTAGGGGTGATGTAAACATCCCATAGTGCCATGCCGACGATCTTTCCCTCTGAGTTTACGCATTTTAGTGTATGTTGTGTGAGATTGCTCTGCCAGTACTCTCGTGTGTGAGCAGTATGCGCTTTGCTGTCGGAGTGTGAGCGCTATCCCTTCTCAAGTTTCAAGAATAACCACTTTGGACGACTATGCGTACCGGAACTCAGACTCCGGATCTGTCATCTCCTCCGCTGTGGCTGATGGGAACAACGCCTTTGTGATTGCATCATTCTTGAAGGCTGCGAAGTACACGTCGTACACCGCGGTGATGTCTGCGGGTAAGGCCGGCAGGACTACGAAACCCATCGTGAATGTCTCAAACTGGTCAAGCGTGTGAGTCGAGTAAAGCTCAGACCCTCATCTGGATCAGTGCATGCTACTCACCGGTGTCTTAGTGGTTGAGGAACGTGATCCACACTGAGAGGCTTGGAGTCTGGACCTCAAGGAGATAGAGGTAGCAAGACCGCGTGGCGTAGACTGTCAGACGACTTTTGCTCAAGTGCGAACGAGGAACGATTATGAGGCAGGGACACGAACAACAGTGAGGCAGGCCAAAAGTTATGAGAGAATTCTGCAATTAACGGTGGATCGGTACCAAGAAGCCCAAGAGTCTCCAAGCAATTCTGAAGCATAACCGGCAGCTGTGAGCACAGCTCGATGTTGAGAATCCCGGGGCCCTCGTCACCAGCAAGTTAGAACTCAGGGTTGCTGTGGAGCGAACATGGAGTCGTCATCGGCTAGCGCATCCATCACCACGCACCTGCAAATTCATGGTCAATCACGCGCCACCGACATCAAAGAGCAGCGATCCGGCGTGCACCGAATGTTGGTGCCTCACCCGCAGCTGTGTCTCTTCCCTGGCATGTGAAGCTTATCAGATCCGCTGTAAGCGAAAGCCTTCCCGCGAGGGAAGACAGGATCTGCCGAGATGAGAGCCCTCAACACCGCAAGACAATTCATCACACATCCATAGAACATGAACACTTTCCGCGGCCCGCAATCAGCGCGTACTTTGTAGAGGCTCACCCAAGAGATGCACGAGCATGCGGCATGCAGACGTTTTGTAGCACGAAACTATCAGCCTTCCTGTCAGTCCAAAAACCAGTCGTTGATCGATGCAGCAGGTCCCAAGCGATGTGAATTGTGCTGTTGATCGGCCAGAGGGCGCCTTACCTGAAATCCCACACATCTAGGCTGATCTGGCTCCCCCGAGCGTCGGCCGCTGTTATCAGATGAAAGAGGATCTGCAGCCCGCCGATGTCACCCTGCATGACGCGCATTTAGCTGCTGCCCCAACAGGCAGCTCCGTCCCTTGCTCAGCAACGATAATGCTGACACAAGAATTATCAGATGCAGCTAACTGCAAGCCCTCCCACACAAATTTTATCTGATCCGCTAAGTGTGGGGTTTCGGCACCTCGGACAGCATGATTTTTATTACAGCTAAAGGGGGGTAATGGACTAAGTCGACCAAATGCCACTCAGTGACTTCGGCATTTACGTTAGATAAATCGACATATTTGACGAGCGACGGCGTAGACAGACAATCCCTGGCTTCGCTTCGAGTGACGAAGATGACGCGGGCGGCTGCTGTCCTAACAGCTCACGCTGGCCGCGCTGAGTACGGACCTACATCCTGGTCTGAGGTGTGGGGTGCTAAGTTTTTCTCTCGTAGCAACGGGCGCTCTGGTGGAGTGCTCGGTCTATTCAACTCTCTGTGAAGCTTGGCCTACTATACGGAGATTCTCCCTGGGACAACTCGCCGGACACAAGAAGACTCTACTCCTCCATCTTCTTGCCACGATTTACAACCCTACAATCTCAAGAGAAAGACCTGTCTGCCCATGAGAAATGCATCTGGCAAACGGTGAACAGACTCTGCGCTATGGTGGGGCAGCGCAAGAGAAGACCGAGGTCAAGGTCAACGCTAACGGTACAATGGACGTCAATGAGAACGGTGTCTACGCAAGTGGGCATTCTCAGACGAATGGCCAATCCACCGAATCCAACAAGATGGAAATCACAGCTCTCAAAGGGCAATCACTAGATGCAGTGCTGGACGCTATCCTTACAGCGTGGACCATCCTGATACAAAGATACCAAAGAGACATCTTCCATCAGTTCTCGTGGGGTGTTAAAGGCGCTGGCTCCGACGGGCGCCAGTGCGTTCAGACTACGGATTTAGATGTGCTCAATCACAGCAACGCTGCAAGCATGGCCTCAAAGATCCACGATGTGAGACTGAAACACGTCTCATTGGACGGAGCCACTATCTTCTTGAACGACGGCACAAAAGAAGAGGTGAGAGCCGCAAACAATCGTTCTCATACCCTCGCTGATGATGAACAGTGGACTTTCGAAGTTTCTGTTGATTTTGGAAAGAGCCCATTACAAGCAACTGCACGATGGCAACCTCCCGGCATGTCACAACACCAAGCTGTGGCTGAACTGCAGTTTTTCTCTTCTATTATTGATACCCTTTCGAGTGCGCCTGATACCCCAATTTCTGACTTCCTTGCCATCTCAGAGTCCGAGCTCGACGAGATCTGGAATTGGAACTCCCCATTACCTCCGGACATGCAGACATGCATGCACGAGCTGGTTGCAGAGCAAGCTGGGAAACAGCCCGAGAAGAACGCTATCGAAGCTTGGGATGGCAACTTGACTTACAAACAAATTGACGACTACTCCACCCATCTGGCGCAGATCCTGCGGTCTATCGATGACTCGCCAAATCAGATCATTCCGGTCCTGTTTGAGAAGTGTCGCTGGACGATCGTTGCTGTGCTTGCAATCATGAAGGCAGGCGCCTGCTTCTCGCTGCTTGACCCAGCTCAGCCGGAAGGTCGTCTACGAACGGTTGTGCAGCAAGTCAGTGCCACGACATTCATCGCGTCGAAATCGCAGGCTTCGCTTGCCGCGCGAATAGCCCCTCAAGCTACCATCATCCCGGTTTCTGCATCCAAGTTTGAGAAGGTGTACAGTCCATATGCCGAGCAGCAACCAAAGACAACATTGCCGAAGGTTTCTCCATCAGCCGCCCTCTACATCCAGTTCACCAGCGGGAGCACGGGTCTCCCGAAGGGATGCTTGATATCGCACAGTCAGTACACGTCTGGTGCGATTCCGCGTGCTTTTGCTGTGGGCTACCGACCGCACTCTCGAGTACTCGACTTTGCCAGTTACGCTTTCGATGTGTGTATCGACTCCATGCTTTGCACGACTGCTCACGGTGGAACTCTGTGCACTCCCTCTGACGAGCGCCGAATGAACGATCTCAGTGGCGCCATGCGAGACATGCGAGTCACACTGGCTGGTATGACTCCCTCAGTAGCACGCACTCTAGATGTGGACATTCTCGACCAGCTCGATTCGATTGCGCTGGGTGGGGAAGGCACTTCAATGAGTGACGCCGCTTCGTGGGGCAAGAAAACGAGAATCGTCAACGCCTACGGCCCCTCAGAGTGCACGGTCGGTGCCACCATCAACGGCGATGTTGGAGCCAAGCCATACATCACCATGGGTACTGGAACAGGCGCTGCCATTTGGCTCGCTGATCCTGAGGATCACAACAAGCTTGTTCCAGTCGGTGCGGCTGGTGAGCTTCTCATCGAGGGTCCCATCGTCGGCATGGGTTATCTGAACAACCCGGCCAAGACCAAAGAAGTCTTCATTGAGGACCCAGACTTCCTGACAAAGGGCAGCAAGTCTTTCCCTGGCAGGCAAGGCAAGCTGTACAAGACTGGTGACCTTGTCCGCTACGACCCAGATGGCTATGGCGAAGTCATTTTTGTTGGCCGTCAAGACCAGCAGGTCAAGCTTCGCGGACAGCGTATCGAGCTTGCAGAGATCGAGTACAATATGCAGAAGCATCTACCTGCTGATACTCAATTGGCCGTCGAAGTGATCAAGCCTGGAGGTGCAGGAGAGCAGACACTTGTTGCGTTCTTGGTCGAGCAAAGGAGGAGCGGCATGCGTCACCTTGACGGACAAGTCTTCGGTAGCTTTTCCAACAAGTTCCAGACCGCGCTCCAGGAGATGACAAAGCACCTCTTTAACGATCTACCCAGCTACATGGTGCCCAGCGCCTATATTCCTCTCTGGAAGATGCCGCTTCTTGTCTCATGCAAAACTGACAGGAAGAGGCTGCGTGATATTGGCAACGGCGTCACCCGTCAAGATCTCCGACGCTTCAATGCTCTACTTTCTGAGAAGAAGGAGGTAACGACCGAGATGGAGCTCAAGTTGATTCCTGTGTGGGCCAAGATCCTTGGTGGGGACGCTGACTTCAGCGCCAACGACAACTTCTTCAGCATGGGCGGCGACTCGCTCAGAGCTATGAGACTCGTACCTGCCGCTCGCGAGCAGGGCGTCATTCTGACCGTTCCCGATATCATGCTGAACCCTACTCTGTCTGCTATGGCTACCAAAGCTAGGCCTATCTCCGAGGAAGATACGATTGAAGTTCTTCCATTCTCGATGATCGGCCAGGATTGGGACGAGGACAAGTCCAGAGCCGAGAGCGCTGAGCTTTGCGGTGTCGACGCGTCGAACATTGAAGACGTCTACCCCTGCACGCCTCTGCAGGAAGGCCTGATGGCGCTGTCAGCCAAGTTCCAGGACGCTTACGTCGCTCAACGTGTTGCCGATCTTCCTGTCGAGACTGCTAACCGCCTCAAGGAGGCTTTCGACAAATCTGTCGAAAACTGCCCAATCTTGCGCACCCGTATCGTCAACGTGCCTGGCCGCGGTCTATTCCAGGTTGTGCTCACGGATGGCCAACTTGTTCGTGAACATGGCTCTGTTCTGACAGAGTACCTAAAGACTGACCAGGCTGAGGCCATGGACCTTGGAAAGGCTCTCTTCCGTTACGGTGTTGTCCGCCCTGAAGGCAGTGATAAAGCACACTTCATCATCACCATGCACCACGCAGTGTATGATGGCTGGTCCATGCCTCTTGTCTTTGACCGCATCAACCGAGCGTTCGTTGGCCTCGATACTTCGCGGCCTGCCACGTTCAAGAACTTCATCAAGTACCTCACCAGCCAAGACCCAGCAGTGTCCAAGGCCTACTGGAAGGAGCGTCTCAACGGCGCAAGCCCACACCAATTCCCACCCCTACCTGAGAAGGGTTACACCACACGCGCCGACTCTCTGCTCGAGCATTACGTCACCATCCCCACAGCAGCCCACAGCAAGCTCACTCTCGCAACCATCATCCGTGGTGCCTGGGCGCTGACATCCTCGCTCTATATGGGTCACTCAGACATCATATTCGGCGAGACGCTCACCGGCCGCTCCGCACCCGTCAACGCCATCGAGGAGATCGAAGGCCCCATGATCACCACCATCCCAGTGCGTGTGCGCATGAACCTCGACCGCCCAATTTCCGAGTTCCTGCAGCAAGTGCACGCCCAGACCGTCCAACAAATCCCGCACGAGCATCTGGGACTGCAGAACATCCGCCGCGTGAGCAAAGAAGCACGCCACGCGTGTGAGTTGCGCACCGGACTCGTTCTGCACCCCAAGGAGGACGAGAACTGGAACCAAGGAAGGACGCTTGAAAACGCGCCGGGCGATGCATTCTTGCCTGCCGATGACGCCGAGGCAGCGCGCGAGGCACTGAAGTTCAACACCTACGCACTCATGCTTGTTTGCACGCTGGACGAGAACGGGTTCTTGGTCATGGCTAGTTTTGACTCGAAGTGCATTGCCTCGCCTACTATGGAGAGGGCGCTTGTTGTTCTTGATCGCATCGTCTCTGCTTTCCTTGGTAACCCTGAGAGTAAGCTTGGTGATGTGGCAGTCTTGGACCCGGAGGAGATGCAGGATGCGCTCAAGCTGAGGCCGAAGGATATCATGGTGGACAGCGGCATCGATATGCTGCCGGCTCAAGCCTCGAAAAATGACCAGGCAAAGGCACTATCGCCCAACGAAGAGAAACTCCGCGGTCTGTTGAGCCGCATCTTGGGTATGCCCGAGGCAGAAATCAACCCTAGTGATAGCTTCTTCGAACTAGGGGGCGACTCCATCGGGGCCATGAGGCTTGTGTCTGAGGCCAGATTGCAGGGCTTGAACATCTCAGTTGCGCAGATCTTCCAGAGTAAGTCACTCTCAGAACTCGCCTCAAGCATCGGCAATGAGAAGGAAGACAAGTTGCGGGATGTGCTAGCCCGCATTCTGGGTATGCCCAAGAGCGATATCAGCTCCAGCGACAGTTTCTTCGAGCTTGGTGGAGACTCGATCGGTGCCATGCGTCTTGTGTCAGATGCACGCACCCAGGGACTTAGCATCAGCGTGGCGCAGGTCTTCCAGAGCAAGTCGCTGTCCGAACTGGCTTCACTCGCACAGGAGACTTCATCAGGCGAACCGGAGGCCAATATCGATGCTCCGTTCGCTGCTCTCGGGGCCGAGGCGAGCATGTTCAGTGCTGATCGCATGGTGTCCTACCTGGAAAACCCGGAGTGGGATATCGTGGATATATATCCTACTCGACCTCTGCAACAACTTGCGGTCGAGGGCACTGTGGATCTGCCACGCTACTCTCTGCGTTACGAGCTGATCAAGTTCACCACTGCCGTCGACCAGAAGAAGCTTGAGCAAGCTTGCCAGGAGCTCGTCGCTCGCAACGAAGTTCTGCGCACCGTCTTCATTGTTGACGGCGGCAAGACATTGGGTCTTGTGATCCGCGACCTGAAGGCGCCTTACAGCGAGGTCACTGTTCCCGAGGGCGAAGACATCAACAACTTCGCACACACCTACGTGCGTGAAGACATCCAGGCACCGAAGCCACACGGCTCGTCCTTCGTCAGCTTTACCCTCTTCACTTCGCCCTCAACAGGTGCTTCTACACTGGCGTTCCGCATCTCGCACGCCCAGTACGACGAGATCTGCCTCCCTCTCCTCTTCGACCAGCTCTCCGCTCTCTACGCCAGCACTGAACTCATCGAAACCCTGCCCTTCACGAAGCACGTAAACCACGTCGTCCTCAACAATATCCCCAAGAGCATCCCGTACTGGCAATCCCTTCTCGCCGGCTCCCAAATGTCCATCCTAAAGCCCGACATTCCGCTCCAACTTAAGAGAATGGCAGACATCTACCTCGAATTCGACATCTCCGCGCGCCCCAAGGACATCACAATCGGCTCGCTCCCCACCGCAGCCTGGTCCCTCGTCCTCGCTAACCGCCTCAACAAGCGCGACGTCGTCTTTGGCGAAGTGGTGACAGGTCGCAATCTGGGTGCGCCCAGTGCGGACCGCATCTTCGGACCCACGTGGCAGTACATTCCGTTCCGCGTGCCGTTCAAAGCGGGCTGGACGCATCTCGACCTGCTCCGCTTCGTGCAGGCGCAGCACATCGAGTCTGCTGGCTACGAGAGCATGGGCTTAGCTGAGATTGTCGAAAACTGCACCGATTGGGATAAGAACGAGGTTACGTGGTTTGACACGGTGGTGCATCAGGCGCCGGCGTGGGTCGAGGAGTTGCCGTTTGGGAACGGTGTGGAAGCCAAGTTTGAGACGGTGTATCCGCATGCCGAGCCGTTGAGGGAGTGGAAGTGTCAGGCTTTCGTCAAGGAGGGCGGGAAGAAGCTGGGTATTGAGATTGTTACGTTCGAGGAGTGGATTCCGGTTGCTCATGACGTGTTGAAGGAGGTTGGCCAGGCGTTGGAGGATCTGCAGAAGAAGGCTGGTGAGCCTATCTTTAAGGGAGCTGGTGAGGTGAAGCAGCAGTCTTTGGAGGATTTCGAGGGTGTGATGTGATAGCCGTTTCTTGTCTAGAGGCTTGGTTCTGATGTTGGTGGATATCTTTGGCGTTCGGTCTGCTTGCCCTTGCTCTGATTAGCTAGCTATCGTACTATCATTTTATCTATACCATGCAATGTCCTCCTTGCTTTGCGATCTTATGGCACTGACGCGCTTAGTCGCGTCGCCACGTGCTTTCAGTAAGGTACCGTCGACGGTAAGCAGCGTGTAGTCTTGTTACCAGTTCTTTGCTTGGAATGTGTTGAGTCACTGCTTCTTTGACGTGCTACACGGACGGCAGGCGGCACCAGCTATGTCAGGAAAGTACAGTGGCCCTGTTAATACCTCCCCGTACTCTTTGATGAGGGCCTGAGGACAAACCCGCAAGGTAGCCTTGAGCCTGTCACTACCATCACCATTAATACCGTCTCGCCGGGGTTCATACTACTATACCGCCTTTTACGGAGCCTGTTCAGTAACAAGTACCTGTCCTAAGCAGCCGCAATCACGATGCAGCTCATCCACAGTATCCTCTTCGCCGTTGTCGCAACCGCTCTCCCGTCGACTGTGCAGGACTCAAATCAACCGCAACTCATTGGCAGCGATGGAGCCTTGACGACAAGCGGTCATTGCCACGTAGGCCAGCACTACTGCTTCAACTATATCATCGATGACCTCAGTATGTCCTTCATCTTCTCTATTCCTACCTCTTTCGTCGAGCCTCGTGTTCACCGCCCATGGCTAACATGGCGCAGGAGTAGCCAAGCAAGACATCCTTCACCAGTACTGCGATCAGAGGGCAGCGTACGACTGGCAGAGTTGCAACACATGCAAGAGGGTACCAGTCCCACTGCCTAACTGCTGGGATGGGCCGGGTGTCTGGTCGAGTTTGTTCAACTGTACCGGTCCGAAGACGTTCAAGTGGCTTGAAGGGTACCACGATGCCAGTGTTGCGAGCGCGTATTCTTCAGAGCGTTGCTACGAGTAATATTGACGAGCACAATGATAAATGACTGGCTCCTGCATGATCGTTGACGTGTTATGGGTGAACGCTTCGACGCTCGAAGATGACGCAGCTGTCACAGCACGTGACGCGCTTGGCGATAGAGCAGCTTGAACGCCATCATGGCAGGCACAGCTATCATCAACTCCCATCTCGCCGCCCACGCCCCGACCGCCCCTCGAGACAAGCAAGCCTTCACCGGACGACTTGTCTCTCTACCGCCATTATGGCACCTCAAAAGGACACCATGTTTCGCTCGGCGGACATGTCCTTGACCCAGCTCTACATTGCGAACGAGATTGGCCGCGAGGTCGTCTCTGCGCTTGGAGAGCTCGGCGTCATGGACTTCAGAGATGTGAGCTAACACGCGCCCATTGCGATGGCACTGCGGGTACTGACGATGCCAGCTCAACGCCGAGACGACGGCCTTTCAGCGCACCTTCACCCAGGAGATCCGCCGCCTCGACAACGTGGAGCGTCAGCTGCGCTACTTCCACGCCCAGATGGACAAGGCGAGCATCTCGGTGCGCTCCATCTACGACTTCAACAACCCCTTCACCTCGCCCTCGGCCTCGGAGATCGACGAGCTGGCCGACAAGAGCCAGAGCCTGGAACAGCGCATTGCCTCGCTCAACGAGAGCTACGAGACGCTGAAGAAACGCGAGGTGGAGCTAACAGAGTGGCGCTGGGTGCTCAGAGAGGCCGGCGGTTTCTTCGACCGTGCCCGCGGCCAGACCGAGGAGATCAGGCAATCTTTGGACGATGACGACGATGCGCCTCTCCTCCGCGACGTCGAGCAGAACGCCTCCGGCGACGCCTCTGCCGAGCGCTCGCTCACCGTCATGAACATCGGCTTCGTCGCTGGTGTCATTCCCCGCGAGCGTATTGCGGCCTTCGAGAGGATCCTGTGGCGTACCCTCCGCGGCAACCTGTACATGAACCAGACCGAGATCCCCGAGCCCATCATCAACCCCGAGAACAACGAGGAGACGAGCAAGAACGTCTTCATCATCTTCGCCCACGGCAAGGAGATTATTGCCAAGATCCGCAAGATCTCTGAGTCGCTCGGTGCCGACCTGTACAGCGTCGACGAGAACAGCGAGTTGCGCCGTGACCAGATCCGGGAGGTCAACACTCGTCTGAGCGACCTTGCCAGTGTTCTACGTAACACTAAGTCGACCCTGGACGCCGAGCTGACTGCTATCAGCCGCAACCTGGCTGCTTGGATGGTCGTCATCAAGAAGGAGAAGGCTACCTACGAGACGCTAAACAGGTTTTCGTACGACCACCAGCGCAAGACGCTTATTGCTGAGGCTTGGGCGCCCACCAGTGCTCTTGGACTCATCAAGTCCACCCTCTCCGACGTCAACGAGCGCGCCGGCTTGTCTGTGCCAACCATCGTCAACCAGGTCAAGACAACCAAGACCCCGCCGACCTACTTCAAGGTGAACCGGTTCACCAACGGTTTCCAGACCATCATCGACGCCTACGGAACCATCAAGTACCGCGAAGTCAACCCTGCGCTGCCCGCCATTGTCACCTTCCCCTTCATGTTCGCCGTCATGTTCGGTGATGCTGGTCACGGCGTCATCCTTCTGCTCGCTGCCCTGGCGATGATCTACTACGAGCGCAGACTTGAGCGCAGCAAGCTTGACGAACTGTTCTCCATGATGTTCTACGGTCGTTACATCGTCTTCATGATGGGTCTCTTCTCCATCTACACCGGTCTGATCTACTGCGACGCCTTCTCTCTTGGGCTACCCTGGTTCAAGTCTATGTGGGTATGGGACAACGACGGCAAGGGTCCTACCGCCAGCCGTGTTGAAGGTCACACCTACCCCTTCGGTCTGGATTACCGCTGGCACGACACGGAGAACGATCTGCTCTTCTCCAACAGTTACAAGATGAAACTCAGTATCTTGCTCGGTTGGTGCCACATGACCTTCTCACTCATGTGGTCGCTCGTCAACGCACGCTACTTCAAGACACCCATCGACATCTGGGGAAACTTCGTTCCAGGTATGATCTTCTTCCAGTCCATCTTCGGCTACCTGTCGTTCTCCATTGTCTACAAGTGGTGCGTCGACTGGGCTGCCAAGGGTCAGGACCCCCCATCTCTGCTGAACATGTTGATCTACATGTTCTTGCAGCCCGGTACCCTAGAGGACCCCGATAAGCCGTTGTACCCTGGTCAGGCAACCGTGCAGGTTATCCTGCTGCTTATGGCTCTCGTCTGTGTTCCTATCCTCCTGTTCTTGAAGCCTTTCTATCTCCGCTGGGAGCACAACAGGGCTCAGGCTCTCGGATACCGCAGCATCGGCGAGACTGCCCGTGTCAGTGCTCTGGATGACGATGACGACACTCCCGCCAACGGCACCGCCAACGGCGGACGTGAGAGCTTTGGAGACGACGACGATGGCATTGCAATGATCACGCAGGACATCGGCCACGGTGAGGAGCACGAGGAGTTTGACTTTGGTGAGATCATGATCCACCAGGTCATCCACACTATCGGTAAGCTTGACATTCCTCTGACCATTCAGTGTTTAACTAATGCAACCTAGAATTCTGTCTCAACTGCGTCTCCCACACGGCCTCGTACCTCCGTCTCTGGGCCCTGTCTCTCGCGCATCAGCGTCTCTCGATCGTGCTGTGGGAGATGACGATGAAGAACGCCTTCACATACACGGGCATTCTTGGCTCGGTCCTGATGGTCTTCATCTTTGGATTCTGGTTCGCGCTCACGGTCATGGTTCTGTGTGTGATGGAGGGCACAAGTGCCATGCTGCACTCGCTGCGTCTGCACTGGGTCGAGGCCATGAGCAAGCATTTCATTGGTGATGGTGTGCCGTTTGAGCCATTTAGCTTCAAGGCGCTGCTTGAGGAGGATCCCGTTGAGTAGTGTGGTTTTGTATGTTTGTAGGATAGCGTAGCAGGACGTTTATAGAACTGTACAACGTGCACGTTTACACAGCGCACGCTTCGCCATGCTCTCAGGACTGCACCTCGACCTTTTTCTTTTTCTTCTTACTCTCGGTGAATCCCTTCCTCTCCTCCCCTTGCAGCCCGACAGCCTTCAAGACTGCAAACCGCACATGGTCGACCCCCAAGCGCTTCCCGTCGACCAGCGTCTCACTGCTACAGGCCAGAATCTCGCCCAGAGCGGCGCCGCCGTGCGGGGGCGCAATGTCCGGCAACAGGGTCCTCATCTCGGCCCTCAAGGCGTTCACGGTGCCCTTGGCCTTCAGCTTGGCGCCCTTTGCGACTTTCTTGATCTCGCTCGCCTTGGGAATGTACAGCTTATCCATCTTGCTGAGCACGACCTGGTGGCTTACACCCGCGAGGCGCAGGCTGGCGAGGATGCTGCGATCCTTGTCCTTGAGGCCATGCTCGGCGTCGAGCAGCACGAAGACGCGCCGCAGCGCCTTGCGGCTCTGGATGTACTTCATGATCTCGACGCCCCAGCTCGTCAGGCTGCCGGAGCCGTAGCCGGGCATGTCGACGATGACCAGGCCGCCGCGGCCGACTATCTTCTCCTTCCCCGGCCCGCTGTCCTGCGCCCGCGTCTGGATCCGCACACCGGGCTCTGCCGCAATGCCGTACAGGTTCATCGTCTTGGTGAAGCCGGGCGTCGATGAGGTCCGCGCCAGCAGCGCGCGGGTGTTGCACCCCATCACCGCGTTCAGCAGGCTGCTCTTGCCCACGTTCGAGCGCCCGATGAAGGCCACTTCCGGCACGTCCGTCTCGGGCAGCTTGCGGAACTGCGCGATGCTGCGCAGCAGCGTGGCGTGCTTGCCGTGCTTCTCGAAGAAGCTGTTCGCGTGTGCTGTGTTGGCCGCGCTGGGCGCCGCCGTCTCGTAGTACCAGTTGTAGTCGTGCGGGCCCGAAGGCGCCGTCTCGGGGGGTGTCTTTGTCTTCGACTTCGGGTACGAGAGGAGGGTTGAGGCCGTCGAGGGGACGAGGCCGTCGGTGTCGCGAGACCCGGGCGGCGCGACTTGAGTGCGCTGCGCTGGCGAAGGCGCCGCTGGCAAAGACGCCTCTGCCGACGCTGCAGGCGCCGGAGCAGCGTCACGTGGTGGCCGCTCGGCCTGGATGCGTATCGTGGTGCCGTCAGTGAGCGTCACCGTCTCGGGCGTGGGAAGCCTCTCTGCTCCAGCCTGCGCCAGCCTCGCGCGCGGCCTCAGGCGCAGCCCGCGCCTCTGCTGCGCCAGTCCTCGCGCACAAGCGCGACACGTCCATGTCCATCTCTTGGTCGGCAAAAAGCCCAACATTGTAGACGGCGCCGTCGTCCCGCGTCGCCGTAAACTTGTCGCCGGCCCGGTCCCTGCGCTCCCCCGAACTTTTCGCCGCACAATCTCCGCGCCGCACAATCTCCGCGCCGCACAATCTCCGCGCCGCACAATCTCCGCGCCGCACCATCACCACCACCTCCGTGCCGCACCGTCACCACCACCTCCACAATACACAACACACACAACCCATCATGTCCTCCGCGCCGCAAATCCGCGCCCTCTACCGCCAACTCCTGCGCGAACTCCCCCTCAAACCGCAGACAACACGCACAGCGCACCAGAAGCTATCTGCCGCCTCGCCGCTGCAGAAGCGCGTGCGCACCTCACTACAGTCGCCGTCCGCGCCCGCGCCCGCGCACACCGCGAGCCAAGCGGCGCAGCTCGAGCAGTTCGTGCAGTACGCGCGCGCGCAGCGCGTGTATGCTACGCTGATTGAGCGGTATAACCCTGGTATGGGGATGAGTGAGGAGGAGCGTGTTAGGCTTAGTGCGAGGAGAATTGGGATGAATTTGCCTGTTGAGTTTGCGGGGGAAGAGCATAGTGAGGGGGGCCGGGGCGAGGGCGAGGGAAAGTGAAGTGAAAGGAGAAGGGGGAGGGGAGATGTGTGTGATGTGAGAGGCCATGGGACCTTTCTGTGGTTGTGCGCTGGCGAGGACGGATTGGCTGGGACCGACGAAGGTTGAGGCACTCGGGCATATGGGATGCATGCTGCACGTGCTGTGTATATTGTGTATGGCAAATGTTAAGATGCTTCACAGGCAAGAGTCGTGTCTACGAGTAGGTGGGTGACTGCAATTGATTTCCAGTGAGAGGGGCTGACAGTGCCAACAGAGACGTGTATGTATTGCCACTCCTACCGTCGCGACAGAACTCGTTCTACGCTTACCACCGCCTATAGCCCGGTACCTCCGCCACGCGGCCTTGCTGGCAGCTTGTGGCCGGGATTCTCGCGGTACCTGCATGCTTGTCAGTCACTGCTCGACGCAATTCACATCAACGGCCAACACTTACTTGGTCACGATCCTCTCAATCGAGTCCAGCCCCTTCTCCAGCACATCCATCCTCGGTCCGTAGCTCAGACGGACAAAGTGGTGACACGGGCTGTCGAACAAATCACGGCGCTTGCTGGGGTTCAAGTCGAAGAAGATACCCGGCACGACAATGACCTTCTCCTGCAAACACGCGTGGAAGAAGTTCAGCCCGTCGTTGATGCCCTCGGGCAGCCCGCTCAGATCCAGCCACAGGTAGAAGGTCGAGTTGGGCATGTACGGGAACTTGAAGCCAATGTCCTGCAGTCTGCCGATGACGTAGTCGCGCTTCGTGCGGAAGTGCATCTGCAGCGCCCGCATCTCGTTGCGCACCCGTGGCGGGCTCAGCATCTCCACCGCCGCTTCCTGAAACGGCACGTTGCATCCGCCGTCGAGGTAGGATCCGCACGACCCAATGGCGCTGATGAACTCCTTGGGGCCAATGACCCACGCGACTCGCCAGCCGGGGAGACGGAAGCGCTTGGTCAGACCGTCGATGATCAAGACGTCGTCCTCGTCAACATCCTCGACATTGTCGGCGGCTGAGATGACGGTGCCGTCGCAGTTGGTCGTGTAGTTGTAGCCGCAGTAGAACTCGTCCATGATGAGCGTTGCACGGTCACGGCAGATGTTCTGGATCTGCGCAAGCTCGGGGTTCGTGACCATCTGTCCAGTGGGGTTCCTGGGGTTGGACGTCAGGAGCACTGATGTGCCACGGGCAATCTCCTCGGCGACCTTGTCGGGTGACATATGGTACTGATCCTGCTCGCCGAGAGGAATGGGAATGGCTGCGATGTTCTTGAAGAGAGACAACATCTCGTTGTACGCTGTGTAGTCGGGGATGAAGAAACCCAGGTAGCAGTTGCCCAAGACAGCGGCGATACGGATGAGACCTGCGCGGCCACCGGGCACAATACACACGTTCTCGTATGTGTACTGGCTCTTCCTCCACTTGCGGTGGTGCTCGTTGTAGAGTGTCGCAACGGCCTCACGGAGAGGCTTGATACCGGCTGTAGGGCCGTATTCGCGGCCATGTGCACTGATGTCTACTTCCTGCATATGTGTCAGCCTCTGGCTAGCATCTGGCTCAAAAGCTCGACTTACCTTGGGTCTTTCGAAGCAGCCCTGGATGCTATCGTCAACCTCCGGCGCTCCCTGACCAAGGTTTGCCCACTCCTCGGGTTTGTCTGTGAAGTTATTCAGCTATCGCTCCAGAATTTACGCACAATTGATAGCAACTTCATCATGTTGATCTTTGCTCCCAATTGTGAATACACTGGTTTGAGACGTACCAGCGAAGCCGTGCTTGTATGCTTGTTCGGACGTCCAGACAACACCGGTTGTAGAACGAGAGGGGTCGAGACCGGCGTGAGGCTTGTGGCCTTCGTGCGCTTCGCGAAAGTTGCGGTGGATGCTGGAGCCCAGCTCTGGCAGTAGACGTCAGTGAGCCAGCCCAAAAGTGCCATGTTCTGCCAGCCGACACCATCCTCATAGCTCAAGCTTGACTCCAAGCCTCTTATCTACTCGGAGCATTCCTTGCCGACAGCTCCAGTCGTCTGTTGTTCTGAAGTAATGCTCCGCTCCATGTTGAACCTAGCTCGCCGCTCCACTTGTACTTACCACTGCCACTCGGCTCCTTGGTGCTCGAGAACCTGCGCTGGCCATGTCCAGAGCCCACCTTAAGGATAGGCACCTTGTCTGCGGAGAACGACATTTCTGCTGCGTTGATGATCTGCGATGCTGGGAAACAAGCTTTGCTATAGAAAGCTTAACAAAAGCGGGGCAGGGTCCTGTCGTGGAACCTCCAAACTCAGAAAGAAGCAGGAAAGCAGCTCAAAGGTGCTGAAGAGGAGTCCTGGAGGGGGGAGAAGATACGTGGGGTAGGGCGAGGAAGCTGCATCGGGCCTTTATACTCGTCGATACGTGTGCCCGCCCATACACACCGCAGCTTCGCCGCCATGTGCGCGTCCAAGATACGCGCCGCCTCCTGCGCAAACCCTCCCGTCTTCCGGTTCCCGATGTTCTTCCCGGATTGCAGCTACGACTGCTGCTACGGAGCCAATCAACGAATTCGCGCGTCAGGACGTGCATGCGCAAGTGGCATCGAGTGCAGCACGTAAAGCATCTCACACCGCTGTGTCTTCCAGACCATAATGATGATGCAGTGTGAGTGCGACGATAGCACTTGCAAACAGCTGAAATCTGGCAACGAGTACCTTGCGGGCTGCTCTGTTTTTGTAAGTGCATCCGTCGACGTCCGGACAGCTGGCTCCAGCTATCCAAAGTCAGCATTGAGGCTCTTAAAGTTAGCGGTTCGGTGCGGCTGACATCATGCGTACTCCTCGGATAATGCCTCATTTGTCTCAGCCCTACATAGCGATCCGGTCAAGAACCGCTGGCCTACGAGCGACTCCTGCTATTTGCGTCGCGTTGGCGGATACTCAACATTGACAACTGATGAGTACGATGCTTCAATTGCTTCTGATCAACTCGTGCTCGCTACACGTTTCAATTGTATCACCATGGCTAGTGTTCCCGAGTCTCGACCCATCGACGCCGCACATAACTTTTCGACTCCTTACAATCATCACCTCGTAATCAGAAAGTCGTCTAAGCCATCGATCTCCTGACCTTGCCCTCAACCTCTTCGCTCTCACTCTTGCCCTTCCATTCCACCGTCACCGTGATGCCCCGATCATCGCCCTTCTCCTTAGCATACTGCAGCGTCCCCTCCAGCACCTCGCCCTTCTTGAACTTCTGCTTCGCCGCGACCTCATCGTCTAGCAACAGCACAGCTTGATGCCAGTGCGTGGGTGTGTTCGCCGGCCCAGTTGAGAAGCCCAAGCCCGGAATGCCGTTGTTCTGCCAGTCCACGTCGTCGATAGTCTTGATGTCCTGCTCGCTGCCGGGGTGCACGAAGATGGTATCGAACCATATAGCGATGGCTTGTAGGGACTCAACATCCCGGTCGAGCGTCATGTGCAGTGGGATCTTGAAGCTCAGGTCGCCGATGGACGCGGTCTTCATCTCGAGGAGGTGCGCGTTGGCAGACCCGCAGAGCGCGGTGGGAGGCACGTCGAAGACGCCGATTTCGCGGTGGTTGAGCAGGCCGCCGGGAATCATGGAGGAGAAATCAAAGCCGTACACGTCTTTCCAGAACTTGGCGCCTGTGGCGTCCGCAATCCACTCCTTGTCTGCGATCGGCGCGAGGCGAATGTTGCAGTGACTGGGCACCAGGAGGCCGTCGTCTTTCAAGTACATGTCACGCGCGCGGAGAACAGAGTCCAGCATGCCCTCGAACAGCAGTCCATAGCCCATCCACTCGGAGATGATGATGTCAACTTTGTCCTTGCCAATCTGGCGCTGCGTGTTGAAGTCCTCGATACGGCCCTGGATGACCTGAATGCGATCTGCGTAGCCGTTCTTTTCGACATTCTCCTTCGCGCGAACAGCGATCTGTGAGTTGTCGACTGCGAAGACTTTCTTTGCACCGGCACGGGCGCAGAACAGCGACAAGATACCTGTGCCGCAGCCAACATCAAGGACGACCTTGTCTTTGAAGACGGACAGGTTCTTCTCGATGAAGTCCCGGTAGCCTTCTGTGCGGACGCGGTCCTCGATCATCTCGCGGTGGATGCTGTTGCCTTTGTAGCTCTCAAAGTAGTCCTCGTCCCGGTCGCTAGTGACTTGCAGCCGTGAGAAGTCCTCTGGCATATCTTTCTGGAGCTTGGCCTCGAATTCTTCATAGTCGACGGCCTTGGTCTCGATGTCTTGCATGAGATCTCCGAGCTCGAAGAGTAGTGCATCGTCTTCGAGCACTGGTTGAAGGTACTTGTCGCTCAAATCTTCTAGTGTGATTTTCATGTTCTTGGGGTCTGTGCCCTTCTGTGCTTCTGATCGAAGGCAGTTTACGAGCTTAATGATGTCGATTTCATCAGCCTCTGGAAACTGTCAGTAGTCGCCCAAAGAGGAATGGTGTGGCAGGCTCACTTGAACCGAGACTCTTGACTGTTGCGTTCAGATCGAAGCCGTGCTCTGATGTGCAGTGCGAAGACATCTCTGAGATGCGTGCAAACTGCTTGTTGCAGAACAAGCATTTGAAGGTTGTCTCATCAGCCTCGCTCCTCTCCTCGACGATGCTCCCAACTGAGCTTCCTGAATCCGACTCCGAGTCTGAGTAGTTGCGCGGCATGTTGTTTGAATTTCCCGGCTCTTTTTATGTGTACTGTACTTTGGTGAATCTTGCGAGTAATTCGTCAGAAGTACAGTCTTTCAGTGTTGCCCGCGCTCCTAGAAACTTTATGCCGCTAGTGTAAGTTTGTGCGAAAGAAATGCAGGGGTGCGGGGCTGGTTGGTGGGGCCTCCCGTAACTTTAGACCCTTTATCTCACTCTCCCTCTATCCCGATCACTCCTTTATACTCTTCACTGTATGCCTAGGCATGGCCATTCAGGAAATGACATACTATCGCTACCAAATGAACTAATTAAATCTACGTCTGCACTTCACCGAAAGCTCAACAGCATGACTGATCACTGGTCCTGCGATTCACTCTGAACCCGATCCATCAGACTCGCAGACATTGTTCGACTTTCAAGCCATACTGTCAGGAGTCTTAACATTTTCCACCGTCCCAGACTTACCATTGGTATCGCCCTGACCATCTTTGCTTCTACTAGCAACATCATCGTTCCCACTAGATTGCGACAAGAAGAACGCCCGCCACTCCGGCGAATTTACAAACCCCACCATCTCAGTACGGATGCCCTTCTCTAAGATCTCCGCCTTGAATGTCTTGAACCTATCGATCTCCTCCCCGGTAATGGATGGCGTGAACACATGTCCAGACATACCCACAACAGCCTGAGCCAGGCACTCCCGTAGGTACGGGAACGATCGACCGAACTTACCTGTGACGGAGCTCAAAGTTCTTCGTTCGCGTTTCACTGCTCCACCATGTTGGTCTTCCAGCTTGCGACCTTCGAAGAACCTTAGGAACTCTTCCCCCACGTCGTTCTTTGCAGGGAGGTCAATGGCGCGCCTGTTCGTCTCAGCGATGGAGAGGTGGCAATACATCTCGAGCCAAAGCTCTTCATCTGGAAGCCACCACTGAGTCTCTCTAAGCTTTTTACTAGCCCCACGGCCGTAGAGTTGTCTGCGCCATGCGTTGATCATAGAGATGTGCCGTGGATTGTCCCATTCGATCAGGCCATAAGGAATCTTCTTGAACTTTTGTTCCTGGCGTTTGTTTTTCCTAGTGTTCATGCACGTCAGCCGAAGCAGAGTGTCGTCACGCTGTCCGACGACAGCTTGACGGCGGACACTGTCGATTGGAACGAGATATGTGTGTTGCTTGTTTGCATTCTGGATTGTCTCCGTGGAAACCAAAGAGCCTGCAGAAGCTACTGTGGAAGCCACTGATGTTGCGGACGTTGCGCTACCTGACGTGCTGCATGTCTGACGTGTTTTTGCCTCCTTTCTGCTATCTTGTGCAAGCGGGGAGCCAGGAATATCGTCTTGATCGGTCCGCCAACGCTTTGGAGGAGGAAATAAGCGCATCGGAGCAGCTGTCCCAATTCTGTTGAAGACGACTGTGGCAGAGGTTCGGATGTACGATGGATCAATAGGAAGAAGGGCAACCTGTACACAGCATGCGAAAGAGGGCTAAACCCGGGACTTTGTCCTCGCGTCTAATGAAGGACGGGCAGTGTGACACAATGAGAGTAGAATATGCGCAATGCGAAGGCATCAAACTCAAGTATGTTCTAGAATCCAAGCGCAACATCACGATTGTTTCCCGACTTTGTTCGAATTCACCCTATTTCGTGAAGTATGTGGACTACCTCCAGGGCAATTCTAACGGTTCTACTATGCAATCCTCTCTTTCCCGCTGTCCTGCTCCTGTCCATCGTTCTTCGCTCCGATCAGATCCCGACTAAGCCGCCACAGATCGATCTCCCGCTCAGCGCAGCGCCATTCCTCCTCAGTTGCGAAGGAAGCCCTTCCAATCTTCGCTCGTTGTACCGACGTTTAGCGGGAGTTGTCCCAATGGTATCGTTATTGGCGGCACATGTGCCATTGTCCGCGCAGGCAGCGCTCTCATTGGCCAGCTCGTTTAGCTAGCTCCCGCCCCGCACTGTAGATAATTGTCTACCACCATAGTACTCCAATCGACAGTTCACATAGCCATAGTCATCAGCCATATTCAGGAGTGCGCGAGCCTCTTGGATCCAGAGTTGTTGGGGCCTTTTCCAGGATTGAAAGACGTGAACGGCCCAGGTAGGGATGTTAGGATAGCGCTGTAGAAGGTCGTAAGGGTCCACGTCGAGGAGAGCGCGCTCCGGAGTAGTGTAAGTGTTACCCATAGCGGATGTTGGAGGTGGTCGGTGCAGTGGAGATCAATGCTGATGTGTCAGGATACTTGATGGAAAATTTGATAGCGCAGTGACTTTATGTGGGAGACGTCGGTGTCTCACCCTACTGACTGATGTCTTCCATCCAACTACCTTTCTTCTGTCTCGCTCAGAGACTCTGTTTCAAGTTCTCCAATTTCGCCCCCAACAACCGTGCATGAATTACGTTGGCGACAACTAATCGACTCGCTGCGCTTCCACCTGTCATCCTGGAGGTCAAGTGCCAGCTGTTCCAACTAGGAGTCCACCTTTTGTACCGACTCCCGTATTTCTTCTGGCTTGGGTAAGCCACCTCCCTCGTTCTGCACCGCACCGTTGTCCCCATATGTCTTCAATTCCGCCTTCTTGCAGAAATGTACCACCTCTTTCCATTCTCCCTGTCTCTCGCTATCATCCACCAGCCATCCTGAATGCTCCATAACACCGAGAGCCATCTCGCGCAGGAACCACCAACTAGGAAGCCAGTTCAGCTTCGCCAGCGCTCGGAGCTTGAGGGGATTGAACAACGCGGCCTTCGTGGTGACGTTATCCATCATGTCTGCCTTGCTGAATACCACTTCCCACATGGTATGCGCGATAGCATCGACGCGTCGAGAGCCGATAGGATTCTTCGTAGGCTCTATCGGGAAAAGTGAACCATTTCTGTGCAACGCGGTCATAAAGATCTGTTGAGCCATGATAGGCGGCGCATGTGGTTGAAAGGGTTGAATGTAAGGATGTGGAGGCTGCTGTGGTCTGAAGGGTGAGATCGAATCATGCTGGGCGCCGTTTGGATTTTGAAGAGGAGATACGGGCATGCTGAGGTATTGGTGCTGGTGTTGGTGGAGACAGTCAGCAAACTGCTAACGGGTGAGCTGTGCTCGGCTGCTCATTCACTTACCTCAGCCTTGATCTCTGCCTCAACCTTCTGTCGCTTCATAGGCGCCATCGGCGCCACTGGTGCGCCTCTATTCATGCTCTCAGGTTGTGTCAGGCCCGGTAATGGCAGAGCTACAGCCTGTACATATCAGAGAACTGAAAAACCAGAGCGTGTAAGTGACTCACTCCACCCTGCCACCTGCGCTTCTGTAATGATATCGGTGATTCGGTGGCAGTGACATTTGGCGAGATAGCGGACGGCGAACCTGGAAGAGACTGTGGAAGGCTTAGTGGAGGTCGAGGTCATGTCATGTGGTTGCGCTATTACTTTCCGAGCGGTGGGTGTTCTCGGAGGTGTGGGCGCTGTCGCCATGATTGTAGTGCACCTTCTTAAGGTTGAAAGATATGCGCTGTGATGAAGTGGTGCGGGTAGATATTTGTCTGCCTGGAGAAACAGATGAGTATGGGCTGAGTCCTGTGGGGCAATTGTGTGTTTGCGTAACTTGATTGGTCGAAGTGTGGGTCGAGTGCTTGTTGTAGGGGAAACCACGCTAGTCATTCGTGGTGAAGGACGAGTGAAAACAAGATGCAGACCCTGACAATCCTGCACATAAGTTCTCGAGCTGAGAATTGTACATTTGGTAGCCACCAGAGGATTTGTTGGCTCGCAAAGGCCCAAAGGATCGGAGTTGAAGGTCGTACAAGAATTTTAGCATGAGTTAATCAGAGGAAGAACATTTGTATACTACCAGGTTCAGCCATGTGCTCGCGATGACTTGTCGCAGCTACTACTATATTCAAATGACCTAACACCATGCTATGCAAGTTCCCAAAAATACGACCCCGTTAAGAGTTCGATGACCTAGCCTGGAGGTAGCTACAGAATTCACCAAGTCTTCAAGCGATGCTGCTGACACGACCTCGTCCTCTAGCCTTTGTACGTGCCTTCGATTTGCGTGGAGCTTCTTCTTCCCCCTCATCGTCAGAACTACCAATGTCCTCTTCTCCGAGATCCATGTCTTCATCATCGTCCTCCACAACGACCTTCTTGCTCTGCTTACGCTTCTTAGCACGAGCAGACGTAGCCTGGAAAGCTTCCTCAGGTGGCTCCTCCATAGGTGTAGCGCGCTTGTTTCCCTTTGGTTTTGGTGCGTACTTTGCTTCGAGACGGTCGAAGAAGCCTCCTGCCCTTGATGCCTGGCGCTGCTGAATCAAAGCCGCAAGATCAGCCATGTCTCCGCCGCCGCCCTTCTTGCTCTTCGCCTTGCCGTTCGACTTTCCAACTTTCTTCGCCTTAGCCTCCTCAGCTGCCTGGCGCTTATCGAAGTCGTCGCGGCTCTTCTTCGCAGCCTTCTTCGCCTTCAAGCGTGTCTCGTCCGTCTCTTTTGCGTACGCGGGGTACAATTCAATCTCGCCCTTCGATATGGCATCGTCGATCATCTCTCGGAATCGATCGTCGTCTACCAGGATGTCTGACAGCATGATCGCTTCATACATGTGATCTAGACTGCCCTTGTACTTCTTGTACGCCGTTAGTAGGTCTCTCCGCTCCTCCTCGCTAGACTTGTACTCGTTAGACAGTTTGTGAATGGCCTCCTCGTTGATGACATTCTCAAACTGTCCGCGGTAGAAACTGAGCCAATCGAAATCCTCGTCATCTTCGAGAGACTCGGCAGTGCTACCTGTGAGGTCGTAGCGCTTTCGTCGGCGATCGTCTGAGAGTATGGCATATGCGAAGGCGATCTCCTGGAACTTCTTGTTTGCTGTTTGCTTCTCGCCCTCAGCAGCCTTATCTTGGAACCGTTAGTTGAAAACCGGAGCAGTTTGAACCCACATACCTGGGTGATGTTTCAGTGCCATCTTCCTGTACGCTTTCTTCACATCGTCGGCCGTAGCTTCGCGATCCAGGCCGAGGACCTCATATGGGTTGATAGTGGGTGGTCCATCTTCTTCGTCGCCGATATCCTCATCGTCCGAGCTGCTTTTCTCGTAATCCTTCCTTTGTTTCCTCGCCATGGTGTACTGTTGTGTTCTGGTGTGAGCAAGAGTCGGTCGCGTGGTGAGCTTGGAAACGCGTCGCGCGGAAGTGGGTCTTCGTTATCGATAAGAAAGGATCCACTCTTGCATCACCAGGAGTCCAGGACCTTTCGTCGAAGCCACCACTCTCACAATCTCCTCTCACAATCAAGATGCCGGAAAAATGGGAAGGATCAGTGAGGATGTGGGACGGTCCAGTTCCTGCAGCACAAGTACCAGACCCCAGTGATCACTTGCAATACATGCGCCTCGCCTTGGATCAAGCTCAGGAGTCACCACCAAAGCCAACGAACTTCTGTGTTGGAGCCTTGCTAGTTGACGAAGAGACTGGCACCATCCTGGAGAGAGGTTATACCTTGGAGTGTGAAGGCAATACCCACGCTGAGCAGTGCTGCTTGATGAAATTTGCAAAGAGACATGGACTACCTGAAGAGTCTGCAGGCGAGGTGTTACCAGCAAGCACCGTCATCTACACCACCATGGAACCTTGCAATAAGAGATCAGTGGGCAACGTACCATGCGTGGATCGTCTCATCCGCACGAAGGGTTCAGATGGGCAATCCAGGATAAAGAAAGTCTATCTTGGAGTCAAAGAGCCGGAAAAGTTTGTTGGCGCCAATGAGGGTATTGCGAAGCTACGGGATAATGGCATCGAATGCATACACGTACCCGGTTTGGAGGAACGTATTTTGCAGGTCGCCACTGCCGGGCATGAAAGGTGAAGCTTATCGAATATCGAGAGTTGGATCAACGTAATCTGAAATACTGAAAGACCACCATACCATTACATCTCCGTATCACCGGATCAAGCCATATCCTCACCTTTGCTCCTAACAACTTCTCGTTGCTCTACGAGGTCATCCATTTCAACCTCGTCACACCTTCTGGTATTGCCTCTCCTCCTCTTCTTCAGGTTTAGCTCGTACCGAAACCTATTTTATCGACCCGCCTTGACGTCCTGTGCGCATACGGTGCTGACTGGGCGTTTGTTGAGTTGTGGATTGTGCTCTGGACGCAATGCTCGCTTTCTGAGCAGCTTCCAGAGTCTCTGCGTCGGTTTCAGTCGGAAGGGGACTCGACGGCATTAATGCCATGAAGATAGATGCTAGTCGCCGTTGATGATTGCTGACTTTGGTTGGAGCAATGGAATGTCGTTGTGATGCACGTGTAGACGTTGCTGTGGACGCATTGCGGACGTGTCTGGCTCTCGCGCTTTGAGGCCCTGATTTTGATGGTCGCGCGACTGCTGATGAAGATGCCAACTTGCTACTCGAGGCTTGTGTTTGTGGTTTGACGAAGGTCACACCCTTCGAGGCACGCTTTTGACGAATGTGCAGCATAATAGGTGACTGGTAGCTTACGAGACACAAGAGTTGTGACCTGCAGATATACAGACATAACATTGTCTACACGGGCCCACCGATCAAGGGGCGCCCGAAGCTGAGAGCAACCTGCAGGAGTCACATCCTCATCTGACTAGTTGCTGAGCTGACGTCTAAACCGCGCCTCATCCAATTCGCATCGCTGAACGTCATAATCGAGGAAATGGCGGAGAGGGCTTGCTTCGTGATAGCGCTGAAGGTTTACATTCGGCGTAACGCTGGTCGAAAACGGCGGAGCAGCGCCTGAACCTCAGGACTCGCTATGAGCTGTCCATGAAGCCCAAACATCAACACTCAGCCCTGCGGCGTGGTTCATGGCGAGCTAAAATGCGTCTTAGATCCAGTCAGGCTTATTTCCACTCATGATAGCGCCCGCTCCGCTCTCTTACGGTCCGCCCGAGCTCCTGAAATTGGATGGCTCGGCCTCAGCAGAACATTGTCAAATTACTGCACGTTTCATTTTTTACGAAAGTGAGAATGCTCAAGATTCACACCAGATCAAGATCGAGTGAGTAGGTTATCGCGAGGGTGAAGAAGGATATTGCCATCGAAACCGCGGATCCAGATCAGTGTGTGTAGTGGCTCCAAGCCGCCAAACCGGACGAATCGTCGATGCCAAAAATGCGATCTGAGAGGATCGGATTTTGAAATTCCTCCGCACCTTACATCATAGCAAAGATCGATTTCGCGATGCGCGGATTCCACAGCTTGTACCTCGCTTGATCAACCAGTCTCACGTCGGGAACAGCCATCCGATGACGTCTTAGACTTGACTTCGGACGCGTTCGAAGCGACAACGCGTCACAAGTAAATGCTGCCCATAAAGGAGGGCAAGACAGGTGCCCACTGCAGAACTAAGTATTCGAAATTACACAAATGCGGCCATTCACGATCGCACGAACCTGCAACACATCATTCACACGGTTATCGAAACCTACAGTCTCACAGATCTCCAGATACACAACATCAGCTAAGATGTCCACCGGTAAGCTCTCCTGCCACTGTTCTGACAACCACTAGCTGAGACCCAAAAGCTGAAGCCGTCGCAGGAATTCCCAGCCAGCCCCCCTCTCCCAACATCGAGAACACTAACATCTCCACCGCCCCCGGCATAACCCTCTCTTCGCAACAACAGACCATTATCGGTTCAATCCTCGATCTCTTTGCCGGCCGACCCTCACTGCAAAAGCTCGCTCTCTGGCGCGACGATGCGACTTTTGAGGATCCCATTACCATCGCCCAGGGCCGCGAGAAGTACCAGGCGCAATGGTATGGGCTACAGAGCGCATTCAGTGAGATTGAAAGGCAGCACCACAGTGTCAAGGATGCGGGGAACCCGATCTTGATGGACTTGAAGACGAGATATGTGGTCAAGGGAATCAACAAGGAGCAGATGGTGAGTAGTGTTGTGGCTATCCACCTTGATGGTGAGGGCAAGATCCAGAAGGTTCAGGATAAGTGGGATGGGAAGCTGCCTGACGGGGCGATTGCGAATGTGAGTTACATATCTAGGTTCGGTGGTGTGGAGTGGGATCTTTTACTGACTACCTCCAGGCTTTCCGTCACCTCAACGCTGTCACCGTACCGAAGTTGATCAACGTGCCCAAGAACGATAAGGAAGATGCTGAGAGAGGAAACTAGATCTTAGTGGGCGAAACAAATCGCAGGTCTATGCTCATGTAGCGTACGGGTGTTCGTAAATCGTAATCTCATGACGACCTCCATCGTCCACTTTACCAAAGCGTACGACCGAGCGCAACGTGTAGCAGTACTGCGGCGATGGTTGCTAGCACGCTGAACACCTCCAGGGCGACTCCTTCTGCCACTAGCAAGAGAGTCCCGCATTGCCCCTCTGCTGCTCTTGGAAGTCCAGGCCCGTTCATTGTAATGGTCGCGCAGAAGCCGCCTTGCACTGTGGTTGGTGCATTGTAGACGACAAAGGTTGTCGTTGGTGCTTGCGCCTGCACCGTCACTGTCGTTATCGCTGCAGCGTTCACAGCGCCGCCACAGGTACTGCCAGATGGGCAGCAACCAAGGAGTCCATTCGAGTTGGCAGGAACGACGCATGCGTAGTTAGCCGGGCAACACCTGTAGGCGACGTCAGCTCTATCTCTGTACTTCAAAAGTCACAGCTTACCAACTAGGCGCATTCACTGAGCTGCAGCTCTGGGATGCCGATGAAGGACAGTAGTTCGTGCCTTGAGCTGTGACCTGCTCGCCGTTCGGATTGACCAGGTAAACTGCGCCTGAGAATGGCGCATTATTCGTAAATTGGGGCACGGCAACTGGTTCAGCGTCTGGGCTTGCTTCAGGTGTTGCGGCGCAAAGTGCACCGAATATCAGGACGGCGAGCCTCCAAGGCGCAAAGGTGCGCATCGTGCCAGGTGAGATAGTGAGTTCTTGGGAAGAGATCTTGAAAGGAAAGGCAGTGTGCATAGAGTTTTGCGACAAGAAAATACCTGCTTGTGTCTCAGGGCAAGTGAGCAAGAGACTGTCGCATCAGCTACGCACAAGAGTGAAGGTGAGAGAGAGAAGCAATAGAAGTTAGCCGACCGGTGAGCCGGTTGCCAATATACCTTACGATCATGGTTGAAACGGCAGAGGAGTCGAGGTATGCTAACTAGAGCTCCAAGCTGCAGGTCAAGGTCAGCCTACTAGGTCATCTTAGACATGCAGCTGAGGGAGCGGTTTGGTGGGATGGCGCATCATCGATCATGCAGCCACCTTGGTCAAGCAAATACTGCACCTCCAGTTGGCCAACCTCTCCAGCTAGCCGCATCTTTTCGGACTCCACACCCGGAAGCTGACACCAGGGTGACAGCGTTGAGATGTGACGGATATACATGTAGGGCTGTAGACCGGGCGAACCTGGCTACCTATGAAGCTGGCTACGCTCATACTGTAAGGTAAACACAGCTTACTGACCAGATATGTTCTTCTGCGAGTGGAACTCGTAGGCGGACATCGGCGAGATGCGATCATCGATCATTGATGCAGAGCGCAGAAGCCTTGCTTTTTTCCACTTGCAAAGTAAGACCTCAGTCTTGGGAGCGGCTTGGTCAGAGACTTGCAGGGCGTTTGCCTCGAGTTGCATGAAGCGGGAAGTGGGGCAACGCCAAGGCTGACCACGTGGAGGGGCGCCAACTTGGTGTTTCTTCGACGCGTCGCCGCCCCCTCTTTCGTTTCATCCATCATCAACACAACATGATATGTCAACGCATCCAGCAAAGCGCCCTTATCGACTCTACCCAGCCTACTGCTTTCCTTATTCACCGACGTACGATGCCTGGGTGAGACTAGCCGCTGCCGATGTGCATACTTTATGGTCAGAACCGGATTACCAAAGCAAGGCTCACCGCGTGTAGATTGGTAGCATTGGCTGAACTACTTTCCAGGTCAAAACATCTACTTCTGTCTCAACTATCCCGTACGATATGTGCGCGTTGTTGGCGTTGTCGTAGCTATCGACGAAATCACTCCCAAGTATTCCGCCCTCACGCTGGATGACGGGAGTGGCGCTACCATCGAGCTCAAGATTGTGAGACACGTTACGTATCAGCAAAGCTCGGGAACTCTCTCCTCAACCACCACTATCAGCAATGTAAATGTTATCAGTCAGTTCGGCGCCTTCGAAATAAAAGTCGATAATGTCAATGTGGAGATTGGCATGATCTTGAAAGCGAAGGGATCCATCTCAGAGTTCCGTGGAGCCAAGCAACTCGAACTGAGGAGAGTCCAGATCGTCTCCTCGACCAACGGAGAGGCACAAGCATGGACTGAGAATGCAGCTTTCAAGGCCGAGGTGTTATCTACCCCATGGCGCGTTACTTCGGCCGAGCATGGCGAGATCAAAGCCAAGATCAGGACGGAAAGGAAGAAGGCAAAAGAATACGAAAGACGTGGGCGTGAGTACGAGATTAAGAAGGCCGAGTATGAGGCAGCACGAGCAGCCCACGACGCCAAAAAGGAGGCGAAGTACGAAGCTCGACGCCGTAGGGAAGAGGCAATGATGAACGCTGGAGCGCTCATCTGAATGGGCCAACACTTTAATTCGAACAACACCTTCGACTGGCATCGACATCCTGTGTGCGCACGGTAGCATAATCTGACGCTTCTCCCATGCTTATGCGTCTTCGTACCGTCTCTTTTCTGCTGCTTCTTGGGCAAATGCAACTTCAAGTTCCACCGGCGCATCGATGTGCTCGGTGAACTGGCTCTTCGGGTTACTGATGAAGCACGAACCTAGGCCTGTCAGTGAGTGTCGCAGAAACCATGAAGCAAGACTTACAGATGACACCGACTGAACTGAAAACAGCGGCTGCAATCCATATCTTGCTGAAGGATACTTTAAACGCCTCCTGAAGAGCGGCTCCAGCAGCTCCGGCAATTTGTGCCGTGACGCCCGGTACAGCGAGAACAGCAGCCTCACTCTGGCTGGACAGCGCGCCAATCAATGGACCCAAATTCTGCGGGCTAAACCCCAGGGGCAATACAGCAGATGCCACCCTGTTGGGAATCTGTGTCTTCAGACTGTTGTTGAAGATGCTGTTATTGATTGCGAGTCCGACGGTGCCGCCCAGGGATCTGACTGCAGTGAGTAGTCCTGAACTCATTGAAATCATGTCGGGCGGTGTACCCATGTGAGCTGCCACCATGAGATTACTTAGGACGAGACCGAGCCCAGTACCAACGACGGTGCCGTAGCCGTAAGAGTTGGCCAGTGGCAGACCAGGGTGGTAAAACACCATCAGAATGGAGAACGACATCAGAGAAAGGAAGCCGGCAATGAGCGGCTCCCGGATGCGCTTGGTGAAGGTGGTGTAGACACCGACTGCGAAAGCCACGACGATAGATATGATGAAGACCACAGCGAAACGTAGGCTGGCGGTGAATGAGTCCATGCGGTGCAGGATGACAAGCTCGTACACAAAGTAGTTTGTCACGGCGAAGAACGCCAGACCTTCAACAAACATGGCCATGATAGCCAGTGGGAAGTCTCGACCAAAGAACAGACGGTGGTCTAGGATGCCGCTTTTCGTACCCTTCCACTCCCAGGCACCGAAAGCAGCCAAGCAGAGCACTCCAGAGATAAATGGGCCTAGCACGTGTCCGTCTCTCCAGGTATACGGGTTTCCAGAATACTGGAGCGCGATGACGAGCAGAACAAGACCTGCTGCAATGAGGAAGCTGCCTATCCAGTCCATGTGTCCTAGCTTTTCTCTGGGACCCATGGTGACCTCCAGCTCACGTTTGGGTGGATTGTAGCCGAAGAATATGCCAACTAGGCCAATGGCAAACAAAGCTGCGGCGACGTACCAAAAGATACGCCAGTTCTGGACGTCGGTTCGGACCAACGCACCCCCTATTAAGACACCACTCATGCCCCCGATGCCGGAGGATACGTTTGCAGCGGCTTGGCCATATGCGCGGTACTTGCGGTTCAAAACTTCAGACGGAATGGCGTAGCAGATCGACTGGCAGCCGTAAGCCGAGCCCACGAAAACCATACCGGCAATGGCAGTAGCGATGTTCTGCGCGCGGGACACCATAATCGCTCCAACCAGACCCAAAGTCGTCGCACCCAGAATGAAGTTCTTACGGCCCCAGTAGTCCGCCGCTTGACTGACGGGCAGGATTGTTGCAAGTGTGAGGATGGTAATCGACGAGGGGAACCAGGCAGACAGTGTCGGACTGCCGAGCGACGTTGCCATGTCCCGACCCAGTGAGCCCGCGCCGACAACCGACATTAGCTGGACGAACAAGATCGAGCATACGGCCTGGCTTGTCAGTTAAGGATCTACCTGTTGGTTGTGGTACATACTAGCACTGCGATGATGGTCTTTGCGTGGATATGAACCTTGACTTCGACCTCGTCTGCGTTATCGTCACCCACATTCTCAAGGTTCGTGACCTCGTGTTTTGGTGCTGGATTCGACATTGCCGTTTGCGTCCCGGTAGTTCGTGTCCTCCACCTCAACTTAAGGTGGGCCCTCTCCTTATATTTACGCATTGGCGAATCTGTAGAAGGGCCGATCCCAGTCGAGGGGTTCGCTACCCCAGACTTCTCCACGAACCTGGGGAATGCACGATCATCGTTTTCTGGCTCTAGCTGCGGATGGTCCGGAAACCCATTGCGGCTGATCATTGGGCGCGGCATGTGGAGGTCAAGCAAGCGGTACTCGAACTCGGCACAAACAGCCCAAGAGCCTGTATTTCTGAGTCCGTATCCAATGGTTGTACCCCACGGCCCGATAATCATATAAAGGCTATTCGTCCGCCCCTTGCAGATTTGGGGCCAGCGGTCCGGAGACCATGCGATCACACCAATCATTAGTACAAGAAAATGTATTCATACGAGTGGCCGGGAGCTGAAATGACCCCGGAGCCTCGATTGTGGTTTGTCTGGGTAGAGATTGTACATGTGGTGGAGGTAATCTCGGACTCTTGATACACGAGCATCGATTGGGCACGTTTTTCGTACAACACTGAAGTACCTACACAGTCACCGTTTTTGAGTCGGAAAAACCCTTCGTACAACAGCCCTATCTCACTCGATGCTTGCAATGACCGCTCATCATTCAAGTCTTTCCTGATGCGAGCCAGCCACATGCACACTTTTGCCATATCGGAAGTTTCGGAAGCATGGATCAGAAGACCACAAGCCGCGGATCCTCACAGACTAGAGCATTTGTTGGTAGCTCTAGCAATCTCTTAAGTAGCAGAGACGATCGACTGTACCCTGCAGATTCGCCAAATTTAGGAGGTAGTGAATGAGTCTCTGCGAGTGTTTCATAATCTGCTAGAGGCCATAACATCCTTGCCCTTGTAGCCGGCTCTTTCTGCTGCTCGGGGGGCACTGTCGTTTCTGGGTGGTCAGGCTCAAGAAAGGAAGGAGTGAGTATTGTGATAAGACTGAGCGCATGTGCATCGCCTATTGGTTACCTCGATATTGAGGCGGCCCACGATACCGAAAAGACATAGCACATCAACAAAAAGAGATTAGTCTGCAGGCCCGGCCTGAATGAAACTGCCTCTCGATAGAACATCTTCGCTCACATCGACGCTGGCGACAGGAAGCCAACTACAGACGCCAACCTAGCCCAGCATGGAATGCGTGGCCAGGTCAGGATTCCTGGAGTATCCGGGCTGTGGCTTTTAATACCTATCGGCCCTTCCGATTCAGTCAGAGCAGACAGTTCCTAAGAGTACATCCTGATTCTGGCAAAGGGACAGGAGCATTACGATATTCGCTTGTCGAGTATTCCCTTGATAGATGACTTTCTCACGAGGCTATATCCTACATGTGGGGAGACTCGAAGGACAGAGAGTCACTGTTTACAGTGAAGATAAAGCAATCTCCGTTACCCGCAATCTTCTCGACGCTCTGCTCACCTTCAGACAACCAGGTCAGCCTCGACCTCTATGGGCCGATACGATTTTATCAATCAGTATATCTAAACGAGTAGCATCAGCAAGTCTCACTGATGGTGCAGCTCTACCCGCAAACTACAAGGGTAGTGGTGCGTGGGCACGGCAATCCTTTCGAGATGTGGACTGCTATTGACTATCTCTGCTGGGTCTACTGTTAGAATTAGTTACCCCCGGGACCACCTCGGAGTCAGAGGCTTACATTAATACTGGAGCGAGATGAAGGGAAGTATGTAACAGAAGATTTCCATGTTTTCCGAGACAACATCGAAACTGATCGCGAGAATCAACCTGAAGATCAATAACGGTTTATCAGAACACATCAGTACGCTGTCACTCAAGTCCCATTTCATGTCATTCCACATTAGCATTCGGATTTGATGCTTTTGGCATACGCATGAGCGAAGATCTGGAGGTGGAAGCAGAGAACGCGACCACACAAATACCGCCAATCTCATTGAAAGAACTACAGCAATTGCGCTATATCACAGCAAACTCTCAACAATCATGGAAGATAAGCCACAGCGAAATGCGATGGGGTTCTACGCTACTTGTCACGCGTGCGCGCGCGTGCCGCGTATCTGCGATTTCCTTCGCGATTGTTCGATTATGACGGGGGCGACATCTTATGGATCTCTGGAGTTGCGCTTCGATTAGGAGACCGTTTTGGGCCATTGGTTAAAATAAGAACAAACGATACGACCAGGCTGCAGCAGTATGCAGAGCACAACATACAGGCGAATCGCCCGTCTCACATCTCCTACACTTCCCACGTATCTTCTTACATGGAGCTCAGGCATCTCAGTAGTTCCATCTATCGAATCGTACTTGAATGCCTGTATGAGACTGAGCCTGCGCGTATTCGAACGATTTCCACGCAGGACAATCGGGATTTGTCTTTCCTCAGCCTTGTCCTGCGACCGCTGGCTACGCACTTTACTATCCTCCATTGAAGAGCCGTGTGGAGTCTTCATGATGCCGAAGAAGAGCAAGACCAAGAGCAGAGGTATGCCGATTTGCGAATCTACAAGGTCCAGACAAGTCTATGGAGCATCTGACGAGCTGACAGCATTGCAGCGCGTCATAAGCAAAAGAAACAGCAACAGCCTGTGCGTTACAAGCACGAACGTTTGCAGACCCCACAGAGCATTCGACTCCTGCAGTTGAGACCTGGGACAGGTGACGAACCAATACAATGTCATCTCTATCAGACGCGCCTCGACGACAGGCCGTTTTACGAGGCAGTCTTGTACAAATAGGGCAGACCGGGCGACAAGAGAGATATACTCTGTAATGGAAAGACCCTGTCGGCTCCCCGCAATCTCACCCATGCATTGCGGGTATTTCGACGGCCAGATCGCCCGAGGATTTTATGGGCAGACGCTGTGTGCTTCAACCAGCAAAATCTACAGGGACGTGGCCACCAAGTTCAGCTGATGGCCAGGGTCCTTTCGGAAGCTTCTAGAGCGTTGCTTCGGCCGGGAAGAGTGGATTGGTTCAATATCCAAGTCGCCTTCAATCACATTTGCCTGCGACTGAATCAAAGGAGAGATCCACCTTTGCGAGCTACTACTGGAACAACAGCGAGGCCGAGATAGACCACAGCCACATTATCTCAGTAGATAACACACCAAATGGCTTTACGCTCGAGGCTCTTCACTACCTGTTTGAATGGACATTCTTCCGGCGTGGATGGATCCTCCAAGAGATGATGCTTCCCAGAGCTGTCGAGATCTTCTGTGGTCGGGCCTGAATCAATTATTAGTTTTTCGCAAAGTACATCAAAAAACAAAGCGTGCAGGGTCGTTTCCTATTTGGATCAAGAGCTCTGACTGGATTGGTCGCGTTTTATAATATTCGACAATTGCGACATACACTCCACGAAACCCGGCACCAGTACACCTTTACCGAGCTACTACTGTCGACAGTCGATTCAGTCTTCAGTGAACCGAGAGATTACACATGTGGGCTACTTGGATTACAAAAGCTTTGCTGCGACATGTCTTCTAAGCGCCCGTTTCTACTTTCGGACTACACTACCAGTCGCTTGGACTGTCACAGGAATGCCGTCGAGACCATATTCCTCGAACGTGGAGACATTGGAATACTTAGCTTGGTCTTTCAAGACACCAAAATAGTGGATGATTAGCCCTCTTGGGTTCCCGAACTAGATTGTAGTATCAGCACTACAGTCTCATTTTTATACTACGAATGCCACGCCAGCGGTGACCTCAAAGCATGCCTTTCGAAAATCATGATAGATGGATGTGATTATATGCGCCTCCGGGGCAGTCGCGTATTCACAGTCAAAACGACCATGTCCAGAAGTGGTCCATCTGCCACAGCTGTCCAGGCAACGCTGCATGACCTTGCGGACCGCCACAACGAGATCTGTGTAGCCTTCACAGTAACTTATGGTGCAACTATCTATCGGTACTTGATGCTTCATATTTCTGCTGAATTACCGAACATGTAGAGGACTGTAGAGCGTTCCTTAACGAGGACTTCACAGACGATCACTACTGTGTCGAGTTTTACAGGAGTGACCGACGGACGACCCTGTTCTATCGGATGTGTGCTATAATCATTGTTGACTAAGATTTGACGATTGGCGAGAACCTGTTTGAAACTGAGGATGGGATGTTGGGTATTTCAGGCAGTCTGCCTCAGCCAGGGGATGAAGTTGTTGTACTCTTCGGAGGCAAGATGCCATCCATACTACGTCCTGTCGGATCGTTTTGGAGGCTGGTGGGTGTCTGTTTTGTACACGATATCATGAGAGGCGAGGTGGTGGAGCAGATGCAATATGATGCAAGGTACATAGCGCAAGACTTCGACCTCTTCTTATGTCATACATGGTGCGTAGATCGAACAATGCTAAGGCAATTTAGTCAGTTGACATGCACCTGTGACCATCCTGAATCGTTATGGGCTTGCGAGATCCAACGGGCTATACACATCTTGCTCAGCCTCGACGACAAATCATACATGAGTGTGGTGAGTGATTCGCATGCAGCTGAGGGCGGTGCAGTGGAGGACATAATTGGCGGATCTGAGCTGTCAGCTCCAATGAGCATACAGCCCCGAATGTGCTGCATGGTCAGTAATCGCTCGACGGACGATAGGAGATATCGACGAGGGTTTTGTTGACCTTGACTTCGATGCCCACCACCTCAAGGAGTTCAGAGCTATCCTGAACTGGCATCTCGCCACCTATGGTCCGCTTGCATCTGGCTCGTCAAACCAAGTTGTACAAAGAGCCGTTGGCACAGTTGTCAACAATCAATTAAGTGGGGCCCAGCGACGTCAAATTGACTTGGTTGATTACCTGTTTGAGCCTAGCAGCTACCTATATAGTTTTAGTTCCTACCTTGTTGGGTAAGCGCGTGAATGTGAGGTCGAAAGGACTTGATTGTTGACAGGGTCGGCCATTGGCTACTATGAGAAGAGCAGAGACATTGTCAGAGGGCAAAAGGGCATTGCGACTGAAATATGACTCGGCTATCTCGGGCCCCGACGGACCAACTCCCAACGCCGATATTGACGCACTGGACATCTCAACGCGTGGTGCTGCGGGAACAGCGGGGGGAGCTTGACCCCTGTCCAGCTAGCGTTAGGCGAGCCATGACGGCATCGATCTCGAGCTGCAGTCCAGAACACCGCACATCACGAATGCAGCGATCCAGGAACGTCTAGGCGCCGAACGATGCGCCGAGCCAGAATCTGAAAGATCGCAATCTCTGGGCTATAAGACGCTGGTCGCCCACTGCGGCGGAATGGTAACTTGTATACATTTCCAGCATGACGCTACTGCAGACCATCCTGCGCGCAACGGCGTTCAAGAACCCGCTGCTGCGGACTCTGGTCCCTTCGCTGGCCCTCGCGTACGGGATTCAGACCGCCGTTGCCGTGCCCTCGATCGCGGCGCAGACGGAGAAGTACTATGACCTGAGCGGCAGCTTGACATATCTAAGCTGCGTCGGCGCATCGCTGGTGCTGCCGTACCTGCGCGCCCAGCAAGCCGGCCATGCAGTCGGCGGCATCGCGGAGTACCTGAGCTCGAAGGGCCTCGGACAGGGCACGTGGTGGTGGAGACAGGCGCTCCTGAGCGCCGCGGTTGGGATATGGGCTACGCGACGTACATCCCCCGATCCAAGTCTAATATAGAAAGCTAGAAAGCTAGAAAGCATGTGGCTAACACAAACAGTGGGCACGTACCTCTTCTCGCGCATCTCGTCCGACGACGGCAAGGACTCGCGCTTCGACAACATCCGCACGTCCCCCTCGAAATTCTACGTCGCCTTCTTCGCACAGGCAACATGGGTCTCACTATGCACTCTACCGGTGATCCTCGTCAACTCGCTGCCACGCACAGCCTTCGCCACGGGCCTCGGGAGCGCCATCTCCGCAAAGCCGTACCTGACCGACATCATCGGACTCGCCCTGTTCGTCGGCGGCCTGACATTTGAGATCACCGCCGACAGGCAGAAATCGAAATGGGTCGCGGACAAGAAAGCTAAGAAGCACAGCGAGCAGTTCCTCACGCACGGCCTGTGGTCCAAGTCGCGCCACCCGAACTACTTCGGCGAGAGCACGCTGTGGACGGGCATCGCCGTTGCGGCTGCAGGTTTACTCGTGCGGCAGCCCGCGCAAGCTGCGCTTGGGCTGGGTGGGCTTGGTGCGACGGGGCAGGTGCTGGTCGCAGGCTTGTGTGCGGCGAGTCCGGCGTTTGTCACGTTTTTGCTGCTCAAGGTTAGTGGGGTGCCGCTCAGCGAGAATAAATATGATGAGCGGTATGGCGATCGCAAGGATTATCAAAAGTGGAAGCGCGAGACGCCCATGTTTGTCCCAAAGTTTTGAGGGCTGGAGGGAGGCTGTATGAGTAAGGGTGGTTATACGCGCCTAATCACGTGAGGAGAGATGCCTCAAATGCATCCATTCCGGTCACGCCAGAATTAATACACAAGGTGTGCAGAGTGCATGAAGCCACAGCTGGATCCCAGTCGCTTCTTCACGTGTGACTAAGCGCTCCGCTTTGGAAAATGATAGTATTTATCACAAGTTATCTACTACAAAGGTCGCTCCCTGTCTACATGTCCTGTCCACATGTCGAAGATGCTACCAAAGCCGCGGAAAGGGTATGTATGATAACTTTTGCTTGCCGAAAACTCCTGTTCGCCAACCGCACGGCGCTTAGCCGTGCGTCCGTCTATGATGCAGTCGCCCTGATCAAGACGTCTTATTCTAATCCTCAAACTTGAAGCCCTTGCCGCCCGAAGTATCAATCAGGCCGCCGCGGTAGGAGCCGCGCTTGCCCTTGTTCTTCTCCTTGGTGAAGCCCTTGCCCTTTGTGACGATGAGCTTGGCGTGCGCACGGTCGGCGTAGTCGTAGGAGACGTAGGCGTTGCTGGACAGCTCGGGGAGGACCTCGACGTCGGCTTTGATGCGCTGGAAGCGGTTCTCGACGTGGCTGCGCTTCTTGGCGGGGAGCTCGTCGGCGCCGTCGTGCTTGCGCTTGTTGCTTGCGGGGGCGGGGGGCGAGGTGGCTGCGAGCGTTGCAGAGGAGTCTGAGCCCTTGCGGTCGGCGGCGGGCTTCTCGTCGTCCGAGGAGGCCGAGTCCGAGTCTGACGAGCTGTCTGAGCTCGAGTCGCTGGAGGAAGAGGAGTCGTCCTTTTTCGCGGGCTTGTCGTCGGAGTCGCTGTCGGATGAGTCGCTGTCGGAGCTCGATGCGGAAGACGAAGAGACCGAGGCAGCCTTCTTGGATTTCTTTGCCTTGTTGGATTCCTTTGCCTTCTTTGCCTTGTTGGATTCCTTTGCCTTCTTTGCCTTTGCAGGCTTCTCGGCCTCAGACTCGGAGCTGCTGTCGTCGCTGCTGCTGTCGCTGTCTGAAGAACTGTCGGAAGAGCCGTCGGAAGAGCTGTCTGAATCGCTGGATGCGCTCGAAGAGTCGTCGGACTCGGGAAGAGGTACGTTGGCGGGCTCGGCCTCGGAGTCACTGCTGGAGCCACTGCTGGAGTCGCTGCTGGAGTCGCTGCTGGAGTCGCTGGAGTCGCTGGAGTCGCTGGAGTCGCTGGAGGACGAAGCAGAAGACGAAGAGACCGACTTGGCCTTTTTTGTCTTTTTCTCTTTCTTGGGCGCAGGCACCGTCTCCTCGTCAGAAGAGCTGTCTGAGTCGGAGCTGTCTGAGTCGGAGCTGGAGTCGCTGCTGCTGGCGCTGTCTTCGTCTACTTCCATGGCATCAGCCTTGGCAGACTGCTTGGTCGCCCATGCTGCAAAGCCCTTGAGGCTGCTGGCGGCCGTCTCGTGCCCGTTCTGCTTGAGGAAGGACTGGACAAGGTCGAGGTCGGTCTGGACATTGGCCGGGGCCGTGATGCTCTTCTTGTCGGACTTGGCCATGGTGGAGCTGCGGCGAGGACTGGGAGCGGTTGGACGTGGTGGTGCTGCGCGCAAAGAAAAGGTCCGCCTCGAAAAAGTTGGAGCGGACGGCGCATGGGCGCATGGGCGCATGGGCGCCGGTGGCTAGGGCGCTGGTGGCTAAGGCGCTGGTGGCTAGGGCGCTGGTGGCTAGGGCGCTGGTGGCTAACTAGTAGCGTCGTGACCCCCGGCTCAAGCGTCGACGCAGGCTGTGGAGACACGACATCGCAGTACGAAGCTGGCAGACACCCGGCCTCCGCATCGCCGCAGAGCTCGCGCGTCCCCGTCCTTCCCTTGCTGGTCGCTGCGCCAGACTGCGCACACACCGACTGCCCCGCAAGCCGCCAAGACTGCCACGCCCGCCCGTCGCACTCGCCTGCCAGCATCGCGCTCCGCCCTTCGCCGCGTACTTCGTACCGCATGCCGCACTTCGACACGCAGCCCGACACACGGTCCCTCGAGCTCGCCCCTCACATTTGATGGCCACATCCGCCAAGTCGCCCGCTTGCGCATCGCCGCACTAGCACCGGAATCTGGCCTTCGCATCCGCACATCGCTGCGAGCCCGGCAGCGCGGTGGTGTAACGTTCCAGCACAGCAGCCGAGATGGACGGCCGGCCGCGCAACAACTACCCCAATGGCCTGGGAGACGCACGGGGGCCCACTCGAGGCGCCGCGCCTGGAGGACCAAGAGGGCCACCTTCCACGGCCAGCTCGGGCGCGGCCTCGTCGGGCATGTCCCGCGCCGAGCGCTTCGACGACGAGCGACGCCGCATCACCGAGAGCTGCTTCTCCAAGACCGACGACCAGGGACAGCTGCAGGAGTCGTACATTACCCACATCCGTGTCCAGGAAGACGCCACCCACCCGCAGTCGCCGCCGCCGCCCACCGCGCCTGCCTCGAACAAGAAGGGCCGCATCATCATGATCTCCGTGCGCAACACAGGCAGAGTCAGGCTGCACAAGGCACGAGAGAACGCCAACGGGACCTTCTCAGTGGGAAAGACTTGGCCCATGGAAGACCTCTCGGCTATTGAGAACTTTGTGCACATGGAGACCAAAACCCACGACGACGAGCAGAAGAAGCTGTGGGCCGGAGACAAGGGCTTCCTCGTCACCATCTCGAAGCCCTACTACTGGGAGGCGGGCACGGCGAAAGAAAAGGAGTTCTTCATCGGCAGCATGGTGAAGATCTTCAACAAATACACAAAGGGAGACTTTCCCATCCTGACTGGCTTCAGCGTGACCGAATTGAACAGTCTGACGAACGGAAGGCCGCATTTGGCCACAGCAGAAGGCAAGGCTGCTGCAAAGCTGGGAGGCCGTGACGACATGACAGACCCAGCAGTCCAGCGGCAGGCACCTCCGCCAGATCCACGGCCATTCCCGCCAAAGTCACCGGGTCCGCCACCACGCAGGCCAGGCGAGCCCCCCTCTGGGCCATTTGACGAAGGGAGGAGGGGCATCACACCGCAGTCTTCAAACCCCAACTTCAGAAGACCACCTGGTGCCCTTGACGGGCCGAGAAGGCCAGGTCCATCGGACGGTGGAAGCAGGCCCAACACAGGGGACGACAGTCGTCGAGCTTCACCTTTTAGCCCGGTCCAGAACACTCCGCCTATGCCCTCGTTGCGCCAGAAACCGTCCATGGAACAAAGCATACGCTCACGGCCTAGTGGCGACAGCATGAGACCACGGCCACCGCAAACCCGCGACCCTGTACCACCGACCCCGCCAATACCGTCAGGCAATCTGACACCACAGTCCTCCACCTCGGCATTTGGTGGCAGACCGGAAACGCCCCAGTCAAGCACTGATTTCGTCTCGAATCTTCCGCAAGCCTTGAGTCCTGGGAGACGAGTGCAGGCCGAAGATGCTCAATCTCAACGATCACAAAGGTCTCTGGATGAGCAGTCCTTGGAGAGCGCGACACCAAACATGCCTCCGACGGAGCAGCGCAGACCAAACGGTTTTCCCTCACCGCGCAGGGACCCGTCTCCCAGAGGTCTCAGGCCAGGCACCGCACAGAGCAATGCAAGTTCGATCAGGAGTGCTGGCGAGGAAGTGCCTCCAGACGCACCTCCACAACGTCGACGCCCCTTCATGGAACCACAGCCATCATCGTTGTCGCAACGTAGTGTTGCCAGTACCGATAACGGGGCAGGCACAGCATTTCACACGCCATCAGGGACACCAACACCCCCACTGGAAGTTCCACCACGAAGAAGACCGCAGGACATACCCGAACGGCTCAAGCCTGTGTCTCGAGACGGGCCAGCGCTCCTGCAGAATGGCTTTCCGACATCACGGCCCACACCTCCTCCCACGTCGCCGCTTCCGCCACCTCCGCCTGCCGTCGTGCCTGAGCCTCCAGCGCCAGTGCCCGAGCCAGTACCTGAGCCTGCACCTGCGCCCGTTGAGGAACCCCCAACTCAACAGCAACCAGCAAATGAGCCGGTGGCGGCCCCGCGCGTCGAGACCCCACCTGCGCCTGTCGAGGAGAAAGAGCCTCCTGCTGTCTCGAGCCGGTTCCCAATGCTCAAGAAAACTATTGCTGGATCCGGTCCTGGTGATGCCGCAAACAAGTTCCGCAAAGCGGCTGCAGCTGCCGGTGCTTTCAAACCTCGTGCTGGAGGCGCCGCAGCGAAGCTGCTCGCAAAGGAAGAGAAGAAGTCTGATGAGCCTGATGGTATAAGCGGGGTCTTTGTACCCAAGCGACCAGCTCCAGTCGAGATCCCAAAGGAGGAGGTCGTGGAGAATAAGGTCGAGGAGCCAAGCTCAAGACCGACATCGAGCCGCGTGTCGCGAGATCTTCCCAAGCTCACAACTGAACCTGTGCCTGCAGTGACCATATCGGGTCCGAAGTCGCCTGTCCCGGTGATTGACGAACCACAGCCAGAGCCTTCAGCAGCAGAGGTAGCTCTTGCGCCCACACCAGAGAAGCTGGAAGCCAAGGCTCCTGAGACAGTAGCTGACCCCGAGCCGCGTAAGAAGAAGAGACGTTCCAACCAGCAGGTGGTGAACATTTCCAAGCTCGGCATTGATCCTTCTATCATGGACGAGCGAGGTCTTGGTTTCGAGAGCCTGCTTACCGAACTGGGCTGGGGTGGTAATGCCTTTGCGCCAAAGCACGTCGAAAACCTGGAGATGGACATCAAACGCGAAATCGCACGTGTCGAAGCGGGCAGTTGGCTGAATCATCTGGAGCAAAAGGACGATAGGGTCGAGGCCGTGGAACGTATGCTTGACCGCGCCATAGCAGAGTGCGACGAGCTTGAAGGCTTGCTCACCCTGTATAATGTCGAACTAAGTGTGAGTAGCCACGAAACAACACATCTGGATTTCCAGCTAATCAGTCTGACAGAGCTTGAACGATGACATCGCCTTCATCGAGGCGCAAAGTCAAGGTCTGCAAGTGCAGACAGCTAACCAGCGTCTGCTGCAACACGAGCTCCGGCAGCTAGTGGAGACCATCTCCATCACGGCTGACCAGCTCGAAGTTCTCCGACGTGCGCCGATTGGCAAAATCAGCGGTCTAATTGAGATTGAAGACGCTCTTGTACTACTATACAAGGCACTCATCACCATCGACCCTGCTTTTGTTGCCGGCAGCCGCGCTGGTCTTGGCCAGACCGCAGGTAGTTCGGGTTTCGGTAACAGCGAGCTTGCGACTATGCAGGCCTTGCAAGAGAAGCGCGACAGGTACTTGAGCGAGGGTGCTATGTTCCTAGACCGTCTGAAGAAGCACATGGAGATCACTTACGGCGCCGCCTTCTTGACGACCAAGGACGCCCTGAGGCAGATCGACCAAGGCTCCATGCCGTCTTTGAGGAAGAACATTGAAGCGCACGACGCTGGCCGAAGCGAGTTGTGGATGTTGAGCCCTGTCCTTCTCTTTGCAAAGGAGATTGACCGAACCTCATGGGACACTTTGATCCGCATGTACCAAACCCAAGCAGCTCAGCTCTATCAGCAGGAAGTCCGCGACAACATCCTGGCTTGGAGACGATTCGCCAGGAAGCCTGCAGGTGACGAGCAGGATCTCCTCTTCACCACTCAAGAGAAAGAGCCTGAGAGTATGGCGGGGACTGCACGAAAGCTTACAGTCAAGCGCTCTCAAACGCTGGCGCGCGGTCTTCGTGCAGCATCTGGCGACAAGGAAACCAAGGTCGTTAAAGCCCCACAAGACGGCAAGCTGTACGCCTTCGATGTATTCGGCAGAGTCTTGGATGACATCGGCCCTGTTCTGCTCACTGAACAGAACTTCATCACAGAGTTCTTCCATGCTACATCTACAGATGCTATTGACTTTCCTGACGCGGTCGCGGCTGCGCCGCCAAAGTCTCGACGAGGACCGAACCTGTGGATCAGGAAGCAATTCGAGGCAGACAGGTCGATGGCAAAGCGTGTCGCTGACGTTATGGAGGACATCTTCTCGTTCTGGCCTACCGAAATCCAGAGCCTTGTCGATTGGGCTGTCATCTCTGATCCTCTGCAAGGCGTAGGCATCTTGTCCGCTGTCGATCGTAAATTGCTCGACATCGAAGACTCGAACCAGGACTTCCTCACACGCACATTGCAGAAGATCCACGAACGCCTGAAGAGCCTCTTCAGTCGCTTCCTCGATGAGCAGATCCGCGCAATTGAGGACACCAAGGTCAAGATCAAGAAGCGCAAGGGTGTAATCGCCTTCATGAAGACGTTCCCTCACTTCTCAGTGGCCATCGAGAATATGCTGCATTCATCGTCTGACAGTGGTGACCAGCTCGAGATCCGTCGCATGGTCAACGACGCTTACCAGAGGATCAACAAGGCCATGTTCGAAAGCCTGAAGGTCATCGCCAAAGAATCGCCCACGGTCATGGGTACCCAGGGCCAGGGTGATCCAGAAGACAAGGAAGCCCTCAATTACCACATCCTTCTCATTGAGAATATGAACCACTACATGGAGGAAGTTGATGCCCGACCAGACACCGTTCTTGACTACTGGAAGGGGAAGGCAAACGAAGAGTACAGCGAGCACATGAATCTCTACGTCGATGCTGTCATCCGCCGCCCGCTCGGCAAGCTTCTGGTCAGTCTGGCGTTTTCTCCTATGCCTCTCCAGATCGTCACTAACACTCGTCTAGGAGTTCATCGAGTCTACCGAGACGCTCCTTGCCGCCCGTGGCGGATCGCCTCAGTCCATTGCTCAACGTTCGTCGCACTCGCGCTCGGTATTCAAGAAGCTTGTGCATTCGCATGACGCCAAGGAAGTCCGCAAGGGTATCGAAGCACTCAAGAAGCGCGTGGACAAACACTTTGGCGATGCCGATGACCCAAGCATCAGCCGTGACTTGGTGTTCAAGGTGCTCAAGGAGTGTGAGAGGAAGTACATTGGGGTCAGCGAGAGGGTGCAGAGTATCAACCAGGACGTGTATCAGGGCGAGGTGGAGGTTGACTGGGGGACGAACGAGGTGCAGAGTGCTTTCAGGAGGTAGTGGACGAGCACGTGACGGCACGGAGGAAACTGGGGCCGCGTGTATATCTGGTTGGAGGGTGTTGTATATGGTACATTTGCATTGGGACGGCAAGGGGCTACGGCTGCTGCCTGCTCATGGCGTTTACAGCGGGCGACGCATGCTGCACATTACGATGGTTGAACTCGCGACGCTTGTGTGTGTTCAGGCACTTGATCGTCTTTCCGAGCGCAAATAAAGTCTTTTGACGCCATCAATTCATGCGTATGCAAGGCGGATGCAGCTCGAAAGTGACGACACGAGTGGGGCCAGTGCGCGTGAGCTCGAACACCAACCGTTGCGCGTCGACGACGTTTAGAAGCCCCTCGGCGACGCGTAACATCAGCTGACCTTCGACGGCCCTTCTTCTGCTGCCTGAAGCTACACGAGACGATGCGGCACCGGTAGCAACACGCACAAAACCTCGATGCGCGGCATTCTCCCAGGACGGCCACAGGCGAGGCTGCAAGCTGTCGCTCACGGCCTGTGGGAGGGCACCCAAATAATTGTACGCTGCCCACGCACCTCTTCGACAAACACTATAGTGACTGACGGATAGTCGCCTAGACATACATATCAGGCAATGCGCTCATAGTGCTCGACCGACCCAACCATGTCATACAGACCATCTACATCGACGAGGAAGACGAGCTCGAAGCTGTCGCAGTCGACGAGGGGACCGGCAAGCTCGCGGCAAGCTCGACACGCAAAATCTACGTATACCAGCCGTACAGCGTCGAGTATGGGGTCTACAAGGTCGGTGACAGCATCGACACAGCGACCGGCAGGGGTGCTAACAGAAGCAGTGGTCGCTGCAGGGCAGCATGACCCTCCCAGACCCTGACGACTCGATCACGACGCTCTCATGGGGCATGCCAGATGAGATCCTCGCCGGCAGCGCAGCCCTCACGCTCTTCAACACACACGGCGACATTGAGCGCATCTGGACGAAGCAGCTGGCCAATCCTGTCAAGTTCGCCCACTTCTCGCCCGACGCCGAACTCATTGCCTCGACCGGCAGGTACGACCGACTGCTGAAGATATGGCGAAGGCTTGCGTTTGGCTCGACAGACCAGCGCTTCGATCACTACTACCTGCCACACCCTCAGGCCATCACGGGCATACACTGGCGGCACCCGCACAAGGACCAGACCGCAGACAATGTGCTGTACACGATATGCGCCGACCACAAGGTTCGGGTGTGGGTGCCTGGGGAGCATCACGGCGTCGACGGCATGCACTTGTGGACAGAAGTGGATCTCCTAGGCTCGATTGAAGAGAGGCTGGTGTCGCCGGACAAGCAGTCCAAGAAACGCTTCGCCTTTTTTATCGATGGAAAACACTTCACGCATGCGACTGAAAGAGCCATGGCACAGGCCTCGGCAGAAGAGAAGAGTCATGGCGTTGCGCTGCACCACTTGATCGAGGTCGCCAATCGAAGCCCGGAGATCTGCGTAGTGTTGGATGACCATGGCAACATGTCTGCTTGGGGCTTCGAGAACATTGGCGCCAGAGTCAAGAAGGTGACTGATGTGTTCAACATTGCGCATGTGGATGGCCTGCACCTGCATTTTGCCAAAGAACCCAAGGCTCTGGAGGATAATGTCCAATTCTACGCTTTCATCGGCGACAAGCCCGATTCCGAATTCACGCTCCTGTCACACCACTTCGACGGCCGCATAGAATGGCTTGAATCCCGAATCGACTACCTCTTCGATCCTTCTCCGCAAACGCAGCGCATACAGAGGAAGGCAACCTGGACCGGTCATTCGCATGCCATCAAGAAGGTCAACCGCACAGCAAGTGGTCGGGCGTTGGTCTCGCGCACAGTCACAGACGAGTGCATAGTGTGGACTCAAAGACCGACTGAGCATGGAACGACTCTGCATCGACACAGCACTGTCAAGGTCCGCGAGCACATCCACAGAACGGCATTGCTGCAAGATGGCGACTTCTTGGTATTCTTGCACCACGACCACATCGCACTGTGGGACACGAGAGGAGCTTTAGCAGTGGAGGTCACAAGACTTGAGTATAAGCTTCAGGGAAAGCCTCTCTGCCTCCTTGCTATCCCTGAGACAGAAGTCGGTGGCAGATGTGTGCATATCGCGACGATCAGTTCAGAAATGAAGGGCATTTGTTGGGAAGTCACCACGCCGTTGTTATCACGAGATCCTGCGACTAGTCGCAAACGGTCGAGCGTTGTGTCTCACACCAACGGCTATACCAACAGACACACTGACATCTCGCTCGAACAACACAGCACCTTTGACTTGGGATCGGAGAAAGACCTCGCATTCGTCCTACCCGTTGACCCTGCTGGTTCGGCACCAGTAATATCGGGCTTCCTCGACACTTTCGCGCGCGACGTTGCAATCTCGTACAGCAAGTCTGGCGTCGTCAAGTCCTGGACGGCTCGTGTCGATCCCGAGGAGCACAAAATTGACTGGCTACTTACCTCGACCGTTGACACAAACATACTCGACCCATCGCTCGCGAGTGGTACATCGATTCGGAAAGCCGCGTTAGTCGACGCCGAAAAGACTACACTGACGATCTGGAATACTCGGAGTGCTCAGCTTGAGTACGAAGAAACGTTTGATGGGCAAGGCGTCATCCAAGATCTCGACTGGTCCTCCACCCCTGACAACCAGTCGATCCTAGCTGTTGGGTTCCCGCATCGAGTGGTCATCTACGCACAGCTACGATACGACTATCTCAACGCCGGACCATCGTGGGTTCAAATCCGAGACGTGCGCATCCGCGACATCACGCCTCATCCCATCGGTGACTCGGTATGGCTGGGTAGTGGCAATCTTGTTGTTGGCGCCGGCAACCAGCTTTTCATTCAAGACGAGCATGTTCAAGTTGATGAAGATTTGTTTCCGAGCCTGCGTATGATCTCGCGCAAGACGGCATCGATCAATATTTTCAATGCAGTCAGCCGACTGAACGGACCGCTACCTGTATATCACCCGCAGCTCCTGTCGCAGTGCGTGCTGTCAGGGAAGGTCATGCTTGTGCAGCGGATCCTGCTCCGTCTGTACCGGAAGCTCAAGTTCTGGACAGAGGGCGAGGAGCTTGAAAGCTCCCTTGGCTTCGCAGCTGAGGACTTCTCCGAAGACGAGGTAAGATCATGTCAACGACTACCAAGATCGGAGCTGACTCGCGTACAGACGATCATGACAGCTTCGAAGAAAGAAGTACACTCATCATACAACGATTTCTCAGACAATGACGATCCGGAAACCGTGACCGAGGAAGTTGCCGCTAACCTCAGAGACCTGCTGACCACCAAGCAAATGCCTCTGCTATCAAGTCGCGAGCAGTTCCGCCTCGCAGATATCATAGAGTGCATAGGCGTGGTCGAGAAGCATCGGCGATCCATTGACGACAACGCAGGTCGCTTCATGCTCTTCTTCCGCCAGCACATTCTGAGCGAAGCGCAGAAGGCGCCTCTCTCGTGGCGCGAGATCGTGTGGGCTTTCCACTCAGGGAGTCAGGACATCCTGCTTGACCTTGTCAGCAGACATTTCAATGGGAAGATGATGTGGCAGCACGCGAAACAGTGTGGTGTCTTCATGTGGATGTCTGACATCAACGCACTGGTAGGACTTCCTTCGTCTCAGACATGACAGCAGATCTGACCTAGTCAACAGCGCGCACAATTCGAAGTCATCGCCCGCAACGAGTACACCAAGACCGACGAGAAGAACCCCGTCGACTGCTCGCTCTACTACCTCGCTCTGCACAAAAAAGCCGTGCTCGTCAGTCTCTGGCGGATCGCAACCTGGTCGCGCGAACAGGGCGCAACACACCGTCTGCTGACCAACAACTTTCAAGAAGACCGCTGGAAAACCGCCGCCCTGAAGAACGCCTACGCCCTCATGGGCCGCCGCCGCTTCGAATACGCAGCAGCCTTCTTCCTGCTGGCTGACCACTTGCAAGACGCCGTGCAAGTCCTGCACAACCAGCTGGGCGACACTCAGCTCGCCATCGCCGTCGCGCGCGTGTACGGCGGCGACGAGCACCCCGTCCTCGTTGCCTTCCTCAAAGACAAGATCCTGCCCCAGGCCGCGCGCGACGGAAACCGCTGGCTCGCAACATGGTGCTACTGGATGCTCGGGCGGCGCGACACGGCCGTGCGCGCGCTCGTCACGCCTCTCGAGCGCCTCCTGAGTCCATCCGGGACGCCCAACCTGCAGGCAAAAAGCTACCTGACCGACGACCCCGCGCTGGTGGTACTCTACACGCAGCTGCGCGAGCGATCGCTGCAGACGCTGCGCGGCGCGACCCAGATCCTGCCGCACCAGGAGTGGGCGTTCGTGCTGCACACGGCTGCGCTGTACGAGCGCATGGGCTGCGACGTGCTCGCCCTCGACCTCGTCCGTGGCTGGGAGTTTCTGCTCTCGCCGCCACCGAGGAGCGTCCCGGGGCGTCCGCGGCTGAGCCCGCTGCTCCCGCGCGACAGCTTCCGCGCGACAGGGCCGAACCAGGGTGCCGCTGATTTCGACTTCGATCCGCGCAAGTTGCTGCGCAGGAGGAGTAGTTTGGTGGTTGCTGACTTGCCGGCGAGGGAGAGTGTTAGGAAGGAGGTTATGCAGCATGATGGGGCGGTTGCTGAGGATGACGAGGAGGATGATGATGATGGTGGGGCAGAGGGTGGTAGTGATGAAGACAGGGAAGCGGAGGGTAGCGACGAGGAGGGAGAGGAAGATGAGAGCGAGGAAGAAGAACCGGCCAAGCCTGCACCCAAGAAGCCGCCGCCGACGCAGTTCCAGGAGCCGGATGCGAACAGTTTGCTAGATGCTTTCGGGTTTTAATACGACGCACATTGGACCTTGGCCACCTAGGAGACCTAATGGACTTCTTCTCTACCTTTTCGAACTGCATGGGATCTATGACTGCTAACACGCCCTAGGTCGTTGGCCATTGCACAGCCACCCTGAGCTGTGGTGACTATAAAGTACGCATTGGCTGCTTTATTTGTGACCTTCTCACCGTATGGAGTCCCTTCGTACATCCTGGTGTCCAACCCGCTCGTCTCGGGGTGCTCAGGAGTACCTCGTCTCTTCTTCTCGTCTTCGATGCTCGGCTAGAAGCTGTCGAGATGACTACAAGCTCGACTCAACGCTCTACAGCCCGACCAATAAGCCCGCCGGGATTTCTTGGACGGAGGAGGCACTTCATTCGCTTCCATCCTATGTCCTTTTTCGCTAAACAACACCTCATCAGCGGTCAATGAGGTGCCCTCGCTGATACCACGGTCCTCACCAACCTCAGAAGCTGCCGCCGACGACGGCTCTGAGCTGGGCGGCTGTCTCCTCAATGGCAGCAGTCCGCTTGCGCTTCCTGCCACCTGGGATCGAGAGAGCAGTAGCCGGCACCGGAGGATCCACCGGGAATTGATTAAACGCGTGTCTCTGCTGCTTACCCTTCAACGCTTCGACATGCTCAGTATGAAACGTCGCGATCGCTGTGGGCGGCGGCGTCGCACCAATCGATGCGGCTCGTTGGACTGGTCGGGTGCGATACGCTTCTCTGACAGGATTGCATTTGTGGATTTCCTCGGTGGGTGTTAATGATCAGCCTTTCGGCAGCTGGAGCAGATCATCTTCTATTCAGGCCTAGTGGCCGCAGAGGCTCACAGGTAGCGCAATCAAACATACTGGCACGTGAAGGCTCTCGCCAGCCGGTCTTGGGCATCGTCAACGTGACGAACTTCGTAGCCTGACCCAAGAAGAGAGACTTCCGTTTTATAAAATGTGTGGTGGCGGTGTGGAAGTAAGAGCGCAGAAGTTCAATGATGCAAAAGCTCTTGGAAATGAAAGATGGTGAGCGATGCTGACGGTGTGCCAGGGCTTAAAAAATGTGTAATAAAGCGACGAAGCTTGGCAAGAAACGCGAAGTTGGAGGCGAGTGCGAGACCAGAAGCGTCAGGGTGAAGCAGAGGAAGGTGCAGTCGATGTTTAAGGGCAGGTGGGGTGCGCAGGATCAAGGACGAAATGTACCAGCTGCGCCTGGGCGGCGATGAAGGTGAAAGTGAAGAGAGTATCGTAACGGCGTTTGCTGCAGCACTACTTTCGCTATTTCACGCAGAATCCTGTTGGTACAAGTGCCCCGGCTGACCATGAGATTGTAGCTGCTGGCGGTACCTGATGCTGCCCAGCTATGCCAGATCACGCGGTTCAGCAAACGAAAACAATCGCAAAGTAGGTACTCCTGGGGTTTCCGGAAACCGAATTCCCCTTTCCGCACCATTTGAGCGCATGAAATTGCTAGATGTCAGCCAAGTCATCTTTCAGTATGATTTTGATGTGAAAAAGGTGCCTGGTTTCAACTCCCGCGTTCCTCCCTTCACCTCTCCTGAGAGCTCTTCACTTCCCTGGCGCGCTTCTCTCATTTGTTTAATTCCACATAGGTTTACCTGAAACGCGTCAACAGTCAATATACCTCCCTTCGTTTACGGTTCAATAGCAATGATCGTGCAATTGGTCACATCATTCAAATCACCTGCAAGCTACCAACCAGGCATCATGGAGAGAAAGTAATGGCGTCCGACCAAGACTGTGAGGTCTCAAATCTATCCGGGACGTTTTTACCACAGTGAATCAGGCGTTATCGGTGTGATGAACTGACATCGACCTGTGGACAAAAGCGACGATACACATGAACCATCACATGTGGTCATACGTAGGGTCCATAGAGAGATATATTCCTAAGAGCACACATCAAGTCGCTCGACGACAGAAGATGCAGCTGAGAGATATTCTGCAGATGTCGTTGACACGAAAGCGGCGCAACTCAAAGCGGAAGAGAAGACTCTGGTTGCCAACCTTTACGCAGCCGCTCTTCGTAAGTATCCACGAAGCTCTAACCACCGCTCCTAATTAATGAAGACTGCGTAGTGATCTGAGACGAGGACAGCAGCTCTGACGAAGTGGACGACGACGAACCTGAAGACAATGCAGTTCACAACACCCGACGAGTAACGCACCACGAGCCTCCGCAACGATCAATGAGTACAAACTACAGAGGCAATGGAGTCCAAGAGACGCTCTGCCGGCACCCGGACTATCCCAGCCTAGTACAGGCAGCAGTCAGGCTTCCCCACCCATCTGACAGAGGTTGGCACGAGCAATTCGACGAGCTTCCAGAATCGAACGCTGGTACGACCACTCCTAGTAAGAGCATAGCGCAAGGGTACTGCTACTGCTGGCCACCGCTAGAGATCGTATTGATTCCCAAAAGCGCCAGGAGCTTCCTTGGGTGCTGGTCACGGGTAAACCGTATGGGTTTGAGCGCGGTGAGGGCCAGTGGGAGAAGACGCTTGAGCTGGACTTCTTCTTCCGACTCCTGGACCCGGTCACCAACACATATCAGGAGGCTCTTCACTGCTTTAAGTTTCTTAAGGAAATCCACTCGAACGATCAACCAGTGGAGGTGGGTCAGGATGCCGAGTACGTGAAGCTCAGAAGCTGGGGTCGATGGACAATTGTCGAGATCTGCGCGTTGTACACGGCGATTAACAAGTTCCGCCGTATCAACGGCGTGAAACAGTCTGTTATCTGTTGTGCTGAACTATTTAATTCTGCGCTGCGAGCAGTATTGGACGAACTCAATGCTGCAGGCAACAAGGAGAGGCGAACGGACGTCATTCGCTCAATGATCCGTAACGCCAGCTCCACGAGGTACAGGCCACTTTTCAACCTGGCTGCTGAATGCGCAGCTATGCGCGCCAGAAGAGAGGTAGGCAAGACGGTTGTTGAGGTCAAACCTCTGCATGCTATCCTTCTATCACAGCTGCCGATTAGATGAGACTCTGGCGTGCCTGCCAGAGCTGCTACAAAGATCGTTCGCAAGCGTAGGGCAGATGCCCGAGATGATTGGGAAGGAGGAGCCAGTCTAGCGGAGTGGGAGATATGCAGCTCAAGTCAGAGAACATGTGCTCGCAGTCTTGAAGGGTATATGTGGAGTGTTCGCTTCCACATTATAATGGCCAATGTAGAGAAAGAGGGAGAAGCATCGGAAACGGACATGCTCCAGGACTAATCTGCACGCTTGCTGACCAGATACAGAAGCCGGCCAAAGGTCCCCTTGTCCACTTCTTTGCTGGCGTGATGGAGGCCGGGTTCGAGACGACTTCTCTGAGCCCACGAAGGACAATCGCTAATCGTTCTTACCGCCGCCTTTCTTTACCAAATTCGCCGATTGAGCCTTGTTCGTACTTTTCTTTATCGTCCTTATTTACCATCAAGTCATGGCAGCGTCACGACTATGCACTTGGCGAGCGGTTTCTCGATGGGCTAAGACGCTCGGTCGTCCGTCAAGTTTTCCGCCTCGTTACACCTGTCTTCGTTCTAGATGCCGTCTTGTACATCGGCTCTACCTACTCCTCGCCGCACCGCACGAACACCATATAAGTACCATTCGAGAAGTCGCGAGTCGCGACGCACTATCAGTCGAATCAGATTTCAACAATCATCCACCGTGGCCGCAGCAACATGATTCACCGTCGGAGAAGTCGATTGGTGGTCTTTCACCTGTGTCAGTTATCTCTTCGTCTGCGAGATGCGTGGCACATTATTGGACGCACGAGCCACAGAAACCCTCAACAATGCACAGTTCAGAAAGGGAACAATATCCGCCTCCTAACATCCAGCTCATTGGACATCTTCATAGTGCGATTTATCTCCTCTGTATACCCGTTAAGCCGGCCGAAAGCCTTCGGGCTGGAGATTGTTCGGTTTTAGGCAGGGTTGGGCGTGCCGCGTTGCACACCCTGAGTACTTCCACGATATCACCTATGTGGCATAGCCTCGGTGGTGCATTATACATCTTCGCCATGTCGAGCAGGTCCACTCTCTAAGCACGCCTTGAGTCAGCCGTTACATCGTATTCTGGAGAGCTTCTATTCCGCCTCCATCTCACGCATAACATGGTCATTACAATCGCGCGTGACGGAGTCGCCCAGCTTGTTTGCTGAAGAATAGGCGATAACAGTGAGTGGTCGTTGCAACGGTGTTTACGCCAGTCGTCGCCGCTTCAGCACACACGCTCTATCCGTGGGTGGATCTGACCTGGATTAAGCTCTCAAAGTGGATGAGTTAAGCTTTCAAGGTGAATCGAAAGCAAGCCCACCAAGGCGAAATAAGCAATTCGGAATGGAGGACAAGCCTCGCGGTGGGCGTTTGTGGGGACAAAGGCAATACCCGTCCCAATCACGTCGAGTGGATTGCCGAGCCAGCGAGCTGCGCAGTGGTTGAGCAAAACGCGCGTCGTGTTCAGCACGGTGTTTAATTTATTGACGCAGTGCAATGATGCATAGTTCAGAACCGCGACCAATGATCGCCTTTCAGCCACCTACTAGCGCGCCGGCAGTCGACGGATCTTCCCTTTTCATGCCAGGGGCCCAGGGCTCTCCTAAAAGACTCCGGTTGCAACGGAAGGCTTAATTTTAAGTGATTTCCCCACACAAGACATGGGTTACAACCCATGGGGATGGCTGACCGGTATATTTGACGTCATATTATGGTGTCTGGTCCATGTTCATCGCTGTACCAAATTTGATTCGGGCAGATGACAGGGTAGGTCGGTAAATTGAAGCAGCTAACCCGAGATGATCGCTCGAAGTACGAGGAAGTATAAAAGATGGCGACTGAAGCGTCGTTGAGAAAAAGTCCATACGAATAGTTCACTTACAATCATGAAGTACTCTTTCGTACATGTGCTCTCGTCTTTGGCTGGCTCAGTCCTCGCCTTCCCTGCGCCTCAAGCATCAACTCCTGCCGTCCCATCGGCAGTTGTGAGCGACCAGGCCTTGCCTTCCGGAGCATCAGGCTCTCTGCGCGGTTCAGAGGCATTGATAGGATTCGCCGCATCGAACCCTATCTCCACTGAATCTACTGTAGTCCCGCCTGATGACTTCGAGCTCGGAACAGGGCAGTCGGCAGACTCTGATGAAGGTCTTTACATTGACCTCACAAATGTGAAGAACCCTCAGCCCATTCGTGGTGGTACAACTGAACCAACAGATCCTGGCCCAAGGTACGTTGAAGTGCTTAGATAGTCTCAGCACGTCCACGATCGCTAATTGAAGACAGGACCAGTGTCTATGATGCGCTGAACAGTGACATCTTTGCTCCTCCTACCACTGATTCAGGCAACGTCGGAAACGCAAAGTGGCCATTCGGGCTGTCCCACAACCGTCATGGGTTAGCTGGTGCAGGTTGGGCACGTAACCAGAACCAAGATCAGTTGCCCATCGCGACAGCAATGGCAGGCGTCAACATGCGCCTAAGCCCGAACGCTTACCGCGAGCTGCACTGGCACAAGCAGGGCGAGTGGGCCCTGATGTATGGTTTCTTCTGATCCTGCTTGTATATGGCTACTGATCAGATTCCCAGGCTTAACGGCAGCGTTCGCGTTCAATCGATGAACGAGGCTGGTCAAACATTTGTTGACGATGTTACCGAGGGCGATGTCTGGTTCTTTCCCCCTGGTATCCCGCATTCGATTCAAGCGTTTGACACAGGATGCGAATTTTTGCTTGTTTTCGACAATGGCGATTTCTCTGAGGAAAATACCTTCCTCCTCTCCGAGCTTATGGAGCGCAACCCCAAGGAAGTACTTGCAAAGAATTTCCGCACCACCACCAAGACTTGGGACACCCTGCCGGACGGTCAGCTTTGGATCTTCCCTGGTACCCCGGCACCGAAGAACATTAGCGAACAGAACGTCACTGGAGCTGCTGGTATCATCCCCAAGGAGTCACAGTACACATATCATTTCTCGCAGCAGGAGCCCCTCAAGGTTCCTGGTGGATCCATCAAGATCCTTGACCCTACTACTTTTCCTATTGCCGACACTTTCTCGACTGCGCTGATCACAGTCGAGCCCGGGGCGATGCGTGAGATGCACTGGCACACTACCTCTGACGAATGGACATACTTCCTTCAAGGCTCTGCCCGTCTCACAGTCTACCAAGCCCCTGGCTCTTCGCGTACATTCGACTTCACCGCTGGCGACGTCGGCTACGTGCCCGTTCCCAATGCCCACTATCTTGAGAACACTGGCAACGAGACCCTGGTCTTCCTTGAGGTGCTGCAGGCTAAGGAGTACTCCGATATCAGCGTCAACCAGTGGCTTGGCCTTACACCTAAGCAGATCGTCAAGGATCATTTGAAGGTCAGCGATGGCTTCTTGGCCACGCTTAGGAAGGATAAACCAATCATTGTGCAGGGCAATTCGGACTTGACGACTACTGATTTCACGCCAGCTGCTGGTGGATCGTAGAGGGACGAGTAGAACCAAACATATGCTGCATCGATTACGGAGTGTATAGAATAGCTTGAACTAGGTCCATCAATACCGTGTACATGTGCTGCCCTGCTATCTACGCATCTGTTGCGAGATGCGTCGAAGCTGCTAGATTCAGCTTCAAGCTACGGAGGCAAACTTACTTCGTCGATGCCACATTCTCGGCTCGTGACCGGCTCATGCGATTATTACTTCTCAGCCTGTTCATGTCCCAGCTCAGTCTCATCTGCCAGGTCGAGCCTTGCGACCCACCGCTCCGCAATCTTAACACAGTGCCACCACGTAATCCGATGCCACCCCTCCTGCCTAAACCTCTGCAGCACCAATGTAGCACATATATGGACCTGGCGATTAATTTTGGACAGAAAGTTCACCCTCCCTTCACTTCTCGCCATTTCTATCTTCACTAGTGTCGTTGAATCCATCATCGGTAACGCAAGCAGCGCGTCTGTGAGAACATTGGGGTTCGCTGGGGTTGCCATGGTTGGTGGTGTCGAGGCGGACATCGTGGCGTTTCAGTTAATGGCAATGTGAGTTGCTGACTTTGCGCTGACAGACATCTGATGGCGGTCGCTATTTTGCATCGCTCTGTCTCTGGGGCCACCACTACAGAGTGGCTATGAGACGATTGACGGTGGTGTGATCGCCTCATCGTACATCCTGGACCGAGGGCCATAATTCCTAAGCTCTTGAATTTTAGCGGAAGTGAAGCGAACGCCAAACAAAGGAAAATGCTGAAGGATAATAAAGGACTGCTTCGTATGTTGAAGCCCTGGTTCAGCTGTGGGCCAGGGTACAGTTGAAAAGTCAATATTGAAAAGTATCATTGTACATTATGTTCCTGATATCTTCCAATGCTCAAAATGCTACCTCTGGTGAAACTATTTGTGAAGCTGTCTCGTAAATGTAGTCGTGGTGCAGGTTCATACTTTTGTTGCACTGTAGTAGTTTGTAGAATGTGACCGTCGGGTGTTTGTATGTGATCTATGTCGTCCTCTTCAATTACGATCGACGGAAGAGTGATCATTCTTTCTGTGAGGTTTGTGGACTGTGCAGTTGTTCGATTCGGCCCGTGGATCTCTGTTGAGGTGCCTCCACCCTGCTGGGTGGGTATCAGATCGGAGGGACTGATGCTCCGCCTATAATCGCGACGATCTTTCCGCTTCTGTTCACTGGTCGAAGGATAGTATATGCGGCTGTGTCCAGGAGCAGATGCAAATCCCATGCGCCAGAGGCAATGTCGAACCAGCGGTCGCAGAGTCGCAATGCTGCTGGCAGTGATACCGATTCCCGGTTCGACAGTACTCCAGATAGCAACGTCGGTAGTCGCATACAGGAAATCCGGTCCGTTCGTGAGTGTGTGTATGTAGAACATGCGTACGACTGTTGCCGTGCTGCCGATGGCTGCAAAGGCTAGGATACCAGCGACAAGCATTTTCGTCTTCAGCTTCATGTGCAAGTCCCAGACGATGAAGAAAGGCAGGGTACCGAGGGCCCAATCGGCTGCGGCGTTGACAGCTGCTAGTGCGTATGTAATGCCTTTGGTGGGCCCCGCCGATAGGCATTTTTCGGATGCAGGGCGATTTTTCCAGAACTCAGACACTTCCGTCATGTCAGTAGTCGACTAGAAAGTCCTTTAGAGCTCTACCTACCAGGCGTGCACTGGAACGTTACTAGGAAGAAGTAGACGATTGAGAACAAGATGGTTCCACCCATTAGTATCTTGATGGTCCAGAGGTGCCATCGCTGTATAGCAACTCGAAGATAGAAATGGCCGATCGAGAACTTAAGGGTGCAATTGGCGAGGATGTAGAGCAGCTCGCATAAATACCAGAACTGCTTTTGGTTAAAAAGCTGCACACTCAAGACGAAGCAAGCCAAACTCACTAACAAGGCAACCCTCGCGTCGCTGTCTTCCAATTCCCATCGGTGCCGTCCTGTTCCATATACTGCGGCCACTGTCTGAAAGGCCAGATACACGATAAAGACAGCCTGCGAAAGTCAGTGAGCATCATAAAGGTCTGCCTGCACACGGACATACCATGGTAGCACCCATGAATCTACACAGTTATTAGCGACTCATCTAAAGAGATAGATGTACTGAGTGTGCTTACGTATCGTCCAGACCCCACGTGTGCATCAACTTTCCTCGCACATAGAATCGTAGACTGACGGTCAGCAAGGAGAGGAAGAAGAACAATATTGCCACAGCCAGCACGTCGTTGCGACGATTGTCCATTGTGATTACCTGCTCCATAGTTGTAATATTAGCCGAATGCGACAGCCTTTTCTGTTTGAATTGTACCGGTGAGAGCCATTGACGGTGATTTTGCTTGAAGTAAGCAGACCATGAGTTTCCAGTAGGACTGGATACAGAGCGATTATCATGGTGCATTCGCCAGTTGTGCGTCGACTTGCGCTACAAAGCGTTCTGGTTTCAACTAGGCCACCCGCGGACCCGGTCCGGCCCCAGCCAGAGAACGCTACCTTCAACCCGGTATTTGGCTCTTGCTTCGTGCACGAAATGTCGCGTGGATTCATTCGCTACTCGGACGTGGCGCATCGTGGTGTCCCAGTCAGGCACATTTGCTAACTTGGTCTTTCCTAGCCTCAAAGTTTGTCGATCTCTGAAACAGAGATTCTAGGGCATCGGAGGTTGTTCCACGGCATACTTTGGAAGCTCGACTGGTAGCCCAGCTGATCTCGAGGCCGAGTCCATACAGGCTGGCGTCTCCATGAGTGATCCTCTCGGCATCGGACGCTTAGACATCTGGGCAAAATTCAAGGCCCAGTGATTGCGCCATCGGAACAGTTCTCCAGTTGCCGTTAGTAAATCGTGGAGATGGTCATTACCGCACGGGTCCGTGGTTCGCGCTGGAGGGTGATTGGGCGTGGGCAACATTCGGCAATGAAGAACCTCAGTGATCGCCTCATGGATGCAGGACTAGTCTGCTTAAAATGACAAGGATCGCTATACCTATGTGCAACGGATACCCTACATTTCGCGATGAAGATCATGTTCCTGTAGTCGTTCATCAATAACAAGCTAGGGCCTCCGAATATTGCAAATCATTGCGATGTCTCGCCTTCGTGCTTACCGGTACCGCCGCAGATCCTGTCCCCGGCTCTGCGCATCATCGATCCGCTCATTGCCGTCAGCCAGTAGGCACGACCACGCTGTAACGGCTAAGGGCATCCGGCGCAGGCTTTGCATTACACTGCAGTAACAGATATGCGAGTCCTAAGGATAGCGCGCTACGAGATTGGGGCTAAAGCTGCTGAAGGAGGCGGCAGCCGCCTGTCACAACGCAAGATGTGGTCAACATCAACTAGAGATAATCCAACATGCCACCTGGATATTCACCCAGGCACAAGCAAGCAAGTTTGTTCATCGCAATAGTCCAGACGCCAACCGTGGGAATCGCTGTCCAGCATTCCCTGTTGGACCCAGAAACTGCAGCTTCCCAGCGACAGATGTTTTACACAGCGCAAGCCGGCGAACAGCAATCTGGCTGCAGATGACTTCCAATGTACTGCTCGAAGGCAATTTGCGAAGTTTTCGATCGCAGCTCCTTCGAATACAGAGCTCACGGCTGTTGAAGTGACGGAGAATAAATCCAGGATGTTTTAGAGGCTGAGATCGCTACGACAGGTCATTGAGACTTTGCCTCGGATTTACTTAAAGCAGACAGTCAGTCACAGATACATCTCTAATCGAAAGCCTGCAGCAGCAAACGAAGGAAGCATGCTTGACTAGAAGCAACAGGCAAGCATTGCTGTCTCAGGTACGGTTCCCGACATATGCAGACAAATCTTGCGGTTCACTTTCGCTGGCACCTCACTTATTCAGTCTTTCCCTTGCACCTCTCCAGTATAAATAAGCCCGCGCACTGTAAGCTCTCATCCTATCTTCGCAACAACCTAGCTCAGGCAGCTATGACACTTCCACCTGGAGTCAGATACTCCATCTTTCGCAACAACGTTGAAGTCCCGCTCATCCCGATCGACCAACTGCCTTTCTACATTAAAGGCTTGCCACGCGAACTTACGCTTTTCCGAAAGCACAAAGAAGGCTGGAAGGCGATCGGGGAGACTCAGCAGCCTGCAGTACCGGTTACCATCCGAGCTCCCTCCGATTTGCATTCGAGACCGTCCCCAGCAAACACGAATCGTATGTTCCTGCCGCCCGACTATGATGCTCGTAAAGGCCCTGTCATGGTGTCGCGGGATCTGAGGCTCCTGCCAGAGACTAGCTCTGCTTCGGTCGCCCCTACGGAGGGACTTGTCAACCGTCTCGTAAGCACATCGCCAGAGGAACGCTTAGCGTCGACTAGGACGAGCAGGTATGTTGCAGCTCGCTCGGAAGGAGTCCAGTATCCACCTTACCGTCTTTCAAACCCCTCTGGTGTTGAGCCCGACCCATCTAAGAAAGAGTTCTGCACACACTGGATCAGGACGAATTCCTGTGACTTCATGCAACAGGGTTGCAAGTACAAGCATGAAATGCCTGACCGCGAAAAGCTGAAAGATCTGGGCTTTGCCGAGATCCCAAAGTGGTACAGAGATAAGATGGCTACTCATGCTGGGGCGTCGAGCTGGTTACGACCACGCGCGACTCAAGACAATAATGACCGACAGCTTTCGGCCGAACCTGCAGCGTCACGTGCCTTCTATCCGTCAACATTAGGCCTCGCCCGTGATCAGTCGCGTGCCGTAGAGCTACCAAGTTCGCCGGTCCCGAGCATCGATCAAGCCCTTGTTGAGTTGCCAAACCTCATCGATCTGGACGACTTTTCTATGGCGACAGTGTCACTGCCCCCGTCATTATCATTCCGTTCGTCCTCAGACACAGCGTTCGTTGATGTTAATGCCGCTATTGCTCAAAACTCGGAGCAAACCAAGAAGACTCTAGCCTCTTCTATTAGACAAGAAGAGTCAGAAGTCAAAAATCACACGAACAATTCTCTTGATATCCACACGCCGACTATTCCTCAAGCATCGTATCTCCAGAAGTCTAGTGATGCTCCGGTCGTTTCAGATGCAGTCTTGGTTCTTGGCTCACCTACCAGGACAGTGTCCCAGCCACCAGTGGGACCGGGGCGCAATCGCAACAGCAAATCCTCAAAGTCACAGCAGATTCGCAATCCATGCTCACGGAAGCTTGCCGAACGAGCCGCTGCATCTGCTGCTCCGGACATGTTAGCTAGCTCTCAGCACGCCACCGGTAAAACGCCTAGGGAAGGAACCTCTTCGAGCAAGGGCCCTAAGCGAGGTAGGATTCAAGAAGAGGGTAAGATTCTCCAATTCGAGGTTGTACAGCGTCAACGTGCCGTCCATGCGAAGGACCTATTCAGCAAGGGGGCGATTTCTAATGATGTCTAACTTTTGACCGCCACCGGGGGAACTGAGGTTGCCTGACGCACTTGACTGTTAGTCGGAGGTGGCTGAATGTTACGTTGGGAGATTTGATGCTTGAGATGGGGTCTCAAATTTGAGTCTGCTGAGGTATATGCTTCTCAAAAGTGTACGTGCTCTCGAGAGCAAAGTTTTCCTTTATTTTAGATTCGTCTGTCTTGATATTTTGTTGCGGCAAACGTAGCCGCTGTATATCGATGGAAAACTGCGCTGAATTGATTGCTAGCTAGGAGGCGACCATATATACATGCCCTGAGACGTGCTAGTCCAAGGTAGTCAACAGAGGTGACGATCAAGGCCTGTCGGACCGACTTGCACCGCAACATATTTAGACAATTTAAGTTCGTATCGTACTGGGTAGCAGCCGTATAATGCACAGACTATCTCCTCCTCTTCCCAGAAGTCCTTCCGTAGTGTCGCAAAATATAACGAAGAAAAGAATATAACCCAAGCTGAGACCGTTCCTGTCTCCAACCAAATGAAACAAGATCAGGCCCAGTCCTCATTCCTAGGCCTCGACCTAGGCTCTGTCTCGCCCACTGTCAGGCTGAAATGGGTTGTCCTCGTGATATCGCTGGACTTGTCCTGGAAAATATGCGTGTGAGAGGCCACACCATTCGGCAGTATAGTCCTCTCACTGCGATCATCCGCCTCATGACTTCCACGTCTATACTTCCTTGTGTTGAGTGGCCTTCCGTTGTAGCCTGACAGAACAGAGCTTTTTAAGTTCGATCTCCCTCTTGTGGCCGTGAAACTGGTGAGAAGAATTCTGGTGAGCGCGTTATCGAAGAGATGTCGGAGAGGTGGTAGACTTGATGTCAAACTGCCGACCAATACCTCTGTTACTGACAGGAAAGATAAGTTGACACTTTCGTAGGCGATGTCGACGGATTAATTTAGGGCCTTTATTTCGTAGAGCTTGAAGATGGAGATGGTTGTTGTTCTGTGAAGATATGAAATGGAAGTAATGATATATGCAGATTCAACACTGACACGAGACCAAGCAAGAAGACAACGTGAACGCCCTACATTGCTCGATCAGGTAATTGCACTAATCTTATATAGATAAGAGGTGCGAATGTGTAAAACATATCAGCTGTGATATTTGAATAAGCTTAAAGTACAACTTGTACTCATACTCTAATTCAGCGTTATAGCGATTGGAGTCTATACCTGTTGCCCATTGAGATATAAGCTGATTGTGGTGACAGTAGAGGAAGCAAGTAACCTAGCTTTTAGAGCAAGGATTTGAGGCAACTGCAGATGCGAAATTCTGTACCATACGCCTTGTAGGTAGCAAGTGACGCCTAGTCAGCTTCTCTGTATACTTGACTAGGTCCTCTTCTTGTTAACGTACCTCACGGGCGAGCCAATCACATGGGCGAGCTGATCACTCTGCCAAGACCACACTTATATTCTACCTTACACCTAATGCCTTAACAACAACACAAATCTAAGCCCTTAAAAGTGTAAAGAAAGTAGGGGGAAGACTAGGCTGTAACGGGCTAGGCCCGATGGTAGCGCCTCGGCGCTCGCCGGCCTCGGCCAACCCCCGAGAGGAGGTGCCTGCCCAGCTGTACCCCCGGTCAGGAGGTCCCAATCTTGACTAATTGTGTCACCTCCGCACGGAGTACGTAAAAGTCTGCAGACCTCCGCCTGCAGCCACCCCTCAACAAATCTATTTGATTCATACTTGCAAATAGCCCGCAGAGGCCAGCTCCTTACATAGGCTACTGTAGTAGTCTGGCCAAAGGCCAATAAAGGATATCTACTTCCTAACAACTTTTGCTAAAAAGCATGCACAAGTTAACTAGACGCCTAGTTAACTGCGTAGATAATATATATCCAGCTTAAGCCAAGCCGGCTAAGCTAATGTAACCGGCTAGCTCTAGCTCTTCTTTAGCTTTAGAGTCTAGACCGTTACATTAGTAAGCTACCCTGTTGCTTCTAGAACTTGTTCTGAACAAGCGTTAATTGCAGTTTAAATTCTAGGGTATTGCTAGGGGTTTACAACTGCTAGGACTTATTATTTAGAGGGAGTAGTCGTGATAGAGTGCACAGCTTTACATTAAGGGCTATTATTGTAAAGTTATAAGACTTTGTCCTTATATTCTTTCTCTAGCATATTTCCTTCTTAGGTATAGCGCTATGCTTACGTAAGCTGTTCTCTATTTTTAGTAACTAGAAATGTTCTAGACCCTCTGCTTACAAATAGAGTAGCCTATTCTTTAAGATGCTAACATATATAATTACGTGTCACGGAGCCTGTGGGACTATACTCAGGTGATCGAAAGTATTTGATCAGTGGCTATCTATCCTATCACGAAAGTAAGGTTTATATACATAGGAAATATGTGTGGATCACATGATCCGAGATAAGCGAGCAGTTGGCCGATTATCCAGTAGCTCGTCAACGAAGAACGGATGAAACGAGCTTCTGGTTTAGACCCAGAGGTGCTCGTCCCGGTTTATCCGGGCCGGCAAGCTCCACACCCTCAATTGAGGTGCTCGATTGTGTGACA